TGAGCCCCTTAACGCCGTCGGACAAACCGGGAGGCCGAGTGCCCGCCGGGGAAGATGCGCCCCATCTCCGGGAAGAAAAAGAACCGGGAAAGTGCGTGACTCATCCAGGAACCCACCCAGGGCGCTCAGCCGCTGATTGGCTGAAAGTCTATATCTTCCGGTTTTTCGTAGTGAAACCAGCTGACCTGTTGACATCTGGCGCAAACCGGGGTTTCAACATAGTACTCGGTACTTTCTTGGACTGCAGCATGCGCCTATCCTCACTGGTATCTTATACTTAAGAACAGAAATGTTGACGTGTCTGAATCTCGGGACTCGATACCCCCCAGAAAACAGGTTCGATAGGTAGGAAGTAGCGATAGTAAGGGGTTTGGCCTATGAATCGAAAGTACTGTGTACATCGAGAGGATTCTCCGGAGAGGATCGGCCCTAGACACTCCCTGGCCCACTGTGAGACTCCATCTGCTTCTGGAATCCCGCTATTTTTTTGCGGCCTCCTCCCTTTTTACTTAGGCTCCCTCTTTTCCTTGTCCTTTTGAATCCTATCGCCACCAGGACCTGTCCTTACACGGGTCTTTTAATTCACCAAGTCGCCTTCATTCCAACTCTGCCCTAGCGCGTTCATTGGCGGCACGGTCGTCCAATGAGCCTGCACTTAAAGTATAATTCTGAGTGCAAGGTGCGTCTCGACTCTGCGAATTTGCGCGTGTTCTGGCTCTGTGCTAACCTTCAAAATAGCATTGCCTCTTCATTCTGAAGAGGTCCCCCGCTAGATAAATGGTGTTTAAGCCGTTCACCCATCTCGCGCGCCAGAGTTTCACCAAAGCCTTTACTCATGGCTATGCTCAATCGGTAGTCGCGGCGTCGCAGTCCTCATACGCGTCCACTACCACATTAAATTCTCTTGCCGCCCAACCCGCCAAGTTCTCCCGCACACAACTCCAGAATGCGTTCTCCAACGCGTCTAGCTCCTCCGGCGCAGGCGCCAAGGCGAGCCAGGGCGGTGCTGGTAACGGAGATTTCGGTCTAGCTGCCTATTACGCCGCCTGGCAGCATGCCCAGCAGACGGGCGACGACACCGACTGGCGCTCCGATCAGTACAAGCGCCGTATCGGTTGGAAGCCTTCCGCTGAAGATGCCGAGGGTAAGGAGGAACGGGCCCCTTCGCCCGAAACCGTGCCTCCCCATCTCACCAAGGCTGCCGTGAATGAGAACGTCAGTGCTCAGGTTGAAGAGGCCGTCGCCCGCGAGATCCAGATTCAAGAGGAACAAGCACAAGCCGAGGAAGCATCCGAGGCACTCGAGACTGCCGCCGAGTCCGTTGAAGATGCGCTTGTGACTGAGGCTATCTCCAAGGAGACTAAGGCCGCCTCGGATCGAATTGTTCAGCTGGCTATTTCGAAGAACTATGCTGCAATCCCCGGGGCATTCCAATCTTTGCTTAGGGACGGCTTGACTCCAACTGTCGATGCATACAATGCCCTCCTCGTCGCCGCCATCCAGCTTCACCCCGATGCCGCTCAGGCCATCCCCAAGGCCCTCGATGTATACTCTGATATGCTTCGTCGTAGGGTAATTCCCGATGAAGACACCTATCAGACTCTCGTCCAGTTACTGGTGACCCAGGCACTTGAGATTATCAAGGCCAAGGAGATGCTCGAACAGCAGCGTATCCGCTATGGTGGCATGGAGGAGCCTGGCAAGTTCATGCTCCAGTCCAGCGAACTCGAACGCGATATTCTTGTCGAGGACCACTCTTTGTCCATCGCTGTCACGCTCTTCAACACTGCCACATCCCGTCACTCCCGAATTGCGTTCCCGCTCGACCTCTACCGCCAACTCACCATTGCCTGTGCCCGCGAGGGCAAGGTCGAGGACATGATTCGTATCTACTCCCACATGGAACAGCAGAAGGTCACTCCCCATGCGACCATCTTCCCGTGCATGATCGATGCCTTCGCTGGTACTGGTGACCTCAAGAGCGCCGTGGAATGCTACAATGAGTACCGTGCTCTCGCGGTTTCTGATGACAACGGCGTGTTTACCATTGTTAAGCGCGTTGACGGTGAGGTGTACGCCGCTCTGATCCGTGCCTACTTGTCTTGTGGCAAAGAGGAGGGTGCTCAGAGCTTCCTCGACCGGATTCGCTCCTCGTTTGACAATGTCACCGAGAACCGCGAGGCCCGCTGGGCTGCGGTAGAGGAAGTGATTGTGCAGGATGCACTCGTGCAACACTCGTTGAACGCTGGTGAACACAGCAAGGCCTTGGAACAAGCCAAGGCCCAATTGCATGATGAAGCTCGGGATCATGCTATTTCCCGAATCTGCATCGCCGCAGCTGATGCCGGTGATCTTACGACTGCTTCCGAGGCCTACGATCGCCTTTCCACCAACCCTGACGTCCGACAGAACCCCGCTATCTCACTTCTTGCCCTTCACGTTCGCCGGGGTAATGTGTCGGCGGCCCGTTCCCTGTGGATCATGCTTACCACCGTCGGTCAGGCAACCCCGGATCTGGTTCAGCCGACCGCCATGTACGCGGTTGCACTTGTGAAGAGTGGCCAGGTTGAGGAAGGCCTGCACGAAGCGCGTAACATGTTTGCTCGCATTCGCAACGCCTCCGCCAAACAGATCACTGTCGATACCACTGCACGTGAGCAGGTCACCGAGTCTCTTCACCTCTTCGGCCGCGTTCTTATGCAGACGGCCGCTGTTCTCTCGCCTTCCGCATCTATGACTCTTCTTTGGTCTATGATTGAGAACGGCGGTCTTGTGTCTCCCCTGGCCGAACACGCTGTCGCCAGTCTAGGGCCCATTGGCATCTCTCAGCTTACTCCGACCGACCTTACTCTCGCTCTTCAGGTCCAGGCTGGTATGATGGCGAACAACAGTGCGATCCTCTTCGATGTTGCCCACCCTGTCCGATTTGCACACATGCTCGAAGTCGCCCTCTCGGCTTCTCTACCGCTGGATACCTACACGACCCACCTGGTCGACCAAGCTGTCGCCAAGCTCTTCGCCAGTCGTCCTGATGTTGTCAAGAGATGGCAGGAACACCTTGAGGCCTCTACCCAGGCCTCGTTCCTCTCTGAACGTCACAGCCCCATTTCCATGGCCGAGACCAACATCACGACCCCGTCTTCGAGTCCTGATTCCTACGATCCCTATGCTCAGGCCACCGACTTCCGGGGCTCTGCTATCATCGCCGATGAGCTCGAGAAGACCGCCGGCCGGGCTGAGACTCATCTCAATGAGGCTTTGATCCGACTTAAGAACATGCGTCGCATTAGTCGTCACCCTCGCTATATCACGTATGCGAAGCTTATCACTGCCGCTGCGAAGATTAACCGCATGGAGTTGGTCAACGAGATTCACGCCATGGCCCGTGCTGACGTTCCTCTCAACCCGGCTTACAATGCTGTTAAGTACGGTTGGGTTTCGATTCTCGATGCCATGGTGTCTGCCTGCCTCACTCTCGGAGACCGTAAGCTGGCTGGCCAGTTTCACCAGGAGCTCCTCAGCCTTGGCTCTGCACCCTCTGCCAACACATTTGGTTTGTACATCACTACCTTGAAAGAGTCGACCAAGACCTTTGACGAGGCTACCGAAGCTCTGAAGATCTTCCACCGTGCGATTGCCGAGGGTGTTGAGCCCACGTCCTTCCTGTACAACGCTCTTATTGGCAAGCTAGGCAAGGCTCGTCGTATCGACGACTGCCTCGCCTACTTCGCCGAGATGCGCTCCAACAACGTGCGTCCTACTAGTGTCACCTACGGAACAATCGTCAACGCCCTCTGCCGTGTCAGCGACGAGCGCTTCGCCGAGGAGATGTTCGAGGAGATGGAGTCCATGCCCAACTATAAGCCCCGCCCCGCGCCTTACAACTCCATGATCCAGTACTTCCTGAACACCAAGAACGATCGCAGCAAGGTCCTTGCCTACTACAACCGCATGCAGGCTCGCAACATCAAGCCCACCATGCACACCTACAAGCTACTCATTGACGCGCATGCGTCGCTTGAGCCCATGGATATGGAAGCCGCCGAAAAGGTTCTCAAGTCAATGCAGGCCGCAGGCCAGCAGCCCGATGCCGTTCACTACGCCTCTCTCGTTCACGCCAAGGGCTGTGTTCAGCACGACCTATCTGCCGCCCGCAAGGTCTTTGACTCCGTTGTCTCCGACCGCCGCGTGCGCCTGCAACCCTGCCTGTACCAAGCCCTTTTCGAAGCAATGGTCGCGAACAACCGCGTCACCGACACCGAGGAAATTGTCAAGAACATGCTCCAGCGCAACGTTGAGATGACCGCCTACATCGCCAACACGCTGATCCACGGCTGGGCCGTCGAAGGCAACGTCTCGAAGGCCAAGACCATCTACGATAGCATCGGCATCTCCAAGCGCGAGCCCAGCACCTACGAGGCTATGACGCGCGCCTTCCTGGCCGCCGATGACCGTACAAATGCCTCCGGCATCGTGCAAGAGATGATATCTCGCGGCTACCCCTCCGCCGTAGCCAGCAAGATCATCGATCTCGTCGGCCCCCCTACCACCATCTAATTTGCTATTTGATTCTTGTCCTGGCTACCGTCTACCAGGGTTCTTTTACCCCATACAATCTTTTCGATTATTAGATCCCTACGTTCACCTTGTCAGGGCTGGATCCCTTCGGTGTGGGCTTCGGTTCGGCGCATGTAGGGGTGGCGGTGGTTGGATACCAAATTTGTGATGTTCGGATTTGATTTTTTGATTTTTACATGGCATTCAGCGAGACTGGCGTTGAAAAATGGGTTGGAGTTTTTTTGGTTCCTTTTCATGTATACCATTTTTGCGATATGATGTTCATAGACCCCTCTCAACTCTGCATGGCGATACTATACGCCCGTTGAAATACAAAAAAAGTGATTGAGTATACTGATTGTAAATACCGAGTTTTGAGTCTTGGCCTGCATTCTTGTAATAGACTGGGTACATGTAAAACGTGACAGGTCCCAAATGCCATCTTAAGAAGAATATAGCTCCACAGCTTTGCTGAGCAAGGCATCAACTTCCTTATTCTTAGCCTGGAGATCGTTCTTGCAAGATGGAACCAAGCCAAGGATGTTGAAGTAGTATGTCTGCTAGTTGTGAGTGGGGTTTCTTTGAAGCTGGAATCATATTTGGAACACATACATCACTGATGTTTTCATCGGCGCGCAGGAGAGCACCAACCGGACTAGTAAACACGAAAATGCCAAAGATGCCGTGCTTGCCGATGACATCTTGTAGGAATGTCTTCTCAACCTCCGCGAACTGTACCCGTTGTTAGATAGCGTCATTCCTGAAATGATGGGACTACTCACGGTGATAAAAGCATTGCAGACCTCGGGCTCATCACTAGCGTCAATGCCCCGAGGAGCTTGTGAAACTTGATCATTCTTGAGGATCAAGACATCCCGGTAGCTGCTGGGGAATTTCTGGGCGATATTAGTTTCATATCTTTGGGGTGGATGGAGTGACTGGAACTTTAGACTTGGGCGACCTACATAGCCTTTAGAAGGGAAATTGACCACGCTCAATTCCTGTAGCTCCTTGGAGACGTCCACGACCCTCTCAGTCAGCTTCTGGATAGCGGAAACGACAGTAGCGCCCTCGGAGCCGGCAAAAGCCGGAGAAACGACCGTGGCCAGGAGAGCGGCAACGGTGGCAAGCTTGAACTGCATCTTTGTGTTTGATATGGAGTTGTAATAGAAGATTCAAGAGAGACTACCTCTGGTTTTAGGCGGAGACTATACTTATAGGACTGGTTGATCAGCCGCGTGCAGAATTCCGGGCACGACATACGAGTGATACCATATGATTACAGGGCCATTTATTTTCTGAACCGGCCATTGATCCACTTAGTGGAATGGCGGTATGAATAGCTCCATAATCTATGACTTCCAGTGGCGGCCTGCGAGATCGACAGTCACGACGGGCCAGCGCTGGGGTTAGTTCGGCTCAGGGGCTTTGTTCATTGCTGGAATGACGATCGATTATCCTATGCAGATTTTGATCTCGATGAAGTGTTTGATCGGACGATCCAGGGCCTGTTGCTGATCTACAGCCCCGAGCTTCTCTGTCTTTCAGCTTTGGGAGATCCTTTGCCGCATTTCATTAGGGCTTGGGCCATGATATCCACCAAGGACCCTCGACCCACCGATCTATTGAAACTACATCTCCATCCATCGGCATCATTTGGGATCCTTCGGGCTGCTGCAGATCTATGCAGTTATTGTTTCTTAGTTTGCAATTGAAGTGCAGATCTTAAGTATGGGTTTGTCATGTTTTTTTTTCAACCCAATTGTTTACCGGTAATATAGCTGGTACTGAAGCCCCCTAGGTCTTATATCTATTAAACGCCCTCCTTACAAACTTCTTCTCTACTATTCAGTACATCTTATATCAAAATGCAGCTCACTCTCACATCCGCTCTTCTCATGGCCGGCGTGGCCTCGGCCCAGATGTCCTCTTCGGCCTCACCCTCGTCCGCCCCGGCGACCTACACTCCTATCACTTCTACTGTTGCCATTCCCTCTTTCTCTATTCCTCCCACTTCGGTTTTCCAGAGCCGCCTGTCAGCAATTCCTACCTCTTCTTACTCCGCTATCTCGGCTGCCGACTCTTCCGCCGCAGCTAGCGCCGTGAACACCGACGATTACGACTGCGTCTACCGTGGCTGGGGCTGTGACTGGATCAAGTCCGAGTACGGCTACGGGTCCGACTACTGCGGATCCTCTCCCTTCAAGGCCGGTCAGCAGCTGTCTGACGGCAACCAGATCGTTGCTGTCTCCTCAGACGGCTCTGGCGACTGCGCTTCCAAGGCGGGAAGTAAGTGCTGCAAGGTCCTTGCCGACTCGCCCTGCAAGCATGGCGAGAAGTACCTTGAGTGCACTAAGCCTTGAGCGGTGTGTGTTTTCTTTTCCGCGGATGTTAACGCGTCGTTGCTAATTGATCTATAGGTTGAGTCCACGGGGTATAGAAGCTTGGAGAATCGTGAAGCAAAAGCTTGGCGTTTGGATCATGTACAGTGACATCAAATAAATGATAATTGTCAATATATAACAAGTTCAAGCCTGGGATGTAGAGGAACCATGGTTGGAAGAGAGGGGATACAAAGTATGGCATGACGTCGGGTGCATCCGTAGCTTTCGATCTGTGAGATCGTCTTTTTAACCTTATATGACTCTTCCATTCGAACCTCACTTGAACCACCTGAACCACCACCACCGAGCTGTACTTGGGTATAACAATTATTCTTCTCTGTGATCCGCGGTACATTTCATGCTGTCTTGTCTCTCAACCCCTACCCGTTACTCATTTCTCCGCATTGGCATCGCAGCTTCCCGCCAACCCCACCTACGACTTCTACGTTCGTCTACATCTCGACCCGTCCACGCCCCAGACATGTCGCAAAATATCGAGGTGGATGCCCAATCGCGGCGTCCGAAGAAGCTCATTTGTACGCAACTACGTGCCTTAACACCCCCGGCGTGCACTCACAACGCTCCGCTCCGTGGGGAACCGAAACCTGCCTGGGAGCTACAAGCTAACCATCACACTGCTCAACAGTTGCCCCCGGTGACATTGGAGGTGCATCCGACTCTCCAGAACCATCCGTGCAGCCTCAAACCGCCGTGCCCTCCCACCTGAACCCCGCTGAAGCCTTCCGCTCCAACGCCTCAACACCCGACTCTACCACCGAAAAACATCTCATGTCGCACCCCGCGCGAGCCCACCAGTTCGTGACCAACCCGCCGCTTACAATATCCCAAATACATGGTACGAACCCGTTGCACCAATTCAACACCTGGTTCCACGACTCTCGACTAGCGCCCAGCTCCTCGCCGGAGACTTGCACGCTCGCTACAGCCGAGCTCCCCTCTGGCCGCGTCAGTGCGCGTATCCTCTATCTCAAGGAATTGGACGAGCGTGGCTGGGTGGTCTACAGCAATTGGGGAAGTCGGGAAGGGAAAGGCCGACAGGTTTGGGGAGCGGGCGACAACACTGGTACGATTGGATCTATACCAGCACCAGAGGACGTTGGCGCGCAAGGCAACAAATGGGGTGCATTGACATTCCTTTGGGCGTCAGTCGAGCGCCAAGTCCGTATCGAGGGTATACTGGAGCCTCTTAGTCGCGAAGAGAGTGAACTATACTGGCAAACCCGGGAACGCGGAAGTCAGATCGGTGCTTGGGCCAGTTGGCAGAGTCAGGAGTTGTGGTCTGGTGAGCCATTGCATCTAGCTGAGAACCAGCGTCGCAAGAGTGTGGCGAAGTTGCAGGGTGAGGTCCCTGTTGATATCGACGAGACGGATATCGATGACGGCCGCGCGCTGCTCGAGCAGCGGGTTAAGGATATGGAGCAGCGCTTTGTAGGAGTTGAGACGATTCCTCTTCCGCCTTTCTGGGGTGGCGTGCGTCTCGTGCCGGAGTCGGTTGAGTTCTGGCAGGGTCGTAAGAGTCGATTGCACGATCGATTCCGGTATGTGCGGATTGAGGGTTCAGGTGTTGGAGGTAAGGCTCAGTGGCGGGTGCAGAGACTTTCTCCGTGAGATGTTTCATCGTTTACTAGAGACCCTAGACGTGTACATGAATGAATCGGACGGATTCTGTAGTTCACTTTTTGATACTGATACTGGGTAACTATTGTCGATCACTTATCTTATCGGGTCTTGGCATTTCAACCTCCTCTGAAGCCCTGTTGCTTCGTATCTCTCTGTTTTATACATCAATTCAACTCCGACCTTCGTTCAAATACCAGTACCGTACATAACAATGGTTTCCCAACCCGCACAAAAGTCCACGACTTCCCCTTGGATAGTCCTCGCTTTGGCGAGCGGCGCATTCGCTGCGTTGAACGGGGTCTTCGCGAAGCTGTAAGTTGAACTATCACGGCTCTAGTATAGAGGATCTATATCTACAAATGAGAATCCACGATTAACAACCAGGGTAGCACAACGGACAACAACACAACATCCTTCGCGCAGTCTATCGCACACCTCTTCGGCCTGGACTCCTCGCCGTTCCTAGAGCTTCTCGTGCGCGGTGTATGTCTTCCATTATTCTTCTAATCGCAGAGTTATGATGCATCAGCTCTATAACATTTGGTGCGATCATGAATTAACCCTTATTCATAGGCTTGCCTAGGCCTGAACGTGGTGTGTAACATCATCATGTGGGCACTCTTCACCCGCGCCCTGACGGCCGGCCCATCGACGGTAAAGGTATCCATTACCAATACCGCCTCGAACTTCCTAGCTACTGCATTGCTGGGCATGGTCGTATTCCGCGAAGCTGTCAGTGGGCTTTGGTGGCTTGGAGCAGCCATGATGGGGGCAGGTTGTATTTTAGTTGGGATGCGCGAGGGGGCATAGATAGCTATGGTTTGGTATCTAGCCAGGGAGTAGATAATTTTTCATAGAAACACTAATAAGACATGAATCATTGAATTCATCACGAGCGAATGCTTTACATGTCCATAACACCTCTATCAATCTATATTCACAGAGTTATTACAAACATTAAATTCAGCGACCAGGCCGCTCATCTCTCTCCTCTAATTCCACCAACCCGTCGTCTTCGGTACCATCCAAGATCCCCGACCCTGATGATGCTGGCACTGGCCGGCGTCGGTCTTGTAGTCGTACAGACCGGTTGGGTCCAATTTTCCCGGACACAAAGCCAGCGACGGTCTGGATGAGTCGCCATAGACGATCCTCTAGTGTTTCCGGCGCAGAGGTATTGAGATGCCCGCCCAATGGGGCAGAGGCAAACTCGGATGAGCTGGTTGCAGCCAGAGCGTGCTCTTCCGCCTCGACCTTGAACTGGTATTTCAAGCAGTCCTTGACAGTGACCAGGCCTATCAGACGACCGCGGTGCTCGACAAGGATAACGCGCGGGCCCATCTTCTTGAAGATTTCCATGACGGTCTCGAGCGGGAGGCGCGGATGCACGGTCAGTGGCGTGTGGTCGACATACCGTGAGAAATCAACAACTCCGGCACCCACGCTGTGATGGATGTCGTCGAAGGTATTGGCGCTTCGCGTCTGTGAGACGGATGCTCGTCGTGCGACTGTTGCATCGGCTGCTTCCTTGGTGAAGACGCATCGTGCGCGGGGTGAGACGAGTCCATCACTGCGTGCGCGATCAATGGCGTATCGCAGCTCCGTGCGTCCGATGTAGCCGACCAATATCTTGGAGTTGCGGTCTTCGACGATCGGGAAACCCTGGAATTTGTTGTCACTTAATAGGTGCTCTGCCTCGCGGACTGGGAAGTCTGAAGCAGGCAGTGTGAGCGGGTCCGTTGTCATCGCGTGTGATACCGGAACGTTGAAGACGTGATCTTCCTTGGTATCCAGGAACGGGAAACCGTTAAACCAGATCATTCGGTCTGCGATACCGCCGTTGCCGAAACGATCTCCAACGGCTTTGGTTACTCCAACCACAATCTGAGGGTAGCTTTGTTAGCATATGTAAGATCAATTCAAGCGAACTAAGGGTACATACCATGGTCGGTAGAATATAAGTCAGTGCTCCTGTTAACTCGAACATGATAACCGTCACGGATATGGTGAGGTGCATGATTCCACTTAGGGCAGCACCGGCGCCCAGGAAGGCATATGTGCCTGGAGTGATACAGGGAACATCTGGCTCGCATGAAGCGAAGAATGAGGCTTTGGGGAAAGACTCATGTAGTGCTTGCACCATGATTCCCACCATGCGACCAAACGATGCACCAACGGCCATCGACGGAACGAAAATACCGGCCGGAACCTTACATCCATAGGAAATGATGACCAATCCAGTTCGTAGAATGGTAGCAATAGCCAGCGAAAATACCATCGACCAGCGATTTTTGGATCTGGAATTAATGTCAGATATCTGATAGCCCCGGGGAAAGGAGATGTCCATACTCGCAAAGTCCGTCATAGTCGTGTCCACCTTCACATTCGCGGAAGAGAATCTCCATCATTTCCGTCATGTTGATCTTCAAGAACATGTTGGGATAACAGAGGACGGCAGTCAGAGCAGCAAGAACCACGGACTCAGTGATAGGCCATTGGGATAGGTACTTCTTGCGGAACGCAGCCATGCGAAGATTCCATTTCATCACGAATGCACCGTAGAGACCACCAAATACACCTAAAAATGCGAAGAAGATGAGCTCGAAAAAGTGCCATGTACGATCATATGAGACCTGGAACATGACCAGCTGGCCAGTTCTAAATGGGTTCAAAGCCTGACGGAAATCAGTAATATTCTTCAAGAAAAGTTCATATGGGAGCACTTACAGCCAGCACACTGGTCGCCACCAGGGCACAGAAGTAGCTACGCCAGAGAGTCTTGAGCGGGAAATAATTCGCCATTTCCTAATGTTGTTAGCATCCGCTTGTCAAGGGTCTCTTCTCAAACATACCTCTAACGAGAATAGCACACCTCCAATCGGGCTGCCAAAAGCCACTGCCACACCGGCAGCCGCCGAGGCAGTCAGGATTTCTCTCGTCTTCGACGCACTCTGTTTATATTTGCCAAAAAATCGAGAAATCACGTTCCCTGTGCAGACAGCGAAATGAACACTAGGTCCTTCTTTACCCACGGAAAGGCCAGACGCAATGGCCAATGGCAAAGCAATGGACTTGATCAGGAGGGTCCAGGCTCCTAGGAAACCCTTCATAACGAAGCCAGCAATAATACATTTGATCTCTGATATCCCGGAGCCTGCGGCATATGGTGCGAAGGACTTGACGAGAATCGCTGCAATGGAAGCAAATAGTACCTGGTTGGATTTTAGCTTATAATGACTCTGGTGCGCGGGGAATGAAGCTTTACTGCAAAAAGAGAAGTAAACCACATAGTTGAACGGCCAGAAACCAGTCCAATGTTTCCACTCGGGACAACCTAAAAACATATTCACTTAGTTTCTTTCAATTTTTGTCCCACTTGTTGTTGTACATACCATTTTCAGCACCCCAGCAGCAAAACTGCTCGTTCAAATAGAAAGCGGTGGTACAGTGGCCAAGCTTAATATCCGACAACCACTCGGTGATAATGTTCAATAGAGCCGAGTTGAGTCCAATTGCCATTCCGACAAGTGTAACGACCAGCCAAGCCTGTCCGGCTTCATAAGACTCGCGCATCTTACGTCGCCAGCCAAGGACACCATCTTGATCCCAGAAACCCCCACCACTCCGCCGCTTAGCACGGCGAGCACTTTGTTCATATACCGCATCTTGAACCCAATCTATAGTTGTGAAATCCTCATAGCGCTTGATCTCACTAATTTCCTCGGTGATTGCAGTGGGTTGGACGTCGGGAGCCGGTTCGGGATCAATAGGGGAGGACACGGAGCGACCAGACAATCTGCGGAAATCGCGGCGCTCACTTAGAATCGAAGGCGACCGTAAGGTCGAAGAGGGGCGATTTGAGGTCATAACATCGACCGTTGCGGTGAAATCAGCATAGTCGGACTCGAACTGTGTCGAGGCTATTCCACCGCGACACTCAGGTCGCAAAGCGGTTTGGGAGAGTATGTGGTTCAGACTAAAAAGCCTAAGCTACACTCAATCCAGCTCTCAAACAGAATCCCAACTCGCAGCACACAGTTGGGCGTAAGTCGGCAATTTCGATGGAAACAGAGGTCGAGAGTTCGATGTGGCCGCGCCAAGTATCGATAACGGAGCTGCTGAGATAACCTTACGCGGTGCGCGTGTGGTCCTGCACTCTCTCTGCGCTCTGCACGTACTCGCGCTTCTTCTCACTTCTTCTGAAATATTTGCACCCGCCACCAAGTAAGGGATTTGTCGCTTCTTCTTGTCTTTCTCAATTACACGGACAAGCCACCAACTATTCCACCATGGCGTCAAAGAACACGGGCGAACCCGATGAGATCACCGGCCAGAGCGCCCTTCCCAGTGCGTCCAAGATTCCCAAAAGATGAGACTCGCGCGACTAACAAATTCCTAGTCTCTCGAATCAAGAAGATCATCCAGCTCGACGAGGATATCGCACAATGCTCCAACAACTCGACCTTTGTCATTGCCATGGCCACTGTGCGCCACCCCTCAGATGATACAATATGCCTCATATACGCCTACTAATGCCTTTCACAGGAGATGTTCATCCAATATCTCGCCGAGCAAGCGCACAATGTGGTCAAATCAGAACGGAAACCTCGCAAGACCGTCCAATACAAGGATTTGGGTGGGTGGCGACCAGCGACGTGAACTGACCGATATGCTGACGTGCAATAGCTACGGCGGTTTCTCACATTGATAACCTCGAGTTCCTCGCCGACGTGATCCCCAAGACTACGACATATAAACAATTCAAGGAGAAGAAGGCCAAGGACGCAGCCAAGTCTGCCGAGATGGAAAAGGGTCAGCGCACGCTGAATGGATCCGATGCCCCTGCTGGAAACACAAACGGTGCCCCAGCCGAATCAGCCCCACGAGTGGAAGAGCCTACGGCGTCGTCGCCATCAGTTCCTCGCACACCCGTGGTGCCTGTGAGTGCGCTGATCGCAGACCGGACGTTTGAACCCTCGGCCCGCCATGGCCCGGATGTTGAAATGCAGGATTAGCTGTGCGGCTTATGACTGGATTAGCTGTGCGGCTTATGACTGCTTTTCTCTTTGGGTTTTTTTTGGTTTTAAATTCGCATTTGGAGTTTCATGGGATTCCGGGGTTGCTTTTCAGCCCGGTAGTTTATGATCCGCATCGGGACGGCGGGACAACCGTCCAACTTGATACCACAGAGAGTCACAATAAAATAGGGTAATTGAAACAATAGAAATAAGAGAACGTGTGATTAAAAAAGATGTGAAAAAGACCAACTATAACTATAAGAAAAGGAAGTTGACAATATCAAGTTCTACCGCCCGGGACCCGCTCAGCCAATGACAGGCCCCGTGATTCCGATCGCTAGCGAAAGCTCTGGCTCCGACTTCACTTCCGACTTCATCCACCCTCCTCACTACCTCCCTCCCCTCTCCCCAATTGCGGTCAACAACCCCGTCCGTGTGGTCAATCGCCTCACCATGTCGCTCTCCGCCGCTTCCAGCACTCTGCTGCGCACCTGCGCCCGCCAACAGCTGCCTACCGCCCGCGCCGCCGTCACCTCCTGCCAGCAGACGAGGGGAGTCGCCGATGCGAAGGCCTCCTTCGAGAGCCCCTTCGCCACTGCCAATGAGCGTGGCTCCACCTTGAAGATCCCCAACTTCAGCAAATACCAGTCCAGCAAGTCCCCTCGTTCCAACCAGGTCTTCTCCTACTTCATGGCCGGCACCATGGGTCTGGCTACCGCCGTCGGTGCCAAGGCTACTGTCCAGGGTACGTTCTCAGTCCTGATTTAGTTCCCCCTTTCGTGATGATACGACCGTGATATCCGGGTGGAGTTGGATGGATTCCGACGATAATGGCACGCGACAAGGATTACCGAGACTGACCGTGCGATTTCCCTTACAGACTTCCTGGTCAACATGTCCGCCTCCGCCGACGTCCTGGCCCAGGCCAAGGTTGAGATTACTCTCGGTGCTATCCCTGAGGGCAAGAACGTACGTGGAATCGCCATTCCTATCTTCCCCCGAACCCTCTCCTAACATAACCCCCCAAACAGGTCATCATCAAGTGGCGTGGCAAGCCCGTCTTCATTCGTCACCGTACCCAGGATGAGATCAACGAGGCCCGCGAGACAAAGTGGGAGAGTCTCCGTGACCCCCAGTCCGACGACGAGCGTGTTCAGAAGCCTGAGTGGCTCGTCATGCTGGGTGTCTGCACCCACTTGGGTTGTGTGCCCATCGGCGAGGCCGGTGACTACGGCGGCTGGTTCTGCCCTTGCCACGGTTCTCACTACGATATCTCCGGCCGTATCCGCAGGGGTCCTGCTCCTCTTAACCTCGAGGTTCCCGCCTACCAGTTCCCCGAGGAGGATACTCTTGTTATCGGTTAAGCGACCCTCCCAAAATATCCCCATACACGTTTCGACGGGTTAGTCCCGATGTTCGCGGGGCTTTGTTTCGTTTAGACCGAGGTTGAAGAGGGTTGAGGGGACGTGTCTGTGTATGTGTTTGTGTGATCTTTTTCCGTTTTAGACAGAGCGGCTGTGTGTCTTGCCAAGATTAAGAGACCGTGTTTTAATATGGACAAAAAATGAGCCTCTTTTTTACCCCTTTTTGTGTCCTCGGTCTCGAGTCGCTGCGACGTGGGTGTTCAGTCTCTTCTGCTTCCTGTTTGGGCTGTTCGACCTGCACAGTGGTCTCCTTGAGTACATACTTGTGTTCTATATTGCCAGTGTATTGCCTAGTCATGAATTTTCCTTTGTTATACACCACGTGCTTCCAGGATTCCATTTAAAAGATGCGGATTTTTAGTCAACGTAATGGTATAGGTGGGCATTATGCATCTCTATGTATGAGCCTCAGAGGAAATTTTGAATATATTGATACAAGGGTCCGAAACCCAACTATGTTTCTTTCTCTATACAAATGGTGACTCAAGGACTGATGTATGAGACAAATCCGGCAGAGCCAAGGGATCAAAAGAGGGAAATATGAACATCCTCTTGCCCTGTCCAAATTTACATTACCAAGACAGGGCCTTTACCGAGGCCTCACTACCGCAATCAATAGACCCATGACGACTGCGCCGGCTGCGGCGCTCTGAACAGCAACCATGGTCATGTCATGCTGAGAAATGGTAATGCTGCGCAGGTTGAAAAGCTCACTGGAAACCTGCCGCCAGTATTCGAGAGACAATGGTGAGGAGGAGATGTCAGAGAGGCGGGAGTAGAGAGATGAGGCGTCGCTAGCCATGGTAGTGGCTGCAGGCGTAGCATCAGTAGCGGAAGTGAGCGAAGCATCAGTAGTGACTGCAGACGAGGGAACACTCTTCTCTGCAACAGGAATAATGGTTCCAGCAGATTCAGTAGAAGAGGTTTCAAGGGTAGAGTCAATGACCTCCGGAAGAATAGGGGCCAGGACAGATGCAGGAATATTGCCCTGAGCAGCAACATGATGCAAAGCCTTCTCCTTCTCCATGGCCTCAACAACCTTATCCTCGAATCCCTTGACCAACCGGCGCCGGCGCCAGGGCTCAACGGCAATCTGGAAGATCAGGAACAGAAGAACGTTCATGCCCATAAGTCCCCAGGTACCCCAAGTAGACATACGGCGGATCTTGTCCGACCACACCTGCTCTTCGTGATAACGTGAAAGAATACATTTACTCAGCGACGCAGCAGCTTCTTCGGCCTCGCGTTCAGCCCGAGACAACGCTTCTTGGGTCTCAACCTCGGAGACCTCGTTGGTGTGGTCATTGCGGTAGAGGAGTGTGAAACGCTCCAGGTCGGTTGGAGACCAGGCATGCTTGCGCTGCAGGAGCTCGTTCACCTCGCGCTGCGAGTTCGAGCGGCGGTTAATCGCAGTTGTGTAGTCTTCCTTTGCTTGTCTGACGTGTGCACGAGCTTCACGGAGTCGGTCCTCTGGTAAAGTGAAAATATTAGTCTCAAGCCTGGGCGTGATAACAGAATAGACACACCTTGAATGTGGATTTCTTTCTTCAGAGCCTCAATCTCAGAGTATCCCGTAAAGTCGTTTAACCGTTGGCCAGCCACAAAGACATTGGACTGTAAATTGTCCATCATCGTGCTGAATTGCTTCGACATTTGAGACCGCCGGCTCTCCAAGTACGACGGGAGACCTCCGCTCCTTGCGCGGTCGGCATTGGAGCTCTCCTCTTTACGAGTCTGCTCTCCCTGATCCGACGACTCCTTCTCGCTCGCATCCGGTTGAGACTCTCGAGTCACCCCGTCATTCTCCGCAGAGGTATTCGGCCGAGCAGCCCCCGCATCCACCTCCGGAATGACAACCGCCTCAGGCGCCTGCCGCACTGCCTGAATCAGCCTCTCAGCATCATTGTTGGCCTTGTCTTTATCATCGAGGGGTGAGTATATGAATGGTTGTCGGCGGAATTGGCATTGTAAGCAGACTGAGAAGGTCCGCGAGGTCGGTCTAACGGAATTGACTGTCGGAGCTGTCGGGCGGAATGGAGCTCGCACCGGTGTGGAGGTGGTTCGTGTGACGTGTATGCTGGACCGAAGTGATTGCCGGAACAGCAATGGCATGGACTGCATGACCGAGTCGAGTGCCTGGCGCCGGAGGGAGTGCTCAGGTAGTTGTTGGGAGCGAGAATGCCGGCTCGGAAGAGGATTGTCTCGGAGCGGGCTCGGGCTACCGCTTATCAGATGGGGACACGCTTATATGTAGGATACCTACACAACACAGCTTGTTGACAAGTAATTATTCATCATAGTGATTTGATTACCAGTACGTAGATAAGCCTGGTAGGTACGGCTTATGACAATATAACTTGTCTTGTGAATATTTTGGTGCTTTCAGTCCTCTATATATAATGCGGCACGTGGTTTCCCAAGAATTCAACCCGATTTACAGCTGCACCATGACTACAATACACATGATTATAAACAGCGACCGTGACTTGTTCTCCCAAACTGATCGATTATTATTTGAAAGGATATCCTGCTAAGAAAACCAAGAGAATGTTAAATAAAAAGCTCCGGAGAGATGCACGAAAAGAGGTCGAGAAATGATTGAAGAATTAATTCTGGAAAAGCTTTTAGATCGGCTTCTCAGTCATGCAGCAGACGAGCACCTGAGCGAGTACCGAACCGTATATTGGACGTCAAACATTGGAAGCTTAAACGGCACCTATCTGCTCTCATTTGGCGGCGCATTGCACAGAGTGAGCCTAGACTACTTACATGTCTACTTCTATGGCGACTGAGTACGTGGCGGTGTATCCCCGCGAGGACACCGACCTACTCATCTGCCATCACTACGGTCTCTGTTACTGCACCAGGGATACGTCGACTGTTGTTGCTACGCGGGTTGATACCGTCCTAGCTTGCTCATGTTCTTCACCTGCCTTACTAATATCTAGACGTATGATCCAATGTGTATTGTCATTATAATTCACCGTTACCCAGTCCGGTAGATTGAACATCTTGAACCCTTGCGGCCTTTTACGTCCAGAAATAGACCCAAAAAAACTCCACTGGTATTATCGGAAGACTCCAAGTCGTCACTTTCTAGCCCAGGCATGAGACAGCCAATCACCATCTTCCAGAAAGCAGTGGCTATGATTCTCTTGATATCAGTGCTATATCGTATATTGCAAACGAGAGCCCGAACAAAGAAACTCAGCATAGAGAAGTATTGATAACACGATGAGTCAAAACTACAAAGAAAATTAAAGCATTTCCATCGTCAAAGTCATAAGAGTCTCGTGTGCAGGATGCATTTACGACAAGCCCGCACAGACAAGCGCATGGCAGGGACCACGGTCAAGTGGGGGGTAGACACCACGGTCGAAATGTCTCTCTTCAATCTTGGGTCTGCACCTTGTGGTCACCCCTCACAGCCTCGGCGTAGGTGGGGGGCGCATGGCTGCTGCCACCTTGGCCTTGCGGGTGGCTGGAAGCATCAGCCTGAGGACGTGGTTGCTGGTCCACGGTTCCGTATCCGCGTTGGGTGGGATTCTGGGGAGGCTGGTGTGAGACGTAGTAGTAGGTCACGCGACCATCTTCGAGATCGCGGCGCTGGCTGGAGCCACCGGGGATAGGCTCGTAGGCTGCATCGTCGTAGTCGGGATCTGGGTATTTGAGGATAATGTACCATGCGTGAATGAGACCGGGGACGTAGCCGAGTAGAGAGAGGGCGATGTTGATGATGGAGTCAGCGGAGCAGATACCTGCCTTGATCCAGACTGTGGAAGAGTTGATTAGCGGGTTGATTCATGGGATTGTCTCGCCATATGCCGGGAGTGAGGGTTACCGGCGATGGGCGGGAAGAAGACGGCCAGCACGGCCAGGAAGATATCGGAGCTACACATGTCTCCGGGGAGGGATATTGTGCTCTATCACTTGCAGAGACGTGGGAACCGGGTCGAAGATAATCAGAGCTCGAAATGAAAGTTTATCGAGGATATGTTGACGTGCAGAAGGCTTGGATGAGTCTTACATTCCCCAACGACGACCTTCATGGCAGCCTGTGATCAGATGACGTTGATCACATGACCGCTGTTCCATGGATTGTGTTCCTGCACCCGACTAGAACCTATACTTCTACTGCTACTAGCCACTAGTTGAAACAATTATCCAAGGTATCTCTCGGCATTGAATACAGGTATCGGACTTGCATGGTTTGGCATGAGATGGTCGACTGTCCGGGCCAAGGTTCTAGCCAGCGGGTGGACACCCAGGTCTTCACAACCATTTGGAGCACACTCCCCCACTTCATCGGTTGCACTGTGTGCACTGGTCCACCTAAGTATGGAGCCCCTCGCAGAACGATAGCTCACATTATCTAGTACGGCTATACGCTGTACGAAGTTCAACACTTGCATCATGCAAGGCGGAAGATTACGAGTCAAGAAAATTTGCGAAACGGGCGGGTGATAGCGATCGCCCGATGGGTCCGCAGGTCGCGCGGTGAGTGGAGGGTGGTTTACGCCAGGAACAGGTCGGGGATAGCCTGGTCAGGAACGGCACAGTCAGCTATCTAACGAGGGCGCGACCGTTGTTATTCCTGGGAAGCTCCCAGAATTGGGTACGGACACGTAGAATATGTGGTAAACGGTAAACAATACCCAAGGGACTGGACCTGGGGACCTATGGACCTATGGGTCTATGGATTTATAGATTTATGATCTTCATATTGGACCCCCTGATGGCCCGGTAAGACACGTTACGCTTTGTACGGCCAAATTTGGTGTATTTCCCAGCCTTTTGGGCGCTAAGACCCTCGTTTCACAGCAGTTCGTCCACCCCCTAAAACTCGTAGGCCCCATACGCCCAGACCACTTCTCATCTCTCATATCGACTCGTCTCTTCTCTCTTTCCCTCTCGATTGGTCATCGTTTTCCCATTCACCCTTCGATTCTTCGATTCTCTGCGCCTCCGGGGCTCCATTGATCTTTCCTTCCCGGGTCTACGGCAACTGTCCGCCCCAGTCATTCGTTTACTTTTCTTTAGCACTTTCTTTCTCGCCTGAGGCACCTTTCGTGTGTGACCTGGAGTCTACATTCTCGCTCGGAATTGGAAACCGCTGGAATAATTGCGCAGACATGCGATTCGTGTAATCCCTGAACCTTCTTGATCTCTAGTCGTGACACATTTCGCGGCAAGCATTCCTCGAAGATATCAAGAGGGGTTGCCGAAGATTCCGCCTCAACATGTCCGACTGTCTCTCTTTGTCGGGCTCCAGCGCCTGTTCTGCCTGGAGTAGCGCCTCAGTAACCCTCAACTCAACTCAATACGCGGACTTGTAAGTCGCATGCGGCATAAGGACGGACGCGAAGGCAATTACTGACTCAACCGCACAGCCCTTGGCTTGAAAGCGTTTCCAACATCACTTCATTCGACGAGTCCCTCAAAAATTATGTCCAAGATACCCTGGTCACCACCAAGTAAGTCACCACAGCAATGGGGCTTGAGCTGGGAGAAATTAACCCAAACGCGTAGATATGTCGACCTTTTGGGATGCCTGGGCTACAATTCCAGCGCATTGAACAACTACTATGCCCAATACACCACCAGCGTCATTTGCAGTGGCCTCATTCAGAGCTCCAAGGATTCGTGCGACTTGTCCGATGACGACTCAGAGCCTCTATGCGCAGAGACCTGTGCGCTCCATGCGACCAGCGAACAGGAGATTTTGATCAACAAAAATCTCTGCCCGAGCACCGACAAGAAATACATGGCACAAATCCGATCCGACTTTACTATTTGCTCGAACCCATCCGGTTCGCTTACTGGGAGTTGTGTCGAGGGATCCACCAACGAGCCAAACAACTGTGGTTTTGCCTCCAACACCATCGGTCTCTGCACCTACTGCTCATCCAGCTCTCCCAACTCGACCGATACATGCTGCTCGAGCGCCAACGCGGCCTCTCGCTGCAAGGGCGTCAGCATCCCGGCCTCCACTGTAACTCTTCAGCCGATCGTGACAACCACCGCGGCTACCGGCGCCGGCGCCAGCGCCAGTAATAAGGGTTTGTCAGGGGGTGCGATTGCAGGCATTGTGATTGGATCTGTGGCAGGAGCTGCCATTCTGGCTGCCCTGGCCGTTTTGCTATTCCTCTGCGGTCGCCGACGTCGCCAGACCCAGAACGAAGGGGGATTGAACCAACCAACCCCGCAGCGTAAAGGCGCTTCTCCACCTATGCAACAGGTGGACAGCCCGTTAACTCCCACAAACAATGTTACTATGGTTCCCGGTGGCCGTGTTACGCGGATGTCTGCCTTGCGTGAGATGCCCAGCACTTCTTCCCCAGCCTACTCGCGAACTTCAGGTGCCATGTTTGGCGGTGCAAAGTATGCCAGCGATTCCTCTGATTCAGAAGCCATGGGTGCCAGCCCTGGAGCCATGTCCAGGAGGATACCCCCGGTGACCGGAAAGCGTCACGGGTCACTTTCGAGTAGCTCAGCTCTGGCTGGACTGGAGAGTGACAGTTCACCCCTCTCGGGCACCGCAAATCAATATTCATCTCCTGAAGGATTCACAAGTGGTCAGTCGGAGCAGATGTCATACTTCCGCGACTATTACTCGCAAGATGATATTCATCCCGGTGACAAGGTTGCTGCTCTCTGGGCCTATTCTCCCCGAGCAGGCGATGAATTCGAGCTTGATCGCGGTGAGATGTTGAAGGTCATTGGTATCTGGGACGATGGCTGGGCTACTGGTGTCCGTCTCAACGAGCGGGCCGAGGACTACGACATTCGCCATCGCGAGCAGCGCGATAGTGGCGTCTCCAATGGCTCGCGCCGACCAGTCTCCTCTCCTGCGACTTCTGGCGAAATTAAGGCATTCCCGCTGGTCTGCATCTGTATGCCCCAACATTGGCGGAAGATCATCGACGGTGGAGTGCAGGAGGAAGACGAGATTTAAGCACTAGGGAGAGATTCCCTTGTTTCATGCGAGATGACGCCCTGACGACAGCGTGTGCAGCATCCTCTTTCGTCGTGCCAGCTTCGTGAGGAGTTCGACCTGTGCTTTTTATTTTCACTCTTCGGCTGGCCGCTCGACGACCTTTGAGGTTATCCGATGTGTTCTCGGTTTTTTTATATTTTTTTTATCGTATTCTATATACCCCCCTTATACGGCGATCGATCTCCTCGTCCCTTTCTTTTTTCTTTCTTTTTCTACCCTTATTTCTGGAACCGGACGCTGGTGCGACGGGCTCAAACGAAGCAAACCATTTATCTGCTGGACTTGACTTTGTTCCGTCTTATTTATGTACACGATACCCAGCTGTTGAGCTCCGCGGTCATGATGAGTTCCCGTGCGATTCTCCGGTGAATTGGTCTTTTTGAGGATATCGGACACATATAGTGCAAGCATTAATGTATGTACATAATTAGACTTGAATTCTTACATTGCAGAGAACATTGGAAGTTTGTATAGCAAGATTTTCCCGATGTGAGAGTCCCGCCCCCCACCTTCTCCTCATTACTTATCCGGCTCGGCGTTAAGCTACTGAAACCCGGGGAACGATTTCGCCATAATAATGCGTACGCCACGGGACTTTTGCCACGGGACTATTATTTACTAATCCAAACCCCTCCTCTATTCCATGATAGCATAAATAATTGCGTCTTCCCCCTCATTGTCAGGTCCTCAACTTCGATTTCCTCTCACAGCCAAACAACCATGTCCCAGCCCAAGATCATCCTCTACACCAACCGCGACTGCCCTTGGGCACACCGTGCCCACATTGCCCTGAAAGAAACTGGCCTGGACTACGAAGAAGTCACTATCGACCTGAACACTCCCCGCGAGCCCTGGTACCTTGAGGTCAACCCGGTAAGTACTCCTGCCTAGGTGTATCAAGACCTAGCGGCCTGAGTCCAGGCATATAACTAACACCGTCATACAGCGTGGTCTGGTCCCCAGTCTCTCATATAACGGGAACATCATTACCGAGTCTGGCATTGTCGCCCAGTTCATTGCCGACGCCCACCCATCCCACCTCCTCCCGCCATCCGGTCCAGCCGAGAATGCTCTGTACCGTTCCCGCGTCGCATTCTTTGTCGATGCCTTCTTCAGCAAGGTCGTTCCGAGTCTCTTCCCCAGTCTCAAGGCAGCTTCGGAGGAAGAGCGTGATGCCGCTGCTGAGGCTTTGGTTGCTGCCGCTGTGAAGGAGATTGAGCCACTCCTGGCCGATACTGAGGGCAAAGGCCCTTTCTTCGGTGGTAGTGATAAGCTGACTCTGGCCGAGGTATGTCTTTAGGCTTTCTTTCCGCACGATATTTGTGTTTATCATGATAATTTATACTGACTGGAATAGGTCCAATCGGGCTCCTTCTTGCTGCGCATTCTTGGCTTCAGTAAGCCTGAGCATGGTCTCGTTAGCGCTAAGCTGCCTGCTCTGCTGGAGAAGGCACCGCGCTTCAAGCGCTGGGCGGAGGCTACCATCGCCCACGAGAGTGTTAACTTCATTTTCGATGAGAAGGCCGTTGCTGATAAGATGAGGGCTAGGTTCGCGCCTAAGGCTTAGACTGCTATATTTTCAATGATTGGAGCTGTTTGCTGGATCATATGCTCAAGAATATGGGAATGAGATTTATGAAATTGATATTCAATTGCAAGGATCCTTTGACAAAGTAAAGATAGTACAGACAGAATCAGGTATCAATTTTGTGGGCCTAACAGAAACCTGGAGGGGCACTGACGTGGTCGGCGGACAGTCCCATGGTTAGGGGTCGAGTCCAAATTTAGCCTGCAGGCGTCCTTTTAGGTACCTGGGCACCCCATCTTGGGCATTTTAGATCGATTGGAGCCTCAAAGTAAGCTCCGTAGGCTGCTGTAAATGTCATGCAGGCCCCATCGAAAGTATGTCCGGTGATGTGATCTCCAACAACCCTACTGCCGGTGCTGCGGAGATGATTGAGACGGATATGAGAATGTCTAGGCTACCAACAACCATTGTAGACGCCTAGGGTGATAATCAAAGATGTCCAAGCCATTTAAAAAAGCAAACAAGTCAAGATAACGTATATAAAAAACAGCCGAGACCATGTCAGCCCGCATTGTTTACCACGCATAGGTGTTCCGGCATCACGTGCAGCGCCCCCCCCACCACCATCGCAACACCTGGGCAACGACCCCTCCGCCTCCTCCCCATCACTCCTCATCATTGTCCCCTCTCCCTTGTACTTTGCTTCTCTGTAAGTTGCTCACTAACTGCTACCGTCGGAATTGTCGACAGACACCCCCAGCGCCTCGTGGCCACCAGATTCTGCGAACTCCGCCACTGACATCGTGTGCCAGCCTAGGCGACCGGTCGTCTTTTTGATTTCTTTCATCTCCACAAGCAATCATGTCTGTATGTTACTACGAAACTTCTCTTATATATTGTCGCAATATGTTAACTTTGTTGTTGTGCAGCTCGCATCTGGGTACGACAAATTCCCCCTGACCCCTCTTACCCCCCTCCAGACCTCGATATTGATAGTCGATATGCAGTGTTCAGGTTCAGGATGAGTGCATCACTGCATTCAACGAGTTCCGTCTGAGCAAGGGCAAGACCAAGTTCATCATCTACAAGATCTCCGATGACAAGAAGAGCGTTGTTGTCGACGAGGTTGGCCACGACCAGGACTACGAGGTCTTCCGCAGCAAGCTCGATGCTGCTAAGAACGCCAACGGCTCCCCCATGCCCCGTTTCGCTGTCTACGACGTCGAGTATGACCTTGGTAGCGGTGAAGGCAAGCGGTGCGTTATTACCCCCGATGCCTAGATCTCGATCGCGATCTCGATCTCTAGGTATCTCCGCAGCTGATAGGATATGTTCCTTCTGACTTTTATTCGCGATTACAGAAGCAAGATCATCTTCATCTCCTGGGTTCCCAGCGAGACCCCTACTCTGGTACGTTCTATACCCGTCTCGTGCCGCAAGAACGTCGCTAATCCATATGCAGTGGTCCATGATCTACGCCAGCACCCGTGAGCCCCTGAAGAGCGCACTCAACGTCTCCACTTCCCTCCACGCCGACGACAAGTCCGACATCGAGTGGAAGCACGTTCTGAACGAGGCCAGCGGTGGCAAGGCTGGCAAATAGATTGACTCTTTTTGACGGCGCCGGCTGGGCCCGGGCCTCGCGATAAGAGGCTCGACCTCGAATGCGCCACGGCACGATCCTATACCTTCTCCCCGTTCTCCTCGTTTTTCTTCCTAGTTGCAATGCAAAACTGCTACGAATTGGCTGTTTTTCTCTCGTGTGATCAGTGGTATCATGACCTGCAGGGATTCGGGGTTGCCGGTACTGAATTCTTGCTGCCTACTGGATAGATTACGCGGCTTGAAAAGAAATTTGACACTGAACATTTTTCACTTCACTTGGAGTATGTAAATTGGAGGGGGCTATTGTGGCCTTATTGTATATCTAGTGGTGGTACGAGGCTCGGGGGGAAGGTAACGGGCGCACACGTGGGGTTATGGGACGTAGTGCTATTCAGCAGGTGTTTGATCGATAAAATTGGGCATCCATGACCATAGAATAGGCGCTAGAACTGGACTCGCACCCCTGCATCGTATGATACCAACGTGAGTCTGCTGAGAATGATGATGCTTCTCACTGGCAGCCGACGGCCGGGTTGGGCCGCAAAGGGCCAATCAGAGGGCGGCGAAACCCAGTTCAGACGCTAGTCCGGATCCTCGACTTTCCACCTCAAACCACAAGATTCACCTCTTTCTCCATCACCACCCCCTCCACTCTCTCCCCCCCCAGACCGAGTCCGTCCGTGGTCCCAGACTTTGCTGGCCCCGGTCATCCCATTTTTATACCCAATTGACTCGATTTCGACGTGGTGATACCACCTCCCACCCTGCCGCACAATGTTTCTTCGCTCCGTCGCTCGCGCTGTGCCTCGCACCCCGGCCACCCTCCGCGCTGGCCCTGCCGCCGTGAACACCCTGCAGACTCGCTTTGCTTCCGACCATGCTATCTCGAACCCCACCCTCGCCGGCATTGAGAAGCGCTGGGAGGCTATGCCCCCTCAGGAGCAGGCCGAGCTGTGGATGAACCTCCGCGACCGTATGAAGGTTGACTGGCACCAGATGACCCTCCACGAGAAGAAGGCCGGTACGTATTGTCCCTTGTACAATGGGGTTCGTTGTCGGAAGTCGATTTCGTCGTACCCTGCGTCTTCCGAGGGTGAAGTTTGAGGCATCTCAAAAACCGACCCGAACCTTCAATCTTTCCTATCTCGGCGTGCTGATATCTTTTCTTTTCACTCTATAGCTTACTGGATCGCCTTCGGTCCCCACGGCCCCCGTGCCCAGGCTCCCAAGGGTGAGGGCTGGAAGATCTTCTTCAAGGTGGCCCAGCTCACCCTCGCCTCGTTCGGTGTCTTCTACGTTATCCACCTCTTCGGCAAGCCCCTGCCCAAGACCATGTCCAAGGAGTGGCAGGAGGCCTCCAACGAATACGCCAAGGTAAGTACACTCCTCCATGTCCAGCCGCGCGAGTTTGATATCGCCACGACCGCGACCGCAATCGTCCATATATCGGATCCTAACAAGCTTTACTCCTACAGGCCGAGAAGATCAACCCCATTCACGGCATCAGCAAGCCCGACTATGAGGGCCAAGGCTTCGTCCAGAGCCCTTCCGCCGAGAAGCAATAGGTGGGTTAGAAGCCCGAGGGTGAACAGAGTGCAGACGTCGACTTTGGGCGGGGCTGGGATTCGATTGTCGCACGCCCATCAGAGCTCCTTGAGGATCTCTCTCTGGGGCATGGGTCTACTGACGCGAGCGTGATCTGCTCGCATGATGGGCCCCCGACCGGAGCCGATCTGAGCTGTTCACCGAGTCTGTCTTTTTGGTCGACAAGCATCCGAAAATGCGTGTATCCCGTACTGTGCTATAATCAATGTATCTCTTTTGTAGCTATAGAGAAATATGTTGTTTTTCCTTCTTCAATTTTGATGGCGTAGGCGGTCCATGTGTCCTGTTGTCTGTGTCCTGCATATGGCATGGTGCGTCCGGAGGGATTCGGAACCTGCAGCGGCGGTGCGGAGAACCCCTGTCCAGCTGAGTCGTATCGACCATGGGAATTGCGACGTGTTTTTTAGGGGGTTGAGTGTGTATGGGCTGTTAGCTGTAGGTCTAGGTACTGTTTTTACATGGCTATAGAGCTTAAGGGAGGTGTGTGGGAGCTCCCCCAAGGTTCCAAGGCGCTCATACCAGATCGCGGATGGACGGCTTGGGGGCTCCCGAGCAACACGTCAGAGATTTCCACCCGGGGGAAGCTCAGGTCCCCTGCAGGTAGGAAGCACCACCACGCCTCCTATTTCGGGTCAATGGATAAAACGAGTGACTATGCATCTGGTTTGTCCTTGAGAGATTCAATGTAATGTTTTTCGAAGTATGTTAGGTCGAGGTATGGTAATTAGCCTGCATCCGGGCGCCAAGCGGGCCGGTGAGAAAGTGCGAATGTCCCTAGCAACCGGGGGCAACGGCACCTAGGCCGCCACCAAGAAGTTATCGGGGTCATCAGTAAGGGTAGCGAGAATAGAAGAGCATGCAAAAAAGAAGCTATGTAAATTCAAGTCTTAATCAAAGATGGAGGTTGTTTGTACGAAAACACAGTCGGTTCATCACGGGACCATCGGCAAAACCGCCCCGGAAAGGCTAAGTCCGCCCAGTTCCCGTGCAAAGAGTCCACCAACCTCTTCTTCCTCCTTCTTCCCTCTTTTCCTCCCCCCATCCAAAACCCTTGTCCCCTACCACCTCGCTCTTCAACACCTTCATCATGTTCAAGAGGTATGCCCCATATTGCTGACCTTTCCATCTCGTCTTTTTCCTTTTTTTATCTAGGACTCTCCTCTGACTTCGTTTTTCCCACAGCGGTCTCGCCCGGACCTTCGGGAGGGCTGCACTTGCCCGGCCGACCCCCGTCGCTCGCGCTTTCCAGCCTCTCCGCTCCAATGCTCTGCCTGCCCTGTCTGCTCGCCTCGCCAGCACCGACGCCGCTCTGTCTGGCCGTGTCCACCAGGTCATTGGTGCCGTCGTTGACGGTACGTGTTCCGAATCACCTCCCTGGCGACGGATATCGGGGGATGCGAAAATCTTTTTCCTGGTCCCCAATCCATCTCCAAACCCATCGCAATCGATCTCAATCTCATCTCCTGGACAATATCTGACTTGCTATTCGCCGCATTATAGTTAAGTTCGATGGCGAGAAGCTCCCTGCCATTCTGAACGCCATTACGACCGAGAACAACGGACAGAAGCTCGTGCTCGAGGTTGCCGTACGTGCTCTCTGATTGGACGCCCCAGCTTCCCCCGACCTAAGCAAGCTAACCCGATCCTTTTAGCAACATCTGGGTGAGAATGTCGTCCGTACTATTGCCATGGACGGTAAGCTGCCCCTCCCCTGTTAGGTTGTCGAGCCACCGTGTTGTCGTTCCCCCTTTCACCGGAAGGGGACCCACACTCGGTCGGCCCGACACCCTCACCACCTCACCACCTTGCTAACATCGCCTGCTTCGAATAGGTACCGAGGGTCTGTCCCGTGGTGTTGCCGCTCAGGACACTGGTGCCCCCATCAAGGTCCCTGTCGGTGCCGGCACCCTGGGCCGTATCATCAACGTCACTGGTGACCCCATTGACGAGCGTGGCCCCATCAAGGCTACTCAATTCAAGCCCATTCACGCTGATCCCCCGCTCTTCGTTGAGCAGTCTACCTCAGCCGAGATTCTCGTCACCGGTATCAAGGTCGTCGATCTCCTTGCCCCCTATGCCCGTGGTGGTAAGATTGGTCTGTTCGGTGGTGCCGGTGTCGGCAAGACTGTGTTCATTCAGGAGTTGATTGTGAGTTCCTTCCCTTCGGTTGGACGCTGTCAATTGGACATGCAATACTAATTCAATTCCCTTAGAACAACATCGCCAAGGCTCACGGTGGTTACTCCGTCTTCTGTGGTGTCGGTGAGCGTACCCGTGAGGGTAACGATCTGTACCACGAGATGCAGGAGACTGGTGTCATCCAGCTTGATGGTGACTCCAAGGTGTCTCTGGTCTTCGGTCAGATGAACGAGCCCCCGGGTGCCCGTGCCCGTGTCGCCCTTACCGGTCTGACCATTGCCGAGTACTTCCGTGACGACGAGGGTCAGGATGTGCTGCTCTTCATTGACAACATTTTCCGTTTCACCCAGGCCGGTTCCGAGGTGTCTGCCCTGCTGGGTCGTATTCCCTCCGCTGTCGGTTACCAGCCCACTCTGGCCGTCGACATGGGTGGTATGCAGGAGCGTATCACCACCACCCAGAAGGGTTCCATTACCTCCGTCCAGGCCGTCTACGTCCCCGCTGACGATCTGACTGATCCTGCCCCCGCCACCACCTTCGCTCACTTGGACGCCACCACTGTCTTGTCCCGTGGTATCTCCGAGTTGGGTATCTACCCCGCTGTCGACCCCCTCGACTCCAAGTCCCGTATGCTCGACCCCCGTGTTATCGGTGACGAGCACTACAACACCGCCACCCGTGTCCAGCAGATGCTCCAGGAGTACAAGTCCCTCCAGGATATCATTGCCATTCTGGGTATGGACGAGTTGTCCGAGGCTGACAAGCTCACCGTCGAGCGTGCCCGTAAGCTCCAGCGTTTCCTGTCCCAGCCCTTCGCTGTCGCCCAGGTCTTCACTGGTATCGAGGGTCAGCTCGTTGACTTGAAGGACACTATCCGCTCCTTCAAGGCCATCATCCACGGTGAGGCTGATGACCTCCCCGAGGCCGCCTTCTACATGGTTGGTGACATCGAGTCTGCTCGCGCCAAGGGTGAGAAGATCCTGGCTGAGCTTGAGGGATCGGCCTAAATGTAATTCTGTCATTTGCTAGCTAGCGGCGTCCCCTCTGTTCAACCATTTCACGCCCACAATGATTTCTCTTTGCCCCCTTCATATTGGTCGTTACTTTTCTTGTGGTCTGGAATCTTTTTCCTTGTTCGAACTTTCGTCCTGCGCTGCCCCCGACGTCACTTTCCTTTTTCGAATGCGTGTATAGTACTCGATCTCGAAGAGAAAGAAAAGAAAGGGATTTTGATTGCCATTTTCAGTTTCCTGACGTCCTGTGTGGGGATTTGCACTTGAGTTGTTCGATCTAGGCCTCTATCTGGAAACAGAGAGGCTTATGGACTGACCGGACCCATGATCGGGAAGACTGATTTGGGGGCGAGGGGAAAGAAAATGGGAGATTTGGTGGATGGGATGGGGACGAACATGTCTAACTGAGCGAGTTGATGAGATTTCTTGGTCTTTTTAAAGCCCGGCTGGACACCCCTGGCTGGCGCGTGTTTCATTATTGTGTATTTAGAGTTGAAAACCCATGGCCCTAAAGGCAACCCTAAATATCCTGGTCAATCGGATTTCCTTTGTATCAATTCATTTTCTCTTGTGTCTTTCCATTCTAGATTCTAGATTCTAGATTGTAGCGTTCATATCTAGGTTTGTAGATTCGTCTCTTGGATGCCCAGTGAGCTCCGCTCTATGCCCTTGGATCTTACTGTTATCTGTCTACCTGCCAGCTATTACCTTGACGCTCGGCGTCTCTATCAGGGTAAATGACATCCGAACTCCTGGGCTTTCTGGGATGAATCGCCGATATCCACGTCCAGTCTACGTCAAGCGCAATTTTCAATACAAACTGTAAGATTATCAAAACTGGCTAAACGCAATCTGGTTCAAAAATATGCAGTCTACCTTCGTATAACGTTGAATCACAAATCCCGACAAATCCCGACAAACCCTTCAAAGAGTCTGCTCCAGCGCAAGAACCAACGCGGTCCTTGTCGGCAGATAGACCTGCACAAAGTTCCCCCTTCCATTCCACGGCATATCAGTCGTAAAGAACCTCGTATCCTTAACATTGCGTCCCAGACCTCCAAACGCCGGATCATCCGAGTCGAGCACAATCCGATAAGTCCCCGGAACATCAACACCAACCCGATAATCCGTGAAGCTATTAGTAGGGTGGAAATTGAAGATCCACAACAAGCCCGCCCGTTCATAGACAACCACCTTATCAGCCTCATTCTTGAGGCTGATATACGCCTGTGGCGCATGCAGCCAGCCGTACTTCTGCTCGGTGAGCTGCATTGCGCGATCGAAGTCGTTCAGGAAGTGGTAGCGGAGAAGGTTGTCGTCCGTGAGATTAAGTTGGCGCCGGGCGTACCAGAATGAGTTGTCGTTTCCTTCGCGAGGGAAATCGAGCCATTCGGGATGTCCGAATTCGTTGCCTTCGAAGTTAAGGTAGCCTTCGCCTCCCAAGCTGTGGGTTATCAGGCGGATCATTTTGTGCAATGCCATGCCGCGCTCGATCACAGGGGTGAATTCTGTGAGGACGGACATGTGGGTGTACATTTCCTTGTCGCAGAGCCACATCATTAGACTCTTGTCGCCGACCAGTCTGTTGTGGTGGTTAGATGAGGGTGGGGGTTTTTCATTTTGAGGGAGGAGTGGACTTACGCTTGGTCGTGGCTCTCGGCGTAGGCGATGGTCTTCTCGCCGTGACGGCGGTTAGTCAGGGTGTGGGTTAGATTGCCCATGTCCCATTCGCCATCTGTACTTTCTTTTAGAAGCTTGATGTACATGTCTGGGATGGCCATGGCGAGACGGTAGTCGAATCCGAGACCGCCAAGGGCGTGGGGGACACACAGGGCTGGCATTCCAGATACATCCTCTGCTACGGTGATGCAGTCCGGGTAGAGCTTGTGCAGCATCTCGTTGGCGAGGGTCAGGTATGTGACGCCCTCTTCGTCAACACCGGGTCCAAAGTACTCGTGGTATCCACCAGAGAAGCCGCTAGATGCAATGGTTAACAGAGAGCCAAAAATGACGGGGAGTAGATTCAACGTACGTTCCAATGCCGTGGTGTTGGTAAAGCATGCTAGTGACACCGTCAAAGCGGAAGCCATCAAACTGGTACTCCTCCATCCAGAATCGAAGGTTACTCAGGAGGAAACGCAGCACTTCATGGCTACCATAGTTGAACAAACGACTATCCCACAGTTCATGACGACCCTTATTGCCCCCATGGAAATAAAGGTGATCGGAGCCATCGAACTCGTTGATACCATCAAGCACGTTCTTCGAAGCGTGGCTGTGCACCACGTCCAGCAGAACCACCAAGCCCAGGCTGTGGGCAGTGTCAATGAGCTCCTTCAGGTCCTCAGGGGATCCATAGCGACTGCTGGCAGCGAAGAAATTGTTCACCTGATAGCCGAAGCTGGCATAGTAGGCATGCTCCATGACGGCCATGAGCTGGATGGCGTTGTAGCCCAGGTACTTGATACGAGGCAGCATATTCTTGGTGAACTCCTTGTAGGTGGCGACTCTTGTCTCGGGAGACGAGATACCGACGTGAGCCTCGTAGATTCGCAGACTCTCTGGCTTCTTGGGTCGCGGGTGCTGGAACTGGTATCGCTCGTTGGCGGGCGGGTTCCAGAAGACTGCGTCGTATACGGGGGAGATGTTGAGATCCTGAACGACTCGTTTGATCCATGCTGGGATTCGGTAGATGCGCTCAGAGCTGGGGAGCACCATGGTGATCTGTTGTCTAGTTAGACTTGGTTCGTCGATTGCCTTTGGGTTGTCCCTTGCCTTGATCTTGCTCTCGTGAGGAATCGCCGGGGCTCCGTTTTGCGCGGGAACTAACACTTCCCACACACCGAAGGTATTCTTCTTCATCTGGTTTGCATTGACATCCCAGTTGTCTGCTAGTCTCAGTATTCGAATTCGGTGTCTGTTGGGGTGAGGGGGAACGTACTGAAGTCACCGACCAGCGACGCTTCCACAGCATTGGGTGCCCACTCGCGATAGGAGATATCACCATTGGGCTGGACAATTAGACCGAAGGATTCATAGCCCTGCGAGAGTGTTAATCGTCAGATCTACCCTGCCACCTTGGTGGGTTCCCGGGAAAGTTTCGGAGCTTTGGGGGGGGGAGGGGGTCTTCTCACTTTACTGAACTTGTCCAGTCCACCCTCCGACTCGTCGATAGCATTGGCCCATTTCTTTACCAAGCTGTAGCGCTGCTTCAGCACGTCTTTATGAGATTCCAGCCACGGATCGAGCTTGAGGACGCCTGGGGTTGCATTAGTCGAGCTTTAGTCGAGCTTCTCAGTCGCGGCGGACGGAACATACCTGTGCCATCGGCAGGGCTTGAATCGATAGCTTCTTGTATGGCAGACATATTGAAGATAGATAAAATAAAAAAAAGAGAAGAGACGAGAAGAGAGAGAGAGGGGAAGGCCCCCTCTTGAACAATTATCGGCTCCGTATCCTGGAGTGATTGGCAAGCTGTGATGGCGAGGTGGGGATGCGGGGAGCTCGGGCCTCCGCGTTCTGGACTTCCCTGTTTTTGCTATGACAGCTTTGCGCTCAACAGTTTCGGCCTATTGTCTTGTATTTCGCGTATTTCATGTATCTCAGGTATCTCAGCGTCCATTCTTATCTTCGCTAGGGGACCTCCCCAGGGGGCTATTCATCGCCATACCTAGCTACATAGCCCATGTACCTGAATCTATCTCCGTGCCGAAAACATCCAGTCCCGCCGTTCCTGGCCTGTACAACCTCGATGCAGCTGACGGGCCGCTTTCCAGACCCTCACTGTATGCTACTTGCATCCCGGTGAAAACTCAGTTTATCGTATTATCTGGATCGATCTATCAGTCAATGCAATGGAGCGACTGGCCCTATCGAATTTGCCCAAACCCGACCAGCGGGTTTGATATGCTATGATATCATCGATGTCTCCCTCTGGGTTGTTGAACACCCAACAGGCACCAGGCACAAAAACATGTACAAGACATGAGAAAAAAAACAAACCATAAATACGACATATCTACTCCGACGCAGGACTCGGTGGCAGCTCGCCGCGGGTCCAATTGACCGCGGTCGGCCCAAGCTCAAACTCAAGCGTTCCTCCCTTCGCAAAGACATCATCCCAAGTCAACCAGTTCCGCTTCCACACCTGCCCGTTGACCTTGAGACTTTGAACGTAGATATTGCTGTCGCCATTGCCATCGCCTCCAGTGGACGTGATCCGCAGCTTCTTGCCATCACCTAGGTCAATGGTCATTGACCCGAACCAAGGTGAATGGATCAGGAAGGTTGTCTGGCCCGTGATCGGATACAGGCCGATCATGTTCCAGAGCAGCCAGGTCTGCATGGCCCCGGCATCGCTGTTGCCCGGTAGACCGGTCACTCCGGTCGAATAGTCGCTCTTGGCCACCTTGCGGGACCGCTCTACCGACAGGTCCTGCCGGTTGATGAAGTGGTACAGATAGGGGAGATTAAACATTCTGTCATGCAGGTCAGCGAGGCCCATCGAATATAGAAAGAACAGGCTTACGGCTCGTTGGTGGGATCAAAGATAGTTCCGCTCGATCCACTTGCGCCCTCTGTGAACATAGTATTCAGCCGGTTCAAGACTGTTTCATTCCCTCCCATCATCTTGATCATCTCTTTCATGTCGTGCACATCCGCAAATGAATATGCCCAGGCACTAGCCTCGTAGTAGGGATCTGTCCAGTAGCCGCCCGCGTTCAAGGTATCCACATCGATAAAACCGCTGCGGTTACGAGGTACCACAAACCCAGAGAATCCAAGCGAAGTCTGGTCCGGGTTCCAATGGTTGCGCCAGTTGCGCGAGCGGTTGAGGTATTTGCGTGCATCGTCGTCTCTCCCCAGCCCTGAAGCAACTTGGTACAACCCAAAGTCATTGTATGCATACTCAACGGCCCGACTGACTGCACGGTTGAATGTCGGTGTAATATAGCCCAGGCTAAGCCAGTCTGGGAGAGCCCCTCGGCCTTGATGGGTGGAAGAGTCGGGGGACATCGGGTCCACGGGGTAGTTGGCAGGTGTCACTTCTGCGTCTTTGACCATGGCTTTGTATCCGTCTTCCCAGTTGACTGCGCCACGAACGCCCTTGACGTATGCATCTGCGAGGACGTTGTCGGCATTGGAGCCACCCTGTGTGCGGCCGTTGTAATTAGATGAGCGTGCGTCAGGTAGGTAGCCGTCGAATCGCCAGATGTCGATTAGTGACCGGATCTGCTCTTCATAGGCGGTTGGCTGTAGAACCTGCATAAGAGATGTGGAGCAGCGGAATAAGTCCTGCATGGAATTAGTATATGGGGAAAGATGGAGCTGGCGAGACTTACCCAGAACGTGAATATGTCCTGATAGTAGGGTTCGGATGATTTCCAACCCGGGTTCTCGCCGGTCTGGTTGGTTGGAATCAGATGCATAAAGTACAGCGAGGTGTAAAGTAAACCGAGGCTGGTGTCATTGGCATTGGTCGTGGTGATCTTAGACAACACCTTGCTGTTCCAGTCCGAGACAGCATCATCCACGACAGATTCAAAGGTCATGCTCTCGGGGATCTCGCGATTCACATGATCGCAGGCCTGCTCTGTGGAGATCCAGGAAATCCCCACGCGGGAAACGACTTCACTATCACTGAACGAAAATAGCCCACCCACTCGAGTAGAGCCAGAGGCAGACGTCACAAAGCCACCTGGCTGTTCAACACTCTTTTCCGCGCCTGTCGCAGTGTATGTCTTGTTGCTTGTTGCAGATGAGTTGAAGTACCCGCCTAGCTAAAACGTCAGAGTCTGCGTAGTTTAATTGGAATTAAGACTCACAGAAATAAATTTTCCAATCCGGGGCTTCATTCCATCCATTATCATAGATCCCAGAGCCTTCGTAATGACCATCTGCAAAGATTGACAAATTGCCGCCCATATAGTTCTGACCAAGGCCCTGGCCGCGGAATGAAGGCAATACATGCGAGACATCCACCAACACATTACCTCGAGAGCCAGATGGGAACTTATATCGATACATACCAGCTCGAGCTGAAGCACTGAGCTCGACTTCCACACCGTCCCCGGTCTGAGCTTTGTAGTACCCAACAGAACCTTGATCAGACTCTTTTCTAGATACGGTGATATTGGACAAAGGGTCGCTGACGTTGCCGACCAACGGTAGCTGTGAAACGGTGCCATACTTGGGTGCTCCGCCGGTGCCTTGTTCATGCATCATACTGAAGCCGGAGAAGTTTCCGTTCGGTAAATAACCCGAATAGGAATCTGTGCCAGAGTGCAGCAGATCAGGACCTAGCTTGACCATGCCGAAGGGTCTTGCAGCGCCGGGGAAATCATTGCCTCCGTTTTGGGTTCCCATGCTTCAGGATGTTAATAACATCTTTCAACATGAGGTTTGAGAGAACCCACAAGACATCTACATGCTTGGTCAGGTCCTCTGCTGCAGAAAACGGCAGCAGAGACAAAGTAGTTAGCGTTCGTGAGTACTTCATAGTGAGCGTTGCTCCTCGGTCGTCAAGAAACTGACTCAAACCACAAGCTGTGGGAACTACTGGGGATATAAAGGCCCCTCAGTCTACGACCAGTTATGGAGTTGCATTAATTGGCTTCATTCTGGGTCCAGTTGCTAGAATTAAGCAAGATCGACAGCACAGTCAGTTTTCAATATGTGACACAGACTGCACGGCATACTGTACAAGCATCATGCTGCACTGCATTACCAGTTAATCTGGCCTGGAGGGGTTAAAGCACCGGGCAAATGACGAATGCCACGGAGAGAGCGTAGCCTACGAGTCAGTCCATGTGCATAGAGCACATGGGCTCTGACTCGATACCCAAGGCCAAAAGTGGCATGTACTCAACACGCTAAGACGCGCACCAAAACAAGCACGCTCCTTCAACCCCCATATTTCAACCGGCATGTGTCGCTCACTGGACGTTTAGGGGGTTATCGTTCTAAAGGGGCTGTTTATGGAATGTTCATGTGGCCAAATCAGGAGCGCCCCTGGATTCACATGGGATGAGCAGCTACCGCTCCACGTGGGATTCTGGTTGGCTGAGGCTTCGGATAGTTTCACTCTGGACTACTGTACAGTATCAGGGGAAATAATTCAAGGGCCTGTATATCTTTAAGTTTGGAGATCAAGATTAGATGAGCGGTGAGCAAATAGTAAGATGATGAGCGTAGAGAGGTGAGAATCGGGCCACAATAAACGGTGAGTGGACCTTCATATTAGGTTTCGCTCATGATGCCATTTGCCGTTGCTAATCTACTACATGGAATATACCTCTTGAAGCAGAGCTCCATCAAGATATTGAACGGGATGTTTCTTGCCTCGGGAGTCTGCAATAGAAAATGCAATGCATACTTCATTGAAGCCTGACTACCAGGGCAGCCCTGGTAGTCAGGCACCAATATACTTAATCGGGAATAGCGGGTAGATCGTCGATGCTCACTTTACCCTGAGATTCTCAAGCAGAGCAAAACATTGTGCCACAACCATGCCATAACCTTTAAAGCCGATCAAGCTCGCTAGCAGGATGGTGCGGCACAGTCCAAAATCTCATATCACCTGGTGGATGCGGGTACGTCGGTTTTTCTACGATCTCGAGTCACCCCTTCGACTACGAACCAGCCTTATCCGCCTTGGCCATCGACATAAGTACCCTGTCCTTGCCCTGCTACGCCTCTTCTGGCCATTCCCAACATGGCACTTTCGCGTCCCCGACCAGGTACCTTTGAAGACCATGGTGAACAACATCCCGCTCCTGGATTCCCGCGCAGCCACTACAGACCTGGCCAACATGAGTTCGGTCCCTCTATGGCGCGCCAGAGACACCCCACTTCGAGCTTTATACCGAATATATGAGGCGATGATCGCACGAGAACCCTATGCGATCGGCCCACAGGTAGAATACTTCTTCTACCAGAATGAGAGGTCGTGGAAAGTCAGCCGGATTCCTGACCCGTGCGATTGCGACCCCGTGCGGTACGCGATTCTGGCCTGTGTCGCCGAGGAACTTGCAAGGGCATTCAACTGGCGCATGAGCGTGGGAATGCGAAGGGATAAGCGGAAGCATATCTATCGTAAGACATTTGAGGATCCGCTTCCACCATTCGTGGCGGAAACCGCACCCGGTTGGACTTGGAGCGTGCCCGCAATCGATGTCGAGTGCATTGCAGACCTGCCTGGAGAACTGCTAGATGTACAGGGAAGACTTGTACTCGAAGATGGTGGGGAAAACCCTTCATTTGCAGAGAGGAATATTGTGGCCAACACTGGTCACTTTTACACGGTGTGAAATGCAAGGGCCAGATACGTCATGTGCAGATCTAGTCAAACGCCTCTTCGTCATGCTCCTGCCGGTATGCAGAAGCGATCTCGCTCATTGTTGCACTGTCCGGCGGCATCTCAAATGAACAGATATTCAGTGTCCGGATATGCTCCCTGCTCAACGGGCCGGCATTCTGCATCCGCAGATGCCTCAGAATCGCGACTACGTCAACGATATCCGATCCTCGCTTGACATGTTTCCTGCTATTATGGATGCGCCGAAGCTTCCGTTCCAGTGCATATTCCAGTGGAACGGCAAGTACCCGTAGATTGGGCCCCTCCCAGAGAACGATATTCTGCTCGTGTGCCATCTCGAACAAGTCTTGTCTGGACTGTTCGGGGATGAAAAATGCCATGTCATCATTGACCCAGTCTTCGGTAAACCCCAGTTGGTTTGCCGTACGTATCATCGCATTCTGCAACGGCCGTTTCACATCGTTGTCGCTCGCCCACTGGGGTTCGAGAAGATAATCCAAATCGCCCGTGCTCTCGCGGTTGTGGAAATAGTTGGTCGCGAGGAAGCCTCCCGTGGAGATTAATGTAATGGGAGCGAAAGCGATCAACCAGTCATCCTTGCCCATCTCCCTATCCAAAACCTCGAGCCCTGATGGAAACGCCGCCTATTAGCGCGCACTAACTACCGCGAAGGGGCTATCTCATACCTCTTTGGAAATCATCAGCACAGAAGCGCCTTTTCACCCTTTCCATGCCTCTGCGGCTCTGTAAATGGGGGGAAATTTAGATGGGAGAGAGTTACAGCTGTCGTTTTGAAGATAAAAGCGTCGGAAACAGAAACAGAGAACAAAAGAGATACACCCTACATCATCTGATGAGTTGGAACACAAGTGTAAAGGTCCTGTCAGCAGACGAGTCTCGGATGTTCTAGGCGTCTTCAGCTCCAAGAGGCTACCCCGCCCCAATCCTGTACTTTCTGCAACCCGCTGGAATAAGCATTCAGTGGCGGACAAGGACGTGGGATGTTTACATTGTTCGATAGGCGCGCCTGGAAGGTGTTTGGCCCTTTGCCCTTTGCCATACACGTCATGAACAGGGCCCATTCCAGTCTTTACGCAAGCCACAATGTTCATCGGATACATTCACCTATAAAGTCGATCGCATCTTACCAAAAAAGAGAGAGACAATTTTGAACCCATGAATTTAGTGCGATTGCGGCCCGTCCGATGTTTTACCTATAAACTTAATCTTCAAGCCTAGACACAGTTGGATCCCAAGCCACTGGACTATATTCATCCGTCTCCAGCCCCTTTACCTCTTCAGGCGTCAATGAAAAGTCAAACACTTCCGCATTAGCCGCAATGCGTGACGGAGTAGCACTCTTCGGCAACGGAATAAGACCCTTATCCAGACTCCACCGAATCAATATCTGAGCCTCCGTCTTTCCATACTTCTTCACCAGCCGCTGAAGTGCAGGCTCGTCCCACCGATTACCGCGCACAATAGGACAGTAGGCCTGAACAGCGACCCCACGCTGTGTGCACCAGTCGACAATATCCTTACGCGCCAACCACGGATGAAGCTCAACCTGCTGAATACTCACAACACCACCTTTACCCTTGCCACCCTCAGTTTCAAGCTCGGCAATGTGACGCTCGAGTTCGTTGAGGTGGTGGACACTATAGTTGCTCACCCCGATGGACCGGACTTTGCCGGCTTCGACGGCTTCAACCAGCTTGGGATAAAATTAGCGATGATTATGCTTTGGTAAGGGTTTTGCTGGACTTACAGCTTTCCAGGCACCCTTACGATTCTCGGAACCGCCCATTGGCTTGTGCAGGAGGATCAGGTCGATATAGTCCAATTTTGCCAGCGCCAAGCTCTTATCGACCTGTGCTTTGGCGGCATCATAGCTGATGTCGAAGACTTTGGAGGTGAAGAAGATCTGCTCGCGGGGAATTCCAGATGCGCGGATGGCGTTTCCGCAGCCTTCTTCATTGCGGTACATCGCCGCGGAATCAATCTGGACTCGAGTCAACAAGGTTGTTCTGCTAGTGCTCAAAGATGGGTACATACATGGCGGTAGCCAGCCTTGAAAGCATCGAGACAGCATCGCTCTGTCTCCTCTGGAGGTCTGCGTGAGAATGTTAGCTCTGGCGGGGTGATGTTATGGCGGGGTCATTACGTCTTGTAGACCTGGAGTTTTTATTAGTCCGGCGTCAATACTTTTACAAATGGATGAGTACATACTCCAAAGCCCAAACGAGGTATCTCATACCCGCTGGGAAGCTTGATTGTTGAAGTAATCGTGGTGGCCATTCTTCTAATGCTCATGATACGGTTTGATGTTCCTACGGGAGGTGGAGGGAAAGGTACTTTATAAGCTCAGCTTACCACGTCATTACGGTGATAACTGTGTTGAGTCCGTTTAACTCCTTCTGTAATTCTACATGCCTATCATCTGTCTTTGTTTTGTACTTGATTGCTGGAATTGTGGAACCGGTTTTTTTGTTATCCCGAGGACCCTGAAGTTTAGGCCTCGGGGAAGTCTCCTTCCGGTAAGCCCGAGCCTCATTTTACCACCGAGTCCCTGGTCTATAATTGAGGATAATATAACTGAGCTATCCATGCAGTGATCACCAAAAGGACTAAATGATCGAAATATTTCTTGACTATTAATTTCGAATTGGACACTGTTGAGTACTGCGGGGGAATGTTACGTGCTGCGATCTTCGGTAAACTCGGCCATTTCTGGCCTTGCATTGACTCCTTCATATTTCAGACTGAAATACCGTAAGGCTGAAACTACGCTCTGGACTATTTACCTGGAGAGTTTTAGTCAGGGCTGATGGCAGATGGCACATGCTTGCTGCTACCGTACCGCGTGGGCGAAGCTGCTATCCAGGAGGCAGGTTTAAAAGAGCCTAGAATCTCACAAATTAAGGTTTTCGTTGGTAGAGTTACTAAAACGTGCGACAAAACAGAGTCTGCAAAGAAAACAAGCCTCATGTTAAACACAGATCACCAGCTTGGCGGAAAGTTCACCACTCGAGGATTAACACGCCGCTTTCCAGCCGCAACGCAAACAATATGATCTGTCATCTAACTTCTCCATACATGCGTTTGCACGCTTCTGGAGTCCACATTTTGGGGGCCACATGTGCCGTGGTAGCAATGCAGTTTAGCGCCCGTGGAGAGCGCCTTCGTTCCATCCTTTCAAGTTTACCCTGGGCTAGACCGGTTTAAAACTGAGCCCTCGTACTGTGAAAACTCCGAATTGCTTACATTACCACAGGCGTTACTTGACAAGGATGGGATCAGCCTCGACCGCAGGCACAATAGCTCATGATTGGATTGAGGCTTAGACTAAATGCCCTGTGGGTCCAAGCTGTAAAGCTCCAGGGGTACAAGACCTGGTTTTTCAACTCGCTAACTTGCCGTTTTCTTTGAAAATTTGGCGAAGTAATGGTGGAATTAGCCATTGGTCTTTTAATGTACCAGCCTCTGTTTTATAAAAGGCGAGCGACGAACAAAATGTGCCCCCCAAATCAATTGACCCAAGGGGGAAATTGGCCCTGTAATACAGTCTTGGTACAACACGAGCCGCAGTAGCATAGCCTCCTCTTAACAGTTGCCTGACAACGCTGCGCCACACTTCGGAGAAAACAAGCGACGCTTCTTCAGGATTGGGGCGTCTCGGAATTGAAAACAGTGCTTTAACATTGAGGTATGATTTATCACAATGTTGAGGCAAGCTGAAAACGACGCGTGGTCTAGGTAACGGTCAGTTGGCAAATACGAAGTAGGTCAGTGCACTAGGCTTCCAAATGCCCCGTACAGCTTAGTTTGAAGGGGTATCAGCCTTCACGATCAAATGGGAACGCGCTATTTCCTGAAAGGGATTGCCCAGCCCGGGTCCGTTATAAAGTGTAGACCGCCCTAGGTCGCGACTGGAGTTACACTTTTCCCTCTTCGTTTTTCACTCTTGTGTGCTCGCCCTTACGCCCCTGTCTACCCCGATTTAGACGAAAAACACGCATCATGGTCGAGTCTAACGAGCATACCGAGAACAAGCTACCGAACAGAGACAGTGAAGGTGAGTCCCCCGCATTTTACGAAGTCCCAAACCCCCGCGTCTGACTGGAAGCTAGGCCTCATTCCTGTCGAAGCACCTCCACACTCAGGCATTAGTCCCGTGAGCCCGCCCGACTCAGAAATCATCCATCCAGCTTCATCCGTTGGTACAGGTCCCCTGGTATCAGCGGTCTCGGAGAAGCCTCCATTGCACGGCGACTACGATGCGCCAACCCCCATCTACCCCGACGAACCAGCTAAATCATACCAGGGACAACATCAACCCGATCAATCAAATGGCGCACTGGCTGGCCAGTATCCGGTGAACTCGCCATCTGATTCCAAGGCATACCCTGGTCAACCGAGTCCGCATCCTCAACAGCCGGGCATGTACTATACACCCTATGGTCACCCGAGCGGATATGCTACAGCCACGCCCTTGCATTCGCTTCTATCAGCACCATGTCCGGTGGACTGCCCCTGCTGTGGAAAGCGAGAGATGACGAGGACTGAGGCGGTTAGTGGCGGGACGACACAGTGAGTTGAGCCCTGATTGAATGGTCGCATGGTCGAATGAGTTGATCTGGCGATCAACATGTGATCCATCATACTAATATATTGATAGTGGTTGGGCTGCTATTCTTTGCTGCTGTTGCTGTCTTGGGTGCATTCCTTACTTGATGTCTTCACTCAAGGATGTCGACCACTACTGCGGCGCGTGTAATGCCAAAATCGCGATTTGGCACAATAGTGGCCGTATTGAGGTGTTGCAGAACGGACAGAGGAATTAATTACGTTGCGACCTCGAGATCTTTATGATTTTTTTTGTTTTGATTTTCATGACTTTTTGTTTTGATTTGCTGGAAATGGCTCTGGCTACGGTGTTGTAAAGTGATACCACTTTGTTTTACGATCACGGCTGAATCTTGTCATGCCTCATCGCATGGTGTTAAAAATCGCCATACTACAATCTACGGCTTGTAAAGAAGGACTTATTATAATTCTTTATAAGGAATATTGGTTGAAGATAACATGATGAATAAGCTCGAGGCAGCAAATAAAATGCCAAGATAAGGCTCGTATTTGGGTTTGCTGCAGGTCCGATGATGCGGTCATTTCACCCATTCGGTTTCTGCCGAACACAACAACTTCATCGACTTCCCGAGAGGAGAGGAAACGAGAAACTAGCATAGGAATTCTCCTCACCATGTTCCGACTCATCTTCACGGCAACAGCCGTCCTCACCGGTTCCTCGGTTGTCTATTTCTACATTTTCCACAAAAAGCTATCCGCACGCATCCAGCACAGATCACACTGCGGGAAGCTCGCGGCATCAGCAAAACCGTGTGAAATTGAGTCGATTCCAGATGCCGTCTTCACAGATAAATACTTTACTCTCTATGATTGGTCTTCAAAATCAGTGCCGCGCTACCTGATGCCCGGTTGCACAACGACAGAGGAGCTCTTCACCAAGCTAGTCCGCCGCAATATGACGGTTTTTACGCATTTCCCGCAGGCGCTGATGATCCGAGTTGGCTGCACCACTGCAGAAGAGATACATAGCTTTAAGACGTCACATATCTCTTCTCTGGATTTCGATAAGGGGGATCTTGTCTGTGGTGTGTACCGAGTTATCGCGCGGAGCAAGAATAAGGTGGAGTTTGAAATGACGATGAAGAATATGGAGTTTGTTAACGGAAGACTTGCTCTAAGCTTCAAGGAGAAGGGCGGCGATGTGATTTTCTCCAGTGAAACCGTCATGTGGCGAAGGGCGGATGAGTCGAGGACTATGCCGCTTGAGAAATGTGTTGTGCGCTTCATGCACGAGACGGCGGCGTGGTGGTTGATAGATTCGGGGACAAAGTATCTGATGGATCTGGAGGTCTGAAGCTGGAACTTTCATCGGTTCTTTCTTGTTCAGGCGTTGGTTCAGGTGCCATTCTTTATTGAAAAACCTGGGTTGTACTCACTTCTTTCACAATTCTGCTTCAACGTGTAACATTACTTGATCATAATACAATGAAATGTAAACGGATGTAGAACGAGACATTCTGATATTGACTTACGAGCCGTTGTGTTCATCAAATTACTATAGATGATGAGAAGAATGTCAAAGACCGTCAGCAATGATTCTTGCCAATGTCTTTTGTCATGTCCTTTGATCTCAATCTATCGTACCTGGTAGGCTGCATTCGGTCCGCACCATCAGCTCATTCATTTAAACCGTGAAGAGTTCAGAGTCGAAGAACTCTCAACCATCACTCACTACTCATATCCATCTCCACCATGTGCAAGTACACCTACCACCATTTTCCGATTTGCGGACACATCTCCAACTGGACTGTCGTCAGCTGTCTAGACCTGACCCACCAGGTCCGTACACTAGGTCAGCGGCAGGGTCTGACTTGCGACCGGGTCGAAGTCAAGCACAAATTCAACCGAAAGGCCAGCGGGACCCCCTGTGTCCAATGTGACAGAGAATGGTGCGATGCTGTCAGCCACGACACCATGGATGACTGGCTGAACCAAAATGACAGCACCATAGAGGGTATTAATGCAGACCGACCTCTGTTCGAGTACTCCGTTCGCATAAACCCTCATGCGAGCAGTGATCCAGCTGAGTATTTCCCGTCCAGCCGTGACACAGACGAGCAGTCTGATGTGTTTGCAGATTCCAACTTCGCCGTTAGACCTAGTCCGTCTAACTCTCCAGGTAACTGTATTGAAGACCACGGTGGCTTCGTATCCCCCTCTCCGATTTTCAGCACCAGAAGTTCGGTGTTCACTCTTTCTACCACCGACAAGAGCACAACTTCGGATCCTAACAGCAGTGATTGGGAGACTCACGAATCATCCGACTCACGCCTTCATAGGCATATTCGCATTCGCTACCGACGGCCGATGCTTGATTGGAAATTGGTGAACTCTGACTGTGATCGAGTGCCCACTGCTTCCCTGCCTAGGAAATCGCCACAAGATAGCCCAGACAGCCCTAATACGTCTAGCATGTTCAGTGAGACTGGGTTCTTTAGTATCTCTAGCCACCCTAGCAGCCCCACTTTCCCGAACAGCTTTGCAGAGTATGTGTTGACGGAAATTCTATCTGACAATAGCGCCTCAATGCCCTATGCGCGTCTTTCCGAGGGCATCGCTCCTATTGCTCTATATGATATTGGGTACAGTAGTGAAGAGAGCCAGCAACAGGGGCATTCATCTCCAGCCAGTACATCATCAGCCAGTTCGTCGTCAGCTAACTCGGACATGAGCGCTTCTCCACAGCGTTTTCGGTCAGCAAGGGGCCGAACTAGGACTCCGTACCCACGCGTGGCTTCCAAGGCTTCTAGGTAGCTAGAGTTGTAGCGTCGCTTCATTGCCGTTGCCTCGGAGGGAGAGGCCCTGAAGCTCGGTCTTCGGCATCCTCTCCGTGTTGACAATCTTTAGGCTCTTTTTTGTATTTTGCTTTCGAAGTAGTTGCTTAATTTATGTTGACCTTTCTGTTTCCTTCATTCATTCATTCGGTCAGTTCTGTGCCTGTTGTAGAAAAAGTGAATGTTGATTACATGAAACCACCATGCTACTCCCCAAGGTCCAGGGATTTCCCATGCTCTGAAAAGCCCTTTAACCGGATAAAATCACCACCCGTAGATCCCCAAAACACCTAGTATTAACCGAACCCCCAACTGAAGCCCAGAGCTCCATCGGCTCGGGAAGGACATGGTGCTCGGGAGACTCGGACTTAGCCCGAACATCCCACTCGGGCGCTTCCCCAGATGACCCCCTCGGACCCCCACGTTCGCTGTGATTTCCGGTCTCCAATTTCTACATATTCTTGGTTTTCTGCTGTTTTCATTACTGTTGATATCCTCAGCTCTGCAATTCGTTATTTATCCACCATGTCTAAACCATCTGTTGGCTTCGTCGGCCTTGGAGCTATGGGCTTCGGCATGGCCACTCATCTGGTGAAGGAGGGATACTCCGTTCACGGGTTCGATGTTTTCCCCGCTTCGGTCGACCGGTTCAAGGCTGCCGGTGGTATTCCGGCTTCATCACTGAAAGAATCTGCAGATGGCAAGTCGTACTACATCTGCATGGTGGCATCTGCGCCTCAGGCGCAATCCGTTCTTTTCGGCGAGGACGGTATTGTTTCCGGTGAGCTAAGCAATTGTGGCATAATGCAAGACATTGAGCTGATCCCATTATAGTTCTCCCCCAGAATGCAACTCTTCTCCTTTGCTCCACCGTTCCAGCTTCGTACGCCCAGTCTGTAGCCGCAGAGCTACAATCTTGTGGTCGCGGAGATATCCAGTTCATCGATGCTCCCGTCTCCGGTGGCGCCAAGCGCGCTGCTGATGGCACTTTATCAATCATGGCGGGCGCATCTGACTCCGCGCTGGAGAGCGGCCGGTTCCTACTCGAGGCCATGTCCGATTCGAACAAGCTTTATCTGGTGCCTGGCGGAATTGGCGCAGGTAGCAATATGAAGATGGTGCATCAGGTTCTAGCTGGTATCCATATCCTGGGAGCTAGCGAGGCGATGGGGTTCGCTGCGCAATTGGGTCTGGATGCGCATAAGACTGCGGATGCTATTAAGTCTGGAGATGCGTGGTCGTGGATGCATGAGAATCGTCTTCAGCGTATGCTGGACGAGGATTGGCACCCCGGTGCGAGTGCTTTGACTATTATTTTGAAGGACGTGGTGAGTAGCATAGTGTCGCTTTCGCAAAATACAATTGCTAATGAGATGACCAGGGGATCATCACTACTTCTGCCCGCCAGAACCAGTTCCCCACCCCACTTTGCTCGACAGCTGAGCAGGTCTACCTATCTGCTCTACTTCAAGGCTACGGCGCCGTCGATGACTCCTCCATGGTCCGCCAGTATTACTCCCAGGCCATCACAAAGGTCGCAAACACCAAGTCCGCCGAGGAGACTGCCGAAGCACAACAGCTAGTCCTAGATCTGATGCAGCTAACAAACCTCGTCGCTGCCGCCGAAGCTATCGCATTTGCTAGCTATCTCAAGGTCGACCTCAAGCAATTCTTCACACTTGTCAGCGATGCCGCCGGCTCAAGTCGCCAGTTCATGACCATGGGATTGGAGATGATTGAGGGCCGTGTTGGTCAGAACTCGGAAACCATTAACGATGTAATTACACGCTTGGAGAAGGCCGTGCAGAAGGCGCGCGACTTGCACTGCCCTTTGCACCTGGGTAATGCGGCGATGGGTGTCTTGTTCATGGCGAAGAAGGCTGGATTTGGTGCCGAGGGAAGCACCAGTGTGATTAAGGTGTTTGGAAACTAGTTTATATATCCCATAGCTCTGAATATTTTCAATGTTGAATTCGTGAAATCATCAACTCTAGTTTATTCGCACTTTGAAGTCATAGTCATCTCCAATAGTTCCAAGTATCCACGCCCCGGAGTCACTACGGATCAAGCGCGCGACACCACAGACCAACAAGCTGAATAGTAGGATTACCCCACGATAAATCACGACCGAGGTGATGTCCCACGGTTCAATATCGGCTCCACGTTCCTTCGGGGAAATTTAATTAGACGTCATTGGACCCTCTCGGAGCACCTCCGAAGACTCGGACATTATGCGAATTGATTGCAACACTCGGACAGCACCGCGAGCGCCTATCTAACTGCCTAAGAAGAATAAAAGGCTCAAACCCCGCAGTGCAAGCTCCATTCAACCAAGTCACCCACCTCCTCAATCCAATCCTAACAACCAAAATGTCACTCACCGACAATCGCGCCCTGCGCATCCTCGACCATGCCGCCGAGAACCACTACGGCGTGCCCGCCATGTGCTGTTACAACGTGGAAGGAATTCTAGCCACCGTCCGTGCAGCCGAAGCCAAGCGCTCACCCGCCATGATCCTCCTCTTCCCCTGGGCTGTGCACTACGCCGACGGAATCCTAGTCCACGCCGCCGCGGAAGCCGCGCGCAACGCCTCGGTGCCCGTCACCGTGCACATGGACCATGCGCAAACGCCCGAGATTATCCGCCGCGCTGCGGAATTGGGTGGCTTCGACAGTATCATGATTGATATGTCGCACTACGAAAAGGCAGAGAACCTGGCATTGACGCGCGAGTTGGTGGAGTACTGCCACGCGCGGGGTATCGCCACGGAAGCGGAGCCTGGGCGCATCGAGGGAGGGGAGGATGGCATTGCTGATACGGCTGACCTCGAGGGACTGCTGACGACGCCTGAGGAGAGTCAGGAGTTTGTCGATACTGGAATTGACTGGTTGGCGCCTGCTTTTGGAAATGTGCACGGCGAGTATGGACCGCGCGGTATTCAGCTTGAGTATGAGCGACTGCAATCGATTAATAAAGCAGTTGGAGGGAAGGTGAGGCTTGTGCTACATGGTGCAGATCCTTTCACGAAGGAGATTTTCCAAAAGTGCATTGATTGTGGCGTGTCGAAGATCAATATCAACAAGGTGTTGAATAATGAATATATTAAGGTTCAGCAGGAGAAGGCGGGTAAGGTTCCACTTACTACATTGTTGGAGGAGGCTACAAATGCTATGCAGAAAGCTGTGGAGGGATGTATGGACCGATTGAATTCTACTAGAAGATACCCTTAGAGTGCTGTGGAACATTTTAGTGATCTTTATGAGACTAAGCTGGATACATTCATTGATAGATTCGGTTAAATAACTACCCTAACTCCAACGCCATTTATATTAAAATAATTTCTTGGATATCAATGAGGCCCAAAGAAAAGCAAGTGTTCCCAATCTCTTGCTAGTCATGCTGCACTATACAAGTTTCAATCATGGATGAATGACTTGGAAGTATTTAGCCACCGATAAGAGGACCGAGCATGGCACCAACAACGGGCACGTGGTCAACAAGCTGACCAAGACCGAGAAGACCGGCCTTAGCTGAAGGAGTAGCGCTGGCAGAGACGCTAGCGGAGCTCGAGGGAGTGGCATGATGCTTGCTGGACGAGACGTGGCCCTCGTGAATGCCCATAGAGTGCATGGGACGGTGAGTGGACGAGAGAGAAGCCTTAGAAACGAAGCTGCTCATGGCAGAAGTGGGAGTCGGGCGAGCATGAGAGCTTTGGACAACCATGGAGGTAGAAGCCGGCTTGGGGGCAGCCATGGAGCTGGAGGGAACCATGGAGCTGGAAGGAGCCATGGAGCTGGAAGGAGCCATGGGGATAGAAGCCGGCTTGGGGACAGCCATAGAGCTAGAAGGAGCCGCAATACTCTTAGGCTCAGCCTTCGAGGAGTGTGTCTTGGAAGAGTGCATGGCAACGTGAGAAGGAAGAACAGGCTTGATAGTCACAGGAGCCTGGGTTGGCTCGGGAATGTCCTCGGTAGGAACAGCCTCAGCGGTGGCTTGGCCCATAGCCTCAGCAATAGCGGAGGACACAAATTCAGGCTTAGCATGGTGAGAAGACGTGGGTGCAGGAGCAACAGGAGCAACCGGGATAGCAGGAATGGGCTCTTTAGGAACCGGGTTCTCAGCAACAGGATCTGAGAGAGGAACAGTCTCCTTAGTCTCAGGCTTTTGCTGGACCTTTGGGGCATGCTCAGCGACCACAGGAATCTCAGCCGGCTTTGGCTTAGGCGCAACTGGCTCTGGCTTCGGTGCCGGTGGCTGGATCTTGGGGACATGTTCAGCGATTACAGGAACCTCCGCCGGCTGGGGCTTGAAGACCATGGGCTCCGCCTTCGGTGCTGGAGAAGGGATCTGCTGCATCTGAGGAGCCACATACTGCGGTACGTGGCTAGTTGGCTGAGGTGTGTTGTAAGAGCCGCCTCGAGCAGACTCAACAGCTTCCATAGCAGCCATATAGGCAGGAATGGGGTTTGTCATGCCATCATCATCACTCTCGGCGACACTTGAACTGCCGGACGTGATAAAAGGAAAGCTATTGGCGAAAGGATCGCCGTTGGGCTTAGGGAACGAAGGTGCAGCTGCTGCGGTGAGGGCGAACACCGCCAAAGAAAGGTATGAGGTATGCATCGTGTACGAGCCTCTGTGTCGAAATGAAAGAATAGGGTCGGAAGAGACTTGAAATGGCGTCGGGGTGAAGGGGTGCGGAGGCTTTAAGTACAGGGTGCTTGAAATATTGATCTACAGTCTGTTGTGATCTTGATACCGCGTCCTCCATGCCACACGCGCGGATGAGGATCTGCATTGGATTGGATGACGAGGTTGCATAGCATAAGGGATGTGCCCTATGGCTTGGTATGAGAGATATGACCAGGCGCATAGCTGAATTCCAGTACCAAGCCCGCAAATCACGGTCAGCTCCTGTGGAATGATCGCCGTTGAACCTACCTAGAAAATCTCCCCGGGGTTAGAACAAGCGCTCTAAGCATTGGTTATTGCTTTGCAAAAAATGATACCTGCGCGGTCTCTCCTCCAATTGTGATATAGATAGGCAAGCAAAGCTTGGTTAGGCTTGGCTCATGGTGGCTGCATGAGTCCTGTCTAATGTTCTTAGTTGTCCCTCGTGGGAGTTACTGATTGGAGAATTTCGGGCTTTTTCTTACAACACTGGCTACGAACCCGCTCGACCCTTTCAAGTGCCTTGAAGGGACGTTCATTTCAAATCCCTTTGGAGATAAATGTCTATAGTCTCTCCATACATTTTACTCCGTGCAGGGGCATGGGGGAATGCAGTGGTTCACATTCCCTTGGCAACCTTGAATACCCCTTGCGGATGGAGCGCCCGAGCTGTCGACCCGCCATCAATAACACTTTGAGCTTTGGCTACCAAGTCTTATTTTTGATCGGCAAGCTAAAAATCTCTTTACATTATTGTTCTGCTCCAGGTACGATCGGATGTAACAACCCAACCACCCTTAATTCGGCCAAATCATGTTGAATGATCTTCCGATGCATGCCAACAGCTCTTTCAAATCCCCTTTGCAGATAATTGGGTTTTCTATCTACTTGTTTGGTTAAGTTGGGAGGGGTTCAAGTGTCCAGAAACTAAACACAGCCGCCCGGCTGGTTAGCCAACTCCCCAAGGGCTAATTGAGGTTTCTCTCAACCACTGAATACTTAGTCATCTATTAGAAGCCTACCACACTAGGTGTTGAACTTTCAGAATTCTGTTGGATCGACTTGAAGTACTTTCGTACGTTAGGAGTATGTGTCCTACGCCAGGGCTCTTTGCCAAGAGCGCTGGATTGAGGTTAAGCACTAGACTCATGAAATATAATTAAACATATATATTATCGAACGTTTAAAGCTAAGCCGAGCTAGAATTGTTGTTCTGAAGCCCAAAGAACAAGCTTCAAGGAAGCAACAAATGGACTAGGTTTTTATGACGTATCTCCCCCGATATATATTCACTCAAGCGGCCCGTTTTCTTGCCAACAAACCTTTTAAGGGAACGAATATACACACTAAGTATTGACAATAAAAGCAGATGCTCACTTGAATCACAATCAATACATGGAGACATTCTCTCATTAGCCTTTTCGGCGATTTGTTAAACTATATGGTAATTATTGACTTACTATAAGTCAAAGGTATCTTATACAGTATGGATCGAAATCAGTTTCATCATTTACTACTCACAGGGATTCTTTCCCAAACCCTTGTATGAAACACGCTAGTCTAACTCTAGTTCAGCTTTCTTTCAATATTTCGAATATGTTAGTATAAGAGAGTCACGTGAATCATGACACCGTAATTTACTAGAAATACTTTTACAATTGACCCACCACTATCTATTATCACCAACCTTGTTTACTTGAGCGCAACGTTCGCATCAGGTGACTCTTACTAGTGAAAGCCCAAGAATAAGAGCAAGGACTTTATGTGATCTACACTACGTCTACTCTTATAAATCATTCCAGCAAAATCATAGGACGAAACTCAAAATCTAACTTTGCTCATGTCCCTAAGTATCTATTGCCTAGACGGGTTTCGACATTATTCAATCGGTTAGCTCGGTCCAGGTGGACGAACAGAGTTACTTCGACAGCTTGCTGTGCTACACGAATAGCCTCCTCAAGATCTTCCGTTGCCCCAGTCCGTGAGTATCTGTCGCTTAGACGAGTCCCGAGATTATTTAAAAACATAGCTTCTCAGTCATGTGACTTATTGAAGCTTTACCGAATTAGGAAGTTTGGACTCCACGATGGGAGCCTGGGGCTAAGCGAAACATGTCACCTTTCGACTCATCAATTTGCAAGTTCTACTTGTGACTACGCCTAGATGTCACGCCTTCTCAATCTGCCCAGCGAGCTGCTCGCTCGCACATTTTCTTATGCGAATCGATCATCACTAAAGTCGCTGCGCCAATCCTGCCGTTTCATATCACAGCTGGCCACCGATCAGCTCTACAGGACCGTGCACCTGCAGCCCGGCGAGACAAGCCAAAACGGGTTACAAGAGATCTTGAACAATCCCAGTCTACGTCGTCTTCCGCGAAAGATCTACATAGACACCGTGGACGAGAGTCTTGTACGATTATCTTAATCCACCTCCAAGCAACAACTAATGCACACAGAATTACGATGATGGAGAAGAGCAAAACTGGCCCCAAGGCTGGGACAACCTCGTCCCGCAAGTGAAAGAATTGTCTCGGCTGAACGCCGCCGTTCTGTGCTTCGATAAGGGGTTTACTTCAGACAGCACGGATCGTGATTACTTCCATAACGAGGACTTCCCCCAGACGCCTCAATTTCGTTTCCAAGCAATGCATAAGCTCTTCTCTCTTCTTGAATCCTTACGGCACCCGATCCAAGATCTTGGTATTCGTAACCTGCAAGCGGATAACCCCAAAGATCCGAAAACACTTGCGAAAATGGGAAAGGTCCTGTCGGGCTTACTGTCCCTTCGCCTAAGCATTACCAGCGAGACAAATGACGCCGCTCCTGAGCATGATCTCGAGGTATAAACCACCCTGTTCTCCATCAAGATGCTTATTCTAAATGTATCAGTATCCGGAAATCCGCAAGTTTTTTAAGGAGTTACCCAGCACATGGCTGAGTCCCGCTGCGCCTTCTCTCCAACATCTCTCGCTCTGCTCGCGTGAATACGCGGGCTTTTACCCTCACCTGGACCTCTCCAATCTGTTCTTTCCACGCCTGAAGACGCTATCACTAGGAAACTTCTGTTTCTTCCATGATGGCCAAATCGACTGGATTCTGAAGCATGGCGACACCCTCGAGGAAATCTACTTCGATGACTGCGCCGTCCTCTACGACTTTTGTATGATGGAAGAGAATGTAGAAGCCTGTGCTCTACCTAGGGACACCTTGGTGCGCCGCGAGGGCGGTAAATCTTTGTATGGTTCGTTCGAGAAGCGATGGCACGATATTTTCGATCTATTTGCAGAAAAACTACCAAAACTACGACACTTTCGAATCGGCAGTAGTAATTGGTACCCAGATATTCCATTTGAGCAGGAGAGGGATATCAAGGTCGGGCTGTATTACAATCGGTACATGTGCTGCTATGATGGATATGGCCCTTCGCCTTATATGGAAGGTGAGGATCCCGCAAGCCTTGAGAATGCGTGGAGACCGTCACCAGAATGTGACGACGAGGATCGTGCGGCACTGCGGAAACTATTGGCAAAGCTTGGGCAATCGGTCCAGGAAAATTATTCGAATTCATACTCTGGTGGTCGTATAGTGGATCTTGTTCAGAGGAGATACGGATCCGCAGAGTGATACAGTATCTATGGATTGTAATTACTTGGGTAAAAGAGCCTCTACCTAGGCAGGGCTTCCAAGGTTAGAAATTATGCAGACCGTTTCTAAGTCAGGGCTGGGGGTTAGTGGCATTTGCTAAGTGATTGCTCAACATTTAAAATAGTGTTAAAATTGAGAAAGCACGAATATATACCTCCAGGGCTGTTTACGCAATATCCTTCATCCTTCAAATGCTGGTGAATCGACACCTAGGACTAGACGTAGACCACCTGGTTATCCTCTGACACCATGATTGCCTGATCCAGATATTGTAAGGTTCCATTTCTAATGGGCAATTGTGACTTGGACTAGAGCCACCCCGGGGTCGCAGGGAATTTAGCTTGCGTAGGGCTGTTAATAAAGAGGTTCTTGATCAGAATCCACATTTTGAAACTTCTTCAACATCTCTGGTTTTGCAAATAAAAGACTCCTGTGGAGCTGTGGAGGATGAGTGGTCGCTAGAGGAAGCGAATTCGAATTCTGGCCAAATAACCACTGACAAAGCGGATTTCCCTTTTGTTTGCTTTGTTTGCAGGATCAACGTTCTAGAGGCGTACTTCCGTCAGAATGAGTAAAGAGTCAGCAAACCGGGCCCCTAAACCCGCGCCATAATGCTGGAAATTCCCCTTGGTGGGTAACAATTTGTGCGCTATCTTAGCATCATCATGGCCAAACAAACCGTCTAGGCACCTCATCCAAGGACAGACTACTTGGCCTACTCATCCTCAGCCTTTTCATCTGTAGACAAACCACCCGAGTCTTCCTTGCAAACGCCTGAGTCTTTTAATGCTGACCGTTGTTGAGACGAATTTCTCCATTCTTGTTTTGCAGATCTTCTGCGCCTGCTCAAAGGCCGGCTTGCTCCTTGATAGTCTTAGCCTCCTCGGATTGTTTCCAGTTGGCTTCATCGCTTTGGTAGGGTTGAAATGAGTTTTTGCGCTGAATGTTTGACTTGGCTAGGTTGAGGCCTTCCACCTTGGTTGCTTATGTCCAATACTCGAAGTCGAAAGATCCATGACTCTTCAGTCGCGTACAGTAATATTCGAAATCAGATTTACCTCCACACTCTTCGACTTTAATCCCTGAACCCTGCCTTGAAACACGCTAGTCTAATTTTAGCCATCCCCGAGTAATCCCTGCTAGACTGTATTGTATTCACTGGTAACGGTATATGAGTCATTGTTATAATACCGTACTTTGCCTTGGAATTTCATAGAATCTTTCAAGCAAAGAGACTAAACACGGGGACAATCTACTGTAGCAATATTTTCTTTACTTGTCATCATTTGCGATCTCTAACAAATTATCTCTAACAAATTATCTCTAACAAAATGACGGAAGAACAAGTTCATGGTTACCGCTTGGTGAATATGAATGTCAACCCCAATATGAGAAATCATCTGTTGGCGCCTCTAATAGCCTGTCTTGTTACGATCAACAACTTGTTGGATGCATTTTCCCAGTTTCTCAGCAACTTCATGTTCTATTTCCGGCGAGCCCTCCTAAAAGCCTCAGCTAGCGATTACCATGAAGGTTATAACCAAGTTTCTGCATCCCGGAACCTAGGTGTCAATTCGGAACACAGAGTGCGTCGAAGGCATAGACGGCATGACAAAACAACTTACACGCGTTGCAGTCAAAACCTATCGATACAACAACATGCGCAATGAATGAGAATAATGCAAAAATTATCTCTCCTGAAGGGCTTTCGGGTCTATATTCACCTTCCTACGTTCTATTATTCGAAAACGAAGAACAAAGTCCACTGCACATAGGTCGACAGATACCTCGCGCTCTATCGCCTAGTGGGTTCCGTGTAATAAACATCGCAGTGGGACTGGGTGACAGGAGATTCTTTAAGACTTTGCGGTTTCTTCATCATCTGAAAGCACAGTCGCTTAAGCAGAATATACGACTGTTCTTCTCATTCAGTCGATATCGTGTTGATCTCGTGAAGGCAAGCGGCTTCCGGTGCATCACCAAAATTTTCCTTTAGCTTCTATTAACCAGCTTTTATAGGTTGAATGTGTCCAAGACGTCCTTTACTGGAGTGTAGCGGATCACAATATAGAAACATCCCGAAGCAGAGATATCTGGTCGATGCCACAATCTCTAGTCTCATCAATGGAACTCGAACATCGATTCAACTTCCCACGGTATTCTGGTGACGACAAAATCGCCACGAATCATATCCCTCGGCGAAGAAACCCTCTTTCTGAAAATGACCTGCTTTCAGAAGTCCAGTCAGGGCCAATCTATGGCCTCACATTTACAAAACAGCCGACTTTAGTTCGGCTGTTTCTTTTACTTGTCATTTTCATTTTCCTGGCTGGGTCGGTTATTTATGTGACCAGGAGAGCATTGCCAAACTCCACAATCACTGCGCTAGCATGGAGCATTCCTTTCTTTTCTACTATTGTAGCATGTAAGTTTAGGGCATTGTCGGAGGACCATCCAGTACCGTTGGGGTCTATCCGTTTTCGATTCTCCTGTGTAAGTAAAAGACTTCAACAAAATTTCTCTTCTCTAATAAATTATAGCAATGTGGGGAAGCATTCCTGTGCGACATCAAGCAAGCAGAAGTCAATTTAGCACCTTTAGCGGCGCTCCTTCAGCCTCGGAGCGGCACACGTGAACATATAGGTGAGGTTGAGGTCACCCGACCACTTCACTCAGTTCGGCCTGCGTCCGAACCATATCAGGGTGCTTCCCTTACGGACGATTCGGATAAGAAGGTGAGACATGCAGGAGATAAGAACGTGCGTCTAGTGACATCACAGCACGATGCATCTAAACCGAATCAATCTCAGAGGAATGACCCGCGTACTGAAGAGGATCTCCAAGATACTTGCGGTAATAAGGGCGCTGAGGTCAAACTGTTTCTCATTGTCTGCTTTCCACACCATTCGAGACGCCAAATGTGGCAGACTAGCATTACCGAAATTAGTGATCATAGATTAATCAGGGGGATGAAAAAGACCTACTACCTTCTCAGACCTTTTTGGAGAAGGCTAGGAGGCCTCCGTGGCTTTAGCAACATCCGTTTAGCACGGGTGAGTTAATTACCTTGGCTTTCGCACTCAACAAAAGCTTACTAGTCACAGTTTGAACTTAGCCACACGATTGATGGCCCGCTGATCAATGATATAGAATGGAAATGGCCAGAAATTGAGGACAAGGACTGGGAATCTGTTTGCAGCGATTCCCAAGGGCTGCCTGTGGATGGTATCTCGAAGCTGATGGTCCACCTCTGGGTCTCGCAAGGAGGATCTAAAGATTCTGACCATGTGAAAAAGAATCCAGAGATAAAAAACGTTACAAAACCCCCAGCTAGGAAGCATCGGGTGCCCAGAATCGAGATATGCTGGCCGCGAACAACGCAGACTCTACCGGTGGAAGAAAATCAGGTGTCCAGTAGCGAATCGCACTGGATCAATCGCATGCGACTAGTAAGAATCTACTTCCCAGACCAAGATGTACTAAGAGGTGAGTGTATCTCTCGATCTTTTAGCTTTTTTGATTTTTCAAAATCATCTAATAGGCATTCTAGCGACCAATCCAGAGACAGATGAGCAGGTGGTAGAATGGCTCCAAACGGGGGGTATTGATGTTGACTTGGGCACGGTTGATCCTCAATATATCTTTCAAAAAACGCCAAAAAAGCGTGTAGAGCCACTATGCATTGATCCAAATGGTAGGGTTGCACCAATTGGATGGGGTATTTGGATTGATGAAGATTTCTATGTTCCTTGGTATCTCCTGCTTATATCCGGGGTCTTTTCACTTGGGATATTGATTTTTGCGGGTTTCTACACCTTTAAGCATGGGCCTTCAGCGAATGGGTGGACAATAGGTGGATTCATGTTTGCTCCGTTAAATATGCTCTTGACAATCTGGGTGTTGAAGACGAAAGACTCGAAACATCCACGATCCTAATAGCGGTGATATATAGTATATTTATTCATCGATATAACGGAGTTTAAAGAAGCAGCGGAAGCCATTTAAAACTTCCCAAAAGTTACAGTAAGGCAGTATAAATAGCAACTTGAACCTCAGGCGTGTACATCACGCGTGTACATCTATGACCCGTTTTGAATGATGGGGATCTTGCATTATCGATGAGCATGACAGATGTATATTCGGGCCATCGTTCGTAATGATCAGTTTTCATTGAGTTAACTGACGACTAGATCTGATCGGAGAATGAAGATGCCCACGAGGCTTCTGGAAGTAGTTGAATTGCTAAAGTATAGTCGATGTGTTACCCTTGAGCGGATCTATATCCCAATATGGACTAACGCGCCTCAGGTTGGGCCTCCGGGAAACAACGCAAGAGAGTGGGGACGTAAGGTTGATTTTCGAACATTAATCTATCATATCGCGGATAAGATGCAGCTTTGACGGGGAATAGACTTAAGACCATATTGCAAGCTCAATGTAGGGTGGCGCTCAAGACATGAAGGAGGATGCCTACTGCTAGGGAGAGAAGTGGGTGTTATCATACGTATAGGAGTTTCGTGTAAATTATACCAAGGGAGGTCCCGTCGCGTCATGTAAAATACAGGTTCTATTTTAAGAACCAAGGGATCGACGGACATACTTTATATGGATTAGCGTGTTTCAAGCTAGGGTTCGGGATATAAAGTCGAAGAGTGTGGAGGTAAATCTGATTTCGAATATTACTGTACATGCTGCCTTCAACTCTCCGTTTAAGTTCATTTTCGGGATTCAAGCTTTTGAAGAGGCTCGAGGTCCGGAGAGCCCGGGCGCGGCCGAAACGGTTGGGAGGGCATCATGATGCTCAGTCCAGTACGTGCTTGGGGTGGTCGTTCCTTCAAAGTTGTGCTACTCTACAGCTGCTCTACGTATGCTCTGAGGCGACCGCGTCCATTGAAGACTAATTAGGCCTGAAGTAGAGCGGACCTTGATCAGGTCCCATGGGATGGGGGTCCGGATGTATGGACCTTCCTAGTGTTTGACGTACATACTACTCTCAAATTTTGGTGAAGCGAGAATTGGAAGGATTCCATAAATCTCGATCTCGCACAAAGAGTCAATAGTGACACAATATAGCCATTTAGCGCCGTGGCGTCAAACGCCAATTTGTCGGCGTAAGCCCGTCCAATATCCAATTAATACCCATAGGGTCTATCTCGATGAGCATGACAAGCCAGTGACGCGTACTGCTGACAATAGGATGGTGTTTATTGCAAGTTGGGATTGGAAAGTGGGGGTAAGCCCGCATGAACTCAACTCTCCACGCCCGCTTCCCCAGCGTACCACATTCTCATCCATTCCGTATACCCTAACGTTGCGTCGTAGAAACCGTGCATGATCAAACAATTGAGTTGTAAATTCATCGCAAATAGCTATGTGCATACGCATTCTACCCGAAATTAAATCCAGATACATAGCTACGAAAGAACCTCTAATTTCCAGTCATAAACCACCAGAGAGCAAAGATGACCAGGTCACTTCTCGATAATAGCGTCAACTTTAGCATTGATACTGAAGCAACCTTCCTTCGGATATCCGATTCCGAGCTCGCGGTAGACGGCGATGTTGTCCATCGTGGTCTCATGGAGGACGAAGTCGAAGCGGCGGTTGATGTGGGCCAGGGACATGTAGATCTCTGCGTATGCGAGGCTGTTACTTATTAGCATTCCCAAGGTTCTTAGAACTGGCGTTATCCAGAAGAAAATGGATATGTACTTCATCCCTAGACACTGTCTGCTGCCCTTGGTGAACGCGACGATAAATCGGCTAAGGTATTCGCCATTCTCTGTGGCGCGGACCCATCGCTCGGGGTCAAATTTTTCGGGCTCGGGGAATAGGGTTGAGTCCATGTGCACGAAGTAGTTGGACTGGCTAACTGGGGTCTGGAAGGGGGTTAGCATCGTCAGACTAATGAATGTGATCTGCAGTGTAAATAGGTAAGAATATGTAGACCTACCCCCGCGGGGATAACCCAGTCTTTGTAGAGCATCGGGTCGTTCGGTGAAACGCGACCCAGACGTGCGGTCATGCCGTGACTCAGGCGGAGACCCTCGTTGACGACACCCGTCTAGCACCCCAAACGTTATTAGCCTTCCAATTCCCGCGAAAACATGAACTTCTTGGTATATAATTTACCAGATAAGGAAGCTTCTCAAGCTGAGTCCACGAAGCCTTAGAAGTAGGCGTCTTCAGTACAGTCCTCAGTTCAGCACGCAGTTTAATTGCCATATTTCTATTGTTAATAAGATGGAACATCGAGAGCGAAATAGCGCGCGCCGTGGTCTCCGTGCCAGCACCCAACAGCAAAGCAGACTCATCCTCCAATCTGTCCAGAGTTTTCTCCTCAGGCGGCACATGCGGACTAACCAGAGCATCAAAAATTGACCCCTGGTCCTTGATATCCGCATGATTCTCCATCTTCTTCAAGGTCTCACTAGCCTGTTGACGAAGCTTAGCTTTAAAGTTAAACAAATCTGCCATTTGCGGCTGCAGCCAGCCCACCATCTTCGGCGGGGCTGCACGAAAGATGGTAATGAGAATGGGGAAGAAGCGGTTGATATGGAACATGGACATCAGACCGTTCACGGCGTCGACAAAGTCATTGCTGCTCGAGCTATTCACATCATCCAGGTATCCGTGGCTCCAGCCGAAGGAGTAGTAGGTGATTACGTCGGCGGTCAGAGCGGCGAAGTCCAGCATTAGATGGAGGACTGTATCCTGGTGGTAGGCATCTTCGAAGCGGGCGATTAGTTTGTCGACCTTTTCGTTGATCATGGGAGTAAGATCCATAACCGAGCGTTTGGAGAAGTAGTTTGCGACGAAGCTGCGGCGCAAACGGTGGTGGTCATGGTCGACTGTTCCGACGAGAGAGTGGGGGGCGCCGAACGCGATGGCGTACTTTGGATCTTTGGCACGTTTGCGCGATCCTGGAGCGTGGATTTCTTCGTAATAGTAGGGGTCTTTGATATGCAGTTCTTGAGGACTGATTCGGATGATTGGGCCTAGTATATATGAGTATCGATATAGTAGGACAGGAGTGGAGATCGGGCTTCGGTTAGATAAACACAGGGTATACTTACCGTACTGCTGGTGCATGCGCTCGATTTCCCAGATATACATTCCACTCTTAACGACGTCGTAGTAGAACTCATAGAGGAAAGTAGCTGCGGCAAGCTTGGGACCGGGGAATCCGGCTAATGGATGAGCATACAAACGATAGATGACTATATGCACGCTGTAGAGGATGGAGGAGGCCAATGCCGCCAGAGCAGCGTAAAGTAGAAGATATTCCATTCTAGTGGTAGAATACAGAACGGGACTCCGGAGAGTCAAATCGAGCTCCTATCACGAGGGAAGAGTAAGAAAGAAAGGAGAGCAAGGCAAAGCAGCAGAAAAAGACGGGAAACTATTATTTGAGTAAAAGGCGAGACCGTGGCTCTCATGACTCGCAACCGAGCCTTCATGACTGGGCTGAATTGCATTCCTAGGTTGCCAGGGCTGACCCGCTATAGAACCAACAGCTATAACTGTTCCAACTACTACATCCCATACACGCCAATCCATCTCGGACACAGATCCCGAAGATACCTCTAATAGACGCTCGCTGGACCAGTGGAACAATTCCCCGGATGGGGCCCCGGGGGGGTTTGTTGACGGTCACCCATGGTCCAAGTTCGTGATAACTAGGGACAATGCACAGCGTGCACTTGATCCGATCCACCGCCGACACGTCGCTGTGACAAATCATTGTGTAGTCTACCCATGGTAGGCGGTCCGTGGGCCATTTGGAAAGCCTGTGCGTATTGGCGAAGAAAAAAGCAAAAAAAAAAAAGAAAGAAAGAAAACGAACCTAGGGCACAGGGTACATGGCACTATCGTGAGATCTTGTCTTTAGCTGCATTAGTTGATTTTGGCGTCGAACGGCGCTAACAACCGGATGATGTAAGCGCGAACGGGCCGCTTTGCTGATTGAGATGCGGCTGAGCTAGGGAAAACAAATAGCCGAGTCGTGATCCGCGTGTTTCTTATGCCCGCACACTGTTCCAACATCTGAATGTTGTGAATAGAATCATGTTCGGCCGGTATGATGCAAAAGGGGATCACATAATCCATAGAAGAAAGGAATACCCCCGAGCAACTAAGGTGTGGAAATCAGAGACAATTCTCCCTATGACAGGCATATAGCCGAATAAAGTTCAAATATCCAGTTTGAACATTTCAATCAATTGGACCACCAGTGCATTCCTGTAAAGAAACAAATGTCCACAATTTACACCTATGAAAACATCCGTGATAGGGTCGGGAAAAAAAAGTGAATAGTAAAATAAAACAGAGGAAAGCGGCTGGCAAGACATTGGACAGACAAGGAAAAAAAGATCCCAACTCCGTTTTAATTCCCCATCTATGCGGCCAGAATCTTCTTGGTCTCGGCAATGGCGCGACCAGGGTTAAGACCCTTGGGGCAGGTTCGTGTGCAGTTGAGAATGGTGTGGCAGCGGTAGACGCTCATGCTGTTGTCGAGAGCAGCCTTGCGCTCGGCGGTGCGCTCGTCACGCGAGTCGACCAACCAACGGTAGGACTGGAGAAGAATGGCGGGACCAAGGTACTCCTCGCTGTTCCACCAGTATGAAGGGCAGGAGGTGGAGCAGCAGGCGCACAGAATGCACTCGTACAGGCCGTCCAGCTTCTTGCGGTCCTCGGGACTTTGGCGGTTCTCAAGACCCTGCAGAGGGGGTTAGACTGGACGCTCATATGTCAAATATGACAAGAGGGGACTTACGTCTGCTGTGGGGGTATCACGCTGGAGGTAGGGCTTGATGGACTTGTATTGCTTGTAGAACAGAGTCAAATCGGGGACGAGGTCCTTGACGACGTAGGTGTGAGGCAGGGGATAGATGCGAGACTCCTGGGCAGCGTCGGTGGGGATACGGCCTGGACCGAGTCAGTATTTCAATGTTCGGAGGTGCGCTGTCGTTGCGCGGGGTGGCGAGGGGACATACACAAGCAGGCCAGGGTGTTGACACCGTCAATGTTCATGGCGCAGGAACCGCAGATACCCTCACGGCAGGATCGGCGGAAAGTCAAGGTAGGGTCAATCTCGTTCTTTATCCGGATAAGAGCGTCGAGCATCATAGGACCGGTCTTCTTGAGGTCGAGCTGGTAGCTCTCCATGCTGGGCTTCTCAGTCGGCTTGTCCGGGTTCCAGCGGTAGACCTTGAAGGTCTTCATGCTGGGGTTCTCGGAGGGAACAGGGTCGACATTCTTAGTCTCGACGGTCGCATAGGAGCGAGCGAAGGTGGCAGGGCGGAACAGAGGCCGCGACGCAGCGAACAATCGCGACGTGGAGCGGAGGGAGGCCATGGCGAATTAGAGGCGAATTGAAAAATCCGGGGTTGACGACAAAATTGAGATGTATGCTGTGCGGACAGCCACGTAGGGGAGGGGAGATGGGTCGAAGATGTAAAGAGACCTTCGAGACAAGCCTGAGCACCACAAGCACAGATGGCGGCAAAATGAAGTCAAGGAGCAACTTGAACTTGGTAACCTCGGGTTTGAGCGTCGGCAGCCTGCTGACTCAGGCGATATGGGCCAATCACAAACGTGATAATTCGGCTCCGATTGTCAGCATCGGGCGGACACGGCCTGCCTGGATGCCCTCATTGCCGCTCAGATGCCGTTCCACGTCCCCAGTGCGCACTATAGATGTAGGTTGTGGTACTATGAACACCGCGGTTGCAATCACACTCGACTATACTATTTACAAAGGGCCATCCCCCACCGAGACATGGTGGTAGACCAACAATAAGATTGTTTGCCTCAGGCACCAAGGCACCGACATCCGAATTCGTTGCCGAGACCACGGCTGCGCTGTTCCGGCCCAGAGGGCCTCGGATTGACACCTTAAACCGCACTCACATGCAACAAATGAAACACTTGCTATTAACAAAATGCTGATCTCTAACCGCGATTGACATAGTTTTGGTGCCACTCATAATCCCGATTTCCCCTCAAAAATCCCCGGATCGCCTCTCGGGGCAACACCGGCTGCCGGCCCAGTACCTCCGTCATGAGCGGATCGGTTATCCCTGCATCACCCTGAGCAATTGCATCGTACCATGACAGGAGCTTGCGGAAGAATGCCTCCGGCTTCCCTCCTTCATCATTCGCGCTTTTCAATTGCACGAATTCTTCCAGAGAAACAAGCTTGACCTGCACATCTCGGCCCGTGGTCTCGTTGATAAGATCCGCGATCTCGCTGAACGTGACGGGCTCCTGGGCGGTCAGGAGAACAATTTTCTTGTCGTATCCGCCGCGAATCATCAATCGAGCGTTCGCTTCGCCTAGCTCGTCGCGCAGGGTGAAGGCGATGAGCCCATCGGATGGCAGATAAACGGTGGATGTGCTTGGGTACCACCCCATGAAGATTGGGAAGGCATCAGTGTATAGACCTTCACGAATGGAGGTGAAATTGATACCGGATCTGACGAGGGCAGTTAGCCAGTGTTTTGGGTAGTCACTCGATCCGCGCTTACTGTCGCATCATTTCCTCGGTCATCAAATGAGCTTGCTGCACATCTGCCCTGGAATCGGAGCGGAACCCTCCAAATGCGAGTGATGTATACCAAGTCTGCTGATGTTAGTCTATTGCTGTCGACCGATGCTTTGTCTCGGACGTACATGTTTGACATTCATCTTTTTGGCGGCGTCGACGAAGCTCTGGTGCTGTTGTCGTCGCTTCTCGACATCGAACGTGCTGGTGCTCACAAATAACAGGTTCTCCACATCCTCAAATGCGGTCTCCATCGTTTGAGGGTCATCGTAGTTGACTACGCGGAAGGCAATTCCCTGATCCTCGAAACGTTTGCGGTTTGCCTCGTTCGACGAAGCAGCTGCGTATTCTGATGCGGGCACGTTGGCCACAAGATAAGACAATACCTGTGAACCCAGACCGCCCGTGGCTCCTGTGATCAGGTACTTGAGAGTCATTCCTTATAGTGAGATTTGAAGACACTAGAGAGTCTGATTGTCCTTTCTGAAGCTTGGGTAAAATGCGTATGACAGCTGTTGTTGAATGTGGCCATGGAAGCTAGAGCTATAGAAGGCCTTTTATAGCCATCCTTAAAATGCAGTCATCATTGAGATCAATAGAGCTTGGAATCTTCCTGAGCTTAAGCACGTTACCACGTTGCGTAAGCCGGAATTGCTAAGCAGCACACCGTTACGTTACTCATATGCAGGTGTGAGTGACCCCGCGGCCTTTGGTATTGCATGACACCGACGCCCGAAGCCCGACGCCCGAAGCTCAAGGTCTCACCATAGATCCTGCATTTGACCTTGCAATATTTCATCATCGATGTACCGCGGTATTCAAAGCGCCAGTGGTATAATCATCACCAGAAAAGTCACAGGCACAAACACAATTTGCAAGTCCCTGGATATCAAAATAATATAGGTAGATCGTCATCAAGATTGTTTGTAAATAATCTAAGAACTTGTGTATTATTAAATATCCTAAAGCGTCTATCGTAGCCATATCTAGGTATTCCGCGATGAAGGGCGCGACGAGTGCTCGGGCGAGGGTGTCCTTCCATCCACCCTCGAAACATTAACCTCATTTGTCACCTTGATTCCAGGCCTGGAAGAAATGATTGACCCATTCGCATCCCTCGTCACGGAGACCTCAGAAGGCATCATCTCATAATCATCATGGCCAAGCTTGGCCCAATTAAGTAAGCGTTTATCATCGCGAGTATGCGAGCCCATGCCGCTCACCGGCTTTGAGTGACTGCGCAGTTTCCCTGCGGATCGCGATCGCGTGTGGCTGGAGGTATACTCTGTCAGGTGGGAGAAAAGATTTCCGAAGACGGGTTTCAAGGCGGGGACGGAGAGGGCGATCATTGTTCCTGCAATTTCAGCGTTTTCAACGCACAGCATTGGGTTGTAGGCCCAGCTGCCATCGGATGCCCATTGGCCCCTAACGACGAGCCAGACGCGGATGGCGGAGATGATGATGACGCTTTAGGACATTAGACTTTGGCTCGGGAGGAGTAGGAGATAGGTTCACTTACAACACACCGGGGAACATAACCAGCGAGAGCTTGATCTTCTTTTCCATGGAGACATGGAGTTGCTTGATGAGGATGGCCGGAATGACGAACATCAACACATCACAGGCGAGAGATAGGCCGGAGTTGACCGAGTAGACCAAGCCCCATGATAAACATTTATAGGTGATGGGCTCGCTCTGCCAGGCATATGGCCACAAGCCTGTAACAGGACTGCAGTGGAAGATCAAAAGGAAAAGCTGCGGGAGATATGCGATAAAGAGGAATGGAGCGGCAGCTAGAATAGCGATGTGGAGCTTGCCGGCGCGTGCCGTGAGCCGGAAGTAGAAGGCAAGACCAGAGAGTCGGCAAAAGAAAAGGGCTGTTGTATAGAGAACGTGTGCGACGAAGTCGAGGACTTCAGTTTCGCGGACGGTGGCCATGGACAGGACATATTGAATGTATTCGATGTGGCGGCCACTTCCAAGTTGAATGAGGACGACAGATAGGGCAACGAATGAGATGTAGACCAGCTGGATTTCATAACGTTAGCCTCGCTACTAGCAAGAAGTCCTAATGCATGGTCCTTGCTTGATTCGCTCTGATTGGGATAGATCAGCACATACCATAGTCAAGATGGCCAATGCGTCATCGAAGCCGACTTTCTTAACAATGAAGAATCGTGCATAGAGTCGAACAATCAACAAAATGCCCGTCAAACAGACCATGAACAGAATTCCCACGATGGCCGAATGATCGCGAGACTGAGCGAGATAATTTAGCGAAACATCGGAGGGAATCCTTCCGGCTGCTTCCGCAGCGAGGATATCAGAGGGTATGGTCATAGTAGATCGATTAAAAGAATGGCATGATAGATTCAAAGATGCATAATGGGACCAAAATTCACAGGATGGGCGCAAAGTGAACGACTTTGGCCTGGCTATAACGACCGACAAGAAAGAACAATATTATCGGACGAGGAAAGTGGACGCATGCGGGTCTTTACGATTGATAATTTTCAAGGGCCTCCATTTGACTAGCCAACGGGAGTCGAGTACGGATGTCCATCGTCTGAGTCCAGCCTCTGAAAAGAACTGCCCAGGTGTGGAGTTCAGCTGGGCATTTTTGACTTCCAAACTTCCCGAGGTTTCGTATACAGGCTCTAAAACTTAATCTGGGAAAATTCTGACATACCAATGTGCTGAGATCGCTGTTCCATGGCTCGGAAGCAATTTATCTTTTGGTCTTGGCAATAGGCCTGGACAAGTCTTGATATCATTGCTTATCTCGACTGGTAGATGAGTAATACCTGCCGATTGACTCCTTGCCTTTCGCTCTCTGGCTAAAAGCTTGTGCATACGGAGGATTGGGAATGCCGAGACAGAAACAATATAATGCTCCTCCACACTATTAGCCTATCAGGGGATTGTAGCGCGTAATGGTAAAGCCGCTAGTGTCACTGGCGTCAACTTGATGAAGAACCTCAATCCTGGAGGATTCTGACCGACCACTCAACGTGAAGTAGTGGGGCTGGATCGATAACCGATCGGAGAAATTTGATCCAATCGGTCACCGACCACGGTAAACAAGGGCCCTACAGGTTCGTAACGATTTCTTCGGGCGCTCTTTAAGGCAGGAGGTTAACTTGACTGCTCCTCTGATCGCGCTAGTCCCGCGATTGATACTGGCTCGGAGGCGAAGTTGGTGCCGACGGGCGTTAGATGACGCCTGTAAATGGCAGAGAGGAGTTCGGGGGGTCACGGGGGGTCATTTTCATAAGCATACATTCACCGTGGAGCTTCCGCGTGTGCCGGCTCATTCTACACTAAGTATACAAATGGGAAGCTAGTGTTGTTGCTTTTCCTGTATGCGAAGGTGAAGGTGGGCCTTCCTAAAAGCCTCAAGGCCGTTTACATTCTTCGATTAGTCAAGGTAGTTCGGGTCACACCCGGCCCGCCCTTTGTCTTAGGCGAAGGTCCGGTGTATATGAGATTCCGATTCCCCCGAAAAGATCGTCCCTGCCACATGGGTTTTTGGTGGGGTTCAATCTTTACCTCAATTTCACATCATGTCGCCCTTGTTGCAGACCATCGTGAGCGGATTGGCTCTGGCCGGCTCGGTCATTGCCAGCTCGGCCAGGGATAACGATACCCTCGTCGCTTCTCAGATCCTTACCGATCCCTATGCCTTCGACTTCCCTCGTCTGGGATCCCCCGGTGCCTCCCTGTTTCCTATGCGTCACTGCCACGGCTTCAAGCTGGAGGAGGCTAGTGTCGATGACATTCAGGAACGCCTGACCAATGGCTCCTTTAACAGCGTTCAGCTGCTCGAATGCTACCTTGATCGCATCTACCAGACCCAGCCTTATCTAAAGTAAGTTCACAAAGTTGATATGGATTATGTATTTTTCCAAAATACTGACGGACTCATAGTGCCATCCTGCAATTCAACCCGGATGCTTTCACTATTGCCCAGAAGCTGGATGAGGAGCGTGCCCGGGGTAAGGTTCGTGGTCCTCTCCATGGTATTCCCTTTATTGTCAAGGACAACATCGCCAGTAAGGATCGCATGGAGACCACTGCCGGTTGCTGGGCTTTGCTTGGTAACGTTGTTCCCCGCGATTCTCACGTCGTGCACGGTCTTCGTAAGGCCGGAGCCCTGCTTCTGGGTAAGGGTGCTTTGAGTGAGTGGGCCGACATGCGTTCAAACAACTACTCCGAGGGCTTCAGTGCTCGTGGTGGCCAGTGCCGTAGTGCCTACAACTTCACCGTGAACCCCGGTGGTAGCAGTACTGGACCCGGTGTTGCCGTGGGTGCTAACCTGATCCCTATTGCCATTGGTACTGAGACTGATGGCAGTGTCATCAACCCTGCCCAGCGCAATTCTATTGTTGGAATCAAGCCCACTGTTGGTCTGACCTCTCGCTCCGGTGTAATTCCCGAGTCTCTGCATCAGGACACTATTGGAACCTTTGGAAAGACTGTTCGTGATGCTGTCTACACCCTTGATGCTATCTACGGTGTTGACTCCCGTGACAACTACACTCTTGCTCAGAAGGGCAAAACTCCCAAGGGCGGTTACACCCAGTTCCTTGCTAAGAAGGATGCTCTCAAGGGTGCCGTGTTCGGTCTGCCCTGGAATTCATTCTGGGCTCTTGGTGATGCCGATCAGATTGCCCAGCTGGAGGAGCTTCTGACTCTCATCAAGTCTGCCGGTGCCACCATTATCAACGGTACCGAGCTTCCCCACTACAAGGAGATTGTCTCTCCCGACGGCTGGAACTGGGACTACGGTACCACCCGTGGTTACACCAACGAGTCAGAGTACTCCTACATCAAAGTTGACTTCTACAACAACCTGCGCGACTACCTCGCCGAGGTCAACAACACCAATATCAAGACCGTCGAGGACCTTGTGCAGTGGAACATCGACAACTATGGCTCCGAGGGTGGCCTTCCCGGCATCCACCCTGCCTTCGGCTCTGGCCAGGATGGTCTCATCGCCTCCATGGAGAGCAAGGGTCTTATGAACGAGACCTACTGGGAGGCCCTGGCCTTCTGCCAGCGCACCACTCGCGAGGAGGGTATCGACGCCGCCCTGAAGTGGAACAATGGCACCCTTGACGGCCTCCTTGTGCCTCCGGATGTTGCCCAGAGTATTCAGATCGCCGCTCAGGCCGGTTACCCCGTTATCACCGTGCCTGCCGGTACCGAGCACGTGTCCGGCATGCCGTACGGTCTTGCGATCATGAACACCGCCTTCTCCGAGCCCACCCTCATCAAGTACGCCAGTGCCATCGAGGATCTTCAGAAGACTTCCGGTACCAAGTGGCAGCGTACTCTCCCTGAGTGGCGTGGCTACTTGGAGCGCAACCTGCCGGTTATCATGTAAATTGAGCCGAGAGGTGATAAAGAAAAGTGATGACGGTGTGTCTCGCTGTACAACACGCATCATGTAATAGATAGCGCCATATTAATTATTGTACCCATGCTGAGAATTTGCATCCCTTACCTTATTCTTCGTCAATTTTGATTTTTGGTTATTTCTTTTTGCCTGATACTGGTTCCACAGCAATAAGCAGCTGCTGGGCACTATATTATAGCGCATGTTGAGAAATTGTCGGTCGGCCTCCTGCCATGTTGAGCTCGCTATCGACGATTTAGATGGCGTCGGTCTTGCTGATCCGTACCTGAGTTCGCGCTATGCCGAATATCAACTCTCCGGGCCGATTCGCCGAGACCCAGAGTGGAGCGCGATGACCTTCCAGAGAGTGATGGGGTTTTCTGCGGACGCCGACGGAAATGAAATGTTCAACAAGTCAGGAGCCTCACTGTGGAAACTTGGCAACAGGAACAGTTGGCACTGACCAACACTAATGCTGTAACGGTAGGATAAACAAGGATCCATGATCGTCTGGGAGAGCCATAACCGTGTTCACGGCGTGGTCTAAGATTATTGATGCAGAAACTGCTAACGTTACTTTGAGGATCTGCATAGTCTATTTCCTTGCCAGTTTCCCCGGTGTCTTGGCTCTGCATATCTTCTTAACTCTGTGATGCCAAGACGGAGTAATTCATTCCCCAGTCACTCCGTCTCAACAATCCAGATCATTCTGGGGCCCTTGGACCATGGGATTCGGAGACACTCCGGCAAAACAATATGGCAATGCTTTTCTAAATTAAAGTGAGGACCTAGCTGACTTCGGAGCACGCCTCCTCCAAGTTAAACGCCCGACCGGCAATAAGGCCCAGATGGATCAAACTACTTAAAGTGGTATAGTGGGGCTACGATGTACGATGGTGAAACATCTTCAAGCACCGAACTCACCCTTTAACCTCCCGGGGCGCTTCCAAGGCTATACCTTAATCAATTTCTAGTTTGTGGAATTACTTGCCCGCGCGCACGTGTGGCTTGCTCACATCTTCCGAAGCCCTAGTCCCCCACTACTCTGCGCTGTGGATATGCCTCCTCCCCTGGGGTTGGTCGCCAAGGTTAGCCTCAGAAGGGGGTGTATCATAATGCACACCCGGTGATAGCTGGGATCCAGAAGAGAAACTAGACTCGTTCCAAGGGGTGGAGCCAAGAGCTTCCATGGTTTTATCCTATGGCTGGCTAGGAGCTTGATCCTGCTGATGGCTATTTAAGATGTCGAACATGCCCGTCACTAGCTTCTTCACACTCACCTTCTCATACTCATCCGGTCTCTTCTATTCAATATGAAGTACACCGCTCTCCTCGCAGCTTTTGTTGCCCATGCTGCTGCCGTCAGCGTCTCCGGTGCCGCTGAGGGTTTCGCCAAGGGCGTGACCGGTGGTGGCTCTGCTACTGCCGTCTATCCTACCACCACCGATGAGCTGGTCTCCTACCTCGCCGATGATGAGGCTCGTGTTATTGTCCTGACCAAGACCTTCGACTTCCGTGGCACCGAAGGTACTACCACCTCCACCGGTTGTGCTCCTTGGGGTACTGCCTCCGGCTGCCAGGTCGCCATCAACCAGAACGACTGGTGCACCAACTACGAGCCTGATGCGCCCTCCGTCTCCGTTTCCTAGTGAGTGTTGTCCCCATGTCATACAAAGGAGCCGAACCTAACCACCGACAGCGATAACGCCGGTATCCTGGGTATGACTGTCGCCTCTGACAAGACCATTCTCGGTGAGGGCTCCGCTGGTGTCATCCAGGGTAAGGGTCTTCGCATTGTCAGCGGTGCCTCGAACATTATCATCCAGTACGTCGATCTCAAGCATCTGAGCAAGGTCCCCCCCCCTAACAATCTCACAGGAACATTGCTATCACTGATATCAACGCCGAGTACGTCTGGGGTGGTGATGCCATTACCATCGACGACTCTGATATGGTCTGGATTGACCACGTTACTGTACGCATCCTCGTTCCCATTGATCACAACCCCTCCTAACAATCATAGACTGCTCGCATCGGTCGTCAGCACATCGTCCTGGGTACCGAGGCCTCCAAGCGCGTGACCATTTCCAACAACTTCATTAACGGTGTCTCCACCTGGTCCGCTACCTGCGACACCTACCACTACTGGGCCATCTACCTCGACGGTGACAGCGACCTTGTCACCCTGAAGGGCAACTACATCTACCACACCAGCGGTCGTTCCCCCAAGGTTCAGGGCAACACCCTCCTGCACGCCGTAAGCATCACCCACCACGACGAACCCAAATCAAAATCCCCTCTAACTCCTAACAGGTCAACAACTACTGGTACGACAACACCGGCCACGCCTTCGAGATCGGCACCGGCGGCTACGTCCTCGCCGAGGGCAATGTCTTCCAGAACATCGACACCATTGCCGAGTCCCCCATTGACGGCTCCCTCTTCACTGCCCCCAGCACCACCGAGAACGAGGTGTGCAGCACCTACCTTGGCCGTGTCTGCCAGGTCAACGGATTCGGATCGTCTGGCACTTTCTCCCAGAGCGATACCGGCTTCCTCTCTGACTTTGAGGGCAAGAACATTGCTACTGCTACTGCTTACACTTCCGTTGTCTCGAGTGTTACCGAGAACGCTGGTCAAGGTAACCTGTAAGCGTGTATATAACCCGCCTTTCTGGAAAAGAGGGAATGTTGAGGGGCGTTTGTATAGTGTAGGATTATTAGGATTATTGAGTTAGGAAATGACAGTGTCTTTTCTGACTGAAAGTTTCTTTTCGTAATTTGTAATTGGTAGCGCACTCCGTGCTTAGTCGTGAAAGTCATTTCTCACGTTAATAATAGGGTGCCACTCCGTCCATTCCTTTAAGTAGAGCATCAAGGCTCAATTAATAACGATCAGACCAGGTCCTGCGAGAGTCCACTTGGCCACGGCATTCGCATCTCCAAATGGTCCCTCGCTAAGGGTAACGGTCGCAATCGTGAGCCCATTCATCTCGTTATCGTCGTATGGGAAGAGAGCCTCCGCCTTGACTAGGTCACCCTCCCGCGACACCACACGGAGAGCTTCGACAATAGGCAGATTCTGCTGATTGATATAAGTCATCCACAGCGGATGAGAAGTTTCATTACGGGTATCCGAAAACGAAAAAGTGAGATTCTTGCTTTGGGCGACCGGGGGCGTGATGATGTTTAAAGTCTCATAGGTGCGTAATCCGATCTCGAGTATATTTGGACAAGTGCCGGGCACGACGAAGCTCTGGATCGCAGTAAAGGCGAAGTTGATGTCGCTGGTGGTGAGGAACGGCAACTCGCTGGGAACCTTGCCTTGCATGACTCGGAACCATCCTTGTTGCTCGCCTTCTTGACCGATGACGGAGGCGATCTCCCGTGCGAGGTCCACATCTTTGCCGATCGCAAAGGTCTCGACGACATCTTGTAGGGTGCCGAGGACGACATCGGTGAAGGTCATAGCAAGTGCGATGGCGGAGTCGAAGTCTTGGACCGGGAATTTGTAGTGGCAGGGCTCGATGGGCTTCACGCCGAAGCTGCTCAGGGCGTTGTTTGCGCGAATTGCGTGTAGCTCTTCTTGCTAGAAAGGGGAGTCAGGACCAGGGTCTCAGGATAGGCGCCATGATTCACAAAACTTACAGCAAGAATAACCTTTAGCCAGGAGAGGGTCTCAGTACGATCGTCGTCATCAGTGAAGCGATATCCCTCCACATTCTCGGTGATATTGGCGATAAGCTCGCTGAAAAAAGCCACCTCGAAGAGTTCGTTGAACGCGATCAGCTTCAGGTTGAGAATACCTCTGTTGCTGATAACAGGTGGAGCGGGACCGTTGGGCAGGGTTCCGTGGGCGTTTTGTTCGATGACCTTGAGTTCACCCGGGCTTGGATAAGGGAGTCCATCGGGCAGCTCCTCGCCCGCGTCAGGGGCCCTGGCTGTCGGAGCAGCAATTAGAGAGGAGACCACGCTCATAAGAGCAATGGTAGATAGGAAGAAACGCATGTTGAGGATGATGAAAGTTATAGTAAAAACTGGGGAGCAAGGAGAGCAAGGAGAGAAAGGGGAGATGATGGAGTTCTTTTAAGTACTGACAGTGAGATGTGCAAAGTTCCAAAAAGTCAGATGGAACAGAGTATCAACACAGCCTTGGGGGCTTTGGGCAGGAGAGTTGACTGGGAAGGCGTGACTCCGTTGCTGTTGTGTGCTACCAAATCAGGAAACAGGTAAGTGCTGGGATGTTTAGATTCCCGATTTCCCACTGGCTACTCTATATTTAGTGCAGTTTTAGACAAGGCTTAGCTGGTCAGGGGAAAGCTGAGGATCTTCTGCGTAGCCGAACATGAGCAGGAGCTATGATTGTTCGCCTCACCTAGATGGGCTAGAGCTCGGCGGTGCAACACTCACGTTTAACCTTTTGAGGCTCGATATTGCCATATGAAGATAAACACAACACTATAAGAGGATACGAGAATTGGGGTCCCTTCATGGCAGAGAATCTGAGTAAGACATCTTATTTCAATTGCGACTGCGGCTGTGGCGGTGGCTGAGGCTGATGCGGAGGCTGCCCTCGTCCATGACTGATCTGGCCGGACATATTTTGAAGCTATTCAAAAAGATACGTTTTAACAAGGGAATACATGGAGGTCAAAAAGAGGTCTAAGTTGAAACTCAGATAGATGTCGAGGAAGAACTCAAGAATCAAGTGTGTAGGCCCATCTGGATAACTAGGCCCTCCCTCGCAGAAATTTTCGGTTGATGAGACCGAAATGCGCCTGATCCGTTGCTTATCAGATTAACGGGGAGAGTGCCTGGCCTCAGAAATATTTCAAGTTATCAATGTTTGACTGTAGTTTCTGACAAGCCCAGACTGAAGATCGAGATTGGATCGTCTATCTGAGTGCAGGCACGGATATCACTTGTTGATGTTCGTCGGTCATAACATCTATGATGCGTTCCACAATTTAATGAAGGTTGAGGTCGCACTTGCTGTCAACTACAGCGACTCTTGGAATCAGCCTGCGTTTGATGAAAGGAAGGAGAAGCCAATTTGTGTGTAGCGGGGAGGAGCAGAGAGCTGCCACGGACCTTCCTCTCTGTGAGTATGGTGATTTAGCCTGAATCTCATCTTTGCATCTATTCTTGATCCCTGTTCGCTTCTGCATACCCTACGTTACATCCTATCGTGAACCAGTGCTTGGTCAGCTCGATCTCGGGAGCGACGTGTCAACTGTCGACCCCCATCCCAGTATGTTGTCTTTGTTCAGATTTACAAGACCCCCTCCCAAAATGGATTGGAACCTCACCCAGGAGCAGATTGACCATTTCATGCGACATGGATTCGTTCGCATACCCGGCTGCTTCTCCCGGGCCAAAGCTGCCCAGTGGACCGCCGACGTTTGGATACGACTTGGGTACTCGCCTAATGACAAGTCAACATGGGCTGCCGAACGCATTCACATGCCCGACCACAAGTGTGAGCCTGTCAAGACTTTTGCGCCCAAAGCATGGGCTGCTATGTGTCAACTTCTCGGCGGTGAGAACCGTATGATGGCGCATTCAGCTACCTGGAACGACGCGTTTATCGTCAATCTTGGCACGGCCGAGTCCGAGGGCAAAGTGCCCAGGCCAACTGAGCTGGATGGATGGCATGCTGATGGTGACTTCTTTACTCATTTCCTCGATTCCCCTGAGCAGGGGTTGCTGGTCATCCCTTTGTTTACCGACATCCAAGAGCATGCGGGTGGCACCATGGTCTGCTCCGACTCGATCAAATCCGTGGCTCGGTACCTTGTAAGTGTAATTTACTACTAATCAATATGTTTCATCTGATTTCGCCGATAGTATGATCATCCCGAGGGCGTGTCTCCGTATATGGTTCCCCGAGGCAGTGGCCAGGACCCTCACAAGCTTGACTTCTACGATTCTATCATCCAGGACTGTCATGAGTTCCATGAGATGACCGGTAACGTGGGAGATGTGGTTCTTCTTCACCCACTTATGGTGCACTCGGCTTCCATCAATAGCTTGAGAATTCCACGCATCATCACAAACCCACCTGTCTCTCTGAACGAGCCCTTCAACTTTGACCGCAATGACCCAAGCCAATACAGCATTGTTGAGAAGAAGACCCTTCACGATCTCGGCCAAGACCGACTGACCGGTTGGAAGATTAAGGGTGGACGCGAGTTTGTGAAGCCCGACCGTCTGAAGACCCAGGAGGAGCTAAAGGAGCAGGAACTTTTACGGTTGAGCATGAAGAAGCCACCCCCCAGTACCTGAATCTGGTAAGCAGACGAGGCGGTGGGATCAGTGCTCGCTGACATGAGACTTGGACCCTGGCCTGACACACTTCTTTTTAGCCTAAATACCCCAGTATTGTCTTGAGGCACTCTATGTTATTATTTTGGACGACTTTACGCTCCCTGATGTCAAACTCTGTGCTTCAAAGCGTTGAGATGGCAAATATTCAATTTACTATTCTTGATCATATTTTATTCCTTTTTTTTCCACAAAAAGGCAGACGAAAGGCCACCTAGAGCAGCGACACACGTGATGACCTCCCACACCACTTGTAGCGCCATTGCGGAAGCATCCTGGACCGCTTCTCTCTGACCTTCCGCCATTCGTACCTGATCCATCAAGATAATATATCCTTTGGCTGTATTGATAAGGTCATATTTCAGACCAATACTATGAAGCTCATAGCCAAGGCGGTTCAAAAAGATGACTCCACCAACTGGAATCGCAAAAGCCATTCCCCAGGCGCGCATCAAGTTTGCGATGGTGGTTGGTTTTGTTGGCAAGGAAATCCCTTCCTCCTTGGGGATATTATGGATGCGAATGTTGTAGCTTGACAGCAAAAGGCCATGACCCAGTCCAGCCGAAAAGAATAAGAACACCCACCCAATGGTCGGAGTTGTGCTATCGAGGAGAATGGAGCATCCCGATGCGAGGACAATTAGGAGCCAGCCTCCGGAAATGATCCATTTGGAGCACTGCGACTCCCGAGCCAGGATGATGCCCACCAGGGCGGCTGGTATGATGGCGATACCAGTGATTGCGAATAATGAGACACCAGAAAGGGCAGTGCTGAAGTATTTTGTCGACATAAAATAAAAAGTCAAGAACTGCAGCTGGCAGTAAATCTGAGAAGAAGGTTAGCTACTTCCTCCCATATGAACACTAACCCAAAACTCACCACAAAGCCATGAAGGAAGCATCCCACATAAGTCATAACCGTAGCCCTCGTCCTAAACACACGCACACCAAACTGCGGATGCAGAGCCCCATTCGATTCATAAAACACCATCGCGATGAAGATTGCAACTCCTACAGCAATCGGCATCATTGTCTGCCACTCATTCCACCGGTATACACTCCCGGCCCAATTCAATCCAACAAGAATAATACCCGGGCCAAGAAATGCCATCGTAGCACCAGACCAGTCGAGAATTCGCAGCTTGCGAAGCGGGATATTCTTCGACACACGCAGATCAACGGCGAATGGAATAACGAGGAGACTCAAAGCACAGAAAATAAAGTTGAAGTAAAACGCCCATGTCCAATGCGCGAAATCAACGAATAACCCACCAATGATCGGTCCAACGATAGTTCCAATCAGACGCGTGAGCATAATATAACATGAATACCGCGAGTGGATAGACTCGGGTGCTGATTCGGCCATTATCACGAAACAGAGACTCATTGCGCCTCCGCCACCGATACCCTGGACCAAACGACCAATGATAAGCTCGGTAAGGCTCATCGCCCCGCTGCATATCCCAGTACCGATCGTGGTGAATACGACAGCAACGATCCAGACAGGACCGTGGCTGAAGACTTCGCACATCATTGTGAAGAAGAGTTGGCTTCCAGCACTGAAGACCAGGTAGGCTGTATTCACCCAGAGGGCGTTTGCGAGTGGTTCGTCGAATGAATTAGCTAGTTCCTGTATACTGCATTAGTGTCGCCATTGGGAGATCGGTCGAGGCGACACATACCGGCAAGACGGGTATCAAAACAGCCGCGTCAAATGCATCCATCATCGCCAGGATGACGATACAGATGAAGACCAGCCAGTCGCACACGCCAGGTCTCCATTGTTGTTCTTCGGGTGAAGGTTCGCTCTCGAAGAGCTGAATCGTGCTTCCTTGCGCTGGGTTCGGAGATCCATCGTCTACGCTGTGAATGCTCGTTCGCGGATCGAAGTTTGACTTGGGCTCAATGACGAATGTGTCTGCGAGTACTGTTGGGCGTCCCATTTGATGTGGGGAGCTGTAGTGCTCGAATTCAAACAGGTCGCGTGTGTATAGATTGTCGCTAGTTTTCTGTACAAGTTCGTGTAGGCGTTAGGTTAGGTGACGGTGGAAGGTCATGGCCGAATGCCGGGATTTATGCCCTCGGAGGTCCACGTCCTAAAGGGATTTGGGTAGGGTGTCTTCATTATTGACCTCAGGAAGGGAGTGTGAGCCTTGAAGGAGTATGTGCTTTGCTGAATTCCACAAGTCCAAGGGATGCCCGCTTTTACCAGGGGGACCCACAACAAGGGACTAAGGTATACAAGGGATGGATACCCCGGGGTCATTAGACTAATTTTAACCTTTTTTTACGCGATCGTGTGATTTAGGTGTGCCAACTCTGGGGTTTGAAGTTAAAAACAGAGCTTCGCGAAACGAGACCAACGGTTGTCAGATTATGCTAAGGACTCCACACGAGCATAAGCCTAATTTTTTCTTTGGGCAGTCGCCTGTGGTCTTTTAACACCGAAATAAGTACAGGTTTCAATTCTGTGCCAAGAATTTCCGGGCAGGAGCGGAGGGGGCTCATTTGTAGGGATCGGTTGGAAAGGGAACCCCTCCAAAGGTCGCCTGGGACACCTCCAGGATGTGACTGGGAAGAACCTTGGAATGCTACGACGTAGGTGATCAATTTGTTGGCTCAACGTTGAGCTTGAATGAGATGCAGATGTTTCGTTATGACCACCTAAATCTAATGACCATGACTGTGATTCGACAAGTGCAATTGTGTATTGACATGGGGAAACTTGTGCAGAAAGCGTGACGTGGATCTTTTCTCCATTCTAAGGCAGATCAGAGTATGAAGTATGGATTTAAGTGTTTTTCTTTTGAGTTTGGGTCTGCCTTTCCTGTTCCCCGGGCGTATAAGACACACTTGTAGCTATGATGCCCAGACCTCTAGATATCTTTCGCTGATCCATAGCCGCAGTGCATTGGTAGCGACATCCGTCTCCAATGGGACGAAAACCAGTTACTATTGGGCCATTTCCTTCATAGATTATCTCTTGATGTGGAACGTAACTCGTCTCATCTCAGCTGACACGTTATGGCAAGATGTGGCTTGCTCGAATATTCTGGAACTGGCATGTATTGGCCGAGAGGATCGCCTTCATTAAATGTAAATTCATTAACGGCTAGTTGGAACTTTCAGGATGACGTTTCCCGGTCCCACATGGCACTTGATCCATGCCATTGTGAGCGGCTTATTTCCCTTAAATTTGGGGGCAGAAACATCAAGAACCTAAGTCCCGGCTATTTGGTGGAGCCCGATCGTCTACAAAGAGTAAACGTCGCGCATCGGTGCTCATTCCCATCCGAGCACCGATGATCGTATAATGCAGGAATCAAGTACTTTCGATCATCTTTGCATGATAAACGTGCGTCCACGTGTCGGGGTCGCCTCGGCGGACGTTCTCCGCTGAAGATTTTATGGCCCCCAATTTTGCACCGCGCCGCCAGCTTTTAGGGCCCACTGAGCTGCATTCTAGTCATATGTCGTAGTAAGAGCTAATTATTAGACTTGCTCGGCGGCAATAATTATTTTGAAGTTTTTGGGCGGGCAGTGGTGGCGAGGGAGAACATCACAGTGAATTGTATAGTAGATTACAGGGGTTTTTGGCCTATGAGGGATCTCGGGTGGGGTAGGGTATTCCTCACGGTTTCATCAGGAGTGCTTATGCAAAGCACTCTGTGAGAAAAAAGATGACATTGGTGGAACTGGGGCCTTGGCTTTGCCGGAATGGTGTTTTTGAACAAGCTTTTAATTTGTGCCTGATAACCGCACGCGATTTAAAGTGGCTTACGGTTCCTGACTGGGGGCCTTTTCTGGTTCTGTCAGCTTACTGTTAAGGTACTAAAACATTGGAATCTGCAGACTGGGGTGGCAATTGACTTCCATCCCACTCTTTGGAATCGTGGTACCGATATGCATGCCGGGAAACGAACCCGTCGCAAACCTATCAAGTCTTGTCTTGAATGTAATCGCAGAAAGCAAAAGGTACTAATTCTTGCACGTTGGAATGAGCTAGACTGCTGACGCTATTCGAAGTGTAACCGACAGAAGCCGTGCAATCACTGTACTAGTCGTGGGGTACAACATCTCTGTGTCTATTCCGTGGTTCATCCGCAGCGAGGCAGGAGCCGCAGCTATCATCCAAGAGACGGACGAGCAAGTTCTGCAGCCACACATAGTGAAGGAGAAACATCAACAACACTCTCATCAGATGAGTCCGACTCGAACTATACTGAGGCGGATGTTTTAGAATCCCAGGGGTATCACTCACAAGGGTCGACTGGCCTCTCCCCAAATGCGCCTCAAAGCCTGTTCGTTGCCCTTCAGTATCTCCCTCACTCATCTACTGACAAAGCAAATCGAAAGACATGTCCTTCCAACCATGAAAATGACGAAAAGGAAACAATCTTCACATTCTGAGTCAAGGCCACCAAAATTGTGGCCTGACAAATCTGTAACTGATTTCCTTGTGGGGATGTTTCTACAAGAGCTCAACCCACTATACGAAACGATCCACCCTCCTTCTTTCCAGCCTAGGTACACTGCTTGGTGGATAACCCAAGAGAATAACGATCAATCGGGTGAAGCTATTCGGGACGAAGACATCGACTTTGGGTTGCTGGTTCTTCGAGTCTGTCTTCTTAGTATCCAGTCTCTCCCGCATTCCAAGTTCCCAACCACAGGAGTGTTGAAATCTCATCCAGAGGCTATGGAGCAGTGGTATTCGTCGCTGGCGAACGAGCTCGACAAGTCTCAGCCGTCAACCAAAAAGCCTTCGATAGAGACTGTGCAACATAGGTTCTTACAAGCGGGCTATCTTAAAAACTACGGAAAGATCCGGGCAAGCTGGTCTATTCTCAATACGGCCGTGAAAAATGCGCATGAGATGGGGCTGCATCTAAAAGAACCAGGCATTCCCACCAGTGAGTTGGAGATGGAGTTAAGGAGACGGACCTTCTGGAATTTATACGTCTGGGATCGGTATGAAGCACAATCAAACTGGCGACATAACGGCATTGCTTACCCGTCCAACATAGGTCCATGTGTACATTCTTTGGTCACTGGCCATTAATTCCCGAGGGATACTTTGACATTGAGCCTCCATACGACAACCTACAACCTCTTACAATCAGTCCCTACGTTCTCACGCCCTTCACCGATCGCGTTTTTCATATCAAGTTGGCCCGGTACCTGACAGCATTCATGAGCCCACCATCATGGAAGAGCGACCAACAGAAACCGGCAGTAGTATCAGAATTCGCACAGCGCTTCCATCAAGTCATCGTTGACCAATTACCTCCTCCTTTCTCACTCGAAAATCCAGATATTTCCTGGGATGCTGCCCACCCTGCACTCCCTCTCAAGAGGGAGATGCTCGGTCTATTCATCTATACCACCGAGGCGTCGCTCTATAGATGGTTCATGGACCCTTGCGAAAGTCTCCACCGCGGCCACAATGTACGAGCCAAAAACGGACCAGATCTGCTCGCACTGTCCCATCGCCGGTCCCTGATGGATACGACATGCAAGATCATTTCGTGCATCGCCAAGTTGTACGCGCTGACTGCGAACGAAGAAGGAGGTTCGGTTGACAGGTTGTTTACGCTACCAATTTCTCTCGTTGATTCTTTGGCCACTCTCGGGGTGTGTCTACTGTCCATCCAGGCAGATGAGAGAAGACTGTCGAAGAAAGGAATACACACTGTTGCCGACTCGGTCCTGCAGCGCAGCTATAATACTTTCTTTGATGCGTTCGGTCTCCTCTATCGACAAGCTCCGCATTACATCTTTGCGAAAAGAGGTGTGAAGGCGTTAGAGGGGCTACACGGTACCCTATGCGCTGGCTTAGGTGGCCCTGATCTCTTCGAGGCGAGCCCCACTGGCGCAACTATGATGGGATCATTCCCGGGACAAGCACAACGGACTGGGTATTTCCCACTCGAACAAGCTCTTGTTTCTTTACATGCCAGTGGTGGTGGTGGTGAGTTTCAGGGTCGCACACTCATCGCACTTCCTGAATGGTTGCCCTCATTTTTGGAGTCTCCAGCTCGAACCTCGTTATTCCATAGCCAGGCCTTTTTCGGGGACATATTGACTTAGGAGATGAATGTCTCCAGTGACGAGAGATAGGGTGGGAACTATGTATTATGGTTGATAGGCCAACGCAATATAGGATAGATGTAAGGATCATAGATGAAGACAGAAATATCATATACCATGTGCTCATAGTCGGTCGAACAGTTCTAGTTTTTACTCCCACCTTATGACGGCTGTATCGGCTAAAAGCCCGCGCACGGTGGTCGGCTTGACCCGCCTGCCACACTGTCAGCCCTGAGAGGTCCTAGAGCGATGCAGGTGAGACGGGCTTGTCGATCTACTGCTCTTCTAGGGAGAGCGCGGGAGTTGCCCGGATAATGGTTCCTTGGCTCACATCATCCTTGGTTAGCCCAGTACAACTAAGGGCCTTTAATCAGGTCTAGGAGGATGGGGATTGGTGAACCAAAATCTGGTTTGGGAGAGCTACCGTTGCAGTGGGGTGCCTGCGGATGCCTCAGGCACCTATCAGGCCAACAACCTTGGAACCTTGCGAAAACTCAACAGGAAGTTTGGAAGCTGGGCTGAGATGGGCGAGATTCCCTGTTTCTGCCTGCATGTCCGGTGGTTAAAAGTGGGGATAAGTACCTGTGTACCTAGGAGCACTCTAGTTCTCCAATAACCATAGAGATAAACAACTTAATATAGTTACCGAACGCGACGCTTGCAGCCGTTACTCTGTGCGACCAGGTCATCGACGTCACTCGGGCCGAACGGGGAACACTGCCCAGAGCGAAACATCCTGTGTCAAGCCGTATTGCTCTTTGGATCGACCTTCCCCTCCATGAACTTTGCTATTGCTATTTATTCTTTGTGCCTGTTGAGAGTGGGAGGTTTTTGAGCGTGGTCCTCCCGTCTTCCGTTTCTGCCTGCTGGCGCGCACTTCCCGAGACTTGACCCTGATTTCAAAACACCGAACTGGAAACTCTCACGCCCCCACCCCTCCATGGCATTGACGCTGCCAATCTTGCTCCTCGAGTCTCACCAAACCTGTCGCTTGACCTCCGCTAGAAATCACCGGCATTGACCGGCGTGCGCGGACGATGCGCCCTGGGCTGGCAAAACCGGGCGCGCTCCCACTCCTGGCCCTGATTATTTTCTCGCTGCTCACTCTGGTGCCCTCGCTGTCGAGTATATACAACATTAAGCTGGCTGATTTCACATTCTACGCTGGAGCTCGTCGTATGTTCATCGGCCTGACCCCTCAAGGAATGTTGGAATGTTGAGCTAACACATGGCTCCCTCTTCAGAAGTCCCTCTTATCCAGGATAGCGCTACCGACGTTGTCTCGGAAATACATCCGGTCGATCCTCGCAAGTCATGGACCCTGGCTGCGCAACATAGGCCCCGTGGGAACCGTCCATCGCGGTCTTCACGCGTGGGCCACGGCGCGCCGACCATCCCTAGCGAGATCGCCCCTGTCGAAAATAAAAGTCGCGTTTTGCATAGCACCGAGTCGTCTTTCAAGTTCAGTCGAAGAGCTCGCGCGTTTCGCACGTATTTCATCCAGCAATTAGACGACTATCAATTTCTCACCCCCTTTACCAACCGGAGCTATGCCACCGAGAACGCGAACCTTCCCCCTACGCTTGCGCCCTCAAACATTACTCCCTCGCCAACCTCAAACCTCGAAGAGAACCCTGAAAATACACCACAACTGAGTAATGAATCGACGTCCTCATATGCAGCGCCCAACGCCGATTCGAGACTACAGTTTCCTACCTTGCGCAATATCTGGCAGCAGGCCTGCCATTCCGCAATTGCCCTTTGGGAAATCACCAAAGATTCGCCATATAATCCCGCCCTCCATCCATCAACCCGAACTGTCTCCAAATATATTGAGTCAGTGTTCTGGAGTAATGCGTCTGCAAGCTACGCAGTACCCTCGATGCCCCAGACGGAGAAGGAACCCGCTTTCCCGACGCCGACACAAATATCAGAAAAACTCCCTTGTGACCAACCAACTGACGCCGCTAGCCACCACTCGCCAGAGCTACGGGGTAGCTGCATGGCTGTGGTGATTGGACTGGTTGTGGGGATCATGTGGTTCTAGATGTACCATCGACATCCGGTGTTTGATCTTGGAGTTTCAGGTTTTGGCCTGTACATGTGCCACTAATTCCCAGAGGGCTTCCTGGTCCCGGCACATGCCGTTATGTCATCTGATGTCTGTAATGAGTTTTCTTATCGTCTTGTCTGGACATGTGGACGGACCTTGTATGGATGGCGCGGGCTAGCCTCCAGTAGATTCCTAATAATGACATTTACCTATCAATAAATTCCCATGGAAAGATTGTCCCGTAGTCACCGGAAAAGATCTTCTAAAATTGAAATTGACTTAATACATTGCCATCTATATAAAGGAGCAAGTAATGGAAGAAAGGACTTCAGACGCCATCAAGCAGAGTGGACCCCCAGAAACAGAACAAAAGGAAAGGAAAGATCATATCCGAAAGACCAGACAAAAAGAACCAGCATAGGCCTAGACTGCCATCATCCGAGGCTCATACTTAGTCAAAGGAACATCTGACATCCTATTCTCGCTCGTAAGAGGTTCATGGAAATCAGCAACCTTGCCCAAATGACGAGCTTTCTTGATAAGTCTCCCAGGATGATAAACGATCAGCACAAACATAGAAAAGAACATAAGAAACCCATCGAAGACATAGATATAAACCTCCTTGTTATTGACAGGCGAAGTCTCACTAGCCCCGAACTGAATTGTCCGAACAAGATTGCGAACCATCAACGCAAAGCAGGCAACATAGAGAGCCAGCATGTATCGTCGCCAATGAATATCCGGATTCCTGATCAGAATATTTGTAGGAGCTTTCTGTAGTCTGCGATGCAGGGTTGCCGCAATCCAAACGAAGAAGACGAAGACAATTAGAGAGAATATCAGTCCTGCGAGGACAACTTTCTTGCCGATGTTCATGACATTTGGGTCTCCAGTGACCTGGACCCCTGCGCCGCCGATTTGTGTAAGGAAACACAAGACATCGTTCAGTACAAAGATGACTGTGATCTTCTTGGGCCGCATGCTGGCCAGGTGTTCAGCGCCAAAAGAGCGGATGACTCGACCAAGGACCATGTAGACTGTTGCGGCGATGAGAGGAGGGGAGCATAGGATGAGCATTTCCTGGAGGGCCCATGAGGAGATTTCTGTTCTGCTTTCGTGGGACCATGCCCGACCGTAGTATCCGAATGTTTCGCCTGGTGAAGTCTATAAGTCGAGCTCAACGTGGGAAATTGGGAAAGAAATGGACGTACAAACACCACCTAGAACGAGGGGAATGAAATATGCGGCGCGGAACGGAAACATCAAGACGAGATGGACAACAGTTACGAGACCGAATAAGGCCATAAATGCATACCCGGCTGTGGCTGAGGGTGTATACGGGTAGAAGTCGACATAGGGACTGGACCCGTTTACACCGGGGTGAAAGTCGATATCCATGTTCAAGGGGTGGAATTGATAGTTGAAATTGACGGATTTGTCCTATTCAAGCTGAGGAATGTCGTCGTCTTTATTAGATGTTCAGCCTATTTTTAATACATGCCTCAAGCGCCTTGTTCATTGACGATCTATTGCGATTGCCGTATTAGGAAATTGTAGAACGAATACGGGCGGAGACCGGTGGGGCTTTTTGCTGTGAGCCCATCCGATCCATGGCATATGCTTGTTATCAGAGATTTACAGCTAGAGAACCCTAGTCGTTTCATGTTTCATGGGTCAGGCAGAATTTTTAATATTCCTGAACATGAAGATGTCACTTGTGGTAGTTGTGGTAGTTGTGGTAGTTGTGGTAGTTGTGGCCACTTCCGCAGATATTGAATCCACCCTGCAAACATTGATCACAAGTAATCCAGAAATATAAGAACAATTGTGTCATTTGAAGGTATTTCTTGAATCCAATAATATACAGTGCTATTCTAGCTGAGTTTGATAAACCTGTTTCATTGGCCACTCAATCCATGGACAAAACTCCTCGTCCAAACACGTAGAAATTCCCGAGAGCACATGTTCGGCCCAACCGCTCATGAACCACGCCGAGTCCATATACTTCAGCAGCACAGCCCAGTACGCCAGTATTACAAGGGCATACGGCTCCTTGCGCTCTAAAGATCCAACCATCTCTTCGGAAAGTCGATAGACCCATCCGATTAAGAGATCCATCAAGTCCACGCCAGAAGAGCCAGCAGATCGTCTCTCATAAACCCCACGCATGATTTCGAGGAGATTTTCAATGGCAGCCAAGTACTTTCCCCGATCTTCCTTGTTGGATATATCCCGTTCAACGAGTCGTTGTACCGCTTCGGTATGGACCGTATGCTCATGTAATTCATTGCGCATTTCCGTTGTCAGGTCATGACTTTGTTCATTAGACTTTGGTTCGAGAAGCCCACTAAATACTTTGGCACGGTGTGTTTGCACGATTAATCGCACTCCGTGCATGAGAGTTAGCCATTCGGCTGGCCCGCTGGTGCTGAAGATGAGATACTCTTTGGGCCGTGGACCTCTGCCGAAGTAGATGAAGCATATTAAGATGGCGGACATGTAGACCTTTTGGCAATTTTCGGCATTGAGTTGCGAGAGAACACTTGTGACTGATCGGATTCCAAAAGTGAAGTGGTCATCAGCTTGTTGAAGGTATTGAACTCGGAGGATAGGTTGCTCGTGTGCTAGGTGGAGGGCTGATAGAGCAAGGATGAGGTGTAATATAGATGGAAACTCGATACCCCATTCCACGAGGTATTTTTGCCATATGTGATACTGATCGCCATCGTTTGTCATTGTTCGGTATGTCTCGATGGTGTAATGGTGGAAGAGTTGTAGATCGGCTATAGAGATGGTGCCAATCGATCCCGAGGAGAGATCACATTGAGTCCCAGTGGATTGAGTGGTTTGCGATGGCTGACTTTTTGATAGCTTGAAAGTCTGTCTGAGTCCGCCTGTCGCATATCGCTGAGGTCGGTACCGACTCGGACGTGGTCGCCCAGTGGGAGGCTCTGAGATTCCTGGTGATTGTGATCCTGATGATCCCGGGGAAGCATTATATGCGCACTCAATCAAATGATTTGAGCAGTTGGAGCAGGTTGGTTTTTTCTCGTCGCACTGGAACGAGTTAGTTTCGGATGGTAGGTCATCGTATCGCAGCTGAGAAAAACAAAACATGTGGCGCAATATCTTCAACATGGTGGAAACAGGCCTGTAAGAGAGCATAGAAGGAAGATAGCAACTGGAATTACAGGAAGAGCGAAATGAAATTAAATTGAAGGACTCAGGTGAAGGGAAGTGGCAAATATGGTGGGCAATAGCGAGAGTCAGAATCTCACCTTGATGCGACGCTTTTTGCAGTGACTGCATCCTAGACGCGATTTCTGATGAGTCCGTCGTGCCCTAATGGGCTTTGCGCTGGGGAGATCGGTCTCCATAGGCCGGGCGAAAGAGGCAATAGAACGGACGTCGTATTCGTTTTATGCAGCAGTCACGTAGAGCAAGACCCTGAATTTAGACTCGATGTGGAAACTAGGAGCCTTGAGCTGATGCGAAGATCGACAGATCTATCGGTTTTAGCTCTTGTTCTTGCAATCTTGATAGGTTGTAAGAGACTGAAAATAGAACTTGCGGTGCGAGTACGCAGGAATTTCCTGTTTCGGTTTGGTTTGAAATGGGCCCACAGTGTTCCATTCTGTACTCTAATTCGTTGGTTTTCCTTAGAGTATGCGGCTTTATCTTCCACTTGATTTTAGGCTGCTGGTTTTTCTGATAATTTACATAATTAGATGGCCTCTTTTTGGGTTGTAACGACCATATAGTCTTCTGTCTTTTCGCTCTCGCAATCTCGGTCGCCTACATATTTTGCCCCGTGGAGAATGGGTGGGCTTTCTAGAGACCTTCGACCTACGACGGAAACTACCACCATACCTTTATTGAATACCTACAAAGGTCGATATCCTGGAGTCCGATGAGTTTTTAGCTCAAATATGGTTGCAAACTTCTGTCGTGGAGAGAGCGTCGCGGCTACACAAGCGGGGGTCCTGGCTTCATTCTCATTCTCGACTGACAACCACTGGTAGCGATGACCCTACAAATATAATGCATATCCTTTCTGTGATCAGATTTGAGATCCCTCTAAAACCGTCACGATGGACGAAGGCAACTCGTAAGCATCGATCAAAGCCGCGCGGGAACGTCTTTTAATCAAATTCTTAGCATCCGTCAATTCATCGAATTCATCATGTACAACAAAAGTTTTTTCCTAAGCTGCACGCTTGCAAGCTTAGTAGCTCTACTCGTTCCACAAATACGCCAACCCGGCATGAGAAAGCTGGGCAGGATGAACCCTTATCGCAGGAGATATCCACTTCAATTTTCTATCATTCAATTTGTTGCTGTCTGTTTGACAAGGATGATTATGCTTCACACCAGTGTGCTCTCTAATCCACCCCGAATTGTCTACGTGATGTTGATTAAAAAAAAAAATGGGACACAAACCCGCGTTACGCCCGAGGAATATAGTAGCTACTCTTCGGAGCAGACTCAAGCTAGTGGATTATCCGGTGTCGAGGGGGCTAAGGTCCAGGCTAAATCGGTCTCGGCATATTGGCACAATAAAAGATGGATGACGAGCTTAAGGGGGCCGGATGCGCTTTGACAACGACAAGTGCTACTCCAATGGCCACTTTTATGCTATGAAATGGCAATTGATCAATGCTACTACATGGATGTTATCTGACCCTGGTTAATCAATTGAAAATATAAATCAGCTAGTATCTACAGACATATCTGGACTAACTATGCTTTCTCCTCCCGCCAATTATGCCCAATAAATCCGGCGACCTCAACAGCTACCGACCTCCCAGACCGACTCGCAACGTAATGCAGTGTAGCGTCTATCCCATTCGTAACAGCGCCTGTGGTAATAACTCTGACCCCAAACTCATTGACCCCAGCATCGTAATATGAAACAGGAACAGATGAATTCTCAGGTAGAATTGTCGTACCCTTTGCACCTGGCGTTCGAGTAGTATATTCTTCGCAAGCCGTTTGAAGACCCTTGGTTGCAAGACGATGTGTCGTTGCCGTGAGCCCATCCAGAACACCAACAACTGCGAGGAGATACCCCCCTGTACAGACCGACAAGGCCGTGCGCTCTTTAGTCGGTCGATGTTGTGGTTTAGCGAATTCTGCGACAAGGTCGAGAAGTTCCATTAACTGGGCATTCTCGGGTTGTACGTAGGGGAGGATGTTTCGGGATCGAGAGCCGGGCACTATAAGGATGTCGTATTCTGAGAGATTTTGGTGTGCTTCTTGGAATGAGACTGTCCGTTTGACGGTGATATTCTCTTGCGATATCGTTAAATCTTCTTTGGCAGCGATTGTGATTGAAAAGTCGCTGTTAAAGAGAACTGCTATCGGCCCCGTGATGTCGAGGCTGTTGAAGGCCGGGAAGATGGCAATGAGCGCCGAGCCTCCCATTTCGAGCTCGGATTTTATTTGGTCAATGGTTGTTTTTGGCAACAGGCAAATATTCAAGAGAGAGATTGAAGTGTTTCGCATATATTGGTGACGTCATGGAAGGGTCCTCTGCAGCGTCGTAGCGTGACTGCACCGGCGATAAAAGCGTTTACTTAAAAATGTTGCCCGATGCGGCACTACAAGTGGAAGTATATTATTTGAACATTCATAATTGATTGGGAATCTCAATCTTCATAAATAAATTTGGATACAGGGTCATAAGCATATTCATATCCTCAACGAATCATTTTCTTTACAGACGGGGAGCAGGGCGGCCGACGACGGATGAGTAGGTCACGTCGAAGCGGTCAAGGTTCATAACCTTGTCCCAAGCGGCAACGAAGTCACGTACGAACTTTGACTGGCCGTCGGAGCTACCGTAGAGCTCAGCAAGAGCACGGAGCTCGGAGTGGTGACCGAAGATCAGATCCACGCGAGAAGCGGACCACTTCTTGGCGCCGGTCTTGTGGTCGACACCATCGAAGTACTCGTTGCTGTCGTCGGTGGGCTTCCAGTCGGTGTTCATGTCCAAAAGGTTGACGAAGAAATCGTTGGTGAGCTGACCGGGGCGCTGGGTCAAGACACCGACGTTGGAGCGGTCCCAGTTGGCGTTTAGGGTGCGGAGACCACCGACCAGGACGGTCATCTCGGGAGCAGAGAGGGTCAGCAGCTGGGCGCGGTCGACCAGGAACTGCTCGCTGCGGACACGCTTGCTGGATGTACCGTAGTTGCGGAAGCCGTCAGCGTAGGGCTCGAGGTAGCTGAAGGACTCGGCGTCGGTCTGCTCCTGAGTAGCATCGGTGCGGCCGGGAGTGAAGGGAACGGGGGTACCGGCGGCCTTCTCCAGGGCGGCGCAGCCGGCCAGAACGATGAGGTCGGCCAGCGACACACGCTTGTTTCCGGTCTGGGAGGAGTTGTATCGGCGCTGGACATCCTCCAGGACCTTCAGAACCTCTTGAAGCTGGGTGGGGTTGTTGACCTCCCACTTGCTCTGGGGCTCGAGGCGGATGCGAGCACCGTTGGCACCTCCCCGCTTGTCACCACCACGGAAGGTAGAGGCAGAGGCCCAAGCAGTAGCAATAAACTTAGAGGGCTCAACGCCAGAAGCCAAAATATCGCGCTTCAGCTCAGCAGCATCCTCGTGATTGATCAGAGGGTGGCTAAGGGCGGGGACGGGGTCCTCCCACAGAAGAACCTCCTTGGGAACCTCAGGGCCGAGCCAGCGGACGCGAGGACCCATGTCACGGTGCAACAGCTTGAACCAGGCACGGGAGAACGCATCGGCGAGCTGATCGGGGTTAGCGAGGAATCGGCGGGAGATCTTCTCGTAGGTGGGGTCGAAGCGCAGAGATAGATCAGTGGTCAACATGCGAGGCTTCTGCTTCTTGCTGGGGTCATGGGCATCAGGGATGATGTCGTCGGCGTTCTTAGCAGTCCACTGGTTGGCACCGGCGGGGGATTTGGTCAGCTCCCAGTCGTACTTGAAGAGGTACTCAAGGAACTGGTTGCTCCACTTTGTGGGAGTCTTAGTCCAGGTGACCTCCAGACCGGAGGTAATGGCGTGAGGGCCCTTGCCCGACTGGTGCTTGTTGGTCCAGCCAAGTCCTTGCTGCTCGAGACCGGCTCCCTCAGGCTCGGCACCAACATTGTCAGCTGGGGCAGCACCGTGGGTCTTGCCGAAGGTGTGACCACCGGCAATCAGGGCAACGGTCTCCTCGTCGTTCATGGCCATGCGGCCGAAGGTGACACGAATATCACGGGCAGCAGCAACGGGGTCAGGAACACCGTTGGGACCCTCGGGGTTGACGTAGATCAGACCCATAACGACGGCAGCCAAGGGGTCCTCCAGATCGCGAGTCTTGATATCGCTCTGCTTGGCCTCGTGCTCCTTGGCCTCGGGCAGGTAACGGACATTGTTGCCGAACCACTCGGTCTCGCCACCCCAGTAGACGGACTCATCGGCCTCCCAGGTGTCAGGGCGACCACCGGCAAAGCCGAAGGTCTTGAAACCCATGGACTCAAGAGCAACATTACCGGTCAAGAGGAGCAGATCAGCCCAGGAGATCTTGTCACCGTACTTCTGCTTAATGGGCCACAACAGGCGGCGGGCCTTGTCAAGACTGACATTGTCAGGCCAGCTGTTGAGGGGAGCAAATCGCTGCTGACCCTGACCACCACCGCCACGGCCGTCGAAGACACGGTAAGTACCCGCGCTGTGCCACGCCATACGGATAAACAGACCGCCGTAGTGGCCGAAATCAGCCGGCCAGAAGTCCTTGGAGTCGGTCATCAGGTCATTCAGATCCTTCTTCAGGGCATAGTAGTCAAGGCTCTTGAAGGCAGAGGCATAGTCGAAGTCCTTGCTCATGGGGTTGGTAGCCTCGGTGTGCTGGCGCAAAATGTTGAGCTTGATGGCATTGGGCCACCAGTCGCGGTTGCGAGTACCACCACCGGCCACGTTGGCCGAGGTGTTGTGAACGGGACATCCACTCATGATTGCGGTGAGTGATGGGTGAGGAGAGGAAGAAGAAATTTGCAGAACGAAAAAGAGTTGGAGGGCACCCCGCACTTTTAAAGGGAACGAATGGCGGGAAACGGATTACCCAGGGGACGAAGCTCCTCGGGAAATGCCAGTTTGTCATCCCCAAGTGGCTAGACTAGTCGAGCCATTGATGATTCCTAAGCTACGGTATTCTATTGGGCCAGACCGCCGTCACGGAATGTGGAGAGGCGGGGGTTTCATAAATCAGATGCAGATGCGGGGGCCTTGCGAATCAGCATAGGCGGCGACCCCCGTGTATTCTGTAGTTGAGCTTACTTTTCACCTGTGAAAGTACTGTGTTAACCCCCGTACTATCCCGATACCCCTGGTGGCAATGCTCGAGCACCTCGCTTCAGCACAATGTGATCCGAACCACGCAGAACCAACTAGAACCCCGCTATGATGCTGTTCGAGAGCTCGCAGAGTCTATTTAGACGCTCGAGCTTAATCAGGTGTATTACATACCAGGCTTGAAAAAAAGAACAAGTACACTATTAAAACTAAGCATGTGGTGTCTAGACACTTATATTATGAAAGACGTATTATCATTCTATGCAATGAATCATCTGACTGAGCAGGGTTTGTCAGTTCCAGAGTCCAGACTACGGAACTCGCCGTAAACGGTGCTGCCGTCTTTCGTTGACGTCAGCTTGGGTTGAGCCTCCCGATCGGACAAGATTGAATTTTTCCTTTTGGTACCGAATGATTCTTTTCGATCTACCCCCAATTACTTCCATATATCAATCGTTGAAAGAATATCGTTGCCCTGGGCCATGTGCATCAGTCCCAAGCTCTAATGTTGGTATCCACCGGAACCATTCCGGTAACGCTGCACTGTTTAGGAAGTCCGTTCCGAGGTGCGTTGCCTACGTGACAGGCCGATCACATGACCTGTCCCAACATTTTATTTGATCTATGAACTAAAGTAGACTAAACAGTTCTTGGTGTGGATCGGCACGATATCAATTATCAATTTTCTTTCAATTGCCTATCGGGAATGGAAGAAATCAAGTTAGCTTGTCTTGGAAGTGTTGGTTGGCCGGGAAATATGCTTAGAATCGACTGCATAACATTTGAAATATTCAACTAGGCTGTCTCCAAAGACTTTACCCTGGAGCTAGGAAGGCAATACATCTTGTGGGTCGTTGGAATTTATTGTTAAGTATTCTCTGCTTTATTCTGTCCCTTGGGATTAGGATCAATCAGAAGCCCACAAATTAATGCCACCAATGCAAATGCCACGGCTGACCAGAAAGCTCCATGCAAGGCTCTCAGATAGCAATCATCTGTCCTGTCACAACTGAATCCATTCTTCCGTTCAAACCTGTTAAGCTCACTGTGGAAAATGGCACTTGCAACGGAGAGTCTCACCGTCGAACCGACCGATCGGAAGGCATACAGGGCAGACGTGCCTGTGGCGTGCGAGTGGTGTGGCACAGTATGGAGCATGGCAATAATCAACACAGTCAGTGCTGCACCAATACCAACACACCCTTACATAGAAGATATAGCTCTGGGATAACCCAGTGTGTGGTTCTCCCAATAAAAGCAAACCCGACAGTTGCGACGACCATGGGCATCGGCGTGATATACCGAAAATTACCGATCACACGAATGATTAGACCCATCAAAAATGAGCCCACTCCGGACCCTATTGAGTAAGGCAAGATTCGAAGCCTGACCTGACTAGGCGTGTAGCCTAACATTTGCAAATATAATGGCACATAGTAAAGAAGAATATAAAGTGATGATGACATGAACCAGGCCGTCAGACATGTCGCAATGACGGTGCGTCGACAGAAGAGTGATAGAGGAATGATAGGCTCATTAGCCCAGCGCCACTCGATCAAAAGGAATAGCACGAACCAGACAGTTCCGAGGGGGATTGTGATGAGGAATTGCGCTGTGACGATCTGATCGCCCTCGTGGTTCAATCCAATCAGAAGAAGTACCAAGGGCGCGACAAGGGTGACGCAGCCGGCAAAGTCAACACGACTCAGCATCTCAAGAAGACCCTGTTCTCTTTCCGTACCACGTGGGAGGAATATGAAGACCAGTACGCACGAAACGAGGGAGATAGGAGCGATTCCAATAAACACCCATCTCCAGCCAAACGAATCGTTCACAGTACCTCCTATCACTGCTCCTAGGCCGATTCCAAGAGTATACATCACCGCAGACGTACCCTGCCAGGTACCGCGGCGCTTGAGGGGAATATCATCCGAGGCGATAAAGGTAGAGATGGCAATGCAGCCGCCCCCTCCAATACCAGCGATGACTCGAGCCAGAATTAGAACAGCCTTCGAGCTAGCGAAGCCACAAAGTAAGTTCCCGATCGTAAACATGCATGTCGAGAAGCAAAAGCTAAGCTTCCGGCCGAAGATGTCACTCAGTTTTCCACTAAGTGGTTGTGTCACGGTAATGCTGATCAAGTATCCAGAACCTAACCATGAGATAATCGCAAGCGAGTCGAACTCTTCGGCAATCGTCGAGGAAAGAGTTGCAGTGATAGTTGTATCTGCCGCCGCAAGGAAAGTCGCGATCCAAGTGGAAATGATACCAGCGACAATATCCGACTTGATATGCAAATCCTGCTGTGGGAGAAACGTCTCTTCTGTGGACATACCGATATGGCCATAGGCTTGGGAGGGTCTATGCTCCAAAGTGGCACATGGGCGCGGGGCGAGCCTTCCAAGCCTTAATGGAGCTGAAAGCTGAAGTCAACTCCTAGGGTGATCTGCGTAAGGGATGAAGCATGATCAACGATGCACCATATTGCATAATAATGTTGGTGGCGTCCAATGGCGGTTCATCCTACAAGTGCCCTCTAATGATTTGTTTTGGATGAGTGGTTCACGGTATTGATATTCAGCTTTCTATTTAGTTATGGGTAATCCCGTACTTTACAGATTGCCTTTTCTCCGATCGCAACCAATCTATTGAGCAGGGGCAGACGATAAGAAACTCTAGTGCATTGGGTGAAGGCGGTCAACTCGGCTCTGGATGATGGCATACATAAGTATTTAACTTATTCATAAGTAATAGCATTGCTTTAAAGTACTTCAACACACAGGATCGCACACAGCCCTAGAGGAGGCAAGGGTCGGACAATTTCAGACTCGCAGTGGCTCTGGATGAAAAGAGACTAACCGCATCTGGTTAGTCTGTTATCACTCCGGGGCCATATATGATAGGTGATTCGTCAAATTTTCAGTACAGTATGCAGACACAGTGTCCAAGAAATCTAAACGATTCAGACCTACCTTCGTGTTTTTTTTCTCTTTTTTTTGGGTGGGTGAGATAGAATTAAACCTCAAAATACGTTCTTTTTTAAACCAGTCTAGTTGAGGCAAGCATGTTGGACCTGGCCGGGCTGTTTGCACTCGTAGCAAACGCGCTCGCCGCGGGCCTCAGTAGTATAGTGAGGGAAAGAGGTTTGCGGCATTACATCGAGTGAATCATTATGGCTTTCACATTTTACAATAATTTCTTTAAATATGTTGAGCTCGGGCTGGTTGGATACGGGTTGCCGAACGTCTTGACGCAGTCTATGCCAGCCTGTCGACGAATAGCTCACTACTGGCGTGGCCCATGCTTGGTCAAGTAACTGCCATTGCCTACTGATTACGATATTCATTTTGATCACACGTTTTCAAGCCTTTAAGATGTGTTCTTTCCGCTGCTCGGGGTGTAGGAGCTTGATGGTCGGTGATGACAAGGATCTAACCTTTTCGGGAGATTCATCGCCTCTGCGGAGCCTAACTTTAATGATTATTCTTAACTCCATCGGAGTTATGGCTTCTTTACTTCCATAAGTATGAAGGCACGAATTTCGCAGCTATAAGAAAAATTATAAAAGGGAGAGGCTTTGCCTATCCTTTGCTTTTTCATCACACGTTAATTCCGAGTTTTTTCAAAGTCCATCTCAGCTTGTTCCCATTGAGACTTCTTAAAAATGTCTATGCAGATTCTTCGCTCCGAGGTTATCCTCGAGAAGTATGGCAAGGCCCTTGCCGGGAAGACAGGTATTCCAACACAACCCTGCAATCCCAATTGGGACCATAAAGCTAACATTTCAAAAGTCTTGATCACAGGTGTCTCCAATGAATCCATTGCCGGCGAACTCGCCGTTCAACTTGCTGCCGTCGATCCCAAGCTCCTCATCCTGAGCGCCCGGGCCGAGTCCAAGGTCACACCTATTATCAACAAGATCAAAGAAAGCAAGCCCAATGTCGCCACTCGCTTCCTCAACATAGAGCTTGGTGACATGAGCGCTATTCGCAACGCTGTTGAGAATGATCTTGCCGACATCCCCAAGATTGACCATGTGGTGTGCGTGGCCGCAGTCATGGCCTGCCCCTATGCAAAGACCAAAGACGGATTTGAGTCACAATTCGGTGTCAACTACCTAGCCAACTTCTTGCTTGTCAAGCTTCTTTTGCCCAAGGTTCAAGCTGCCGGTGCCTCGTCTTCTGTTATCATTGTGGCGAGCTCTGCTGTCCGGGGTGGGAAGATTAATCTCGATGATATTGGCTTTAGCGTAAGTTTGTCACTCATTTAATCTCAACTATTTAATTGACATCTCGATAGAATGGCGAGACTTACGAGGGCTGGGCCGCGTATGGCCAGTCTAACGTCGCGAGAGTTATGTTTGCCAAGAGACTCGGCGAGAAGTTGAAGAGCCAAGGTATTCGCGTCTTCAGCATTGATCCTGGTGGTATGTGAATTTCCAGTCATCGTTATGACAAACAAAGCTGACTTTGATGTCTAAGCGGTTTCGACCGGGCTGCAAAAGCACGTCACGACTGAATTCCGGGCCCAAATTGAGAAATGGAGGGAAACTGGTGGGAGTACGTGCGGTCTAACGTTTCGATTGGCTGAACTAATGCTCACAACTGTGCAGGCCTCACCGATGCAGATGGAGTCAAATACGAGATGCCCCCTTGGACAAGTCGCTCCGAGGGTGCGGCCACTATGATCACGGGAATGATCGACCCCACTATTACCGGTAGGTACTTTTGCCTGATCTTGTTCAGAGTTCAACTGACACGCCTATTCAAGACTTTACAGGATCCTTCCTCAAGCAAAACGCCGTGGCGGACGAAGAGTTGCACAGCCAGGTTCGTGACGAACAACTCTGGACTAGACTTTGGGAAATGAGTGAAGGTTTCATTGGCGAGAAGTACTCGCTGTGAGGTTATTGTACATGCAATGACCAGGTCCAGCCTTGATCAATGCGTGAGTTCTTCAACGCAAAATTTTGTTAGATCCGGTAATCTCAGTGGCTTCTCTCCTCTTTTCCTCCTCCAATAATTCGTAGATCTCACAAGCTCCGGGCAATCTTTGAAAAGCCCAACCCATTTGTTCAAACATCGTTCTGAAACTTCGTATGCTGATGGATCCCATGACTCGCCCCATACTAGAATCCCAACCTCTGGAGAAGGACCGCATATCCCATAAAAGTCACCACAAAGTTGGTCTTCGTCGAAGTTATCTGCCTGTCGTAAAATTGCGTCGCGAAGTGATGAGATTGGGATTAGGTCAATCCAGGGGTGATGGATAATGCTCTTCTGCATGTCGCTCGGCTCCAAGCTTGGCGGCAGGTGTAATGTAACAGGGCCAGCGATATTGAAATAAGAAGCAATATCTTCACTGAGAATATTCCATGTCAAGCCCATGCTTGCAGCGTTTTCAAAGGCCGCGCGCATCATGTTGAACTGGACTACGGGTAGGAGAAGTTCAGGCGATTGCACCTTGTTGGCGGCTCCTTCGGCGACCATCTTTTGAAGATCTGCATAGCATTTGACGCGGGTACTTTGATTGGAATCATAGTAGAAATCTTTGCCATAGTTGCGGATTGGGGGTGGCTTCATAAGGTATGCTGAATTTGCCACAGCCGTGATATTTTTCACAGAGGGCGCATTGGCTTCATCAGTATAGATGACCCAGCGCTGTTCTTGTCCTCTTCCCTGCTTTGCAACTTGTAATGCCTTTCTTCTCCCTGTGTTTCCGAGGTCAATATTTGATTCGAAGGGCGTGGATGGATAGGAAAATGTCACTCACGGCTAGCCTGTTGATTGAGGCGATTTTGAAGCCTGCGCCTAGATGCAGCGTCTGAACTGGACGAATCGGTCGATGTTCTTGTATCCTCGTCCGAATGCCGTTCCATGCTTCCAATATACATTAGGGTTGGTTTCAAGCTGAAGGGAAGAGAGTGGGAAGTTCGAGGTGGAGAGTGGTGGTGGGAATAGAATTTCGGAATTAATGCACTAAACGCCGGCTCGCGCAACCTTCTGTCTGACACCGTATAAAAGTGAGCCGCATAAGTCGTTCGAAGCCTTTTGATCACAGCGATCATTAAAGACCCATTACTTGAATTTTTAGAGACACCCCGAATTCGACCATTGATTTTCAATTGTTCAACCAGGCCGGGGCCTCCCCTAGATGAAGAACGAGTCACTCGGCATTGCTCGACTTGCATGCCATTGAAGTTGCTAAGACGAACAACATGTTTGCCCGGCTATCCACGGTACTCCAACTTCGGTATTTGTACCTGAGGCTCTGTCTCTATCGCCCGCTTCTCATGATCTGTTTTTTCAATGTTCGTGGATTTTATTGATGCTTAATGTACCGAACCGCACTTGACAAGCAAAGAGTACCTCTCTCTGAAATAATCATCGCTACAGGTATTCATTCGAGCTGGCCCTACCAAATGCGTGGCTGCAGTGACAGGCCTTTTCGATCTGTCGTTGCTGCAATTTAACTTCCAGCCTCGGTTTAAATTAGCCTCCACGGCATATGAGAGCCTCAAGCACTTGACGCTTCCGGGGTTCTTTTGAATGCATCACGAAAGGCTTCGACTTTTGCTAGCGTCAATGCATATGAGGTTTTGTCGATCTGGAAATCGGTCAGAATCTGGCATTGATCTCATCCTCAAGCAGTGTATGGGCCATTTTGATCAAAGCCACGAAATACGCAAACGTTCCAACTGCTGCAAGAAAACCTTGCTAGCACAGACTCTCTAATGCAGTTCAGTTGGATCGCAACCTTGCCGATGGACTTGGATTTAGAATGCTCAATGGTTTGTATCAGACCAGATTCTAAGATCTCAAACAAATGGCGTTCCGAGAAGAGCTGTCAATGCCAAGCCGAAAAAAAAGAAAAATTATCGAGCGCAGACCTTCAACAGATAACAGATATCCATGTCATCATCTTCTTGATCTTCCCTTCCTACTGATTGTTACTCGAGCTTGCAATATTTATATATACAGATTGAGGATAGAAAAATCGCAACATGCCGATCCAAGGCCGTTGTCGAGTGTTCGCATCCGAGTGGAGTCTCGTTCTCTGCCTGTGCTCCAAGTAGAGATGATACGGTGTCCCAGCATCTTATGTTTTTCACGGTCACAAGCGTAGAAATTTAAGCGCCTGCGCGTAGTATGTGCCGTGATAGGAAGCACACGCGATGTCCGTGTCTCGATAGAGGGGCATCGGGCGAGGCCTCAACAGGCGTCTAGGTCTGTTTTAGACCTGGTTGTCGGCACTCCATGTCCATAATTACTATCTCAAGCCGAGCAAAATGACTGGCATCGTCGTCCGCGGGTTTATTTCTCGGCTTCGTCCACCAATTGCTCGACCTCCTGTTCAGTCATTCTGTGAAAGAGCTTCCGCGCGTCGGAGAGCGTAGCCTCCATGGGAAGGCCCTCTTTCACGGACTGGATATGAAGCACAGGCACGTCAAAATCGTAGACGTCCTTCCATTTCTTATTCTCGGGCTCGTCGACGTACGTCTCGATGTATTCAAAGGGCCGTCGTTTGTTCAATTGGACGACGGTTTTCTTGGCGTTGTCGCAAAGACCACAGCCAACTCGAGTGAAGAGAGTTAGGCGAGCTTGACCGAAGAGGGTTCGTGTAGGAAACATGGTGAGGGTAGGGCGTTGACGGACGTTGAAGGTTGGCGGAACGGGATTAGCATAGCACAGCGGTCAGACCCGACTCCGCCATGGAACCTTCGAGCTTCCCGGCTAAACCGCGTTGGGTAACCTGCGTCAGATCAATTGTGACTTTCCCACCCCGCGATTTTCAATTATTGCTCGTTACACACCATGGCCGATAAGTGCGTTCACAAAGGATGTGGGAAGACTTTCTCCGACCCGGAGGAAGAGTGCGTGTATCATCCGGGTCCCCCAGTGTTCCACGAAGGGCAGAAAGGTAAGTACCTTGGTCGCTGGAGCTATTCCCCATGCGTTTCTCTACAGTTCGGCATTTCTGCCATGCATTGTTGCGATAACTGCTGCAACAGCCAAAGCTGCTATAATTGACACAGAAGCTAACCTCTCCAGGCTGGAAATGCTGCAAGCCCCGCGTCTTGACCTTTGAGGAATTCCTCGCCATCCCACCATGCACCACCGGGAAACACTCGACTGTCGACGACACACCTGCTCCCGAGCCGCCCAAGGTCGCAGAGCCTCCCCCTGAGCTGGTTGCCCCCGTTGAGACCAAGCTGCCCGAGCGGCCAGCCATTTCCCCCGCCATCCCGCCTCCTACGCCTCCCGCTGCCCCGCTGCCGGAGCCCGATTCAGATGATCCCGATCTGGAGATCCCTGCCAACGCAACCTGCCGTCGTAAAGGATGCGGGTCTACTTATACTGGATCGACTGCGCGGGACGAGGAGAAATGTACACACCACCCAGGCCACCCAGTGTTCCATGAGGGTAGCAAAGGATGGTCTTGCTGCAAGCGACGGGTGCTGGAATTTGACCAGTTCCTGAAGATTCCCGGCTGCACAGAGAAGACACGGCACATGTTTGTTGGCAAGGCCAAGCCCCCGGGCGAGGAGAAGGTCGATACGGTCAGGTAGGTTGACAAGCAAGGCCATACCCTGTGGGTTCAACTGACGTAGACTCCCCATCCAGGAACGATTTCTACCAGACTTCCTCCTCCGTGAACGTTTCTCTCTACCTGAAGAAGATTGACAAGGAGCGAGCTCGCGTGGACCTTTCCACCGATTCGATCACATTCGACCTTCCCACCTCCGACAACAAGCGCTTCCAGGACACTTACAAGCTCTTCGCCCCGATTGACGCGGAGAATTCATCATTCCGCGTTCTGGGTACGAAGCTGGAGCTGACCTTGATTAAGGCCGACGGCACCAGCTGGCCCGTTTTGCGCAGCGACGACAAGTGGGCTGGCGAGCGCATCCAGATTGGAAACGCCGGGCGGGCATGATTGGGCATATAGAGAGGAAAAGCATGAAAAGCCAGTTTACGTATTTGACTTTCGCTATTATGATTGCCACGAAGAGGTAGCCAGCGCTGCCTGCGACGAGACAGATGCCCATGTTATGCAATGCACAAAATGAAACACCTGAGGATGATAATTCCCAGAATAACTCGAACTCGAGACCGAGTTCAAGTCTTCCTAGGAGACCAACACACACATTAAGTGGAGGTGCCATTAAGCTTAATCACTCGTACGAGCACGACTTTGGTGTATACTTCCGTCGTGCGCAAGTCGACAGACATTTAAGCCAATTACGAATCCTCCAATCGGTTTAGCTGACCAGACCGCAAGGTCCAATCTACACAATTGAGATTGAAAAAAGGAATATACCGCCCCCTCCACAGCTACAGCGCATGGAGCTCCCGTAAAGGAACCCTAGCGTAGCCATATTTGGAAGGGAAAAAGAGAGACGTTTTTTTCTTCGAAGCCGGGAACGGAAGAAAACCCATAGAGGAAAGATCCTGGATAACCCTCAGCAAGCCATATTTATGGAGCCCCGTTGTAAAAAATTTACATAAGTTATGTAAACCTCTACTGATGATGAAGAAAAGAAAAAGAAAGTTGGGCGGCGAGCTGCCCGTATTTATCCCAAAAAAAATCGACCAGCGCTAGGTCCAATTGGGCACGGAAGAATGATTGATCCAACACGTGACTACACGTGACTCTCTATGACTAACGGTAATCCGAAAGAGGCAATAGGGCAAGAAGTAGGGCAAATGGAGCCATGTGACACATTGTCTCACATGTGAAAGGCCCCGCGTTGTGGAGACGGGAGTCGAAAGAAAGTCGAAGTCCCTCGCAGCGGTGAAGGGGAACGTGCTGGATTTGAGATAATACACCAAAACTACATAGACCACGCTTTATTGATAACTCTCAATTCTACGTCGCTGTAGAGATCCAGGAACACCCTCTACTCTACACTATACCTATTGTCTAAATTTTCATTGTCTAGGGTAGTACCCGTGGTCGAAACCTTCGAATGTACCCCTGGGTGGCGGCGTCTTCCAAATCGGGGAGTGGAAGCACGAGACCATTGGACTTCCTCCCCTCTTTGTCTCATTCTTCCACTCTTAGCTTCTGCCCTACAATTCCACAGCATTAAACCCATGCGACCACTTGCCCCAACGGAGCATCTTCTCTGGTCCGTGCCGTCGTATTCCTTCTTCTTCCTTGCCCCTTCCTACAACCCTGCAGATCTCCCGAAATCTCCAGGCTCCAAGAAATTCTGTTGAGGCTTGAATTAACTGTCTCAAATCACCAGACTAGCATCGATTAGCCCCCAACAATCACAGACACGCAAATTTCATCCAGTCCGCCACCATTTCGCATTGTCACGACTCTTTCCTTCCCCTATTCTTCCCATCATGGGTTCCTACGAGACCGCCAACGGCGCCAGCACCCTACGATACATCCCCCTCTCCTACAGCCCGGCCGACTCTCAGTCGACTGCTCTTCGCCTGATTTTGACCCTCTTCCCGGACTGGGAGGGTGCGGGCAACCGGATCGAGTTTGTTCGCTTCACAGACGGCATCACCAACACTGTTCGTCCCCCTGCGCGGCTACTCCTCGACTGCGAGGCCCTCATTCTGGACCTATTCACTGACAGCGCTATACAGCTCTTGAAGATTATCAACCGCAAGGACGGTTTGACAGAGGAACAAATAGACAATGAGGCCGTACTGATGCGCGCATACGGAAATGGCACTGAAATCCTCATAGACCGTGAAAGTACGAAGACCCGGAGCATCTGCTTGGCTCCTAACTCCTTCCCACAGCCTTGTATCCCTCTGGAACTATTTGCACCCCCATCTTCGCCTTCCCTGCCGAGTGCGACAATTGCTAAAGTAGACTTGTGTGACTATAGGAGAAACTACGTCCCACGCCCTCCTCGCCAGCCGCGGCCTCGCTCCTCCTCTCCTCGCTCGTTTCAACAATGGTCTCCTCTACAGATTCATCCGTGGCAAGCCCTGCGGTCACCAGGATCTGGTTACACCACCCATTTTCCGCGGCGTTGCTCGCAAGCTGGCCCAGTGGCATGCTGTCCTCCCCAGCAACGGCAACAGCTCGACACCCTCTCAGGAGGCCTCGATTGTGGCCAACGGGACTGATTCAGAGAAGCACGACTTCGACGTCATCCAACCGCGTCGTGCAGGCCCCTCCATGTGGGCAGTGCTTCAGAAATGGATTATCGCTCTGCCAGTGGCCACACCCGAGCAGCGCTCTCGGCGACTTAGCCTGCAGCAGGAACTGCAGTGGGTCGTGGGCCAGCTTGACGATGGGAAAGGCATTGGTGAAGACGGGGTACGCCACCATCCATACCCACCACTAGATAACCTGATTAACGTGTTTTCGGCAGCTTGTTTTCTCGCACTGTGATCTCCTGTGCGCCAATGTGATCGTCCTTCCTGATGACGGCAGTAAGCCCTCGGACCAGATTACGCCGGTCAACTTCATCGACTACGAGTATGCAGTCCCCGCTCCTGCGGCGTTCGATATCGCCAACCACTTGGCTGAGTGGATCGGCTACGACTGCGACTACAGCATGACACCCACTCGATCTGTGCGCCGTCAGTTCCTGACTGAGTATACCAAGAGCTACGTCCAGCACCGTGGACTGGACGCGTCGTCCGAGTCCGAGATCGTCGACCGTTTATATCATGACGTCGATCGTTTCCGCGGTATCCCCGGTCTATACTGGTGAGTTTTGCCCCTATTCCCAATATTACCCACCTACCAAACACAGAAGGACTAATTTGATACAATTGCAGGGGTGTGTGGGCACTCATCCAAGCCCAGATTTCCCAAATCGATTTCGACTACGCCAGCTACGCCGAGCTACGCTTGGGCGAGTACTGGGCCTGGAAGCGTGAAGTCGACGGCAGCCGTCAAAAAGCCAGCGAGCAGGCGCCCCTCCGCGAACAGCGCTGGGCTCAGGAGGCATGAAGAAGAAAAAAAACCCCTCAACCTAACAAAGCTCCACTCCCCATAGCATTCGCACATCGTGACACCTTTTCACATTTTCGCTCTTCCCCTCCTGGACCAGCGTCACAGTCCCACATCGCCTCTTTTCCCCACCTGCATTGAAGCGGGTCGAGAAAAAGCGCACGGGTATTTGCAGCTGGGCCACCCCGGGTGAATTCAACACGGATCGAGTCGAAAGCGAAAAGGGGAGCACGTGGAACGGAGTGGAAGGAGTGGAGCTAGGAATCTGCCTTACAGGCACCATCGTGCATAGTCGACGTCATCTTATTTTGGGTATCTTCAACAGGTGTTTGGTTCAAAATGTGGCTTTTTAATCATTTTCGCTTCTGGTATGCACATAGCTTTTGGAGGATTTGTGCTGTTCCCGATTTTATCTTCTTTAGCAATTCCATCGGCCGCTGGCTAGCTATATAATTCATTAATGTGTTTGACATAGATCTGCATTGTATGGATCCACAAGTTGGATCTGATTTAGATAGAAGAACAACAAGTAGGCCTGTTCCAAGGTTGGTGTTTCTGGGCTTGCATTGATTAGATGCAGGCCCTGCCCCGCATGCAGTAAGGTCCGAACACGATAAACAATGCGCCGATCATTATGGAAGTCGATGTGCCAAGGCAATTCTTCTCGGATAGGGTGTTTCGCCCACTTGCCTTTGCATTGGAGAACGTGGAAAGCTTGGAAAACTACAGGAAGGGGTGTGAAAGATCTGTGCTCCGTATTGGTAGAACCAAACCTCCCGTCCAATGCCATTAAACAATCCCGATTCCAATGCCATTCGCATTGATTGGCAACGAGCCAATCGTTCCTGGGACCTATGGATCCACGCCCGTGTCGTCGGAGCGCACGGAGCGCAGGGCTTCTTGCCATGTATGAGACCAGTTTTGTCATCTTCTATAACCCGGAACTCAGATGGCGTGTGGCATCTGCAAGAACAGAAAGCAACGTTCAGCTGGCAAATCTGGCCCGTAGGCGTTTGAGAATCTCTCGGAGTCGAACGCATACATGTCGCCGTGAAATGTGGACATTTTATTGTTTCCTATATTATCAAGGTTTCTGTTCACAAGCCAGCACTCGCATTCGATCTGAGCCCTCGATCTCCAAACGTCTATTATGCTCGGGTATCAATCGGCGAAAGAATTCGAATACAGATTGTGTCCTGTTCTCCTGGTCTTTAACTTCCCAGGCATCCCCCTCTCTAACTTCCGTGAAAACGTATCCTGAGGAATCGAATCGTTCTCTGCTACTTGCGGAAGGGCACAATTTGCTCGCTTCATTTCCACCAAGGCCACTTCCCGATCCAGATGTACCCAATCGACGAAGCCGCTGATCTATGAACCATAACGTCCGACCAGCATGATCATGCAGCACAGCTATCATATCGACCAATGTCGAAGGAAGGAACTCAATCCATCTCAAGTCAAATGTAATCGCAACATCTAAGCCAAGAAAACTAGGATGAGGCTCACATAGGCCCTCGCGCCTATAATCAAACAGAAACCTATCACCCGCATAATGATAGAACCACTCCACAGACCCGGGGTCCAGCCCCACAAGATGAACAAGATCCTTTCCAGGACATAGTGTTATATGATGAGCTTTCCCATAGCTGTCGATATAGGAAGCCGTGTGTGAAACCCCAGGGTGGCCAGCATACTCGCCCCGACCCGCCAGTCGAGCCGGACACCCTGGATTCAAAAGATCGGACCACCATTCATTCTTGCGAAAGCGCCTTTCCAGTGCTCGTCGCGATTGTTGACAGGCCATCCAAAGCCCACTGTCCAATTTGTAGGCCGATGTATTAGGGCGCGGGGCTTCATTGCGGGGTACGGCCAGGCCAAAATTCTTGCCCAAGTACCCGCCATTTTCGAATCGGAGGAAATCTGCGTGGATTTTATCTGCTCCGTTTGGCTTGTCGAAGTAGTGGTCGACTATGATAAATTCATGTAGGTGTCGATTGCCTGGGAGTGGGCGAATGGCGAGATCCCATATGTGGTCTTGGATCTCTGTTGGTAGGCTCCGAAAGAGGTGGAAGGTCATTCTATTTGCTCCATTTGAATTTAAATTGGCCGCTGTTTGCATGGCTGTTGAAATGGGGGTGGAAGGATAGCCTGCTGGCTATTGACTTGCTGTAAGCGAGTCTTGTGCCGAATCTTGGGAATATTCTAATATTGGAGTGCAAACACCCCGCTAACAAACACCAGCTTCAACGGCAATGTCTTCTATTCTAACTTGAACCGTTTTAAATCATGAATTTTAGACATATTGGACGATGAAGAACTGGAAGAATCACCTTTTCTAGAAAGTGTATATTCCCTGGGTTCTCGGAGTTAAGATAGAAGGAGACAAAATTTCCACCTCCCGCCGTTGAAGTCGCTCGGACTGGACCAGAGATGACCTGCGCCATGTTTTGAGCGCGATCTCTTGCATTCTTGATAGAAAAGTTAGCGAGCGGACGTGGTCTTATCTTCGGTTTCAATAATCAACCAGACTGTATTCAACCCCTAAACATTTGCTTCGATTTGCAATGCTTTCGCCTATATTCCACTGGCCCTAAAAGGTCTGATTAGCGATGGAAAATCCGTCGACGGTATATAAATCTGTATCTTATCTGACACGGCTCGAGGCCCCTGTCAGATGGCGCCAGATGGCGCGAGATGGTGCTAAGTCATCCCGTGCAGTTCGAACTTCAAAAGCTCACTGCTGCCTAGTTATGACTCCTAGACGCACGGGGAAGACCATAATTTTGGTTACCCGTGAACTCCGTGATGGAGAAACAGAAGCAGGTTTCCACCAGTCGGCCTCAAACATGGACCCGGAGGGCGATCATCTGGATTGCAGCAGCTGGGGGCATAGTAGGCCTGATGAGGTTCCGTGGTTTCCCTGCCTTGCATCGCTCGGCCTTCCCGGGCTACGATTGTGAAGTTCACAAGTCGCCGTATAGATCGTTTCCACATGAGGACGATCCATTCCATTTCATTCCTTGCACTAATGCCAGTCGGCTGCCGGCACTCAATGACCCTACCCCTCAGCAATCATGGGCCGCCCTCTTCAACCCCAACCCCAATCACTGGAGCTGGGGGAGCTCAGGCCGGGGTATCTACCTATGCGGGTACCTAGATCTCCCGCTTGATTATCACAACGATTCAGACTCGCGCATCGTTCGCACTGCGGTCACCAAGTTCCAGGTCGCCGGTGTGCCGAATAGAAACGATCCCAATGCTTCTCTTAAAAGCTACAAGAGTAAGCGCACCATCATCATAGAACCCGGTGGCCCGGGAGGAAGCGGAACATCGTTCCTCTGGGAGACCGCGGAGGAGATGACCAACCGTTTCAGCGACGGTGAATTCGATGTGCTAGGGTGGGATCCACGTGGTGTCAATCTCTCCCTCCCTGCTGCGTCATGTTTCCCTCGAAATGAATTCCGAGACAGATGGTCACTACTATCTCTCCGGTATCGCGAAGAGGCTCCAGTGGGCCAGCTTGAGATTGTCGATGCCATGAACAACGCCACCTTCTTCGCCTGCCAGCAGCAGCTAGGGGATTTCGGCCGCTTCGTCAGCACGGCCTTCGTGGCACGCGATCTCGACGAGATCCGAAAAGCCCTTCGTGAAGAGGACGTCTCGGGGTACTTCGTCAGCTACGGAACAGGAATTGGTCAGACATATGTCAACATGTTCCCCAACCGAGCAGGTCGCATGATCCTTGACGGAACGGAATATGTCAGAGACCATCGCCTCTTAGGCGGCTTTGGCTGGACCGCTCTTGACAATACGACAGATGCATGGCGTGACGGATTCTTAGGCGAGTGTATCAATGCCGGTCCGGATTGGTGTGCCTTGGCAAAGCCTATCCCCGGCCAGGAGGGCCCTGTCACCCTTACGCAGCTGGAAGAGCGCATGGCACAGCTACTTGAGTCGCTCAGAATCCGCCCACAATCCGCCTATACGGAAATGAGCGGGCCATCCTTGATCACTTACTCAGCGCTCGTAGACAAAATTCTCTACCCGGCTATGTACAAGCCGACAAACTGGCCTGATACCGCGCAGATGCTCTTCGAGCTCGAATCAGGAAATGGCACACTAGCAGCGAACCTCTTAGACCTCTCATGGAGCGACCATACCTTCAAGCCGCCCTATCCTCATGACCCATCCTCAAGTGAACTCGAGTTGTTAGTGATCTGTTCCGATTCATACGACGCGCCCCTTCCAGATGGACTTGGCTGGTGGGATGATCTGTGGGGGAACATGACGACTCAAAGTTGGATCGCTGGTAACTCACGCTTCTTCGCGGTTCTACCATGCAGACATTTCAACACGTATTGGCCTCGTCCTTCAGAGGTGTATCGTGGCGATCTCAACCATACTCTCAACACCCCTGTCCTCCTCATCGCCTCCACGTATGATCCGGCAACTCCCTTGCGCAATGGAAGAAGATTGTTAGAGGAGATGGGCCCAAATGCCCGGTTGGTTGTTCACAATGGCTATGGGCATAGTTCCAGGCGTGATAGCTCGGTCTGCACGGATCGAGTTGCGAAGGCTTATATTCTTCATGGCACACTTCCTGAAGAGCAGGAATCCGAATGCTTTGCCAATCACAGGCCTTATGTTTCGTGATATTGTGGGTGACAAGGTGAGAATAGGGTCGTAAATACTCTTTTATAACTTGACCAATGGAAAGTTGAAGGGGAACGAATCACTTCATTATCTTGGTTCTACAATTGATGATTTGACTGTAGTCTAGATGTTCTTCTAGACATCCTTCATAAATATTCAAATGTGGTTCTACGGACTGTTCAAGTACATCTTCTATACAGCTTCGAAAGCAGCCTTCTAAGCACTCTTTTGAAGTATTGCAAAGATTGGCAACTAGACTATCCGCGACTAAGGAATAAGACCGCCTTAGCACAATAGCACTACTCATATGGGAAACATAAAGTTGGATGAAAATGGGGTGTAAGTTTAAACAGTTTATGCTTTCGACAAATGACATGGCCTTGCCATGAATGCAAAGTTCCAACACTGTCTATATCATCAAGAATCGTGAGACATAACATATATACAGGAAATGTACAGACAGTGAAGCTTGAACCCTTTCACATACCCTTACAGACGGTGCTGCACAGGGGAGGTAGGCTCCGGAATGGATGGAGTCTGGCCGTCCCATTGCAGGACATGGCTCATCTTATGATATGAGTCAATACCTCTGCGGGCGTGATCGGCGGGGACGAAGGGGTCAGTGTCAGCCAGGGTACGGCTGAAGAGCTCCAGGGAGACCCAGCCACGGAAGCCGAGGTCGTTGAAGAAGACCTTGGCGATATCTAGAATGGGAAGGTAACCACCACGGTCCTCCTCAAAGGGGAAGAGGCGGGCGTTCCGGGACCAATTCATACGGGTAGGCTGACCCTCAACGTGGAAGGGGTGCTTCTCATCGAGAGGGGCGGAGAGACGCTCGCCATCAACGAGCTGAACGTAGAAGATCTTGGCGGGGTCAATATTGGCAGTACGCAGACGCTCCAGGGAAGCCGCAAGATCTGCGGCAGCATTGGGGGTACAACCAGAAGGCACAGCGGGGTCGGCATAAACACGGCCCGCAATGTTAAATGAGTCCAAGCAGAGACCAAAGTTAGGACGGTCAACGTCACGAACCACCTCCCACGAGGCCTCCCAGGTATCAATGTGGTTACCCCAGCAGAGCGCCTCATAGACAAAGCGGAAACCAGCACCAGCACCGAGATCAGCGAGGCGCTGGAGATCCTGCACGATGATGGTACGATCGCCGGTAGTACGCGGAGCCCCGGTCTTGGGGTCTGCACCAAGGAAGTTTGAGGGAACCTGGATGAGGTCTGTGTCTAGCGCCCGCGCCAGCTTGAACCACTGGGGAAGTTTCTCGCTCAAGAGCTTGTTGGACTCGGCGCGGTCGAGGAGACCCTCGTACATCGAGAAGGGCTGCAGGCAGATGATGGTCATTCCAAGGCGCTCACAGAGGCCGTGCACGGCTTTGGCAGCTTCCATATGGTCGCCGTTAAATGTGCGCTGGGCGTAGCAGTCTAGGTCGTCGAAGAATAGCTCGATGCCCTCGAAGCCGTGGGCTGCCGCTTGCATCAACTTGCCGGGAAGGTCGTGGATCCATGGCCGGCCCAGGGACATGGAGGCAATGCCGGGGCGGTTGACAAGCATATTGGCGGCTGTGTATTAAATCGAAGAATATAGTATATTTTGAGGAAAAAGTAGGCGGAGTTGGTAGATTTGCCTTGGAAGATGGCAAGGGAGGGAAGGTAGAATGTGGTGTAGAATGTAACGCAGACTGAATGCAAACTGATGTACAGAATGAACAGAGGGGGGTTAGGCCTGCTAATCCGGAATTAATTTTTCTTCTTGAACGCGTTGATAAGCCGCGAGAAACCATTATCCCCTCCAAGTCCCAAGGGCCCCAAACCCCAAGCCTGATATCCACGCGTTGCCCGTCGGTCGGGTCACATGACCGGGTAAGCGTTAATCTGCACAGTGTTTATCCGCTCCACCTGGTCTACTCCACATCCTTCACCTGCCTGAACAGGCTATTTCTCCAACCTTTCGGACTGATTCACCACTGCGGGGACCCGGATATGATTTAAACGGTTTTGTTAGACAAAGGGTCCGGCCAAGACCCTGAACCCCGAGAATTCGGCCATGTCACTCCAGTCTAAGGTCCTCGGACCCGGTCTTTCCGCCATTCAAATACACCCACCTTGAACCACAGACCTTCAGGCAACTTGTGCTTTAAAACTCTCTTCAATTGTGTCTTTCGACGACTATACAGCTCCGTCACCACCGCAATGACCCTCCAAATCGCCATCATCGGCGCAGGTCTCATCGGCCCCCGCCACGCCCAATCTGTGATTTCCAACCCATCAACCACACTATCAGGCCTCGTCGACCCATCCCCAGCAGCCCAAGCTACCGCCACCACTCTAGGGACAACCTACCATTCCACCATCTCACATCTCATCTCATCCCCGGCCAAACCTGACGCCGCAATAGTTTGCACCCCAAATCACACGCACGTCCCCATCGCCAAAGAACTGCTCTCCGCGGGGATCCACGTCCTCCTCGAAAAGCCATTCTCCGACACCCTAGAAACAGGCCTCTCACTCCTCGAATTCTCCAAGGCCCCAGAAAATGCCCATCTCAAACTCTTAGTCGGCCATCACCGCCGCTTCAATCCCTACGTCCGTGCTACCAAATCCGTCCTTGACTCTGGCTCTCTCGGCAGCATCATCGCCATCAACGGCCTGTGGACTCTCTACAAGCCAGATTCCTATTTCGCACCACCGGGCGATTGGCGCGCCTCCCGCTCCCGCGGCGGAGGCGTCATCCCAATTAACCTAGTTCACGACATCGACCTCATGCACCATTTCTTCGGTCCCATCGTCCGCGTTTCCGCAGAGCGCACACTTCCCCAACGTCCCAGTCCTCCCCACGACGCCGACGAAGGCGCAGCTCTTACACTCCGCTTCGCCTCCGGTGTGGTCGGTAGTTTCCTCGTCTGCGACGCCACGCCATCGCCGCATAACTTTGAAACCGGCACGGGGGAGAACCCTATAATTCCCAAATCTAATGGATCTGACTTCTACCGAATTTTCGGATCCGACGCCTCGCTGAGTGTACCGGATTTGACTAGGTGGAGCTATGATGGGAAGACAGAGAAGAGCTGGGCTAATGAGTTGACTGTGGATAGAATTGGAGTTCCGGATGATGCGGCGCCGTTTGATTTGCAGCTGAAGCATTTTGTGGATGTTGTGAATGGGGGTGCGGTGCCTAATTGTTCTGGGGAGGAGGGTTTGAGGGCGCTTGTTGTTTGTGAAGCTGTTGTTAGGGCTATGGAAACTGGGGTGCCGGTTGATGTTGATGTTGATCTTTTGAAAAAATAGGTTCAATTGCAGGAGGTCCCAAGGTTTGGTGTTTCTAGCCGTAGCTAACTGGAGAGGTTAAAGTTATACATATGAGCCTTAGCAGATACTTCGATCTCCAAAATAATCCAACTCGTTTCTATGTCTATCCCTGATGCTTGGCATCGGACTACGATCTTCTTTGCAGGAATACAGAAAACTCAAGCGTGATCATTAAATCGTAGAACATTCGGAACTATATGTATATCATCGCCGGGATCAACCCAGCCCTGTATGCGACCGTCATAGCCAACGGCTCTATGCCGCGACAGAGAGCATTAACAGAAAATAACACAATGCTACAACACCAGCTCATTACGCGAACTTAGCGGTATTCTCGATTTGCTCGGCATCGATCTTATTCGCATAACCCGACTCCTCAATATCATGACGGAAGCGCTCTTCGTCCTCGCGCAGCTTCGCGACAATGGTAGGATGCGCGCGCCACACAGGCTTGATCTCGAAGAGCTGGTCCATGCTCTCGAGAGGCACACCCTTCGTCTCGGGAATGAGGAAGTAAACAAAGACGAGTGAGCAGAGCATCAGCGACGCGAAGAAGAAGTACACGCCGTAGCCCATGGCGGAGAACATCTGAGGCGTGAAGCGAGAGATGAGGAAGTTCCACAGCCAGTTTGAGGCGGCGGCGCAGGCCTGTGCGAGGGATCGCATGTTGGGGTCGAACATTTCCTGTGGGATTGTTAGTCGTGGTCTTTCGCTTATTCTTGCCCGGGGTGAAGGAGCGGTGAACTTACGGAGTTGAGGACCCACGGGGTGCCGTTCCAGGTGGGGGTATAGAAGACGGTCCAAAGGTAGAAGAAGAACATGGCGGTAATACCGCCACCGTCCATAGAGGTCTTGGGGTGGAGGGATGGTTGGGCGATTTTGATGTAGGCGCCGACGATCCAGAGGCAGACGGAGCCGCCGAGGGCACCGATGAGAAGCAAGTTGCGACGGCCGACTCGGTCGATCAGCCAGAGAAGCCAGACGAAGGTGACGACGGTCTTGACGACGCCGAAGATACCAGTGGTCAGGAGACTTGTGTTGCCGCCGGTGACACCAATGGACTGTTGAGATTGTTAGTACTTTGCTATAGAGAAGATAGTTATCGGACTTACCTTGAACACGGTCGGGGAGTAGTAGTTGATAGCGTTGATACCAGAGCCATTCTGCCAGAAGAACAAGGCACTACCGAGGAAGAGGCGCCACATCACACGCTTGTTGGTGCCGGCAGCCTTGAAGGGCTTCCAGAAACCAATACCGATATTTGCGCGCTGCTCCTCGAGAGCTTGATCAATGGCCCCAATCTCCTCAATCATATAGATGTCATTCTCGTTCAGCTGGCGCATCCAGCAGAGGTTCTTAATGGCCTCCTCGCGGCGACCACGTCCGAACAACCATCGAGGCGATTCCTTGATGAAAATGCATCCGAAGATCAACAGGCCCGCGGGGATCAGCTGGACCGCGAAGGGAATCAACCATTGCTTGTGACTCGGAGCCATAGTGGAATCAACACCATACTGTCACAATACATTAGCATAAGTCGTTTAATCACACACACACACACACACACACACACACACAGAGAGAGAGAGAGAGAGAGAGAGAGAGAGAGAGGGGCAACATACATTAATCCAGAAGCCAACCAGGCCACCAATCTGCCAGCCAAGTTCATACACACCGACCAAGCGACCACGAATAGCAGGGGGTGACAGTTCGGAAATGTAAATAGGAGTCAAGTTGGAACCGGCACCGACACCCAGACCAGCCAGTACACGTCCGCCGTAGATCAGACCAAGACCGCGGTCACCATTCGCGCCAAGCATGAGGCCAGCGCCGAGGATGAAAACCAAAGCAGAAGTCATCAAACCGATTCTGCGGCCCCAGAAGTGACCAACGGGATAAGCGAACAAGGCACCGAAGAAGGCACCGGCCTGGTAGAGGGAGACGATATTGGAGCTGAGGAGGTTCACAGCAGGGTCGGACATGTCTTCAAAATGGAACTCGTCCTTGAACGAAGTCAGAGCAAGGGTTGTGCCGATGAAGGCACTGTCGTAGCCGATCATGCATGATGTGCATGAGGCGACGGCCGCCAGTAGGTAAACTCTCCAGTTGTAGACGGACTTGGGCGTCGGCCGGTCCTCGACCAGCTTGAGGATCGACATTGTGTGAAGGGGGTATAGATGGGTATAGACAATAGAAGCAAATTGGGAAAATGGGGTGATCGCACTTGACCTGTCACCTCAATGCAAAGCAATGGCAGAGGTATTCAGATCTCCCTCGAAGGGGTAGTCACCACTGTGTGGCGAGTAGGTGGAAGGTTAGAAGCCGGGGACAGAGATGAAAGATGGAGTAGAAAAGAAGATCTACCATCTGGGGGGTAAAGGAGTCTAAATAGTACTAGATGGGACCGGGGGATAAGCGAAGAATCTGGGGTTAAGGCCCGGGGGGCGAGGAAAAATCGTGGAACTTGGAGGCGGAGAAAGGTATAGCGCGATTATACTTTGACGAAGACCAAGCCGGGAAAACGATATAAAGCTCGTCGGCTGGGACTGTGCGCCAAAGATAATAAGACCTTGGCCCCAAGGAAAGGAAGGAATGGCGAACTCTCTTTTCTTTTTTTACGCCCAAGAAGAGGCTTGGGTCCAAGACCAAAAGAGACCAAAAGAGACCAAAAGAGACTAAGGGAGACTACAGGAGGCCATGTGGTTGGCCCGAGCCACGATTGTGGGGAGGGCCGATGCCGCTGTGGGGGAAGTCTGCACCCCGTGATTCAAACAATTCAAACACACTTTAAAATTGGACAGGTCTGGGGTTACCCCGGGGGGAAATGTAGTCCAGATGCACGTTCCAAGTCAAGTTTACTGGAGAAATGTCTCCTTTTGGATTCGCCGGTGTCGATGGATCCACGCGAGTCCTCGCTTCGGGGGCAACCAATAGCTGGTCATATTGAGCATGTGGCGGGGAAAAGCGATCCCCCGGCCATCGCCCAGAGACGTCTCGCTTCGGTCGTTTGTCTGGAATCTTCTCTTTTGTAAATGACCGGCCATGGTAACACATTTTGTTTTATTGGTCGTTGTAAACTTGACTGTCAAAAGGGAGATTCCCCGTCGGGGACGTGAAAGCGGTGGTGGCTCGGGGAAAGCATTCTGCCCTGGCGAAATAGATATCTGGGCTTGGATGTTCAAGCAGCGATAGTAGATTTGATGTGTTTCATCAAACACCTCAGTATGATGTACTTCAGAAACAGTATAATAATGGCGAACCGATGGTAACAGCCTGGGAAGTGGGTAAGTGTCTGTGTGTACTGTGTGGGTGTGAGGAGCGAGCGGCACAGCGCTGGGAGGAAAGTGTTTCTCCGCCCCGCGGCTCTACCTTTACGACGTAGAAAAACCTGAATATAGCTTCATTGGCCCCCGAGCGTCCCGGTCCCTCTATCTATTTATCATATATCATTTACCCCTCTCCTCAACGCGCTCTTCAATTATCTCCTCATAAAAAAAAATTTACAATGGCCGCACCCCAAGTCACACCCACCCGGCCCGAGGAGCCCATCGCCATCCCGGAGAACCTCGACGGCGTCGCCTACCTGTACGGCCACCCTCTCCTAAACTCGCTCTCCCCGCCTCTGCACCAAACAGTCTACAATGCATTGGGCCTCAACTGGACCCAGATCCCCCTGTCCAGCGTGACAGGCACATCAGCCACCTACCCGCCGCCCTACACCACGTCTCCACCGATCGAGAAATACCTAGCCTCGATCAAATCCAACCCCAAGTTCGTCGGCTCGTCCGTCACAATGCCTCACAAGGTCGCCATCATGCCTCACCTGGACGATCTGACCGAGCACGCTCGCCAAGCTGGTGCCTGCAACACCATCTTCCTGCGCAAGAACGCCGCCGGCGAAACCGAGTACGTCGGCACAAACACCGACTGCGACGGTATCCGCGAGGCCCTTACCCAGAACGCGCCTGACCCCGAGCGCTTCCGCGGCCGGCCCGCTCTCATCATTGGAGGCGGTGGTACCGCCCGTACCGCCATCTATGTTATGCGCCGCTGGCTCGGCTCGAGCAAGATCTATATCGTCAACCGTGACGCCGCTGAGGTCGCTACTATCCTCGAGGAGGACCGTCGACGTAACCCGGATCCCAGCGCCCAGGCGCCCCTGATCCACATTACTGATCCTGAGGAGGCGGCGCGCCTGGAGGCCCCTGCTGCTATCGTCTCGGGTATCCCTAACTACCCGCCCAAGACCCCGGAGGAGTTGAACGCCCGCGCGATCATCCAGGTGTTCCTGGGTACCGCTGCTGACGCGCCGAAGCAGCAGGGTGTTATTTTGGAGATGTGCTATCACCCTGTCCCCTGGACCGAGATTGGGCAGCTCGCGAGCATTGGTGGCTGGAAGGTGATCCTTGGATCGGAGGCGCTGATCTGGCAGGGTCTGGAACAGGCGCGTCTGTGGACAGGTCAGGATATTGTCGGCACGCCTGGTCTTGTGCAGGCTGTGAAGGATGTTGTGAATGGGTCGGTCGCTGAGCGGTCGGCTAAGAAGTCCAGCCTTTGATTTTCTTTATTTTCATCGGGGCTTCATTGTGTTTTATAATGTCATTTTACGATTGTACAGAGCTAGATTCTTGCATTAGATGGTTGGCGTCGTGGAACCTTTTCCACTGTTATCTACGGGGACGTCTGGCTGCATATGATGATTATATTTCCAAAATTACTTCCAAATTTATAGGCTTGACTCGATCGAGGTTCGTAAAGTTATCGCTTTCTACGCGCCAGGTCGCGAGTATTCCAGCTGGCGGACCCGCCGCCAGACTTCGCGGACCGTGCGTTCTTGCGACTCGCGGCCAGTCTCGGTGTCCGAGGGTCCAGCGGGTCTAGAATCGAGTTAGTCGAACGAACGAAAGAGTGTTCAAGTGTGTGTAAGTGATAACTCGCCTGATAGCCAAATACAACCGGCTTCCCAGACGCACGTCTTCAATGGCATCGGTTTCAATGTTCTCGGGCGGATTGGCAGTAGTTACAAGTCCACCAGCCTCGAGTAGAATAGCGACACCAGCAGCGACATCCCTATTAAAGCATCATTGTCAGTAAAAAAGTGATTTCTTACCTCGAAAAAAAAACTCACCACTCCCAACAACCACCCTCCCACCAAATATCAAATGACCCCATAGCCGTATACGCCAGATCAAGCGTCGCACTGCCCAAACTCCGTACACCGTGAACCATACCACCCTTCCCACCACGCGAACCCAGCTCTGAAGCAAGATTCACAAAACTCTCAATCTTGCGGCTCAAGTTCCCATCGGGAATATCCCTGCGGTCCTTACCCCACTCACAAGAGAAGATACATTGTGCAGGCGCATTAGGTGGCATTGGCGGGATAGACGGGTTGCGAATGAGTGGGAGTTGGCGAGTCTCATTGAGCCAGGCGCCGCGGCCGCTGCAGGCGGAGAAGAGCTGATCTTGGAAGGGCTGATAAATTACGCCAATGACAGGGCGATGGTTGACGATAAATCCGATGGAGACGCAGAACATTGGGAAGAGATGCGTGTAGTTTACGGTGCCTGGTTTGGTAAGTAAGTGATGGAATGCGGGGCTTGGGGGACGGACCGTCTAAAGGATCGATGCACCATGTTGGCTGTTCGTCGATCAAGTAATCGCGGGACTCGCCTTTGGCGTATGTCTCTTCGCCGAGGAATCTGGCATTGTTAGCACGGAAATGTTGTAAGAAAGAGTCGGACGAACTTGTGATTTGGGTATTTGGTCTTGAGGGCGCTGGAAATAAATTGCTCGACGTCTGGATGATTCCGTGAGCGTTTGGATAGATAGTGTTGTGGCTCCCCTGCTTACCCTCGTCTGTTTGGGTCACAATGTCGACTGAATTGTCCTTCTCCTCGAACTTCTGCGAGTGTCCCTCACTACCGGAGATACGCTGGTCTACGCGCTCCATCAAGAGCTTTCCAGCCTTGCGGCCGAGGTCGACGGCGAAGGCATAGATCTCATCGAGCTCCTCCTGCGAGAGCTGTCCCGCGGCCATGGTGGGGGCGATTGTTTCTGTGAGTATATGGGACGATGATAGGAGGTCCTTCGAGTGCGAATCCAAGAGAATTGAGAGTAAGTCGGGAAGTTGGCCGGATGTTTGAGTCACCTGCCCGGTGAAAAAAGGTCGAGGTCACCGCCGCTAGCCGGTTCGCCTTATCGGGTTCCCCCACTTGTGGAGACTTCGATAGGGTATTTATGTTCAGTCATCTGTCGGCCATTGACCCTAGACACTGTTCGATTTCGTTGTTGTATATGAACAGCTATAATGCATGGATATTGTTTTGAAATACTTGGGAGCCCTGGAGAGAATGGCTGTCAATGTTGGGAGGGAGAGTGCGGAAAGGTAATGCGGGGTTCCCAGGGGGGTACATGGCTATATTAGGAGATGTCGAGCTTACCTTTTTATATAGATAAAGGGGTTCAGGCAATTCTTGGGTGAGCAAAGTTGCTAGCATTCGTGAGCCTTGAGATGCTTGAAAAGGTACGATAATTTGGTCAGTATCTTAGTCCGTTTGCCTACATCGACTCACGCCCAGACCGGCAGAGGCCATCCACACTTTCCTTTTATTACTACCACTCACGTACCATTTCTTCGCCCACAAAACTAAGTTCCTTTGATCCTAATGCATCGAACTTTAGTACCTGTTCGGACCCTCTCTGGTCAGCTGAACCCTTCCCATATCAGATATCGTCATATGCGCGAGATACCCCACAAGCGGACTGTACAGCACACCAAGTGAATCCCCACACCACAGACTCCCTCGGCTTAATGGAACAACTAACAGGATGGTATGATTAATAAAATACCATCTGGTACCAACCGACTTGCAGTAAAACCCAGACTTCCATCCGCAATGCCCGGGACTCCCAGGACCCCCACGCGGCAAAGCGCTCAGCCGCCGAGGGGCACAAATGCGGAGAGAACAGCGCGCGAATCACATCACCGATATTTTATCGAGACACTTACTACAATACCTCATCCCATTCCAACACACCCTCAATCAAACTTAACTCCAAAATCACAATCAAAACCAAAATGGGCAAATCAATCCTCCTCATCAACGGCCCCAACCTCAACCTCCTGGGCACCCGCGAACCCCACATCTACGGCAGCACAACCCTCTCCGACGTCGAAACCAACTGCCGCGCCGTCGCCGCCAGCCACGACTGCACCTTCGATGCCTTCCAGTCAAACCATGAGGGCGCAATCGTCGACCGCATCCAAGCCGCGCGCGGCAAGGTCGACGGAATCGTGATCAACCCCGGCGCCTACACTCACACCTCTGTGGCTATCCGCGATGCGCTGCTAGGTGTTAGCATTCCGTTCATCGAGCTGCATGTGAGCAATGTTCATGCCCGTGAGCCTTGGAGACATCACTCGTATTTCAGTGATAAGGCGGCGGGTATTATTGTTGGACTTGGTGTTCATGGGTATAAGGTTGCTGTTGAGCACGTGGCGTTGAATTTCAAGGAGTTGGAGAAGGAGAGTAAGGCTGCGCTATAATCGATATTCGTTTGAAATATGGGTTTACTAGGGGAATATCCTGCTTCGTGTATATACTTGGCCTGTAGGGTATGGAAAAGAATTGATTGTTATGCTTTATACTTGATGAGCTGGCCGCGAGCAAAGCGCCCTTACAATATGGAATAAAGCGTTTTTGCTCAAATTATTATTATTTCTAATTTACCATTCTAATTAAAGTAGCAAAATATGAATAGCTTCTCGAGCCCAAGAAAAAAAACAAGTCTTGGAAATGAGGTCCTGCCCGGGTTCGAACCGGGGCTTTCGGAATGCGAGAACAAGAGAGTGTAGTCAAAATCCGACTTCCTGACCACTAGAACACAGGACCAAAGTTTGTTTTTCCAGGGCTTAACTGGTTTCCCGAAAGCCCATACCGCTTGCCCAACTTGGATAAGAGGTTTTGCTAGTTGATTCAAACGCATGGCATTCATCCAGGAGTGTTGGCGCCGTGATGGATTATCCGTTATAAAGGTGCAAGTGTTTTCGGGTCGCATGTACTGCCGTTCATTCTTTTCTAACAATTCGCTGCAGCGAAAATATTCAGCAAGCCCTGTCTTAGTGGGTCTACACCATGACATATAATGACAGCTAGAAGCCCTGAAGATGACCCATTGCCCTCAGAATCTTTGCACGTATGAACTTTTGAATTCTCCAAAAGCCTAGGATCAGTATGGAAATATTGCTTATCAAATTTAAATGTTGAGTCTTATCGAAACCACCTTGAGGCGAGCAACCTCCTGATCGAATGAGCGATGATGGCACTTGACTAGGAAACAACGGGTAGGATATTCATGCTATGAGCGTCATCCAGTCGCATCGGTAATTACCTACCGAGCGACACCATATTTCGTAAACAGGGGATCATTCAACAGCTTATTCAAACAACTCTCTTCCACTCCAACCACTACCTCCATCCCACCATTCGGCAAAACAGGAAGCACAACCTGCAGGCCGTTGATAGTACCAACATGAGGCACTCGCACGGCATCGATTTTGTTTCCCAGCAGAGATCCCCAATCCAAACCGTAAAGCTCAAAGTTTAGCCACGAAGTCTGCACACAGTTGAAGCCAGGGACGTCCAAGAAAGCGGTAGGAAGCAATCGGTCGACGTCTTCGATCTTATCAATGAGTGTTACTACATCATCTGTGAATTGGTCGTCGGCTTTGAGGATTGCCTTGCGGATTGAAACCGCGAGATCGGCTATGTTGAGGTGTTTAAGCATCTTTCGGATGGGGGCTTTGATGGCCACGTATTCTAGGAAGCATCCTAGTGTATCGGGGTGGACTTTAGGATCTGTTCGTAGTCGACCGTCGATGGCGATGTTGAAAGTTGAGATGGGATCACCCTCTAAAGTCTCCAGAGGCCACTGTACTGCCATAACTGTACGCCATAGCAGTGCCGAAAGAGCATCATTGGTCGAGACCCACTGCTGATCTGAAGGTTCAGTGGTGTTTGCTGGTGAAGCATCCGCTTTCAATGCCGAAAGGGACTCCGGAGAGAAATAGAAGATCTGGCCGCGGTGGTTGGGTGAGATCATCTTCGGTGGTGCCTCTGTAGGTGTGAATGGGAGAAGAGTATACTCCGGATGATTCTCAAGTGCGCCCGAGTTGCGACCAGATGGTTTCATCACTGTCTCTCGATCCATCCATAAAGCTGAAAGCTGAATAGGGTCTGGGATCTTAAGTCCCTGGGCCTCGCGACATCCATCTGCCCAGATCTTTGTCCAAGTATAGAACGAGGTCCCATCGCCCACCAGGTGTAGAATGCACCATGATAGAATCACCCCACCACGGATGAAATTGGCTTGCACGAGAGATATCGGTAGCCTCTCTCCGGCGGAAGGCCAGACTGATCGACGGCAAAAGAGATCGGCGTCGAAGGAGGAGACAGGGAAAGATTTCGATTTCAACTCTGCGTATTCGGAGGGGTATGAATCACGCAGATCTTTAACGACGATGCTCGCCGCGGCGCCACTGTGGTCTATCTGGAGTTTCATCACTCCTCTTTGCTTTGAGTCAGGGTCGGGTAGGGCCTCACATGTGACCTCTGGTATCCGTTGTGTGAGAACGTGGTACCCGGTCCGAAGGACCCTTGCGACTTCGTCCAAGTCATAGCCTTCTTGCAGCGGGAATGGGAAGACATAGCGTAGATAACCCTTAGGACCAATGCGCTCCAAAGCTGTTAGCTCGTGGATCGGTTGTTTGTCTCCGACAGATCCCATGTTGATTCAGTCAGTTTGGGTGTACTTTGAGAGCGTGAGACGTGTAAGAGTGTGCCTGTGGTTGTGGGCCACGAGGAGAAAGATAGCGTCTACGGGGCGGAAAGTACTGTGTTAATAATGGAGCAGTGTCTATATGAATTAGTCTGATAGGACAACTCGGAGAACGGACTCCAGTTGCAAGCCGTTCGAAGGATCAGACCGGCCGTTGCTAGTACGTTGGTGAAAGGGATGGCATTGTCTCCGGGACGCTAGTGCAACTGCCAGACCCACCCTCCAATACAGGCATTTACAACCTAGGCCATGAGATTCGTTTCCATTGAATACGAGAATTGAGTATCGGGCTCTACAATTGCCGTAATTAATACCACATCTAAAGTTATCTTCTCCTACCCCGTGAGATTCTGGCATAGAGCCGTGCTGACAGCGATCTACACTGTGGCTTACAGGGGGAGGAAACATCAGACGGGAGTCGGGTGGGGTCATCCACCCACTAAGAGCTGTCAACCACCGCCGATTGGACTTACCAGGTGCACTTTTAGCCCCCAAGCCCTCGGGGCTAGCTACGCTTTTTATCCTGCCACGTTCGTGGTACTTGCCCCGCGACTGCATAACAACCAAAGAACCATGCTAAACACGACTAGATTGGGGAGGATTGGCGCATCCTGGACTGAACCCGATTCCGAGTATGAATCTAGGCCATTGACAATAGTACCATATACCTTGATTCAGCAATACCAAATCTTATGAGCATATCTCCTGAGTCGTGGCTCGGAAGACTTCCGCTTTTCTCTTTTTTTCTTTCTTAGAAGTGGAAAATCCCTGATATTTCGAAAGCCTTGAAGAAATCTATTGCCCTGGGCATTGGGTCTGCGACATTGTCATGACTGAGGATCCAGCTATTCAGGCCCTTTTCGGGCCTGCCCCGTCAAATGTCGACCTCTCTGACAGCGCGGTATCTACTAACAATGCCGCGGTTATTGCGATGCTTTGTCTTGCTGCCGTGGCAGTGATGCTTCGTTTCACGGCACGCATTATTCTTCGAAATGCGTTGATGGTGGATGACTGGGCAATTATCGCGGCCTTGGTGAGTGCATCTCCAGTGGCTCCTCATCGCAATTGCTGACTTCTTTCCTCTCTTTAAGGTTCTTATAGGCGCCACCACCGGACTGAGCGTGGCAGGTAAGACTTGAACCTTATTCAGAAGCACTGTCATATCCAACGAAGCTAATCCGTACACAGGCGGCACTACCGGCGCTGGAAGTCACATTTGGGCGGTTACTCTAGAACAACTGGAGCACTTGTACAGAGTCAGTCCAATATTATACTCTTCAGATTCCCGGACTAACTCGAAATTGTTCAGCTCCTATTCATTTACACCTTTCTGTATGCCGCTTCATGTACTTGCACCCGAATTTCCATCATCTTCTTCTACAGACGAGTCTTCTCGCCACTGGAAACGCCTCTAAAGGCCGCCCTTTTTTTCGCCGGCTTCCTCACAAGTTCTTACCCCATCATTATCTGGGTGACGATGGGAAACTCCTGCAAACCAGTATCCCATTTCTGGACTCAGTTCAGTGGCACGACCGGGGAATGCATTGACGTCGACCATTTTTTCCTCGCATTAGGAATCATCAACATGCTGAACGATTTCATAATTCTGGTGATCCCCTTCCCCCGAATCGTCAAGCTGCAGATGAATAGTCGGAAGAAGGCAGCAATTTGCGCCATTCTAGCAGTGGGAATCTTGTGCGTACTCCCGGTTTTGAATTGTCTTGCTTCAGCTCCCAACTTACCGGCATATAGTGTCTGCGTCGCCAGTATCGTCAGAATCTACTACTTATCCGTATTCATGAGCTCTGTCGACCTGACATGGCTGATGGGCCCCGTCTTCATTTGGTCAACAATCGAACCCTGCGTTGCAGTCGTCTGCGCCTGTCTACCCCATCTCGCACCCCTCGCCCGCCTCGCCCACCGAGCAATTCTCTCTAGCTACCAATCGCAGAACTCCACACATAAGTCTGAAGAGAGATTGCGAAGACTTCCTAGTGGGTCTGGTCAGAGCAAGCAACGGAATAAGTTCCGTAAGGATGGACCTACGTTTGATTTTGGACTTGATCAGATGAAAAGGAGCGCGAATGATGATGAGATCGGCCTGACAAACTATGTTAGTGCGGCTCCGAATGAGGGGAAATATCCGCATCCTTTTGTTGAGTCTGTGGATGAGGATTTGGGACGCGATGGTTCGATTGCTGTTCAGTCTAGTTTTATGCAGTCTACTTCGACGAGGCCTTCGTTGTAGGGAGAAATAAAACCCCAATAAAATAAAAGACTTGGGAATACGATGAATTTCAAAAGGATGGTATAATCAACGAACGATACCATTCAATGTTGGGATCAATTGCTCTAGGTAAGCTCTCTTGCTCTGGAATCGGGCCGTGCGATTATAGCCCGAGAAAAACACCAATCTTTAAAGATTGGCGCAGGCATTGAAGTTGTTCAACTGGATGTACAGGAATAGAAGAAGGTTCAAAAAGAGCTTTAGGTAGGTGTCCAGAAAGCTGTTGAGAAGTAACTGGAGAATCAAGTGTGTAGGCCCATTAAGATCATCTTCTCGGTCGGGCTGTGGAAGCATGTTTACCAGCTACATAAATCTTGATGTCTTTATTTGTCCAACTGAACCATTGTTGATGGACCTTGGGTCACATTATGCTAAATGAATACATTATGATTTCCGTACATTTTGAGGTTCCATCAAAGGAACTAAATATGGTATCATAGTCATGGTATGATATTGAAGATTCCTGGAGCGTATCCAAATCTCCACCATCTGGATTTCAAACGAGTACGCGGATAAGATCCGGTGCTCCAGAAAAACCTTGCAACATGAGGCGCTGACCCGCAGCTAAGAACCTCAAGAAAGAAAACCCAAGTCAATTGACAGCAATGCCCAATTTGCTGATCTCATCGCTTCGGCGTCCCTGATATATCAAGAGGCTGCGACTCTCTCCCTACACCAGTAGATTGGCTCCCTGGCATTTGTTGCGTTTGTGCGAGCAGGAAGGGTTCGATTTGACTTGAGAATGAGTACACTTCCGGTACGCCCGAGTCAGAGACGAAGCCGAGGTTCTGCATGAACTCGGATGAGTTATCGGCCCTATAGATTTGGTTAAAATGGTTCGATCAACAAGGAAAGAGGCACACTCACTTTTCGGCACCGTCCAACGACGCCAGCTCGTCAAACAAGGCATCCAAATCTGGAGCAATCCGCTGCTGTCGCCGCGGCTGCCCGTAGCCATCCATGTCGACGAAGGGACCGAGGCCGAGTGAAGGGTCTTGATACGCCGGGGGATATTGCCCCCCAGGAAATTGGTGAGCGAGTTCGGGAATCATTCCAGGCCCGTTGTGAGGTTTGGAGGGAGCCGGTGTAGACTGGCGGAGTCCGCTGGACATGCCGTTGTCTAATTGACTTGGCTGTGCTGAGACTTCGGAGGCACCACCGACGGTGGTCAGAGATGGGGTGGGTGTTTGCAGTAAGGAAGACCCATCGTCAATATGGGAAGGACCTCTGAGCCAAGGTGTGGGGAGGAAAGGGTCGGATGTCGAGGGATGTGAAGTGTTAGGAAGGTGGCCTTCTGCTGGAGGTCGAGGATCGGTTGTTCCCGGCATTAGATGCTGCATGGTCTGGTCTTCAACCGGGGTGATATTTGGTGGGTGTAATGATATTGGAGAAGCAGCCGCCCCCATGTTCCTCTGGAACGCGCTTTGTGACGTATTTGGCCGATCTGGCATAGACCAGAGCTGCCCAAGGTGGGATGAGAAGGACTGTATTTTGTTACGAACGCCCAGTTCAATGTCTGAAACAGCATCACGCGGAGAAAGCCGTGGTAGACAGTAGTTGAGCATCATGCCAAACGTCGGAATAGTCGCAGAGAAGCTGTAGGTCTCCATGTATATCTGAAGCAATTGTAAAAGCCGTTTTGCGCTTTCAATAGCACGTGTTTTGTGAGGCATTCCCGGGATGTTCTGGTCGATTTCACGAGCTGCGACCTGCAGACTTAACGCGGAAGCGATGCCTTGGTACGTCATCTCAAGTCCGAAGATATGAGGCGAGCCTAGCTTGATGGGACGGCTTTGAAAGTCAATCCGATAGCTTTTTGGAAGGGCCGAAGCCCAACGTTGTAACTGTACCTCCAAGGACTCCAGCTGCGACCGAGAAACCGTTGGGTCTTGCTTCAGGAAGCAGAGATCATTCAAGATGGAAACCAGGGAAACAAGTCGGTTAAATGTGCTAAGCGCATGAAGTGGTCCACGTTGCATGGAAGCCCTGGCTGACTGCGTTGGCCGCAGCCCCGTCTGATCTTCCCACGGATGCCACTCCTCCAGTCCGTCTTCATTGATGAGACCTACCCTGGACAAATCGTCTTTTCGAAGAGATGGGCATTGTGACGTCTGCTCGGCAATGAGAGTTTCGAGGACAAAGCAACCCAGAAATACATGCTTGGCTCGTCCAACCTGTTTCTCTTGTTCGGGAGACCTTGACGGTGTCCCCGAGAAAGACAATTGATCAAGGCCCAGGGTGAGAGCAACACGAACGGCATGGCCGACAAGCATCCAAGCCGCAGTCCATTCTTGCTGGCCAAACTTAATGAGAGATAAAATTAACAAGGCTTGGACGTGTCCGACTTCATATGGGCCAACCTCGGAAGGGATTAGATTCCTCGCGGTGTTGTATAATTGTAACGGATTGATTCTGTTGGACTGACCATCCATGCCCCCAACGGAGTTGATGGAAGCGTCTTGGAGAGAGGCGAGGGTCAATACAGCCCATAGGGCGGCATGGTCCCCAGAGCCGGGTGCAGTGCGAGACATGTACACATCGCCCTCGGTGTATTGGAATGCCGTTCGGAGTATGTCGTGTTTTTCGAGGATGGGAAACCAGCATTGAGTATACGAGAAATAAATATCGAGAAGCGGCCATGCATTATAAGGGAGTTGAAGGGGAGAGCTTGTTGAAATCATTCGTGGATCTTCGGGATTGAAGGCAATGGCGAGCGAGGGGTCAAATTCGTCCGACGTTGACGTTTGAACACCACATTCTCTAGTGCGGTACCCAGGCCTTGAAGCCGAGCCGATCATCGATGCACGGGATGGTGACATGCCCGCCGTAAGTGAAGTTTCACGCTGTTCCAATCCTTCCGGGATTTGCCATTCCAAGGCCTCGGAGGAAGCAAGAATGCCATCAATATCGAGGGGTGTGTCTCCATCACCATATGCCTGGAAAAGGCGCTCCCTCTCCTCCTCAGGTTGCTCCAGCACTACTAGAATCCGCTCAATATCTCTCAATACCGTGCTATTCTTGAAGGAAGACAGCAGTGTATCCGATCCTTCGGCTTCTTTGCCCATCGTGGCCAGGTGACTTGGGAGATTGATAGATCGTATTAAGGCGCGCATCACATCTTCGCTACCTTGAATCTTCTGGAAGACCAGCCCCCACAGCAACTCGAGTGATCGAATATAGCCTGTCGGAAGACCGCGTTTCTTGGGATTGGCCTTGTACGTACAGGGTCGGCTCAGCGATGCACATGTCGAACACACGGGCTGGACCCCGTCACATTTATCTTTCTTGGAGCGACAGCTGTCGCATGCCCGGGACACACGCTGTCGCTTGGGTTGGGCGGACAGATCGTCCGCCGGATTGGACTTGCCATCGTCATCAGGGTCGGTCCATCGACGTTTGGATTTTCCGCCTACCCCGGGGCCTTGGCGAGACTCGGAGCTCATGCTGCTTCAATCGGCGATCCACTTGGCGGTTCGAAGCGCATGCTCCTGCAACACAGTCGCACGGGAGACGAATCTTTTGCCGACAAAGCGTAGGCCACGGGCGTTCTACGCCATGAATATCCACCCCACTGCAGAGAAGGACCGTGCGGGTGATTTGTGAGATAGACGTGATGGATGAATAAAGAAAGGGTTTCGCACAGAGAGAGAAGACTGCGCAACCGAAGTCGCTAGGTGTCGCTAGGTCGCGAGGTGGACAGGATTCTCGTTCCGGGGAAGGATACCGGATACACGCTAGCGGTGAGCCACTCGTCGTAAGGCAAAATGTAATATGGGGTCGGTGCTGACAACACACTCACACCACGACCAATTGAGTATAAAGTCAAGCTTGTAGAGCGATCGCGTGATAATATCCGGGCTCACGAATCTAATTTTTCTTTCCTTACTTCTCTGCTCGCAATAGCCGACGGGCGCGTGCATAGACGAGCAGGTACCCCGCGGGGAACACCGCATTGCCGGCAGAGCGCTTGTCCGCCCCTGTAATGTTACGGTTACGCGTGTGACAGAGACTTTTGCCGTCTCCCCGCAAAAACTGGGATTTCTCCGCCTTTACCTAATTCATCATCCTTAGCTTCTTTTAGCCCTGTCTCCATATCCCACCCACATCCCACATCTCCCATATTCGACCATCCCTCCCCTTTCAACATTTGTGGCTATGGCCTTCAGGTCTACGTCGGGTTAACTTTTATGACATCATGTCCATCCTGGTGCGGCCACCCAAACGCAAATTGCAGGAACCAGACGAGGGGCCGAGGAAACATAGCGCGGCTTCGTCATGGTCCCCCGGATTTCGATCGCTTCCTGTGTCCCGGCGGGCCAGTGAGCAGAGGGAGGCAGGAGACTCTCATATCTCATCAGCATCATTGCGAGAGTTGCACTCCAACCGCGCATCACCGGTCCTTTACGATAATGGACCTCTACACACTCCGCGCCAGTTCAGCCCCAAGGCGTCTGTTGTCCTCATCGGAATCCGAGGAACTGGGAAATCTAGCTTGGCAGTGATCTTGGCCGCAACGACCGGTCGGCGGCTCATCGATGCTGACCGGTATTTCCACCAAATGGCCGGCTGCTCTCGTGCCGTGTTCAAGAAAGACAATGACCACGCCGTATACCGACAACAGGAAGCGCGAATCTTCGAGTCCATGTTATCTGACCACCAGGAAGACTGCGTGATTGCATGTGGTGCTGGATCCATGGAACGTAGTGGCCAGCAACTCCTCCGAGAATTTGCGCAAACGCATCCCGTTATTCACGTCACCCGCGACCCCGAGAGCATTCAATCCTACCTCAAAGCCTGGGATACGCAGAAAGTGCGCCACTTTCTAGAGCTGTCAGGACCAATCTATCGAAGCTGCTCGAATCTCGAGTTTTTCAACCTCTCCGAGACCGCCAACCGCGAATCCATTGCCAAGGATGGCCACGATCACTCGCCCGGGCCTAGAGATCAGAGATCTCAAACGCCCACGCCCTTTTTGACATTGAAGCGAGTTCAGCGGGATTTCCTAAGATTCATTGCTTTTGTTGTTGGTGATAGCACCGAGCTGAGTCGTCAACACGCTTCATTCCCGTTAACATTACTGCCTGTGGAGACGAGACAATTTACGTCAGCGGTTTCGGTCCCATTCTCCGTGCTCTGCGAAAAAGACCTGGATATTGAAGAGCTTGAATTCACTGTCGATGCATTCGAGTTGAAGATTGACGTGGCCAGTCCTTCAGATATGGGTGCTGACTCCAACCTAGCGGATCGGATCAGCCAGGTAGTGTCTACGCTTCGGCGCAACATCATTGTGCCTCTGATGTACCATGTCGAAAGCTTCATTACACCTCGAAGATCTCGCTCGCCTGCTCCGGCGTCGCGGACTGCAGATGAATCCTACTTGAATCTGCTCCGACACGGATTGCGACTTGCCCCAGGTTTTCTCACGGTGGATCTGACCCGCGATGACAATATCATCTCTCAAGTTGTCAGCGCCAGAGGAACAACCAAAATTGTCGGTCACTTTGAAACCTTCCATCCCATCGCTGGCGGCTGGGACGGAGACGAGTACATGAAATTATACGAGCGTGCGAAGAAACTCGGATGCAACGTGGTGCGCTTCTGTCAGCCGGCGGAGACACTAGAAGATAATAATGCAGTGCAACGATTCCGACACCGCATTGAAAGTCTCCCAGGTCCTCAATTACCTTTAATTGCCTATAACACGGGACCTCTCGGACGTGTGTCCCGCTGTTTTAACCCCATCTTGACCCCCGTCACACATCCCTCCCTCATCACCGAAAGCCCAACCCAATTAATTCCTACTATCACTGCCCGCCATGCCCAAGAAGCCCTCTTCAGCACCTTTGCTCTGGACCCGATGCAATTTTTTGTCTTCGGTGCCAATGTCACCTACAGTATGTCGCCCGCTATGCACAACACCGCTTTCAAGCTCTGTGGGATGCCCCATCACTACTCTATTTTCCAATCACCTACCCTCCGTGGATTGAACGAGCTCGTCGAAAATCAATTCTTCGGCGGGTCCAGTGTCAGTCTTCCCTACAAGACCGAAGTCATCCCTCTCCTCCACTCGATGTCTCCACACGCCCGGGCCATTGGTGCCGTCAACACTTTGATTCCTATCCGAAGCCACGAGGACTCTAATGACCCCCGTCTTTCCCAAGAATCATCAGTCTTTATCCAGAAGTGCCGCGCCGGCCCAATCAAGGGCATCCATGGTGACAACACCGATTGGATTGGAATCTGCAATTGTATCCGCCGAGGTCTATCACCCGCAAATGCAGTCCGCCCCTCAACCACCGGCCTCGTTATCGGATCTGGTGGTATGGCTCGTGCCGCCATCTACTCGATGATTCACCTGGGCGTGCAAAACATCTTCGTCTACAATCGAACTCTCGCAAATGCAGAGAAGCTGGCCCAGCATTACAACCGACAGGACCTCTTCGCCAACGAACGAATGGCCGCCGATGGTCGCCCGAGAGTCAGCACTCTGAGCTCGCTGGATGAGCCATGGCCAGCTGAATATAAACAACCAACCGTTGTCGTATCGGGTATCCCAGCCCATAGTATCGGCGGAGCCCCAGCACCTAATTTCAACGTGCCCACGCAGTGGCTGGAGAGCCCAACGGGAGGCGTCGTTGTTGATGTAAGTTTTATCTCGGTCCCATTACAAGCTTGTGCTGACATAACCTCCAGCTCGCATACAAACCCCTCAATACGCCACTGATGAAACAGATACGCGCTCTATCCCACCGCGGCTGGGTTGCATTGGACGGTCTAGACGTTCTCCCCGAGCAAGGCTTCGCCCAATTTGAACTCTTCACAGGCCGCCGTGCCCCACGCCGACTTATGCGGAAGATCGTCCTCCAGGAATACGAGGATGACGAGGGACACGATAGCAGTGCGATCCGCGATAGACTACAGCACCTGGATGGCCAGCCTACTTGAACACCTCCGGCGCAGCATGTCGGTACAGGTTTCCATGCTAGCTGTGGGCCCCGCAGAGATCTGCAGCCAAGCTCACCTACTAGTGCGATATGGGCTCCAGTGCCCAAGCTCCGCTTGAAATACTCCTGACCTGTCTATTGAAGGCTAATTTGAGAGCGGATGGCCCGTGGCACCCCGCTTGCAACTACGATCGACGCCGAGGGGCCCCATATTCGGGGTTTGATACAGGTATACGATCCAGTCCACCTGGAAGCCGGATCTTTCCGTGGGTTGATGGTGGTGGACATAATTTCAGAAAGCGCTGTTTCGCTCCATATGTAGATTTTTACGAATTGAATGTCTGATGTCAGTCTCCAGTATCAAGTATAACGTAGTCCGGAACAAATTCCCAATCCCAATATCATCTGCGGCTCGGTGTCGCGTGTCAAGCGGATTTTGACTGGGACCGATTCCAAATAGCCTCCACACCAAGTTGTATTTTCTGTCTGAAACGTGGTGGATCCTAAAGCCCCGACCGTGGAGTTGTTGGCGTGAAGGAAATGTTTTTCGGCACGCCTGTGAAACAAGCCGTCCGTAGCCACGCGGGGTATGTCTTTTTCTTGTTGCTTTCTTCGGCTGTTTGGCTGAGTTGCTCGGCACAATGACTGGAACTGGCTATTGGTTGCAATATGATGCAAGGGTCCTAGGGTGGGATGTGCTTGAAACATCGGGGATACTGGGTGGGAGTTGAAGGTGTGTCCAAGACAGCTAAGGAGATATTATTAGTAGGTCCAATCAGGCGGTCATAAGTATCGATCTGAGTATAATCCAGAGACAAGTGCTGAATATATTGGAGTGAAATATATGCTTGAAAAGACGTTCAATACAATGCACGGGGGTTTTAGAAGGCAAGTCAACGCTAGGGGAATATGATCCAGCGTTCTTGGATCGTATCCAATGAATCTCAGGGGTCCGATCTGAAGTTCAGATCGGAACGTGCAGGGGTGTAGACCGGGATGGCTTCTAGACCAGGCAAGGTTTCCACGTGATACGGCAGGCGTTTCAGGATGCTGAAACACGGCCTGAGCTAGTTGGCCAGGGGAAGGGGGCTATATCTGGGCGTGTCTGCCGTCAAAGCCATAGTAGGGGGCCCGAACTCCCGCGATCATCACAAGGCTGACCGCTGACTGCTGACTGCTGACAGCCAACAGCGAACTGCTGCAAATACATTCAGGGGGAGAGGCTGAAGCAGCGAATGACGAACGGTTCAGGGCCATTGTTTTGAGACTGACGAGCCGTTCCATGGATGATGGGGCCCGGCATTTCTTTTGTTTTGGATCGAGAGTCCAGGTCCAGGTCCAGGTCCAAGTAAAGAAGTACCGTACTTTCCGATCTTCCCGTATTGATCCTCCACAAGGAATGCGATAATCCCACTTATTGCAATATCAGGGGCTGTGAAGATCCGATTGGACCGTGCATAGCTCCTGGGCAGCAATGCGGCCCGCACGGTGTCAAGTATCCACGTAGACCGGGATGAAAAAGAAAGAAGAGACAAGAGAAAGCGAATGCGAAAGAGAAAGAGGACTGCGTAAATGAAGGGTGTGTAAAGTGCATGGAAAGTGCAGTGACTTTCCCGTTCCAGATTTGGCTGCCACTTCATCTCGGCCTCCTTTCCTCCCCCCCTCCACACACCCCCTACCTGAACACCTCATTTCTTTTTTTCTTAATTTCGTCTTTTATCTTTTTTCTTTGTCTTTTGGTACACTGCGCGACTTCACGATCAAGTCTATCTACATCGTCAATCGTTAATCCCAACTCCAAAATCATCCACTCTCCAGAGCCTCGCCCGCGAGGGGCAAACCCTCCCCCCAGTTTACTCGCCTGGAGCGCTTGTCACAACACCCGCGCCTATCTACCTGAAACGTCGTGTATCACTGTGAGCTGGAGCAGCCTGGTATGTGGCATACCTTTCTTCCCATGAGATTATGGTCTCCGGTTATTTCAGCCTGAACCGTCCTGTCATTAAGCCCTCAGCCCTCAGCTCAGCTGTCCGAGGCTGAGGACACCAGTGGCTTATTACCCGTTTATACCGGATCATGGTTCCCTGCGTTAATGCCTCAGCAGCCTTGCTTCAGCCACTCGTCTTTCTTTCAGCCCCCTGTCGCATCCCCCCTCCGCTCTAGCGCAACCACCGCGAACCTTCTAAAACACGCAGTCGCTCTATCTCTGTCTCTGTCTCTGTCTCGAATAGACCGTGAACGCATGTCCGCGCAACGCGTGTGCTCCCCTCCGCGCCTTTGACTCACCTAAAACTTTTCTGATCTGCGGCGTTCGCTTCCCCGCTCGCCGGACACCGTAACGACTTGGTGATCTAATTGAGGTTTCACAATGGAGTCCCCGGCCCTACACCCGGAGTCTCCTATGGAGCAGGAGGACATCCCCTACCCGTGTATGGGCTGTGGAGAGATTCTGGAGGAAGGGAAAGCTTTCGAGCTTTGTATGTTTCCCCACACTGGCTCTGGTGTAGCTGTGCTAACCCCTCTAAAGCTGGACAGAGATGGCACATCGATTGTTTCCGATGCAGCACTTGTAATTGTCTCCTAGACTCCGATGCGCACCTTCTCCTCCTCGGCGACGGCTCCCTGATTTGTAGTTCATGCACCTACAGCTGCAACTCGTGCGGCAACAAGATCGAAGACTTGGCTATTTTGACCGGTGATCAGGCATTCTGCGCGCAGTGCTTCCGGTGTCGAAACTGCAAAAGAAAAATTGAGAACCTACGCTATGCTCGTACATCGCAGGGGATATTCTGTATGGACTGTCATGAGTCTTTAATGCAAAGACGACGGAAGAAAAAGGCAACGGCAGCGGCTCGAAAACCGGGAGCGAAATTGGATAAATCCTTGCCTTCGCTGCCCCCAAGCATGGAAGAGACCCAATCGATCGATGAGTCTCCCAGTGAGGTGTATGTGGAGGCTGCTGATATCCAGATAGCTGGACCGGATAGTTCTGCAGACCGGGAAAGCTTTCCGACACGAGAGTCCGCCACAGGTAAGGAAGGCACAACCAATCTATGGAAGATCAAGACTGATAGTATTTCCACGCAGACAATCTCCTCCTTCCCTCTAGTACCTACCGAAGCAGTCGTCACATGGGTTCACAACGTGACAATAATAACACCCAAAACAACAACGAGGCGGACGGGGGCGGAGAGCTCTTGATTCCTCTCGCTTTTGATCCCTCAGAAAGCCAGCGATCGTCTTCGCGCAGACAGTCACAACTCATTCAAGAGCCTCCTCGTGACTACTTTAACCAGCTGCGATCTGGAGATTCCTCAATTCGAACATCTCGTGACGGCCGCGACTATTCCATAGAGCCTCCGTCTCGCACTTCCTCGGAACATCCTTCCCCTCATATTGCATACCAAGAGAAAGGATACGAGCGGGGGGAGGACTCCTATCGACGTGATATGGACGGTGACGGACCGACCAAGACATTTGCGCCGGGTGTTGAATCCAGACTTGGGAAGACGGAATCTGACCGCAGCTCTCGGTCTGATCTGCCATTGGCGATGAGAGAGACCAGCGCCTTCTCAGGTGCAACGAGCCCAGAGAGCAGCAGGTCCAAGGACACTGCCAACGATACGACTCGATCGATGCCTCTCGAGAGTGTTACATCCGTCCCCTCACGCCCTTCAAACGACCTACGCAGACTTCACGAACATGACTCCGTGAACTCTTCACGTTCTCAGCAGTCTGCATACCCACCAAGGCGCGGCGACTCGCTTGAGAAAGGACCCCGTCCAATTCCCCGGAAAGAGGTTGGCTCATCGCCCAACTCCTCCGCTTATGGCTCGCCTACGTTGCCCAACATCGGGTTTGAACAGCCGAAGCAGCTTACCTCTCTCGATACACGGGACGGCGCAGACTCGCCTTCCATTCCACAGTACAAGGGGGGCAGTGAATTTTCTGCCGATGAAGATTTGGCTCGCCTCATGAGCGAGGATGGAACCAGCGACTCCTTCATGCGCCGCATGTCAAGCTCCATTCGACATGGCCGAAGCCACAGCGAGAAGAGCATTCGGACCGGAAGGGAAGGCAAGAACCCCAGATCTCCAGCGAGCATTACTGGTACGGAGATTGCCAGTCCCACCACCAGCATTTCTCAGGCTGAGGAGATTGCTTGGCTTCGCGCTGAACTGCGCAAGGAACGCCAACGCTCGGCAGAGATGGAGGGTACTATTCGCGCTACTGTGGATGTTAAGAAGGTCAACACTGAGCTCTCTGAGAAGCGGTCTACCATGGTTGTGCTTGATGCGCAGAGAGAGATCGTTCTGCGGGAACTCACCGTTCTCACTGATCACCTTGAGGCAGAGAAGCGCGGTGCAGCTGGTGGACCCTTGGATCTTGGAAAGCTTTCAAACCATGTATTGCGAGAGCTCGCCGAAGCTATCCACAAGCTCAAGGAGTCATATGCGCCTCAGATCGAAGAACTCATCCAGCAGCGTAATGAACTTCATGAGGAGCTTGCCACCATGACCCGTCAGAAGGAGAAGACGTTCCAGGAATTCGAACAGCTGTCATCCAAGAACGCCCAGTTGGCTGAACTGAATAATCAATTGGTGCATCAGATTCAGGAATTGTACAAGGTGAATTCGGATGGCCAGCGCGGTTCAAACGGTCTTGGGATTGTTCAGAACAAGGAGAAATCTATGGCATCGGTCGAGACCATGAAGCCCGCTGCTCATGACTTCCCGCCGTCGATTTCTCATGCCCATATCGCGGACGATGTCGAGACTACTACAGCCACGGCTACAATTGTCCCTGGTCCTCATGTTGTCAGCATCCGCAAGGGACAACCTCGTAAGTTCAACTGGAAGAAGGGGGGTCAGAACGTTGCGAAGGGTGTGAAGGGTCTCAAGGGAGCCTTCATGTCCAGCGAAGCTGAGGCTGCCGGTGGTCTGCCTCGCTCGCAGACTCAAGACCCGAGTCGCCAGGGCTTCGGGTTCTTTGGAAACCAGAGAAACAAGCAGGGAGGCAAGATGTCGCAGGCCGACAGCGTGCCCGCGTTGGCTGAGGCTGCAAGTGGTGGTAAATTTTCTATCCACTCTATTTCTTCTCATCACACTCAACTGACTATCTCTTCAGGTCTCTTTGGTACCGATCTCGAGGCACGTATGGAGCATGAGAAGAGTATTATCCCCGCAATTGTCACCCGGTGTATCCAAGAAGTCGAACTTCGCGGCATGGATATGGAAGGTATCTACCGCAAGTCCGGTGCCGCCTCAGCGATCCAAGGTATTCGAGATGGTTTCGAGCGCAATCCGTTTGACTATGACATTTCGGATCCCGACCTCGATATTCATGCTGTTACGTCCGCTCTCAAGCAATACTTCCGCAAGCTCCCTATGCCTTTGATCACATACGATGTGTACGAGACGATCATCGATTCTGCGGAAGTCTCTAGCGTGCCTGGGCGGGTGGAGCTTCTCCAGAGAAATCTAGGAGAGTTGCCACGTGTGCATCGTGATGTTCTCGAATTCCTTGTTTTCCACCTCAGGCGTGTTGTTGAACGTCAGGAGGAGAATCTGATGACCAGTCAGAACGTCGCTGTCGTCTTTGCTCCGACCATCATGCGGCCCGAGAGCCTGGCCCGCGAGATGACCGACGTACAGAAGAAGAACGATATCCTCAAGTTCCTGGTGGATAATTGCCAGGATATTTTCATGGGCATGCAAGGCTAGACTTGTTTCCGACAGTTCCTTTACTTTCTACTTTTTATTCTTTCCCTTCGAGTTCATTTTCTGTTTGGCGCTCTTCTTGTACAGATACCAACCCTTCTCTTTGGTCATTTGTCGTGCGTTCATCTTCTTTCTCGCACACTCCTCCCTACCTCTCTGTTCACGATCAGCGCTGCACGCTCGATACAGATACCCTATCATGTCGTCTTTTCCCCTTTGTCGCTGATTCCCCCTACATATGCCGCAGGTTCGAAGCTAGTCAATCCCTCGAGCCTTTACGGTCTTGCTCATCGCCTTGTCGGTGTCCATAGGGGATCATAATATTTTTTCTTGTAGCCGTGGCTGTTGGTTCATGTAAGAGTGGCCTTTTGTCTTGTATTGAGCGAGCATTGGATCGAGTCTCTAGCGTTATGCATCTTCCGCGGGCCGAATAACGACCTGTGTAGGATGAGCTCTCCGATACATTCAATTATGAAAATCAATTTTAGCCCGACAATATTCGACCCTGGTATAATGTAGTGCTCAAGGCAGCGTACTCCGTTCTAGACGTTCCAGGTGTGTCCCGCACCTACCATCCAACCATCGACCATCGCCGACCGCCTACGTCGTCTCAGCTCCCGAGCTCCGTAAACTGTCCACCTCACATCTGCCCGCCTCCAGGGCTCCTCATACATCATGTCCAAGCCAAGCCAGTACCTCCTCATCTCCCTCCCCTCCTCCATCGTCCCCTCGCACCACCGCGACGACGCCCTCGAAGCCGTCTCCGTCACCGTCTCTCCCGACAATGGCTCCGTGGCCTCCTTCCCGATCCCCGAGTTCAAGATCGGCACACTAGATGCGCTCGTCCAGCAGGCTGACGAGCTGGCTAAGCTTGAAGGCCAGTGCCAGGCTGTCGTGGGCAAGGTCGGCGATGCGTTGAAGAATATCCTTGAGGGAGACGAGGCGCAGATTGAGCGCATGAAGGTCGTCAATGATAGTAAGCTTCCCCGCTACGATCTCTCCAGACGGAATGTACGTACTGACGATTCACAGAGCCGGTTGACCAGTATCTTCGCACCTTCCAGTGGAATAAGGTCAAGTACCGTGCGGACAAGTCGCTCGCCGAGTTGATTGATCTTCTGCAGAAGGTGGGTTCACCCAAACACTACGAATTCCCGGAGGGAGCTCATTACTGACATTCTTTCCAGGAGGGTGCCAGCATCGACAACGACATCCGCTTCAAATACTCCCAATATAACCAGGTTAAGAACACGCTGGCGACCCTGCAGCGGAAACAAACGTCCGGGTTCCCTCCTCACTTACCCCAAGCACAACTAACAGCATACAGAGGAAACCTCTCCACAAAATCGCTCGCCTCAATCATCGACCCCCGCTCTATTGTTCAAGACTCCGAGTTCATCGAAACACACCTCGTCGCCGTCCCCTCGCAGCAAGTAAAGGATTTCCTGAAGACCTACGAAACCATCACGGCAATGGTCGTCCCCCGCTCCGCCCAATTAGTCGCCGAGGACAGCGAATTCTCGCTGTACGCCGTGACGACGTTCAAGAAGCACAGCGTGGAGTTCGTGCACAAGGCCCGCGAGCAGAAGTGGATCCCGCGCGACTTCAAGTACGTTGAGGGTGGCAAGGAGGAGGAGGCGAAGGAGGTCGAGCGTGTTGGTGGCGACGAGCGCAAGCTCTGGGGGGAGACGTTGCGTCTTGGTCGCACGGCTTGGAGCGAGGCTGTTATGGTCTGGATCCATGTGTTGGTCCTGCGGGTGTTTGTTGAGACGGTGTTGCGGTATGGATTGCCTTTGGACTTTGTCTGTGGCTTGATTCGGGTATGATACTGTTTGGTGTGAATTGTTCTAACTGGAATGTGTCGCTAATTTGTGCTTTGCAGGCTCCTACTACCAAGCAGGCGGATCGTGCAAAGAAGAACCTTGAGGATAAGTACTCTTACCTGGCTGGCAATGCCTTTGGGCGTGACAAGAAGGGCCGTGTCAAGCGGGATGACCCCAATGAGATGCATGGTGCTGAGAGTAATGCGGAGTACACGCCATACGTGTTCTACGAATTCGAGTTCAACTAAGATGCGGGCAGTCGGCAGGTCGTTGCGTACATATACCAAGCTAGGGTACATCGAGCACAAACTTAGCATTGGATTTTTGTTGGAATATATTCTCTTGCCCCGGTGGTTTCTTTCTACTGAATACACTCTGTTGCCGTTTCCATACCTAGAAAGGGTGTCCAATGGATGAATATCAAAACGATCTATATTTGTTCAATGTTCGGATATACACAGCGCCTTGTAAACTCATTTCAACATCTATACCGTTGTACAACGACATTGCTTTTCACTTGCAAAAACCATGGAGCTATTTACTCTTGCTTAGGGAGGTAACCCTGGGAGTCAAGGTAAGCGATGATCTGCTTAACAGCATCCTTGACGGGCAGGTCAACATTCTTAATGTAGACCTCGGGCTTCTCAGGCGCCTCATAGGGAGCCGAGATACCAGTGAACTCCTTAATGACACCCTCACGAGCCTTCTTGTACAGACCCTTAGGATCACGCTGCTCAGCAACCTCGACGGGAACATCAATGTGGACCTCGACGAAAGGCAGACCGGTGGTCTCGCCGGGCGGGGGGACCTCGTGCAGCTTGCGGGCAGTGTCGCGGTCCTTCTGGTACGGGGAGATGAAAGAGGTGATGGCAATGGAGCACGAGTCGGCGAACAGCTTGGCGACCTCGGCGATACGGCGAATGTTCTCGTTGCGGTCGGCTTCGCTGAAGCCAAGGTCCTTGTTCAGACCGAAGCGGATGTTGTCACCGTCCAGGCGGTAGGCGTGCACGCCGCGGTTGCGGAGGAGCTGGTGCTCCAGCTCGACGGCAATGGTGGACTTGCCGGAGGCTGAGAGACCGGTCAACCAGATCGTCAGACCTTGCTGGTTGCGCAAGGTGCTGCGCTCGGTCTTGGTCAGGGCGGGGGCGTGGAAGGTGATGTTGCTAGGCGGGGTCAGTTTTAGTTCTGGGATTGTTTTTTTTGCCCTCTGCATCATGCATCGTGCAAGGGAAATATGGGCTCAATTGACATACGTGGCCATTGTGAAGGTGTGTGTGGTTGAGGAAAGAAGAAAGGGAGGAGGGGCAAAGAGACGGTGAAACGGGCCGCGTAAGAGTAAGAGCGGAAACGAGCGCTGATCGCGGGGGGTCTAATCTTGGCGGGTTCCTTTTCGTATAGCGGTACCTTATTTTATACGAGGGTCTCTCCAGATACTATGTATGTCATGCAGTTCAACTATGTCTATGCTATTACAGAGTCCCAAATATATATACCATCTAGATAATCGAAAAGGAAAAAAAAATAAGAATAAAAAGATCCTCGTACGCCAGGAACCAGGAACCAGGAACGTCAGAGATTTTCACTCGGTCACGCCACGGGACAAGTTCGCGAGAGCCTGGAAAGCCAATTAGTCACCTTGCCACTTTCACTCAGAATCATAGAACTTACAGCCGCTTGCTTTGGCTCAATAAACAAAGCCTTAGCCTCAACCAGCACAACGGGCTCCTTGCCCTCCTCGGGAAGAGTCTCGATGCGCCCTTCGACCCACGCCTTCCGACCCTCCACCCTGACGGTCTCGGCCCTCAGAGCCACGTAGGAATTCGCCATGGCCGGAGCCCGGTAATCAATATTCAAGTTGGCCGTAACACCGATCTTATTAGGCAGCGCGGGGAAACAGCATCGCGCAAAACCTTCATCCAACAACGTAGCCAGCAGACCACCATGCACAATACCGATGTGTCCGCACATATCCGAACCGAGGTACATAAGGGAGACCATGCTCTTGCCTTCCTTCTCGCTGAAAACCAGCGGCGGCACGACAATCTTGTTAGGCCCGGCCAGGGTACCGGCCGTCAGACTGCGCGGGCGCAAAGTCTCGGGAATCTTGAGGTGGGGGCGCGCTTCTTTGAAATCGGGGTTTGCGCGCAACTTGGCGGCTTCGGGATGGTTGCGGATGTGAGAATCGACTTCCGCGGCACGCGCATCTTCGGGCGTGTAGGCGGAGAGGGTCTCCTCATCGGTGAGTACGGCGGCGGACATGATTCGAGATACGGTGCGCGAGGTTTGGAAGGCGAGGCCTAGGGTGAATGCGAGGACGGCGATTGAGGTGAAGCCTGCGAGGCGGCGGATGCGCGATCGCGGGGGCGGGTGAACGGAAGGATTAGGTTCTGCTTTACCGAGGGGTTAGATGCATATTCTTGGGCAAGGCGTCTTGGAGATTGATAGGTTCTTGCTTACCAGTGGAGTAGAGGCGTGTAGTTGACCGGGGGTGAATGAAAGAAGACCCTGATCGGGGAGCGCGTGAAAGAAGACGTAAAGGAGTGGGAGTGAGACGGGGGGAAAGGTTGGAAACGAATGAAAAAATCGGTCGGAGCATTTTCCAAGACCGACGCTGAATCCCGCGAGTCTCGAAGGCGAAATGTTGGGATGATGGTTGAAGAGTGGAGAGTCCAAGAGAAAAGTTACCTCGGCCCGTTTTCAACGCAATAGTTCAGGCAACTACCAACCCGGCGACATCGTCTGCGCGGAAAGCCACGAGAACTGTTCTGAGGCCCACTGAGAGGCTGTATTGCCTGGTGGTGGCAGGACTCAGCTGGTCGGCCAAGATGGAGTTCGAATTGGCCATTGCAATAGACGCGTCATCTAGAGACCACAGCCTGGTCTCATCATCGTCTCCGGTCAACTCCAAGGAATCGGAGTAGGTAATGATCAGATATGCCATGAACGCTAGTCCCAAGAACTCGAGCCAGTCCCACTCCAGTCGCTCGTTGAATTATTCGGGCAGTTTCTTGCCGAATAGCTCGATGTCAACGACTCGGCAGTATTGGACAACAGGTTTGCCATTTACGACCTTCGTTGTATAGAGCCCCAGAATAGGCGGGAGGCGCTTTTTTGTCGATATACCAGAGTACCCGCTCTTAAAGCGCTTCTGCTGGGGAAGTTGGCGCAACCTGTCCCGACGATCAAAATCCATCATCCTAGTCCCGGCCTTGGACAGGAAGCTGTTCTCCCATCGATGACTCTTCCAGAGAAGTTTGAGAGTAGTTTCGGGCTAGAGTACCCCAAATAGATTAGCCATATGTTCTCAGAACGGAGACATGATTTGACTCACGTCATATAGAAAGAGATGTCCTCCTCCAATCTGCATTGTTCCCGCAGTGACCACCATCCGACGTACAGCCTCGAGCGTGGGACCCTATATCTCTGTCAGGATGTCAATTATGTCTCCAATGCTTGTATAACTCACCTCTTTGACCCAGAATCCTTCCCGGCCCTTGTTATCATTGCAGAACCGCATAAACTCGCCCCAGTCCAACTTCCGGGGCTTGCAAAGTTGACGTCCGCGGGACCAGTATGTCACTTTATTAGGTTGCCATTTCAAGGTGCCACCCACATAGGCTTCTTTGATGGGAGCTATGGTAGCATTCAAGTTGAACTCGTCGCCTATCTCGAACGGCCAAACTTGAATGGCACTCAATTGGTCGAGACGCTGAATAAAGTCCCAGCATAGAGCTTTATCATTTTCAAGCATAGCCCTTCAATGTACTTAGCGATATTTTTGGGAATTTAATAATGGGGACTTTACCTGCGCAAACCCTGCTGTGCCTCAGCCACATCCAATCTATCCTTGAAGACCCACAGCATGGTATTGTCTTCGACCCGACCTTGAGTTGGGTGTGTCATTTCAAAATTCTCCGACATGTTCAGGCGAGCGATCTCGCACGATACCTTCAATATTCTCATCCTCTTCTTCAGTTGAACCCGAAGGATGGCCCCGAGGAGGATGGTCATTTCCAGCATACGGAGGATCATAGTCTTCTTGAACGGAAGAGCGAGTTTCCACGTCACCGGATGAGTTGCTCTCTTTTTCGTCGTCTAGCACCTTTCCCTTAAACCAACTACAAAGGCTAGAAAACCTACCTATGAGATCAACGATACATGAGTTGGGCAACATCTCCTTTTGGATTTCGTCAGAAACCGGGCCATGATCAACAGCAATACCATCCGTTATAGATGGGCGACGATCGGCAACCTCATCCGGTGGGTAGAACATCCCTCAAATGTTACGGAGACCATCGACGAATAGACTGGATCCAACGCTTTCCGAATCTGTAGAAAACTTCCTACTTATCTTCGTCCGCTTGACAGGCCTCGGTAACTCCGGGTCAACAGTATCCTTGTAACTGTAAGTGTGAACGTAAGACAGCATCGGTTCAGGATCTCTAGATGCTTCGCTCAACGATTCCTCGGAGATTAGGGGAGCTCATTTCTTTGCCCGTCTAGCAGATTTATTTGGTTTTTTTGGAAGGGGGCTATCGAGATGAAAGAGTCGATCCTCAACCAGCTTCTCACTTGTCTTTGACTGCTTGGCGGACCAATTTGGCGAACTTATAAGAATATCATCGCGACCGAAGGATCGAATGTATGGGGGTCTAAATACCGATGCGGCGCTGACTGCTTCACTGGGTGAATCCTTCGCGACGGGAGCGTGAGCAGGGGCTCTCTTCGCTCGCTTGGCCGGAGGCCTAGCAGGCTGTTTAGCTCTCTTCACAGCTGTCTTTGCTCGCTTGGGGGCTTTGGATGGGTATGGCTGGTATTCGGAAAAATAGCTGGTGTCAAATGATTCCTCACTGAATTGATATTCAATTACACCTCGAGGTCGTTTCGCGGCTTTCTTCGGCTGGCCCTTGATGCGATGCAAGCGGATAATTTGGTGAGGGCGAATCTAACGGAGATGGCGTACCATGGAAAACTTCTCCAAGAGAAAACTGGCCAGGAGTATAGTGCAGAGGATGGTCATTAGAAAGGGGATTCTCAGGAGGAGTTGCTTTCTTGACCTTTGCAGCCTTTTTCACAGCTGTCTTAGCAGCCAACTTTGTTTGTTTTGGAGCCATCTCGAGACCAGATAATGTTGAGCATGTTTTGCTCGGCAGATGAAATCTTATGGTTAGGAAAGTGCAGTGTGTTTTTCGTCTCTGGAAGGTGCTTATAGGCAAAGAGACTCACAGGGCCGATGATGAGAACCCTCCTAATCCAACTTGAGCTTTGTGAGCCTTACAAGTAATTAGAAAATTTGAACTTCTGGCACCGAGAGAACTCGTAGGCATTTAAATGCTGCAACAGTCATAGATTTCGTTATGTCAAGGTTCTTTGACGTGAGCGGGCATTACGGCAAACAGTTCATTACCCTCGCGAGGAAAATTTGTGTTCCGGGAGTGTCACTTTGCATCCTGCCGACAAAAAGAACAGCAACCTGCCCTGCGTCTAACATTTTCTACGCAAGTCTACCCCTCGGAATTGGAAAATAGGCAAAACTGAGGGGTTTACCGAAGTATGCCAAAGAAATTCATTTTTTCAAGTCCATCTAGGTCTATGTGCACATGGGACTTGATACTAGAGTTATTGTAAGTTCAAAGATTGACTCAAATTCTGCAGCTTAACAAGGACGGAATGACAATGTCAATGACAAAGAACCCAGGCGTTTTAGTACCCTTGAGAAGACCATTTTGAGTACTACTTGAATGGAAGAATTGCCTAGCCCTAGAAGACAGAAGATGAATGAGTAGTAAATTAGCTGTGGTTGTTGCCTTCCAAGTCTGGAATATCTAATAGTGGAGTCTGGTGATATGTAAAGGTGCTTCTTGTATTCGGGCCGACGAAAGTATAGGTCCAAAGTCATTGCGTAGGAATATGATAGAAAAAGATCATACTCTGCTCCAGTAATCGAGATTCCTTGCTCTTTGTGACGGGACTGAGATAGTTGTTCTTACTGGAACATTGGAGTTGAGACCACTTCATAGAGGGGGTGGCTTATGTCGGATTGGTGCTGTAACAAACATCCCTGCCTGTCCCATGACCCCAGCTTTTTGACATATGCAGGTCTTGGGCTTGTTCTTCAAGCATTGTGAAAGTTCTACCTCGGAATGCTCATGAGACATGAAAAGGGCATATGACCTTTATTTACTTCCAGCACCTGATATCTATTCTTCGATACGGAAATCAAAGAGTGACTTGTGACCTTTCAAAAGCTCAAGCAATTTCCTGCTCATTTCCAGTATTATTGATACTTCCTTTTCGTCTTAATCTACCTACACCGCCGCTTGAAGGCACAAGAGGGAAATTAAAGGAGCTAGACGTTCCCTAGCAATGAAAATGTGGCTTGAAATGTAGGGAGCAAAGACACTGCAATGAAGGGATATCTATACCGACTCCGGGGTAGAGTGCTACGACCCCTCCTCTCAACTGTCTAGTTGCATCGAAATTGCGCGCTTCGAGATAACCCATTGCGGATCTTTTCCATTGGTGAAATACTGTTCTGGAATCGAGCGAACGATCGCGATTAGGCGTTCGGCATCAGCTGGCCCGAACAAAGCGGCCCAGACAGCCTGCACGACCTTCGGCCCTGCGGCCTCAGTTGCCATCCCCTATCACACGACGCTGAATTATCGGATGTTGCAAATTAAGAAAGATCGCCGAACACGCGATGCAACACAGCGAGGCGGGGTGAAGATCGGCAGGGGCGCATGGACGCATGCCGGGCAGGCACGACGCGCTGCAGGGGCCGAAAATTCCAAATCTAAATACCAGTCTGGATCCCTCTGATTCTTCTTCACACCCACAATGCCGCGCTATTTGCTTCTGTCGCTCGTTATCGCCAGTGGTCGCGTGCTGGCTAATGCCGCTCTCCCTGCGGTACCGGACGACTACGACGTGCTGCAGTATATAGACCCGCTGATCGGCAGCGCCAATGGAGGTATGGAGAACGCTGCACCAATTCGAGCCCGCCGCTCACTCTGACTACAGGCAATGTCTTCTCGGGTGCGTCTCTGCCTTATGGCATGGCCAAGGCCGTCGCCGATACCGACTCGGAGAACAACCAGGGTGGTTTCGCCTATGATGGTAGCAGTGTCACCGGATTCTCGAGCATGCACGATTCTGGTACCGGTGGAAGTCCTTCGCTCGGCAATTTTCCTCTCTTTCCATACGCGCAGTGTGCGGATGATGATGTGAATGGTTGTGTTTATCCGAAGAAGGCACGGAAAACAAAATATAAACATGACTCTGTTAAGTCCAGTCCCGGCTACTTTGCCCTGACGCTGGAATCTGGTGTGAAAGTTGATATGACTGCTGCCCAGCACACTTCACTTTTCCGCTTCCAATTCCCCGCTGATAGCAGTCCACTAATTCTGCTGGATCTCTCGGATCTATCCGATTCGCGCCAAGACAATGCGACGATCTCGATCGACGAGTCCAACGGCCGGATGATGGGCAGTGCCAAGTTTTTGCCCAGTTTTGGAAGTGGAGAATATGGCCTCCACTTTTGTGCCGACTTTCATAGTTCTGCTTCGCTGCGTGACAGTGGTATATTTGTTGATGCCCGGGCTAGTGCTGATGTTCATGACTTGAAAATCTCGCGCAGCATCAATGGTTATCCCTTGCCGGTGAGCATTGCCAGGTCGCCTTTCGTCACTTGTTCGTATACTAATCTGTTTAGGGCGGTGGTTTTGTCCGCTTCAAAGCCCCTGCAGATGGTATTGTCCAGGCTCGTGTCGGCTTGAGCTTCATCAGCCCGGAGCAGGCCTGCTCCAATGCCGAATCAGAGCTTGCCGACTTTGATTTTGACTCCACCCACAAGACTGCAGTTGCGCAATGGACCGAGAAAATGCGTCCGATTCGCGTCTCGCGTAATGGTGTCCAGGACTCTGTCCTTACAAACTTCTACAGCGGCATCTACCGGACAATGGTGAACCCTCAGAACTATACCGGCGAGAACCCACTGTGGACAAGCTCAGAGCCGTACTTTGATTCTTTCTATTGGTTTGTCTCAAGTTTTATCGAAATTGTAGTCTGTCACTGACCGTTTATAGTCTCTGGGACTCCTTCCGCTCCCAAATTCCCTTCCTGACCATCTTCGATCCGAGCTCGGTGGCGCAAATGATACGCTCTCTGATCGACACTCAGCGTCACCTTGGCTGGCTGCCTGACTGTCGCATGTCTCTTTGCAAAGGTTTCACGCAGGGTGGATCGAACGCTGACAATGTCCTGGCTGATGCCTACGTCAAAGGCATCAAAGATGGCATTGATTGGGAGGCGGGCTATGCAGCTGTCCAGAAAGATGCGGATGAGGAGCCCTTTGACTGGTCCAATGAGGGTCGTGGGGGCATGGAAAGCTGGAAAGAACTCAACTATATCCCTGTTGAGGATTTCGACCATATCGGTTTTGGAACAATGACTCGCAGTATCTCTCGCACTCTCGAGTACTCATACAATGACTTCGCCATTGCCCAGATGGCCAATGGCATGAATAAGACCGTCGATGCCGCGCGATATGAAAAGGAGTCGCGGTACTGGAGGAACCTGTTCCGAAAGGAACAGGCATCATATATGAATGGAACAGACACAGGGTTCACTGGATTTTTCCAGCCAAAGTATCTCAACGGTACTTGGGGATATCAAGATCCTCTCAAATGCTCGAACATTGACAACAGTGGAAGTATCTGCTCCCTCCAGAACACCGCGGGGGAGACCTTTGAGTCCAGTATCTGGGAATACCAATTGTATGCTTCTCTTCATCTTTCCTTGTGCGCATATGCTAATAGGTCCATCTCAGCTTCGTACCTCACGATATGGCCGCTCTCATCCCCCTTCTCGGAGGACCTTCCAGCTTCGTCCGACGGCTAGATTATCTCCACGACCAGAAGATCACCTACATCGGAAACGAGCCGGCTTTCCTGACAGTATTCCAATATCACTACGCTGGCCGTCCAGCCAAATCCACCGCTCGAGTTCGCACCTACATCCCGGAATACTTCTCTCCCACCCCGACAGGTCTACCCGGCAACGACGACTCCGGAGCCATGGGCTCATTTGTCGCCATGTCAATGATGGGTCTCTTCCCGAACCCAGGTCAAAGCGTCTACCTCCTCACCGTGCCCTTCTTTGAATCTGTCAGCATCGTCTCGCCTATCACCGGCAAGACGGCCACCTTACGCGTGACCAACTGGGACAAGTTCAACTCCCTCAACAACACCGGCGGCACTGGCTTCATCCAGTCCGCAACCTTGAACGGTCAGCCTTATACTAAGAACTGGGTGTCCCACGATTTCTTCACCGAGGGTCAAGATCTGGTTCTTGTCCTTGGCAAGAATGAAAGTACCTGGGGTACTCAGCCGGAAGATCTTCCTCCTTCCCTGTCTGATTCATCTGATATCCTGGCTCGTGGCATGGATGGTGGTTTAGAAAACTTCGAGCAACCTGATCTTCTGGGCATGGGTGCTCGGCACCGTGTTCGACATGTCAGAAGCGCGAATCACCATGCCCGCTCTGCGAAGCAGTCGAATTGGCAGAAGGGTTGGTGATATAGAAGTATTACTCAGATATAGTACCGAAAGGCCACAGCATTCATGGATACACCTATCTCATATGGAGGCCACTCACATCAATCAATGGGCACGTAAGCTTCACAATTCTCTTACATATTTCTTCAGCTTATTGCCAAAAATTTTCCAAAGTTTAAACGTCTTTTACTGGGACCGGCACTGGAGACATTCTCCGGAGTGCGTACCCTGCATAGTTTAGTGGCGTTTCGGGGGTGGCGGCGGCTGTTTCTCGGAGACCTCTGAGTCCACCAATTCTCAGTAGGACCCGTGTAGGTTTGGTTTCATTGAACGCCACATGGCATCCCAAGGTTCTAGATGTCAGAAGCTTCTAATCGGTGACGGGTCAGACGGGCTTTCTGCCAACACATTTATAGAAGCGTTCGTTGCTGGAAATCGCCACATTGGCCACCAATTGTGCCCAAATGGCTAAGATTTTCCGAAGGGGAGAATACGCGGTGAGTAACTGGGGAACAGCTTAGCGTGTTACCTAGTGTTCGTTTAAGGCTCTGCGGCCCACCTAGATCCATAAGTGTTCCCCATCAACATCCCGACGAGAACGAGGGTTATTTTAGCGAAAGTCGTCCTTTGCCAGCAGCGGCATATACAAATTTTATCTGATGTGGCAGCGACAGCCGAGCCTGGCATCCGCTGGAGATAGCAAATCAACAATTACGTGAGAAACTATGCAAACCCCGGCCCCATCGGATGACATCCTGTCCCATCTGAATAGGATGGGGTTGGGACTTAGCAAAAACCGTCCCAACCCCGATTGGATCGTGTTCTAGTGGATACCCCTCTGCCCGACCCGAGAGCCAGACACTTCTTCATTGAGGCACAGCCGAGGCTTAGGTGCCAGCCACTTGGCCCGATGCGCTCAAGAGCAGGTGACTAGTCTCGGTCTGGTGGCGATAGCGCCACAGATAGCACACTCAGATCCATTTGATTACGGCCCATAGATGCGTAGTCAGGACCGTAGTACAGAGGGGGGCCTTACCGTAAGCCCGGAGTGATCGAGCAGGGGAGCGATGAACAGCTCAGCACGATACTGGTTACAGATAAGCGAGGCCACACGTGCCTTGGTGCGGCCGTGGCTCTGCTCGGGGTCCGCGTCGGGGCCCCGAGTTATAGTGGGTTCGAAGTGTCCACTCATCCCGGAGCAGGACTAGTTCAGATAGGGTTTGGAAATTGCTTGTCAAAGGCTTGTCTAATGCTTATCATCTCCGAGTCCACCAATTATGGGCTTCCCATTGCCCCTTTTCTGAAAGGAGCAGGGTGACGGATCGTGGCGTACGATCCCAGGGAACCTCGCCTTATCACGGCTATTACATATTCCCATTGCTCTACACTGGCCTCGTCCGCGGTTTCCCACCCATCTGGGCTGGAGCGCTAGCCCGATACAGAGCAGTGGGATGCGTAACCCTCCACCTTGGATCCCTGCTAGTAGAATGATTCAATTCGCTTTGGCCACCATTCGGCGTTGGACCAGCCAGTTCATGTACGATCCTTGGACAAGCCCGCGCCAAGGATTCGAGAAGACGGCCGCGTTGCTTGGTTCTACTTAGTCTCGATGGCCGGTAAATGGCGGTCCATCGGCAGTCCGGCAAGAATAATATAATTAATATAATAAAAATAAGAATAAAAATACAACAATCACGACACCGGTAGATATGAGAGGAACGTCTAGTGCGGTCCCATGGTGCCACTCTACTATCCTTATCCCTCTCCACTCCATCCTAGCCTCGGGGTAAATATAAGAAGTGTGGTCCTCGCATCGTGGGGTCTCTCTTTGTTTTGTTTCATCCTGCCATCGAGCCGTTCACTTCCTCACCTCCTCGGCCATGTCTATGCTTCCTGGCCCTGTGGCCACAACGGCTCCCACGGAGCAGATGCGTGAGCTAAACGCTTCGCCTGAGGAACTTCGCAAGATGTCCCTCGCCGGCGCCCACCCCGGTGTCCGTCAACGCCTCTGGGGCTTGCAAGCGCGTCTCGACCCCACCGTCACTTTCGAAGAATTCACCTACTGGGCCAAGGTCGAACGTGAGATGGAGGAAGAAGAGACCCGTCGCTACCAGGCTGCCACATCCGGTGGTGGCTTCATGGGTACCATCAAAAACTATTTCACTAGCAACCCTTACGAGGATGCGAAGGTCCACGAGTCGAAGGGGACCTCGAGCCCCGGCGAGCCTACTCAGTGGTCCGAGAAGAAGTCGAGCGTGGCTGTCCTCGGTGCCGACGACAATGTCACCCCTATCCCGCCTTCTAATGAGCACGAGCTGGACGCTGAATGGCGGACAGCCGCGCGAGCCCTTCGCAACGCTGGTTGGGGGTCTATCTTCTACTTGATCACGACCGATATTCTCGGCTGGTCGCAAACGCCGTATGTCTTTGCCAACACTGGTTACGGTCTCGGTGTCGGTATTTTCGTTCTGATGGGTCTCGCTGCCTTTGCATCTGGTATTATGATCTGGCGCACTTTCCTCGGTCTTGATTCGTCCCGTTTCCCCATTCTCAGCTTCGGTGACCCGTTCATGCGTCTTTACGGCCCCTGGATGCGTCATTTCATCAACTTCATGCAATCTCTCCAGATGTTCCTGAGTGTCGCCGTCGTTCTCCTGGGTAACACTGGTATTATCGCCCAGCTTGGTGGTAGCGCCAACCTTTGTTATATCGTTTGCGGTATTATCTCCCTCGTCGTCGGTATGGCAAGTGGCTATATGCGATCCCTGAAGCACCTTGGCTGGCTCTGCAATCTGTCGGTGTGGATCAACATTATTACTTTCCTCATTATGTGAGTTGGAACCAATCGTGCTATCTAATCATACGCTAATTTGGCTCTATAGCATCGTGGCTGCGGCCAAGTACGGCCCTGACCCTGCGGCTGCCGTTGAGAACGGTATTCTGAACAAGGCTTGGTCCACGGTGGAGACTATGGCGCCTGTCAGGACCTTCACTTCCACCCCTCTCGCCGAGTACCAGCCTACCGATACCAACCTGTTTGCCGCCCAATTCAACGGCATTAACTCCATGGTTTATGCCTATTCCGGAGCTGTTATGTTCGTTGCTTTCTTGTCCGAGATGCGTCGCCCTATGGACTTCTGGAAGGGTCTCCTCGTCGCGCAGACCTTCATTACCGTTGTCTATATCTTCTTCGGTGCTTTCGTAAGTTCTATCAAGACTTGTTCGCACCCCCAAAGACAAAAGCTAACAGTCTTCTAGGTCTACAGCTACTACGGCCAGTACAGCTACAGCAATGTCAACCAGTCCGTCCGTCCTGAGAATCTTCAGGTCGTCAGCAACGTCCTTTCCTCTCCTTACCGGATGGCTCGCCATTTGTAAGAAACCATTCACCCCGATAGCAACCTCAAACATGATCATTGACTAACCAATGTCCCAGTCCTCTACTTCAACGTTGGTATGAAGACTGTCTACCTTGAGGTCGGCCAGCAGTTGTTCAACCTGCCCCCGATTGCCTCCAAGAAGGGCAAGTACTTCTGGTGGGCTCTCGGTCCCTTCTATTGGATCCTTGCCTTTGTGATCTCCATGTCCATTCCCCAGTTCAGCGCCTTCACCAACTTTGTCGGAGGCCTGTTCTCCCTGAACTTCACCTACTCCTTCTCCGGAGTCATGTACCTCGCCTACAAGATCCAGGACGGCGCCAGGCTCCCCGGTGAAGGTTTCGACCCTGCTACCGGCGAGACAACTCGTATCGACGGCGGTTACAAGCGCTGGGTGCGTGGCTTCAGGAAGACTTGGTATCTCAGCGGACCAGTCCTAATCTACACCCTTTGCGGTTTCGCTACTTCGGGTATGGGTACTTGGGCTGCTGTCTTGGCTCTGGAGTCGGCGTTTGGCCCTGGTGGCTCCGTCACCTCTTCCTGGACCTGCACCAACCCTTACTACACTGGTTAAAGGGTCACTATGAATGGTGCATTTATAATGTCTGATGGGAGACTTTTACTTATCATGTTGTACGGATACATATGACGTTTATACAATTACACGAGTATGATTTAGTTATCGAGATCTAATAAATCCAATATTTAGTGAACTTTTGCTTTCTTATTGCATATGTAAATGTAGCCAATAGAAGGATTCGCCTATCAAACAGCCAATTCAATCCTAACGAGGCTCACAAAGGCAAAGAAAAGTATTTCAAAAGTGAATCGAAAGATATTTAGAAGATGAACCGAAACAGTGGCTGTGGACCAGGGTGAAGATACCGCCAGTCAACATCCTGAGGATCACCCTAAGCTTCTCGTGCAAGGAGCACACCCAGTTCCTCGGGTTTATTTTAGGCTTGCGTGCCATCGTTTGTGAATGTGCGAAACCACAAATGCAAAACAGTAGACCTAGTGAATACCATAGGTAATAGCTTTGTCTAAAATCTAGTATCAGAGATCGAGGTTCACTACCTAGTAGATTGAGCACCAGGTCCACACCCCGGTCCCGGTCCCATGCCCAGGCACGTTACGAATTGCATACCGCGATCAACTGATAGATATATTTCGACAAATTTCTGTTACGTGTACTGCTTTGCACGCCTATGCCATCTCACTATTCCAGTCGGCGGCAACTCGTTCGAGAGTAACAGTTAGAATAAGCTCACGACTAGACTAATTTTGGCAACGGCATCAGATATCATATTCACGAAGGCTAACTCTGCCCCCGGTTTCCCCTCACTATGTTAAAAATTCAAATTTTTGAGGAAGTTTTATTTCACCTACTCTTCTTTAAGATTATACCAAGATGCCTAAAATGAAGGTCAGCTATCGTTTTTCCGATAAGTTCAAAAGTTGGAGTTTTATGCAGGATGCTCATGTGGCTGAGATCAAGCGTTGGAATATTGAAATGATATTTGAGAGCTTAAAAAACTTTTAAGCGCTTGGAGGATTATGAAGAGAAAGGCGAAGCAAATCGGTATTCCCTATAGAGCAAAGGCCTTGTGTTCCAAGATTCCTTCGGACATGTTTGTAGATTATTATGTCCGAACATGTGCTTCGAGAAACTGTGTAGCTAGAGGATTTGGCCAAAAAAGAACATCATTGCTGTGACATTCAATAGGATGAAGTTCAGTAGGACCAAAAATGAAGACAACAAACCTGTAGGTCCTCTTAGACTATCTTCTTGGCCCGGCTGTATGAATACATGGGTGTAAGGCCCGGATACCAAAAACTCATGCATATGGTCAATACATGCTATGCTGTACGGGGGCACCAGAATTATAAAATTAGCAAATGTGGAATTGCTTTTCGCTCTATCCTTATCTGTTGAAGTAGAAATCCTAAGAAAACATGCCAGGCCGCAAAGAAAAAAAAAAGATTTATGTACAGGGAAACAACGTAGATCACATCACACCATGAGGTCCAAAAATAAATGATATCGACAGTCCACACGGATCCTAAGAAGGACGGTGGAATTTGCTCTCGATCCAGGGCATACCAACAACACTAGCCTTGAGAACCTTCTTGCGCACCTGCACACCGAGCTCAGTGCCCTTCTTGTGCAGACCGTTCTTCACATACGCCATGGCGATGTTCTGGCCGCCGAGGGAAGGGCTAGGAAGACCGGAGGTGACGACACCGACCTGGACGGGCTTGGCCGGGTCGGAGAGGTCGACGACGATGGCGCCTTCGCGGGCAGGCGGGCCCTTCTCAACGGAGAGACCGACGCGACGCTGGGCCAAGGTCTTGGGGCTGGCAAGCTGGGGGAGGATGACGGAGGCGCCGTTGAAGGTAGCGGTAGCAGGATCGCGGCGGTCACGGCCGACGACCCAGCCCAGGGCTGCGTCGGGAGGAGTCTGAGCAGTGGAGATGTCGTGGCCGTAGAGACACATGCCGGCTTCGAGGCGGAGGGAGTCACGGGCCGCGAGACCGGCGAGACGAACTTCGTTGTCGTTCAGGAAGAGGTTGACGACTTGCTCGGGGAGGTTGGGGGCGCCGGAGGTCGGGATGGAGATCTCGAAGCCGTCTTCGCCGGTGTAGCCAGTTCGGGAGATCAGGAGAGGGTGGGGAGTGGCGGTGCCGTCGGGGAGAGTAAGGTAGAGCTCGCGGCAGTTGCCGAAGTAGAGGGTGCTCAGGTCGGTGGAGGCGGTTGAGGAAGCGTTGATGAGAGGCTGCAGGACGGACGCGGCTTTGGGGCCTTGGAGCGCAACCAGGGCGCGGTCTTCAAGGATGTCCCACTTGATGCTGTCGGCACCGTGCTCGGCGCGGTATGCCTCGATCTCGGCTTGCAAGAAGGCCAGGTCTTCGGTGCGGCGGCCGGCGTTGGTCACGAAGTAGAAGCTGTCTTCGCCGCGGCGAGTGATAACGGTGTCGTCAACGATACCGCCAGTGCCGACTTCCAGAAGACAAGACAGAGTAGATGTGTTGGGGGCAAGTTTATCCAGCGAGGAGGGAGAGACCTTCATCAGCAAGTTCATGGCGCCGGGCCCGCTAAGATGGTGCTGCACCCTGTATAGAACTGGATTAGCTTGCTGTGGTCCCAATTGGGCTTCTGTAATTGAATTGAACTTACATGTGGCTCACATCAAACAGACTAGCCTTCTCACGAGTCCACATGTGGCTTTCCACATGGCTCAGGTCGGCATACTGCAAAGGCATAGAGTAGCCGGCAAACGGCACCATCTTGGCGCCGTGCGCCTCGTGCAGGTCATACAGCTGAGTCTTAGCCAGGGGCTCATTGGAGCTCGAAGCATAGCGAACAGCCTGGGTCTTGACCTGGGGAACAGCAGCACGCGCAGTGAGTCTGGTGCTGGGGGTCCGGGGAGCTGCCCGCACAGCGGAAGAGAGCTCCCGCCGCAGCAGTGTGGAGCCGATAGAAGCGCGGGGAGCGTGCAGGGCGGAAGCCCTGGCAGCAACGAGGTCAACACCCTTCCGGAAAGTACGAGCGCTAGCCATGACGATTCAATGAAAATGAAATTGAATTGACAAGAGAAGAAGCGAGAGAAGAGGAAGAAAAATGGCGAGAAGTTGTGTCTACTCCGCCGTCGGAGAAGCACAGCGGAAAAGTCACGTGTTGATAGGGCGACCTCGGCGGGGAAAGTGCATTCCCCATTGCCACAGCTTACTCTACGAGGAAAAGATGCAAGAAGAAAGTGTGTGGCTGTGATGACAGCGTGCGAAAGCATCAGAGTGCCCCGCCGATCATCCGAATCCAATTTGACGCCGCGGATTATGTGCACGGCATGCTGGGCGGCGCGGAAAAGAGCAATGTCCCCAACATCCCCCGTCCCCACAAAATTATACAAAACATGAACACGGTGATATCCCATGATAAAGATCCAACTAAGAAATTCACTAGAGGATCATGCGATCCAAGAATAGTAGTAACTGGCCGCCTGTCTCGGTCATCAAATCATGAAACCCTCCACAACCGGTATTAACCGGCGGTCGAAATGACCAAATACAATGTGAAAGGAGATGCAAAAAAAAGAAGAAAAAAATAGCCAAGGTCCTGCCCCGCAGGATTTATAGGGCATTGCTGGCACATGTGAAGACGCCGCCGACGGTACCCGCGTGGTACATTTCAATGACGGACATGATGGAGGCCTATGAAATGGAATGTTAGCGGAAGAACAAGATAATAGAATGGAGAAAGGAATACTCACGTAGGTACCAGGACCCAAGAAGAAAAGACCTATGAAGATCAAGCTAACGTTGAAAATGAAACCCAACCAGCCACGAATGCCCCGTTTCATGAAGAAGTAAGGCCCGTGATCCGCCGAGCGCATGCGAATATATGCAACACCCCAGAAAATGAAACCGAAGAAAGAATCAAACAGGGAGCTCATAATCGACAACAGACTCGAGAAGAAGGGAATGACCTCAGCAATAACCCAGGCACAAATCCACAGACAGGCCAAAATTCCAGCCCAGGCGGCCCAGCCGACGACGGTGTTGTTGCCCTTGTGGCGAGTTCCCTCGAACAGGCGGAAGAAGATGAAGCGGGCCGAAACGGAGGCATAGAGGACACCGAGGAAGATAATGGTTGGGATCATGAATGAAAAGGAGATCTTCTTGAAGAGCTCGTCGGACATGTTGGCAAATGCGGGCGAGGAACTCATGTACTCGTTGCCTGTGTAGACATAGATGATAGAGCCAACCAGACCGAAGACGATGATTTCGGCGATGGTTACGACAGTCACGGACTTCCAGAAGTCGCGGGGCTCTTTCATCTCGGCGATGAAACTGGGTAGGGTGATCTGGCCGATGAACGTATAGCTGATGTTCAAGAAAGCATTCAGTCCCGAGACGAAGGTTGTACCGGGAAGGGGGATTGCGCGGAAAGTCGGCTCTCCTTTGCCAGGGTATCCGGCTGGGTGGTCCTCAATTGCGATGAAGATAGTCGCCATAATGACGGAGATGAAGGTGAACAAGGCGGAGAAAGTGGCAATCTTAGCCAGGGTGCTGAATGTGCGCGGGAGCGAGCAAATGAAGGAAGTAATGGCAACAATAAGTGAAAACACGACTGTGCAGACTGCACCATTGGACATGGTGTTGAGATACTCGGAGCCAACCACGCAGTGTAGGCCCTGGATGAAGGTGTTGTTCAACAGGAACATGACGGCTGTTGCCCACCAGGCGATCTTGGAGTCCCAGAACAGATATTGACCAATATCGCACACATCGCGAACCTCGGGGTGTCGCAGACAGAACCGCCTATCAACAAATTAGATCGATCGTCATCAAGTCGCCGGAAAAAAAAAAAAAACATACCAAATGGTCAAAGAAGTGTACAGCACCACAGCGGCGACGAAACAGGTCAAAATCAGACCAGGAACGAGACCCAGCACGGAATACGACCAGGGGAATGACATGATAGCCAGACAAATGTATTCAGAGAAAAGCAGAGCCGCAGTCTAATGCACGATTAGTTTCAGTCCGTTGCACATCTACCGAGGCCCAAAAAACCTACCTTTTGCCAACTGCAAGTACGATACTTGATAGTATTTTCCGACTCCAATTCAATCTGACGACCAATACTCTCAGTTGTACTGGATGAGTCGACTGTGGTAACATGGTGCTGCGATGAGCGGCGACCCTGGCCCTCAACATCATAGTCTTTGAGCTTGGGTTCCTCCAACTTGTCACTCTGATCACTCATAGAGCTCACGTCGGCGGTGCGATCGTGGTCCCAGGCGCCAGCAGCAAGTGCTGCGTCGTTAGGCCTAGCCATTTTAATCTTAAGGAGCGGGCGAACCGTGCTTGACGGTACTCGGTGGAGTCGAGAGAGGCGTTGACCTTCGAATACATAAAACTGCAGTTCTGAGGCGATATGTCCATACAACCGGGGCTGCTGGGAATTAGACGATCAAAATCGAGATCGTCAATTTATTTTGTCGCAGAGGTCTGTTCTTTTCTTTTCCCTTTTTTTTTTTTTTTTTTTTTTTTTCGCTGGGGGCGCTTGCTTGGGAGATTGGTACAGGCCGAAGCGGGCGATTTGGGCACGGGATCTACAGTGAAGATCCAGGGCAGCGCCCAGTAGAGTTGTCGCAGAGGAAGTGCGAGAGAGAGAGGGATGAGAGAGAAAGGGAAAAAAAGAAGAGACAGAGAAATCGGATCGAAAAAGGAAAAAGAGGGCCAAGGGACTACGGTATCCTAAGTATCTAATTTGGTATACAGGATACCAGGTGAGTCGGGGGTCCACTATGATCGCAGCGTTGACGATCGAAAGCGCTGTAATTATGGTTCCACGCAGGTTCTGGAGACGGTACTCCACCCTCGACCTGGGTTGCGAAAATGGAAAAAACCTGTCGATCGCATCATTCGCTCTCTGCAGTGGCATGACGTGAAGGTCGCCGCAAAGGTTCAGCCACGACGTTTCCAGGTGCGGGAGAGGCGCTTAAGCCCGCCCTGGGGCGTCTTTTGCCCTGATCCTTGGAATCCCATTGCCATCGGTGTTCGGGATTAAGCAAGCGTCTGTGCCCTGGCTCTCTCCAGAGATAAGACTCGGTCACTCCGGAAGTTTAGATACGAGCATCACCCTCCATGTCAAAAGCGCTGATAGCTGAGATTACTGGGATGCTGCATCTCCATGAAGCTACGACCTGCCGGAAAAGGACCCGCTATGCCCCGCAAGCGGTAGGTGGCTAATCAATGGGCGAGGAGGAGCAGAGCCTATGCCTAAGCCACCCCCGAAAACATGGATACCTGCACACTGTGACTTTTTCGCATGCGCTGATTTGACCGCGGCCGTTCTCTAACCGAATGCGGTGGGCAGAACGGGGCCCGGGGGTGAACTTTGGAGGGTCGTAATGGCTTGATCCTTGATCCTAGGCTCAGGCTCAGGGGGAACGGTGGATGGATCTCTCGGCTTGCGTCAGCGGTGACTAGCGTACGAAGGAACACAAAAATGTCATTATTTTTTATCTGCGAGATTAGTCGACTTCATAAAAGAGTATACGACTGAAAACTCGAATGTCGCATCGCGAATCTTGGTAATGCGAATACCCTGCCTTGGCCACGTGTTGCTGACTCAGCAACTGCTTTCAGCCAGTGTGCCGTGTTGGGCGTATGGAAAAGGGATCCTGATGGTACTTCGATGGTATTTTGTGTATTCCACGTTTTCAATGGCCATTGGAATTCTAGATTCAAGTCTAGAGTCATTGACTCAAGTCAACAAACAAAAAAGACAGTCATGGCAATGCTACGTAACGTGTGTTGACCTCGGGCCCCCGACTTTTCGCTGGCCCGCTGCCGAGCCTCCCGCTCTTGCGTGCTCCTCCTCCACGATGGTCTCATGCGGGAACCACATACTCTCTCAATTCCTCCTGCCCTGCTCCGTAGTTGATGGTCCAAAGCGCCTCCAGATACTTTATTCTTTCGTAAAGAAAAAAGATATTGCGTGATGGCCTATTTGTTCTAGAAATTGATCATTGACTCGGTTCTCAGTTCTTGCGGGATGGCCGTTGGCCTTTAAGACAGTGATCGGCAAGACCCGGGTTGAAATTGCGGTTTTGAGTAACGTGATATGGGATTGGCTCTGGATGCTTTTGATATGTGACAATAATACACGGGTGATACTTTCGTTCGAACTCCTGCAACGAGACCAGTATATATCCAAACAAGGGAAAAAAAAAGAAACAAATGTAAACTCCATCTACATGCCATCGTCCTCGTCGCCCAACAATGCCGCGTAATCGTCCGCGGAGGCGAATGTCGGCAGGTGCTTGAGCTTGCGGCGTTTTTCGCGTTTCGACGTCGACGGCTCCGTCTCGGCCGGCAACTCCACGCCACCCAGCTCCATATCGGACGGCAAGTCCTCGTCGCTGTCCAGGAAGGCCTCGTCGTCTGATACGTCCATGTCGAAGGCGTCCGAGTCGTCCTCGGGCTCCTCCTTCTTGGCGGCCTTCTTCGTGACGGCCTTCTTCGGGGCAGGAGCAGCTTCCTCATCGTCGAATCCGCCAAACTCGGCCTCTTCCATCTCTTCGTCCGAGGGCACATCGGACTCGTCATTGAAGATGACATCTTCGTCGCCACTGGCTTCGCCTTCAGCCTCATCATCATCGTAGGCGGATTCCAGATCATCCATATCCAGATCATCGTCGCTATCGTCGGCTTCCTCCTCAAGATCTGGCTTCGAATCAACCAGGGCCTTCCAGATCTCATCCTCGTCCCCGCTGAGACCATCGATATCATCAATATCCTCCTCGTCGCGGTCAACGGGGTCAACGGCGCCCTTGCCCTTCTTGGCCTTGACCTTGCCCTCGTTAACACGATTGAAGTACTGGTGGAAGAAGACATCCTCCGCGGCCACGTCCTTGGCCTTCTTCTTCCAGAAGTTCTCCGAGTTGAGGGGCACGGCCTGTCCAGCTGACTTGACGGCCTCCACCAGTCGGTCGGCAACATCGCCACCAGCCAGAGGCTGCATGATCGAGGCACCGCGGGAAGTAGCGCTGGCCTTGGGGGTACGGTAAACGAAGCGGTCCAGGAAGTGGGTAAGAGTGTGAATAGTCATGTCGGGCTTGCCGCTCATAGGCTGGTGCTCCAGCAGGTTCGCGGCATTTACGGAGACTGAGGGATGGAAGTGAGCAGTGTAAGGAAGCAATTCCCAGAGACAAGTCTTGTCGGCATTGCTGTGCTCCGGATCGCGCTTGCGCGGGTCATATCCACTGGCTTGCTTCTTGATCACGACAGGTGTTGGCTGCGGCTGCTCGTCATCTTCGTCGGGGACATCCTGGAAGTTTTCCTCGCCATCGCTCTCGTTGTCCTCGGGTTGATCTAGAAGAGACGAGAGACCGGGGAAGGACTTTTCAAGCTCGCGGATGAGGTAAAAGACACCGCAGACAAAGGCGGGCTGGTGCATTCCAAGGACCTGCACAATACGCTTGACGAATGCCTTCACTCGGCGGATGGTCAGGTCATTCTTGAGAGCCTTGAACAGGAGGTTCAGGTAAAGCGACTGCTTTGAGGATGTAGCAACGCGTGGGTCCAGAAGGGACTCGTACAGCGTGCGGTAAAAGCGGTCACTGGAGATCTGGTGAGAGGCAGTGATCTGCTGGATCAGCATCAGCGCCTGAATACTGGTGTTGAAATTAGACGAGTGTGTAATGTGGAAGAGCGTGTCGATGTGCTTGGTGAGGCTATAGATCACGTTAGTATGTTACGTAGTTAATATAGTTAGAAGAACGTACCGATCGGAGTCGGAGTCAGTGAAAGGATGAGCGCGGTTGACACCAGTCAAGACACCGGAAGTCAACTTCTCGCGCATCTCATCGGTCTGAGCCTCGCCCTTCACCTCATCGTTGCCCTTGCCCTTGGGGCCTTTTCCGTGCTTGTTTTGAGTCACCTGCTTGGTAGGCTTCAAGAAAGTAACGAAAAGGGAGAAGTAGATGTCCAGCAATTGATCAGCAACCTTGGGTTCCTTGGTGCTAAGAACAGTTTGGTTTAGGGTAATGATGGCGTAGTACTTAGCGTGCTGGCTCTGGCCAGGACGGAACAGCAGCTCCTCGACACCCTTGATGATGAGGGGCTTCATAAGCGGATGCTGCTGCTCAAGCTGCAACAGCAGGTAAGAGGCACGGGAAGCAATTTTCTTGCCGGGATCTCCAAGTTTGTTCACAAGGAGACGCAGCAGGTTGGCTTCTTGCTCGGGCTTCTCCTTCAAAAGCTCGTACACGTAACTGACGGCACGGGAACGCGAGAATTCAATCTCGTCGTTACACCAAATCTCAAGAATCTTAAGCATCTCGAAGAACTGCTCCTTCAAGTAGTCCTCGAAAGCCCAGACAATCAAGTGGCTCTTTTGCAAGCCTCCGGGAAGCGGGTCCCGCTCAGTCCATCGGCCAGGAGCACCTTGGAACGCGGCAACGAGACCGGGCTGGTTGGCAAACGACCTTAATCGTCGATCGCTGGGCAACAAAGTACCCTGAGCGAACATATCCTTCAGAGAGCGCAAAACTTCAACAGCCTGCGCACGGCTACGTTTCTTTCCGAGGCCAATGAGATTCTGCAAAGAGAGCGTACTGTGCAGCGGCGATTCTTGAACAGCAAGGGTCAAAGCAGAGATCTTATCGCTCAGGGTACCGGAGGCCATGATTGTTGTGTAGAACTTGTGGGACGAAGAGGCAGATGCCTGCTGGGCTTCCGCGTACAGATCGGTCTCCTCTTGGAGGAAAGTATTGGCGACCTCATGGATGCGCTCGACCAGGTGACGAGGCAGGGCGTTCATTTGCGTTGCGCTCTTCAGCGGGGGAAGCGGGATGTTATACCAGTCGGATCGAGGAAGGCAAGTCTGCGATTGGAGTAAGCAAAGAGCAGTCAATATAGTATATGATCAGTACTCACAAGTTTCGCAAATTCCTTGGGCACGATAACTTCGGCTTCCTTCGCTTTAATCGGTTTGGCCGGAGGTGCTTCCTCAATGTCGGACTCTTCAGGTTCGCTGGCATCTTCACTATCCGCCTCACTGCTGTCATCTGCCTCCGCGATATCCTCCTCATCCTCTTCGCCTTCTTCTTCTCTCTCAGCCGCAGCCTCGGCCTCTGCTTCGGCCTGCTCAGCCTCAGCCTCCTCATCGTCTAGGTCTTCAGGGACGACATGGCCGGAAGCCTCCAGCATTTTTGCAAGTTCCTTGCGCAAATCCTCGTCGCCTCCTTTCTCGCCCTCGACCTCGGACTCAGAGTCGACACCATCGAGAAGATCCAAATCCTCTTCAGTGCCGCCCAGAGCCAAGATCTCCTCGCGCAGTTTGTCGTCTTTGCTGCTCTTCTTGGGACCGTCAGGCTTGCCCTGCTTTTTCTTATCTCCCTTCTGCTCACGGGCGATCACATCTCCATTGCGATCACGCTTCTTGCCCTGTGCAGATCCCTGATTCTTGCCAGACTTGGGGGCATCCTTCTTAGGCGTCTCGATGGAAGGCTGAGGCTTGTTGTCCTTCTTCTTTCCCTTGCCAGAGCTCTGTTTGTTCAATCGCTGTTCGATTTTCTCTCGTAGGCCAGCGAAGGCGCCATCTTTGAACTGGGGGATCTCGGCGGGTTGGGATTCCGTAGCGGAGGCACCTGACTTTTGCAGGTCCTCTTTGGCGCCAGAAGAGCGCTTATCTTTCCCTTTGGCCATTGTTGGCGTAGTTGGGAAGCAGATATGTTTTTTGAGCGGAGAGAAAATTGGACGGAGAAATCTTTTGCGGCGGGCCAGTTATCGGACGCTCGGACCAACCCGATAAGAAACACCCAAGGGCGACCGCGACGATTCCTCGAGAATCACTTGCGACGTCTATCAGTCTCAATTCTTTGTTTTTTTTTTTCCTGAGGGGATTTCTCCTCGATGATTACCGGGATGCGTCCAGTGCCCGGTCGCACTTCGGGGAGGCGGCTTGTGTTTTGGCTGAAAATTCAGCGTTGCGGGCTTCATGTACGCAACCCCGGAAAACTTAACATGAGCTCCATTGCAGGTGCTGATTGATCGCAGTATGATGGACGGAATCGAGTTTCAAATTTTTGGATTCCTACAGCTGGTAAAGCTAAGAGGATGGGGGGTAATGGTACGTCAGGTGTGATTGAGAGATCGAGACATCGCTAATTCAGTATCAGAGGATGCCAACGACCTTCTGATTCGAGGCGGATTCCTTCGGCAGGCCTACTCCGGTGTCTTCCATCTTCTTCCTCTCGGACTTCGAGTGCAGGACAAGCTAGAGGGTCTTATTGACAGACATATGCGTGGATTGGGTAAGAAAGACTGTACAAAAATACTCCAGTGATATGATCTAATGATCGTCCAGGAGCATCCAAGGTCTCTTTATCCTCAATTTCATCACAGGAGCTGTGGGAGCAGTCTGGCCGACTCACCGAAGGCTCCGAGGTTTTTAGATTTCACGATCGAAAAGACACTCGTTTCCTTCTCGCTCCTACCCACGAAGAAGAAATTACTAGTCTCGTTGGGAGTTTGACCACATCGTACAAGAGTCTTCCTTTACGGGTGTATCAAATTAGTAAGACGGACTACACATACTTTTTTGTTCATGTTACTGATCGTCCACAGCAAGAAAGTATCGCGATGAGCCCCGACCGCGACAAGGTCTACTTCGTGGCCGTGAATTTGTCATGAAGGATCTCTATACATTTGACTACAACGTCGAGGAAGCCCTCAAAACTTATAAGTCTGTGAAACACGCCTACACTCAGCTGTTTGACGAGCTCAAGATCCCCTATCTTGTTGCTGCCGCAGATTCTGGAAACATGGGCGGCAGTCTCAGCCATGAGTTCCATTTCGTCAGCACCAAGGGTGAAGACCGCGTGGTGAACTGCTCAGGATGTGATAATGTGTATAATGAGGAACTTGCAGATGGCCAGATGCACAACTTCAACGAGTCTGCGAGCCAAAGCGCTGCCCCAGGCTTCCAAACAGAAGACGCGCCGGCGGAAGGCGGCACAACTATATCGAATGGCATGTGGATGGCCATTTCGCACGATGGTAGTACTCTTCTCCGGGGCTGGTACCCCAAGTACTCTATGCAGAATGACACAATAGAACCTGTCGAAAGACAGGTCAATTCGCACGCTGTTAAGGCAATTGCCACAGCGGCTGGAGTTGATCTCGATTTGAGTGTTGAGAACCCGTTAGCAAAGTGGACTGCACTTGTTCAATCGGGTGCTTCTACGCAAAAGCCGCGTGTTTTGGATCTCTATGACTCCCAAGTGCGAGTCTACCAGCGTCCCCCGTTGAGCGATTTGCTTCAGCAAGCCGGCTACACTGCTGAAGATATCCAGTACTCGATGCTGGACCGATTCCCTGGGACCGAGAACAAGCTGAGCCTTGTGCGCGTCCACGACGGAGACCGATGCTCACAATGCGCGGACGGACATTTGACAAGTAATCCCGCTGTCGAGTTGGGCCATACCTTCCACTTGGGCACTCGGTACAGTGAAGTACTCAATGCCTCTGTGTCCGTCAGCCCTGCAGCGCTACAAGGGTCTTCTACCACAGAGGTGCAATCTACCAAGGAACAGATTGTGCCGATGCAAATGGGTTGCCACGGAATTGGCGTCTCTCGCTTGGTCTCGGCTGTAGCCAATCGTTTGTCGGACTCCAAGGGTTTGAATTGGCCTCGCGCAATTGCTCCTTATGAGGTGCTTGTCGTTGCTGGCAAGGGAATGGATTCTGTTGCAGAGCAGGTCTACGATAATCTCACATCTAACTCAAAGCCTGTGGACACCCTTTTGGATGACCGTGACAAAGGAATGGGATGGAAATTAGGTGATGCAGACCTCATTGGGTACCCGGTCATTGTGGTTGTTGGAAATGGCTGGAAGAACAAGCAGACACTAGAAGTTCAGTGCCGACGTCTGGATGTGTGTCAGGACGTGTCTCTGGAACAGTTACCCTCATTTGTCGAGGGTCTTCTCTCACAGCTGTGAGCGTGTTGCTGTATAACTGTACCATAATTAGCATAGTTGAGTCATGTACATTATTATCCCATCTCTTGACTGTTTTTCATAGTCTGTTTCCTGTGCCGTGGAGGGTATCCAAAAGTGCGTGTGTATAGGCCTGTTACACCACCAGTCGGCGGGACATTACACTATCCACACAACTGCCACGCCCTTTCACCCGACACTTTTCCAAGCTCAACCCACCCCACCTACGCCATATCGCGAGTTCCTGCAGACTCGACATCAATCTACCTTTCGACTCTCCACCCGAGTGTCCTCTGCCCACACTCTACCACAATGGCCGACTCGTCAAGCTCCGGCGGAGCTCCCCCGGGCACAGGTACGTCCCTCACCCCGCCAACAATCCCGCAATGCCCCCAAACCACGAGCGCAATTCCAACTAACATGGAATTCTAGTCAACCTGGCCACGCTCTCCGTCCCCCAACTCCGCGCTCTGCAAACTCGTCTGACCTCAGAGTTGGAGCACCTCACCAACTCACACGCCAAGCTGCGCGCTGCGCAGTCCAGATTCCGCGACTGTGTGCGCTCGATCAACGACGGCGTCACTGGGTCCAAGGCGAAGGGCACCGAGGGCCGCGATGAGATTCTGGTTCCTCTGACCAGCTCGCTATATGTTAAGGGCCGGTTGACGGATCGGGAGAAGGTCCTTGTTGATGTCGGGACAGGGTTCTATGTTGAGAAGGTATGTTGATGGTTTGCATTGAAGTGAATACGAGATGGAATTGAATGGAAATATGCTGATATTTATACTGCGCAGACCCACGACAAGGCGGTCGCTTTCTACGATGACAAGGTTAAAGGCTTGGATACCAACCTGCAGGATCTGGAGAAGGTTGTTTCGAGTAAGAGCCAGCAATTGCGGGTTGTGGAAGAAGGTTAGTTTATTTTTTTTTCCCCGAATAATTGCTGTATGGGCATTTTACTGACTGATTTGTAGTTCTTAGACAGAAGATGCTTGCTGGCGAAGGTGCGCCGGCTCAGGCTGCTACGGCATGATGAATATCGATACACCATTTACGTTGACACGGCTTCGACGAGCCAGAAAAAATATTCTCTCATTTGTGAATTCTCCAGCATCTCCGGCAGACAATTTCCATGGAACAGATGTAGGCTCCAATCCCACGTAGGGAAAAAATCGTTGCTCTTTAGAACAGTGTGCCATGATCGACATTAAAGAGACCCTCCATCTTCTTCTCGACAGGGACATCTCGTGTCTCCTTAGATGGCGTCGGCGGAGTCGAAATCTTTTCAACTATCTCAATGAACGTTTAAAATTCATTATCTAGCTCAGGTATATCCGCGGACCAACTGGGACGGAAGATGGTCATGAAGGCTTCGCCTTCGCATACGGTCTGGAAGGGAACCATCTCGCCACTTGGCCTCTATGGAAAGTCGCCAGACCGGGCAAATGTATTTGCATTCTATTAGGGTCTGCCATTGGCATTGTATGAAGTAGGTGATCTTCTGGTAGCACCCGGAGCTTTTGGTGGTACTGGCGATGTTGGGGGTGAAGTATAGTCGTCACTCAGGCCAACCAAAATTCCAACCTATTATCCGATCCTTGCACGTGGCTTGCAATGCTGTATTATGCCAGTAAGTACCAGGTTATCATTCAACCAACCTGGTAGGATACAAGACTCACCAGCCCGGTTATGGCCGATTCAATCTGATTGAATCTCTGTGAAAGCACTGTTAGCAGATGGCTTGCTTATGCTCCAAAATTTGGATAAACTAAGTCCCGGGCACCTGGATAAAATTCTCTCGTGACGAGTAGAAAAAATAATAATAGGACTTGTGCGGGGGTAAGAAGATAGAATAGAAATACAAAGACGCAACGGAAAGTTAAAAGGGGAAGTCAAGAGGCCATCCAGAATGACTGCAAAGAGAACGAGATCTCGAGGACTAGGAAAAGAGAGCGAATCCTCGTTCAATAGCCACGTGAGCCGGAAGCCGCCAGATATCCTAAGTTAACACCATCTTAAAGGGCTGTTCCTTACAATGTATGAGCAGAAACCGTAGTAAATAGATCAGTCTGCCCGTTTAATTGTTCAAACTAACTATTTGTGAGGCCATAGAAATATGAGGCGCTGATTGGCCAATCTGGCGCTAAACCCAAAAAGGAGTAAAGTGGACAACGCGTGAACTTTGAACTTCGGCGAGACGCGATTAGCTCTTCCGACTTTGACGTTCGTCCTATTCAAGCTCCCAGTAGCTCCAATAGCTATCAAAAAGCTAAGAGCATCATGGTCGACTCTGAATCCGATTCCAGTCCCCAGCATACCCGCAATGTTCGAAAGCGTGCCCACCAATGGGTCACCAAGGGGGCCTTAAACCGCGAAGACTCCGACGACGAGCTGGGCGATGAAGACCTCCCTTGGGACTGGATTTATGCGCCGGAGCCTGAAGTCGCAGATGAAACCGAAGCCAGCGGCGCTAGCCCTACCAAGGCAAGCCGCCGCCGTTCTTCCCGACCTGCCAGGAAACGACCGACGATTGTGGGCGCTCGCATGGGCACATTCGAGTGCCATCTCGGACAGGTGGTCCTTTTAAAATCACCAGAGCCCGGCAAAGACTGGGTTGGAATTATCACGGAGTTCGTGGAGGAGGAGGACGAAGACGAGGATGACAAAATGATCAAGTCCGCCAACATTATGTGGTTCGCTTCCCCTGATGAGTTTTTGTCGACAAGGAACAAGCGGAGGACAGATGCCTTGCCGAACGAGCAATATCTGACCGCGGATTTCAATACCAATCCTCTCACGTCCATCAATGGCAAGGCTGTCGTGATGTCCAAGGATGCTTTCTACGCCAAATATCCGAACGGCACCCCTCCCAAGGACAAAACCGAATTGGCCGAGTACAACAAATGCATTGTTGTTCGTCGAGGTGTGAGTCAGGCACAGGGTAGATATACGGATGAATTTGTCTGGGAGAAGGTTTATCAGGAAGAGAACATCTTCGATCTTATCAACTTGATCAAGGACGGACTCAAAGCTGCCAAGAAGCGCAAGGTCGCGGATGACGAGGTAAGTGACGTCTTTGGCCCGCAAATTGCAATGGAAGTATATTAATCAATCTCATCTGATAGTATGTCGAGACCAAGGAGGAGAATGAAGCTCCGGCCACACCCAGGAAAAGGCAACGATTGGCCGGGAATGCAACACCCAAGTCGCAGCGCAAGAAGCCGTTGACGACGCCCACCCACAAAAGGTATGGTGACATAGCGTCTTCTTGGTCTTACCTTGATTGGCGCAGGCGCTAACAATTATCATAGGATCGTGGTGAAGAAGCCTCTTGAATTCACTCCTCTTGGCACCCGTGTTCTCTCGCCAAACCATTTTGCTTCACCATATCGTCAAGCACGTAACTTGCTGCATGTGTCAACGGTGCCAGACTCTCTTCCTTGTCGGAAGTCTGAGTTCAATCAAGTCTACAACCATCTTAGTGCGGCTATCATGGAAGGCACAGGAGCCTGTATCTATATCTCAGGTACACCAGGCACCGGCAAAACCGCAACCGTGCGTGAAGTGGTGGCCCAGCTCAATGGCGCTGTGATGGCAGAGGAAATGGACGACTTCATCTTTGTTGAAATTAACGGGATGAAAGTCACCGATCCCCACCAATCCTACTCTTTGCTTTGGGAAGCCTTGAAAGGAGACCGCGTCTCTCCTTCTCACGCTCTAGACCTCCTGGAGGCAGAGTTCTCTAACCCTTCGCCTCGTCGGGTCTCATGTGTCGTGCTCATGGACGAGTTGGACCAGCTGGTTACCAAGAACCAGTCTGTCATGTATAACTTCTTCAATTGGCCCGCCCTTCGACATTCCCGCCTTGTCGTTCTAGCCGTTGCCAATACCATGGATCTTCCTGAACGAACACTGAGCAACAAGATTTCCAGTCGTCTCGGGCTAACTCGTATCACATTCCCTGGATACCGCCATAATGACCTGATGGAGATCATCAGCACCCGTCTGGCAAACGTACCAGGCAATATCGTCGATCCAGATGCCATCCAATTCGCAAGTCGCAAAGTCGCTGCCGTCAGCGGCGATGCCCGTCGTGCACTTGACATTTGTCGTCGCGCTGTTGAGATCGCGGAGCAAGACGCCGAAGAAGCCGCTGCCAGCAACACCCTAGCTGCAATTGACGAAGACGAGGAGCCTCCTACGCCTAGCAAAACTCCCGCACGGCGCAACAAAGTACTCACCGACAAGGGGCCTGGAGACTCTCCTGCCCAAAAACCTCTGGCAGGCAAAGGACAACCAGGACGTGTCACCATCGCTACTATCAAGCAAGCAATCCAGGAGGCTACTTCTACTCCCCTACAGCAATCTCTGCGCTGCCTTCCCCTTTCAGGCAAACTCTTCTTAGCTGCCCTTCTGGCCCGCGTCCACCGTACAGGCATCACCGAGTCAACATTTGGAGATGTCCTCGACGAAGCACGCCGAATCGCCGACGCAGCCGTTGCTGTTGCCGGATCTGCCGGTGCTGGCGTAAAGGACTTCCTCCTTGGAGGAGGCGCAAGCGCAAGAGTGCGAGCATTGGGCTTTGCGGCCATGGAGTTAATGAACTCCGGTGTCCTAGCTTTGGAGCAGGGTTCCGGCTCAAAAATCGTGATGGGTGGCTCTACGATTCCTGCTCGGGGTGATCGTAGCAGTAAAGTTCGATTGAGGGTTGCTGCCGAGGACGTAAGGTCTGCATTCCGGGAGGATGTCGAGGCTAAGGGCTTTGGTCTTGGTACTGAACAGTGAGCGATTGCTGACTGGTTGTGCATTTCTGGAGTTCCTACATTTTGTATTTTTATCTGCATCTGTCTGCAGTCTATTGCATGTGATACCCTTTTGGTGGTCGATTCTCTATTTTATTGTAGACTTGTTCCTTCAGAGCAACCACTAGTTACATACGATAGTACGTGTAGAATCCTATGGGACATCCTGTAGTTGTACAATATAATTCTTTTCTTGTTATAGCCCCTTTTATTCAGGAAATACTATTGTTCCAATTCCCTCAAACTCTGAACTCCATATAGTGCCACAAAAGATAATCAAACAGGAAGAAGGGTATTCAAGACTCGAGCAGAAGGCGTATATTCAATGCGAACAATCCTCTAGTACCGCTGTCTGCCCAGAGTAGGGGCCCATGTAACAGGGTGAGTCTCAGGCGTGGCATCCTCATCCTGCTTCCACACCTTAATAGTCTTATCAGCCTCACCGGTGATCAGACGCAGACCAGTTCGGTCGAAAGTCGACGCCATGATACCTGCCTCGGCCTCGAGGGAACCAGGCTGGGCCATGGTGTCCATGGACTGGAACTGGTAGCCGGTCTTCCAGTCCCAGAAGGACATCGAGCCGTTATCGCCACCGGAGAACATGACGTTATCTGAGTTGACGGAGAGGGTGTTGATGACGGCGTTTTGGCCGTCGAAGTTCTGCATAAAGTCTCCCTCGGGGCACTTCCACTGCTTGATGCTTCCAGTACTGGCACTGGCGAAGGTGAATTCGCGAGGGTGGGTGGCGAGGGCGCGGACGCCCTTCTTGTGGTGTGTGAGGACGCCCATGGACTTGCCAGCGGCCAGATCCCAGAGTCGCACTGTGGCGTCCAGAGAGCCGGAGATGACTTGCGGGTCAGCTTCCTGGCACTTAATGTCGGCAACCGTGCCCTTGTGTCCAGCCAGGACGTGAACGTTGCTCCGTGTTCGCATGTCCCACACTCGGCACACACCGTCACGACCACCAGTGACCAACAGATCGAGACGAGGGTGCAGAGCAAGGGTGTATACACCGCTGAGATGGCCGTGGTAGTGTCGAATAACCTTGTTCGTTTCCAAATCCCAGCACTTTACCATCTTGTCCTCACCGCACGAGAATAGGTAAGGATGCCGCGGCGAAACCGCGAGTCCACGAACAGTGGAAATGTGACCAGTAAGAGTAAGACGCAACCCGCCCGTCGCCATATCCCAGATCTTGATCGTTCGGTCTCCAGCACCACTAGCAAACCACTTGTTATTCGGTTCAACAGCCAGAGCCCGCACCCAGCCCAAATGACCCGAGATCACACGCATCAGCTTCCATGGCGCGTGCCAATCAGGTCGCTGTTGCTTAGTCGCAGACGGCCTTTGGATCAAACTCTTGGGTTGATCATCAGCTGCTGCACCTGAAGCCATACCAGCTGGCCTCTTGACGAGAGACATAGAGGCACCGCTTCCGTCGCCAGATGCCTGTGATTGCTGCGATTGGATCTTGGGTCGTTTTGTGCGCCCTGAAGCGGCCTTGGCTTGCTTCTCTGCCAGCACCGGGGGCAATTCCTTCACGTGTTCATATTCTGCTTTCCGTCGATAGGACACACCGATCGAGCCATCTGCAAGAGTCGAGGGGGTGACCATCAAGTATTCAGTGCCGAAGAGGTCGGCAGTCCGCTTCGCAGAGGTGCGAACCGCCTCATCGGTGGTCAATGATTTTGAGTAGTCCATTGCGATCGTGAAATTGGAGGGTATGAAGGGGGAGAGATGGCGCGGAGGGGGAGCTAAAAGGATTCAAAGATCGAAGCGTGATGGCGGAGCCTCGAGGCTGGCGCGGTAGAAAAACTTGCGCAGGATATCGGCGACACGGTTCGAAGTGTGCGGTGAGTTCAGCGCATCCGATTTCGACCGGTCCTATGCGAATATGAAAAGGCGACGCAGGCGTTGGTGAACGAAGAGGTGGTGGAGATCCGGCAATGAATCTCTGATGGAAGTTCGGTTGACGGCCTCAGGTGTCCGCGTCAGGTGTCGACCGCCTACTTATCGCAGCTCTTATCGTTTATCTTCCTTTTATCTTCTTCTACCATCACCATGGATCCTAACCACAGTGCCAAATTCCCTCTTCATGAGGCTGCCCGTGAGGGTAGAAGTGGGTTTTATCAAGAAATATTATTTTGAGTCATGCTAAACACGTGTAACAGATGAAATCGTGGAATCTCTCCTCAACGTGAGTGATATCATGTAGAGCTCCGAGCTGCCCCGCAAAACCCACCACGCTTTCCGTTGAGCGCCGGCTCCTCTATAAATGGCCAAATCAAGACGAGAAGGCTAACCACGCTCATAGGCCAACCCAAAGTCCGCTTTCACCAAAGATGATGATGATCGCTTGCCGATTCATTGGGCCGTGGCATATAACCGATATCCTATTGTGGAGATGCTAGTTGGCGTCAAGAATTTTGATCCTGATGTCGAGGTATGTGATGCAGCCCTCATGTTTGTTACACTTGAACACGCATTTTTTGTTTTGGATTTTAACCGACAAGCGATAATTAGGACGGTTCAAACTGGACTCCCCTTATGATCGCTGCCAGTCTCAAAGCCGCTGAGGGTGACAAGATTATCGACCTTCTCTTGCGCAAAGGCGCGGATGTCAGTGTAAAGAGCTCATCGGGACAAGTAAGTTCGCCGAAAAGGCTAATGAGAGAATGTCTCCATGTATTGACTTTTTGTTAGAATGCTTTACACTTTGCAAGCTCCAAGGCCAATCTATCTACAGTGCGAACCTTGCTGGCCAACAAATGCAGCACCCGAGTAAAGGATATTCGAGGCCAGCTGCCACTTCACCGAGCTGCGGCTGTGGGCTCTGTCCCTATTCTCAAGGCTCTCCTAGAGGAAGGAAAGAGCCCTGTCAATGCCACAGACAACGACGGCATGACGGCACTGCATCATGCTATCTCCGAGGGGCATGGTGATGCTGCAATTCTATTGCTCAAATCTGGAGCTGAGCCAGAAAAGCGAGATGCCGATGGGAGATTGGCGATCGCCCTGGTCCCAGATGACAAGGTGAGTGCATATCTGTCTTCTGCTTGTGGTGCATACGTTGCTAACCGTAATTCTTTCCATTTCTACAGGTGAAGCAGTATATCCTGCAAACAGCAGAAAGAGAAGGAATTGAGCTTCCCTAATCTAAGCTGTACAGTCTTATGCACAGATGATTTTCCTGTAAACTAAAACATTGCGGAACCGCATCCGCTTGGGCCTCGGCGGACCGGTTTCCCCGCATCTTCCTCTCCGCATAACCGAAATGTACTAGCAGTTTTGGGCGTCACCTTAGGTTTAGTGACATGCAAGTCAGTAAATGACGCTCTTGTGGAATTTGCAGCTAGCATTGTTTTCTCTTGGAGGAAATTTAATCCGAGCCCAAAGTCGAACACTATCGTAAGCCAAGACTAGTACTTTTGTCCCTAGCTGCTTTTTTAGCGTCAAAATGACCAAGCCTGCAGGTGGGGAGGAGATTGAAGCTGAAACTGAGGGGCCTCGGTAAACCGGAGGGGGTTGGATTGTAATTTAAGCCGGTGGTTAGAAGATGGGGTTACTGGTCGAGATTAGAGAACTCGTCTCTTCCACGTCCTACGAAGATCTATTATCTTAGCTATCTTTCTGATTCATCTATTGTAGGCAGCATGTCTACTCCATCCGGTACACGTCTTCCGGTGGGAAATAAGGACTTCACCAAAGCGACGGTAGTCATTATTGGGGCCGGAATATCTGGTAGGTGCACGGAGAACGGTCAAGCTCGATCTAACCGCTAACTCGGGATAAGGAATGTGCATGGCTATTGATTTGATCAAGCAAAACAAATTTCGGAACTTTGTGATTCTTGAGAAGAGTAGCAGTGTGGGAGGGACTTGGAACGATAATAAATACCCCGGTTGTTGTTGCGACAGTATGTGGCCCATGAACTGGGTAGTGTGAAAACATGAGCTAACTGAGACCAGTCTGGAGCACTTTGTACAGTTACTCCTTCGAGCAGAATCCGGGATGGTCACGCGAGTATCCAGGACAGGAAGAGATTCATGTAAGACATGTCCCCATACCAAGCAAAAGCTCAGGCTAATAATCCCGTCCAGGCCTACCTCATTCGCGTCGCGCAGAAATGGGGACTTTACAACCATATCCGATTCAACTCCACGGTAGATGAAGCGCGCTGGGATGATACCGAATCTAAATGGAAAGTCAGCGTCAATGTCTCGGGAGCCAAGGACAGCGAATATGCAAGCTCCTACCTTATAAACTCGGACTTCTTGATCTCTGCAGTTGGACAACTCAACCTTCCACGCGAGCCGAATCTTCCAGGCCTGAAGGATTTCCAAGGCAAGATGATGCACTCGGCTCGGTGGGACTGGAGCTACGATCTATCGGGGAAGCGAATTGCCATCATCGGAAATGGTACGGATATGAGGAATCGGTTGAACAAGACCTACTAACAATAACTAGGAGCAACGGCCGCTCAAATCATCCCAGAAATCGCTCCAGAGGCATCTCACCTGACTGTCTTCCAACGCACTCCGAACTGGCTCATCCCCCGTCGAGATACCCCCGTTTCCGCCCTGCAAAAGGCGCTATTAACCTACATCCCACCCCTTCGCTGGCGCAAACGAGCCCTACAAATGGACTTCCGCGAGTCCTTCCACAGCGCTATCTTCGACGGTAGTTCGGACTTTGCTCAACAAATCCGCACTTGGTGCACGGAGATGATGCAAGCCCAATTGGCTCACAAGCCCGAGCTATGGAATACTCTAACACCCAATTATTCCCCAGGCTGCAAGCGAGTCATCATCTGTGATGATTACTATCCTACTCTGGGCCGCGATAATGTTGATTTGGAAACAGGAGCCATCACCCGTATCACAGAGAAGGGAATTGAGATTGAAGGCAAGGGTGAACAGGAGTATGATCTCATCGTGCTAGCAACTGGGTTCCAGACTGTCGACTTTATGTATCCCATTCAGGTCTATGGTGCAAATGGCCGGTCTCTTGGGGATATTTGGAAGAATGGAGCTCAGGCTTATCTCGGCATGACTGTTGAGGATTTGCCCAACTTTGGGATGTTCTACGGGCCTAACACCAATCTTGGTAAGATTTTCCTTTGGCGCCACAGCCTGTCTGGTTTTCATTAACTGGGTGGTAGGACACAACTCCATTATCCTTATGATCGAAGCTCAATCCCGATACCTGAACACCATGGTCAGCGAAGTGATCCGTGCTCGGCAACAGGGCAAGACGCTATCACTCAAACCGACGGAGGCTGCCCTGAAGGAATACAATGATAGGATCCAAGCACTTCTACGAAGTAGCAGCTTTGCAGATCCTAATTGCAACAGTTGGTACAAGACGGATGATGGTATTATCACCAACAACTGGTCTGGGACAGTTCTGGACTATCAGAAGGAGCTGTCCAAAGTGGAATGGGAGGATTATATTGCACAGGGCTCTGGCAATGATCTTGTAAAGAAGAAGCCAACACAACTCGGGCGTGTTCGGGAGGAGACAGTGCTCGGTAATACTTCACTGCTGGTTGGAGCGGTTGGAGCTTTGGCTGTGGCAGGGGGCTACTTTGCTCGGTCTAAGCTAGTAAAGCCACGTTGAGCTTCCAGCTCGACCGACAAGACGATCTAAGTGGACCTAAAGTCTTTCTTCTATTGGTCCTTCTTGACTTCTTCCTAGAAATGTTGATAAACGTCTTTCTATACTACGTATTTTCACTCCTTTCGGATTCATCATGAACATGCGTCTATATGCAAGGCATACCCGCTTCCTCGGGAGTATTTGAATTATTCTATTGATCATGCTGTATAACAGATGATGATGATCATGATTCTGTACAATAACTGCTTTTTCTGCGTGTAGTTGTTCAATCAAATCTTGGACATCACAGCTCGTGTTCCCAAAGGCCAGTCTCACGGCTTGATTGAGATTGGATTTTCTTGAGATGAGCGCGGTACGGTGTATCATCTTGAATCCAAACAGGTCTGCTACTCCCAAGACCGCGACCCTGAGCATCCAAGGCCTCAACTTCAATAGAAAAGTTCTCAAGTGCCTTAGCAGTTCCACCGACATTCTTCTCGAAGTGAGTCTCAAACCCAGTCCGTTTTTGTTCCCCAAGCGACACAACAACTTTCTCGCTGGTATTGTCAACAAGATAGAAGATCCAGGCCCTGGTCTCTGTATCTCCATTCCAAGACACCCATACAGCTATTTTTCCATCTCCATCACTCAATGCCAAGACAGCAGGTTCTTCGTTTGAACCGGCAGTCCAGTTTGATCGAAACCCTCGATAACTTTGAACATTCTTATTCGGATACGAATCGAGGTATGCATGGAATAACACAGTCCCATCTTCAGTAAACTCCGTCACGGCGCCCGCTTGGCCCCAATTGATGAACTTGTTTCCACCGGGTAAGAACTGGAGATTTCCTTGCGAATGCGCACTGAGCCCATCTGGAGCGTCATAAGTGTGAATCTCTGTAGCTGTGCCAGCAGTGTGGTTCAGCTCGACGTATCGACCTCGTGAAAATGGATTGATCGGGTCGATCGGTTCAGTAATAGCTGCATTGTCGAAGAATGAGATCCTCTCAATGGATCCATCCGGAGATCGATAACGGAACCGGGCATCATGCTGGAACGCGAACTCTACGTTGGACGTGATATCGAAATCGGATCCGCGGGTGCCTCCAAGCTGCCAGATGATTTCGCCGTCGGTTCCGTTGATTTTGAAAATCGCACAATAGTGGCGTGCTGAGATGAGATAGTTTCCTTCGTCATCTTTGTCGATACTGTTGAGGTGGAAATAGTTATATGCGTCGAATGAGCTGCGGCCAGAGAAGGGACCCTCTTTCACGAGGGGAACTGAACTGTCTGTAATACATGTGAGATGCTAGTCATTTGGAACTGGATACCTGGACTGACATTTTGGGGTGATGTGATCGAGACTGTACCACTCAAAGAGCAGTTCTCCGGTATGAATATCCAGCTCTATCCAGCCCTGTCAGCATTGAACAAGGTAGATTAAGCCAGCGTTTGGCAGAGTCCGACTCACCTTGGAAACCATGATTCAAAATCCACTCCTGTCCCTCGTCCCCTCCGTAGATACTCAAGTCCGCAGGGATCGGCACCGGAGCCTCAACCAAAACCGTCTTCCCATCCACAACATTGAACTCGTGAACCGACACCAGCCGGTGCGACGCCGCCCGAACAATACTAACAGTCTGGTAACGATCATTAAGAACAACATGATCACCATACATGCGTCCATGAAAAGAATCAAGCAGTCCTTGAGAAGAGCGCAGCACAGCCTTTCCATCAATCACAGTCGGGCTGAAGTCACCCGCGAAGCCTGCTACATATCCCAGGCCTGACCAGACAAGCTCTCCATCGTTACGGAAGATATATGCTCCAGGCTGTTCGGGTCCGACACTCCCTTCAATGAAGCCAGTAGTCGGTGTCACGAATATGTAGCCCGATTCGACGCGTGATGAGGCTGGGACTGTGATGTTTAGTTTGGGAGGAGATAGGTCTGGGCGGGATAGGTATTGCCAATCTGCTGACACGCATTGTAAAATGGCACTCAGCCAGATGACCGTATTCGATCTCATTTCGATTTCATCAATTGTTTGAAGATGGCACCTCGGAGGAACGGGGGTGAGAAGAAGTAGAGGATCAGAAGGGAAGAGTAGATCTACGGTGTAACGCAAACCTTGGGGCCCGATAATGGGCCAATAAAACTAAACACGGATGAAGCCATGACTGGGCTATCTTGCAACATCTGCATCTCAAATGGTCTTGCGAGTGATCCTTGTCATCGCCAAACTCCGGGGCTGCTAATTAAATGCAAATTTCCCCAGGGCGGAGTATAACCGGAAGACGTGACGTACCCCTCAGTGACACCAGCCGCGCTATAATAGCATCATCCCCGGGGCTGGGCCTGGGTCTAGATCACACTTTCAATTAATCATTCATTCTTAGATTTCAGAGGGGTTAAGTTTTTTTGGTCCTCTCAATTAACTATAATCGTACAAATGCTTGTTATTGTTTTGCGCTGCAATGATGTAGAAACCTGTCAAAATTCAATGATTGTAGATATAATCATAAAGCAGACTCACAATCCTTAGAAAAGAGCAACCATGAAATAGCGCTGACGCCATCAGCCCTATTCATTTTCCACCTTTCGCCCTTTCCGATATAATCCCGCTTCATCAGCAAAAAGTCCATCACCTTAAGATATTTATCCCAGAGATGATCGATCGTGCCCAGAGCTAACAAAAGCTTGAACCGTGAGTAGTGTTGAATAGTCTCATCGCCCCGCTCCTTTTCAACTCTTTCACGAGAAGTCGGACCCCATTGTTTTGCCGGGGTGGCATATGGGGTACCGCATAATTGCTCAACGCCGTTTGCATAATGGAAACTGTCGAATTTGCCTAGGCCATCGATGGTTATCGACACATTTGAAGATGGGGGTTTGAAAGACATCGCGACTTGAAAGTGAGTGAAAGTCTCACCGTTGTGATGAGAAGATCGGACGAAATTATTAAGAAAGGGACGAAAGACACCACGCCTCCCCTGGCAAAGAAGCAATCCGGATTCGATCATACAAGCCCAGGAATCCCCATAGTCCAAATAGATTGATTGACAAGTACCAAATATCGTGAAAGTTCCAAATGCACGAAATGCAACATTGGAATATACAGCACAGCACATGCGTCGCCACTGCATCCTGTGAACGGCTTACTGCTTATTTGTGCTCGTGATGGAATAGTTGTTCTGTCAAGTGTGATCGTGTAATATATTTCATAATCTATGCGGAAGGTGTGATAAGTGTGCTCCAGAGCCGCTTGCAATGCCAAATCCCCATCCCGTCCTAATGCTTCAAATGCCTCAAATGTCGAAGAGTCCATGACTGGTGGCCAAGAAAAATATGCTGAGACAACGCCTGATATTAATGCATATTGATGCAACATGTTCAAGCATCAAAATTCCATTTCATCCTCCTCCCAGCCGAGCTGTTCATAGATCGACTTGCTCTGCGATTTCTCCGGGGTCACGGGGATAACGGGGGCAGGTCCCTTAGCAGGACTTCTCTTCACAGAACTCTCTTTCACCGGAGTCCCCATGACAGCTACCGGGGAGCAGGCCCTGGACTGAGTTGTAATGGGGACCTGCGCAATGTTGCCCATTGGTAGAGAACGCGAAGCGGGCATCGAATCAACCCCACGCTGTCTTGGGGGTGTTTCCGTGATCGATGAGCTGGCGCCTTGGAAAGATGTGGTGAGATTCTGCGTAGAGCCATGGGCTGAGGACGGGATGATCTTTTGGCGCGATGAAACGGGGGTAGAAGGAGCCATGGGTTCATTAGGATCATTGGTAGAGCGAGGTGCAGGGAGGTCGGGGATTCGAAAGAGGCCTCTTCCTTTGTTCGATGAAGGGCGACGATCAATCGATGCATCGAGACTTCGTTCTTCTTCGAAGAATAGCTTGGAGGATCGAGTAGGTGTTTCTTGGATCGAGCCAAGATCTGCTGGTGGTTCCTTTCGCTTTCTCAGGCTCGAGTTCAAAGGCCGACGGGAGCTGAACGGGTTGGAATCGGGACCAGAAAAAGAGATCGTCCGCCGGATGGAAGACGACGAAGGAATCATGACGGGAGATTCACCCAGTGAACGGTCTTCCATCTCTCCGGCGAATGAACGGGATGGAGCGAGACTGCGAGGAAGCGGTGGCATCCCAATGATGTCTTTTCTGCGATTGCCGCGGGGTGTAGCCATAACCTGTACACCCTCGCCCATCGGGTTGCGGACAGGGTTCTTCGACTTCCGTGAGCTACCTCCACCAGTAGACCGCTTGACTGATTCATCGACAATTTCGTTGGAGACCAACTCTCGGTTTGGCTTCCGAAGGGCCTGAATAGCAGCATCAAGCTCTTTCTTCTGGTCCACCAACATCTGCACCTTGCGCAGCTTACTCTCGTGCTGCCTCGCAACCGCATTAAGATCCACCTCGCGATTATCAACCCGCTTCGCCTGCTGGATCCCTCCTCTAACACTACCGCCAAAAACGGTTGGTAGCAAAGGCTCCATGGTATCACGCTTGTTGTCATGCTTCGATGGCGCTGTGTTAGATCGATGTAGTGACGGATGCCGGTTTTGAGATGCAGCAGCTGTCCTCTCATCTGTCAAGACTCGCTGGAGCGAGCGACGAGGTTTCTGTACTGGCGCCTGTCGCTTGACTTCTGCACCGGGCTCCACGCGGTCCTTTTTGCTCGATTGGGTTCTCTTCGCAGCCGGCGAAATCCCGCCAGAAACACCAAACTTCCGAGTAATGAGCTTACATTTGTCGGGAAGTCGTGCAGCGTAGAATGGGACAACCACTTCCGTGCAGAAGTCGCGCACTGCGTCGCTCTCAACCTTCTTGCCGGACATGTGGCTATCGGTGAAAGATGAAGTCTTCGCCGAGTCGACCGCCGTAGACTCCTCTAGGCTGACGGCATGCCAGATGCAAAGTCGATCAAGATGGAGCTCAAGAAGTTCATTTAGATCTTGAGGCTTTTTAGCTCTGGGCTTCTTGGGCGAAGTTTTCTCTTCTTCGGGAACCTCATCGCTGAGCTTTTGCTTATTCTCCCTAGGTATCGATTCCAACGCAATGACCTCCAGAATCAATAGAATCTGCAGTTGAGTCTCACGCAATCGAAGATCAGAAATGTGCTTTTTGCTCTCCGTTTCACGCGAGTTCTCTTGTGCAGATGACTCCATGCTTCGATCTTTCCACCATTTGCGAATGAGGCCATCTTCCTCGGGATAAAGGCCATTCTTGCCAAGCTTCTTCTTTTTGCTCTTGCGTTTCTTGGTGGTTTCCCCGTCGGAGGGGGTCAGTAGGGCATCACGAACAGATGTTGGGAGAGTTTCTCGGTATTTGAGATCCATCTTCTTTGCGGCCAAGATGGCATCCCTGTAAGATCCAATGAGCTCCGCAAGACTTTGAGGCTGATCGGGGGCAGCATTTTGAAAAGCGGTGCGACAGCGTGTCAGTGGACCTTTGGCGAAGTAAGCCAGCGACGTCTAGAAAGAGAGTTAGAGCAAGTTCCCGCCAGTTGAAAGACATCGAGTTCACCTTCGATGCGTAGAGAGCTTGAAGATAATGATCTCTCATCCCATTGAGTAGCTCCTCCGGGGGTAGTTTCGCATCCACCGCGGTTGAGTCGACGCCTTCAACATCCATAGCCTCGCTACCAACAGCTTGAGAGTCACGCGATCCGAAGGGGGCCTCTGAATCTCTTACAGTCGGTGCAAGTGACTGGCCCCGGTGCTCAAGGACATCCACAAACGTAGGTTCATCCTGACCTGTATCCCCCTCGGACTCGAACACAACGGCCACTTGCAAAGCTGCAAAATCCTCGCCCAATCCCAGATCAGAAGGCGGTTCCTCAATTTGAGCAGACTGCCACCAGCTCAGGGCATCCGGAATAGAGAGAGACTTCTCGTTATCCTCAATATCCATTTTCAGGCCTTGAGGCGCCTGCCATCCCTTGACAGCAACGGCTACATCCCCCTCATGCACCCATCTCGCAAGCCGAGACAGTGAGTAGATACCCCGCTTCACTCGCTCAATCACATATAGCCCGCTATTAGCAGCAAGCCGTACCGCCAGCACCATCGGCTCCGCACAAGCGCGCAAGTCATTTTCCAAGGCAGGTATATCTGCAGTGAACAAGCCACCGGGTTGCGCGTCAGACCGCGACCAGGACGCGTCCTCTAACCATGAGAGCGGAAGTCGAGAGCGGGGAAGTGCGGCGATGGGGTCGAGAACGAGTGGTTCGTCGGATAATGAAGCGGCATGGGCCTAGACAAAAGAAGTGTTAACTAGGGCAGGGCAACTTTGGGTATAGAACAACTTTGGGTATAGAACAAGGAATAACGCACCCGAATGACAATCGAGGTCGAAAATAGCTGTCCAGCAGCGGTATCAGGCTCGAGTTTGCGCTTTTTAGACGGCGGCACGGCCTCGTGTAGTTTGTTTAGCGAGGATGAACTGAGGGAATCGAGGGCACTGGGAAAGGTGCGCGCGGTCATGGTAACGTCTAGAGAGATGTTTGCATTGTGGATAATGTATTTAAGTAATTGAAGACGAGCAACGAGCAGAATCAAGCGCATGCAGTTGAAGTTGAAGGTGGGAGGCGCGGATGCTTGGCGAATCTGGACGCGTCGCGATCCTTGCTCTCCGCTCTCCGCTCCCCACTTTACCACTTTACTCTACGTAGTCGTCTTCGATCATTGCGGATTACCTTGCCGTTCAGACCAAAGAAATTTTTAGGCATCCTGGACCATTATTTGAACGAGAGATGATTCCCTAGATGTATTTGTTTTGGGATAACTCTGAAGTTTCCCAACTTTCTGGTTCATCCTACTCCGCCCTCATCGTTAAAACGAACCGCTCCCTACGTAAGCTCTTCTGCATCATGTCTGTAACCCACCTTCGTCTTCCAATATGGCCGACCCAAGCCAATGGCCCACAACACCACATGGCCCAACTCAGCATCCATCAGGAAGCCCCTCGGCTCTAATCAACCATCTAGGACTCACCCGCGGCCTTGACACCATCATCGATGGATCCCCCTCAGGCTTTATCAATCATCAACAGGAGCCAAGCCCTGAGAAGCCTCGCCGAAAAACAAAGACTGTCCCGTCTGGCGAGGCTTGGCACCAATTAGTAGAGCCGACAAAGCCCCGGGACCCAGTCACTGGTCCGAAATCAGATCGGCGAGTTTCGTTTCGGGTTAATTCGCCGCAAACACATCTGATCAGATAATTTTGTTGTGGATCTTTCTACATCAGCAACTTCCCAGCCTGGGTAGGCCTTCCCCCTTAGGGACTGGTTCCGCCTCACGGCTATCCTCCGAAATGATCACTTGAGGCCGGAAGCTGTCCGTTATCTGATCTGTGGATCCACTAGGGTAATCCACCAGGGTAGGGTTTTGACGTGGTTCAGACATGATGGTCTGGAAAGTCGGCCTTGGTAGTCTTGGCTTTTCTCGGGGTTGGAATCCTTTCCTGGGTGTACGTGCTTGTCTGGGAATCCTTAAGTAGCCGGAGACTTCTCGTGTATTTTTTGTAAAGTTTCTGATCTAGCCTTTCCCGGTTGCCTTTCGATATCATGGAGACTAAGGAATTTGTTTCCAAGTCTGCTTTGGAGGAGGTGTCTGAGTCTACAGATGATAAGCAGAACACCAGCTTGGATACGGCTTCGTCTCATTCCAGCGAAGGCAAGAAACCCCCTCCGTTTTCTGCCAAGCTCTTTGCCGTGGCTTTGATTGCGTCTATCAGTTTTGGTTCGCATTGGAGCTCTGGCGTTACTGGTGCTATGAAGAGTACCATTAAGAAGGTACTTGCAAGCACCTTGAACCAGTCCGGCCACTCTACTGACTACGATAGGGAATGGATATCAACAACGTGCAATTCTCGCTCTTGGAAGCTAGTGAGGATTTCATGGCTACTGTCCTGATGCTGCCTAGTGGCCTGGTTACAGATCGTGTTGGTGGCGCCGGTATGTTCCATATGTACCTGGGTACTGAATTGAGACGGCTGACGACTAGACAGAGATGATTGTCTACGGAAATATCATCTACACCATCGGTTCAATCTTGGTCGCTGCTGCAACGACTGTCCGATCATTCAATTTCATGATTGGAGGCAGAATCATTCTTGCATTTGGTGATATCGCTACTCAGATGGCTCAGTATAAGATGTTCTCCTCATGGTTTGCTCCGAGTAATGGATTCGCGTCTACACTAGCCTTCGAGCTGGCTATTGGAAAGGTATGAGAATTTACTCTACTTATCTGGAACATAGCTTATTAGCAACAGGTTGGCGGCTTCATCGGCAAATCTACAGCCAACATCATCGCCAAGGTTGGTTCGAATGTTGCACACATCCTCCCGAACTAGAGATGCTAACATCCACAGAACACCGGTAACTTCGCCTGGGTCTTCTGGACAGCCGTTTTCATGAACCTGTTCACCAACGCCGCGACCGCAATCTTCTGGTTCTTCAACAAATACTGCGACAAGCACTACAGCGGACGCCGCGACATCGCGACCAAGGAACACCTCACGGAGAAGAACAAGAAGTTCGAATTCAAGAAAGTCTTCCAGCTTCCATGGATGTTCTGGGCTATTCTTAGTTTCTCCGTGTTCCAGACAAGTGCCGCTCTGACATTTAGCCAAAATGCGACTGAGCTCGCTGAGCTAAGGTTCGATGTTGATTCCATTACAGCTGGATGGTATAGTTCTTTATCACAGTATACAGGTATGTTTCAAGGTCTTGAGACCCTTGAGTTGGACTCTTAGTTACATACTAACTGGGCTAGGTTGTCTGCTTGTTCCTATTCTAGGCATCTTCATCGATATCCTCGGTCACCGCGCTTCTATCCTCTTCGTCTGCGGTCTCGGCATGCTTCTTTGCATGTGTCTTGTCAATTTCGCTCCGTCGAAGGCTGGAACAGGTGCATCCTTCGGTATCTATGCCGTCGCATCGTCACTAGGCCCAACCACGCTCATCGACGGGATCCGCACAACCCTCTGGCACCAATCGGTCTTCGGATCAGCCTTCTCTCTCAAAATGACCGTGAACAATGCGTAAGCATATCCTACAATCCAGAAGAAAATCTCCACTAACCGTACCCCAACAGAATGAACATCATAATCCGCATCATCACCGGCGCCCTGCAGGACGCAGATGACAACTCATATCGTCGCGTGGTGCAGGTTTATCTATTTCTATCTGCGGCGTCGACGGTCGTCGGGGCGGCGCTGCTGATCGGCACTTATGTGACGCCGTACCTGGCCCCCTTGCAGTGGACGAGGCTTCAGCGTAAGACGATCGGAGCGGAGGTCATTGAGGCTAATAAGGAGCGGAGCTTGGTGACGGATGCGAATCAGACGAGGCGGATTTCGATGGTTTGCTTTGGAGCGTTGTCACTATTGACTGTCGGTGGCTGGGTGGCCTATATTTGGGGGGCTATTACTGGGCATAATAGTTAGATTACCCCGTAGTTTGGGATATATTGCATCGATTGGTATAAGGGCTATATGCAAACATTTCGATATGGGTGCCAGCTGGCGAGACTCCTAAGGGCGTTCCCAAGGTTTCACGATGCTATGACGTCGTATGACTACTATGAAATCTCTACGAAACTGCAACTTTAACGTTGTATTCACCAGTAAATCGTTGAAGTGGTATTGTTATTATAGTATTGCTAATGTTTAGATTAGCTGACCCTCATGCCTCGAGAGTCCGACACAGTCGAACCTCTCGTCAGCATACAACCCCCATCCCGTGCCAGAGAAAAGCAAAGGCTACCGGGGTGGGGGAGGTGAAGGTGTATGGTTGTTGAAGACTTTCGCTCCGCAAATAAACGCCAAAAGCATTCCCGTTCCCAGCCGATGAAAGTGGTATCATGTTGAATTTTGTCTTCGCCGTAAGGCCCTCTTCGTGGGCGACCATGCAAGATAATGAAACAAAAGAAAAAGATTGACTCCAGGCAATCGGAAATCAACTTTTGTAGAAAAGATTTTTGCCGTTTTTTATATGTCTATGCACGTGCTTTGAGTTGTTGAAAACAAAGCCTTCTCATCACAGTCGTCAAAACGTCTCCTATGTCATGGACGGAGGGATCCGCTTAGAACTTAAGGGTCTTAGGCTTCTCCCAGCTGAACTCCTGGTTGGTGAAGTGACCGTTCTTGGCAGTCTGGGCGTAAATGGGCTTGGCCAGGTCGAGATCCTTGACGATCACACCGGGACGGAGATCGAAGTTGTCACGGATGATCTGGACCAGCTCGTCGGAGGTCTTGGAGGAAGTACCGTAGGTCTCGACGAACATGGAGAGGGGCTCGGCAACACCGATGGCATACGACAGCTGGACGAGAGCACGGCGGGCCAGCTTGGCGTTGACCAGGGACTTGGCGATCCAGCGCGCAACGTAGGCGGCCGAGCGGTCGACCTTGGAGTAGTCCTTTCCGGAGAAAGCACCACCACCGTGAGCACCCCAGCCACCGTAGGTGTCAACGATGATCTTGCGGCCAGTCAGACCGGCGTCACCCTGGGGACCACCGATGACGAAGCGGCCAGAGGGCTGCATGTGGTAGATGGTCTTGTCATCGAGCAGGTTGGCGGGGATGACCTTCTTGACAATCTTCTCCTTGAGGACAGCACGGAGCTCCTCAGTGGAGACATCGTCAGAGTGCTGGGCAGAGATGACAACGGTGTCAACGCGCAGGGGCTTGACGGCACCGTTGTCGTGGGCGTACTCAATGGTAACCTGAGTCTTGGTATCGGGGAGCAACCAGGGGATGGAGCCGTCATTACGGGCAGCCTTCATGGCAGCGTTGAGCTTGTGGGAGAAAAGGATGGTGAGGGGGAGGAGCTCAGGGGTCTCGTCGGTGGCATATCCGAACATGATACCCTGGTCACCGGCACCGAGCTTCTCAAGAGCCTCCTCATAGTGGAGACCCTGAGCAATATCAGGGGACTGCTGCTCAATGGCAACGAGGATATTGCAAGTCTTGTAGTCGAAGCCCTTCTCGGAGGCATCGTAACCGATGTCCTTGATGGCACCACGAATGATCTTCTGGTAGTCCAGGTTGGCCTTGGTGGTAATCTCACCGAAGACCATGATCATACCTGAGGGGAGGATGTCAGAGTTTGGCATGTGAGACGAGGCTCGGGGATCAACATACCGGTCTTGGTAGCGGTCTCACAAGCGACCTTGGAGAGGGGATCCTCAGCCAGGCAGGCATCGAGAATGGCATCGGACACCTGGTCACTTTGGGGGCCGTCAGCAGCGTGTAAGGAATTTGTCAAGGGGCAAAAAAAAACTCACGCAATCTTATCGGGGTGGCCCTCACCGACAGACTCGGAGGTGAAGAGGAAGGTACCGGGCTTGGAGCCGTTTGCGAGAGAACCCATTGTGAAGGATGAGGGTGTAGAAGATCGAATTGAAGAATTAGAGAAGGAAGGGAAAGGATAGGATTTAAGGAAGAGGGATGAGGGAAAGAAAAGGGAAGTGAGGAAGAGGGGAAAAATTAGTGGGGGGCGTTCAGCCGGACCAATAATTACTTTCACCGCAGGAACGCGGTACCGCATCAGAATCAGTGAGGGAACTTTGCTGCTCCGATGGCGCCATTTGGGCGGTGGCAGATGGCATTACCGCTGCCCCACCGGCAAATGCAATTTTCTCGTATCCGAAGATAAGCTGATACTGGAGCTCCATCTTTTTTTTGCCGTCACGCACCTTGCCTTAAACAATACTCCCCATACTTATCAATCTCCCGCAACCATGTCCAAGTTCGGTCTTCTAGTCATGGGTCCCGCTGGGGCGGGCAAGACCACCTTCAGCAATTCTCTGATCCAGCATCTGCAAAATAACCGCCGCAGCTGCTTCTACGTCAACCTCGATCCCGCCGCCGAGCAATTCGCCTATCAACCTGACCTTGATATCCGCGAGTTGATCACTCTGGAAGATGTGATGGAGGAACTTGGCCTCGGTCCGAACGGTGGCTTGATCTACTGTTTCGAGTTCCTGCTACAGAACCTCGAGTTCCTCTCCGAAGCTCTTGATCCATTGAGCGAAGAATACCTCATTATCTTCGACATGCCTGGCCAGATCGAGCTCTACACCCACATCCCGTTGCTCCCTTCCCTAACACAATACCTTTCGCGCCAAGGTCCCCTGAATATCAACTTGTGCGCGGCCTACCTGCTCGAAAGTACCTTCGTTGTCGACAAGGCGAAGTTCTTCGCCGGCACGCTTAGCGCCATGTCAGCCATGCTGATGCTAGAGATTCCCCATGTGAACATCCTCAGCAAGATGGATCAGGTGCGCGATATGGTTACAAAGCGGGAACTCCGGCGATTCGCGAATGTGGACGTTCAGTTGTTGCAAAATGACGAGGACGATCCCAAGGCGCGCGCCAATCCCATGGCGCCGGATGCCTTGATGAGTGGCGGATCTTTCAAGCAGCTCAACCGGGCCGTGTCACAGCTGATCGACGATTTCAGCATGGTTTCCTTCCTGCAGCTTGATGTCCAGGACGAGGACAGCGTCTCTGCCATTCTGAGCCACATCGACGACGCCATCCAGTACCACGAAGCCCAAGAACCCCGGGAACCCAAGGATGAGCAGGAGGTGAATTATGAGGATTGAAGCAGTTAGAATACCCGAAATCGCTCTGAATTGCCATCTACTCCGTCATTTACGAAAATATCCGCGACTTCGCTATCCAGGCCTCCGGCAACCCAGTGTACGACTTTTACGTCCACCTCCTACGACTCATCGAATGCTACCCTCCAATGCATCGACTGCAACCAACCATCACCCCCCTACAATAGCATGCTTATGGAAGCAACTCAGCTATATGACCGTACACACTCTCGCCGGGACCAAAAAACTCCGCCGATCAAATTGCAGATCAAGTCCGAGCCTCAACACCAAACTCCGAGGCCCGCAACAAAACTCCTATGCATAAAAATAACCCCCTGGCTCCAATAATACACCCATGATTGATGACATGTACACAAAGTCCGTATCCTCAGGTAGTCCCTTACACAAAGCAAACCTTTTTCGTAATCTCAGCTGAACCGAACGGTTTTTACCACCGGTTATAACCCTTCTTCGCACCCCTAGCCCCAGTCCCAGCACCACCCCATCCACTTCCACCTCTACTCCCGGCACCACCATTACCCGCAGCAGCGCGCGCCTGAAAGTCCTCCACAAACCCGAGCAGAACACCGCAAACCCACCCCAAATCCCTCCCCGCATTCTCCACCCCAACGCGATAAACATAAAATCCCAGCCCGAGCACCGATCCCCAGAAAACAAGCCTAAAGGCCAGCATAACCCAGAACATAATGACGCGGCGCGCATAGTCCAGGACCTTCAGCGAGATGAACAGGACCAGCGCTAGGATGAGCAGTTGCATGAGGTCAGGCATGGCGGATGTGCTCGTTGAGGCGAGAAGGGATGACAGCGGGGCTATTATGTAGGGTTGTATATATGTTTCGCGGATGCCGGAGAGGTGGGTGGTCAGTGTTTCTTGGGTGTGGGATTTTAGGTAGGTTATTGTCGGATTGGTGAGGAGAGTTTGGAGATTTTCTGTGTATTGATATGTTAGATGGGAATGGCGATAAGATTTGGTGGGTGGTACCTGGTAGCATGTCCATGGCTGTTGAAGGTGTGAAGTAGACTCGAGGGAGTTGTCTGAGGAAGAGTGACCTGGTGTGGTGTTTTGTAGGAGAGCGGGTATGTTCAGCGTTTGGGGAAGGCTGAAAGAGGCTTTGCTTCAGGCTGCGGGTGGGTTTAATAAAGCAGGATCTCGGAAGGGTCGCGAAGTGATCCAATATACTCAAGTCAGGAGTTGTGAAGCAGGACCTGAGGGTTGGAGTGCGACCAGGTGAGGTGCAAGATAACAAAGTGGGTGCAAAACAAACAAACAACCCCGTTGCGATCTTAGATCGAGATCAGCGATTAAGCTTGATTCTAATTGGAAATTACGGGTTTACGATTCGCGCAGGAAAGAAGTGTTTCAGAGTAGAATGACATCCTCGTCAGACTGTACAGTTGGTAGTATTTACCAATAAATAATAGGTGGTCTATATACAGGGCGACCAGTAAAACATTACCAATCTGTTTGCGACCTGCGCTCCATATGAGCTCGGTCAGCGCGATGCCACGCGCACAGAAACCGGTTCAAATCCTCAAAAAAAAATATAACTCCAAGTCCAAACTCCAAGATAATTCCAGTACTCGTACAGAGTCCATGAATCCTGATGCAGATGCAGATGGCGTGGTATATGTGAAAGTATCCAAAAAAGGAAAGAAATTAGCGCGAGATTGTTATAATTAGGCCATCAGGGCTCGAAGCGCCTCCCGCTCGGCCTGAATGTCCGCCTGAAGACGGCGAGTTTCGCGAAGGGCTTCGTCTCTGCGGGGAAGGGTTAGTTGGCTGAAATTTGAAACACGATCTGTCACTTCTCGGGAAAAAAAACTTACCTGTCAGATTGAAGTTGAGCCACATCAACCTGGACGCGGTTCATACGTCCCACACATTCTTCCATCTCCATGTCTGCGTCCCGGAGGAGTCTTTCCAGGTCCTTGACTCGCTTTTCCAAGATCTCGGCTTGGACGACGTCGGCCAGCGGCACGCCGTCTCCGCTCGTGGTCTTGTCGATCCGCGGCGAGCGCGAATCGAAGGGTGTGCTCGCTGGTCGGGGGGAGAGACCGACAGGTGTGCGAGCACCGTTCTTCATGCGTACCAGCTGAGCGTTGTGGCTTTCCTTCAGCAGGCGGATCTCGTCCTCATGCTTGCTCATTTCTTCTTCGGAATGATGCTGGGCGATCAAGAGAGAATCTTCCATTTCCTTCATGCGGCTTTGCAAGTCGTTGATGCGGGCGATGGAAATTTGCTGGTCTCTCTCACCCTTGTCGATGGCGCTGGCGAGGCGACTACGCAGTGAGCTGTTCTTAGACAGCTGTTGCTGAACATCGCCATCAAGAACGTCCACTCGCTCCATGGATTCAGTGAGACTATCCGAGGGTCCCGCACGCTCAGCCTGGTGACGATCTGCCAACAATTGCTGGAAAGCCGCCTCCAACGAAGACGACGTGGCCATCACCTCAGCAAAGCTTTCATGGTCTGGATCAAGTCCTTCGGGGACGTTGTTGTCATGCTCCTGCAGAAGCACGCGGAGAGAGCTAGTCTCCTGCTCGGCACGGTCAAGATCCATCTTCAGACCTGCCAAGTTCTTCTCACACTGCCACTTTCCATCCAAGGCATCTTCAGCGCGCATGCGGAGATGGTTGACATCGTCACGGAGACCGCGGACCTCACGTTCATAACCAATTTTCCGGGGAAGACCGGCCTCCTGGGCTCGTGCAAGCTCAATTTCCGTAAGTCTGAATCGCTTTTCGAATTCGCGTGCTTGGAACGCGTGGCGGTCAAGAAGGCTTCGTAGCGTCCGGTGAAGAGCATCCCGTTGGCCCTCGATATCCTTCACCTTGTCGACCAGCGATTCGTTAGTCTCTCCCTTCTGTCCACGAGACAGCGAGTTCGATCGAGATAGACCGCCGGCAGGCTTGCGAGCAAGGGAGTTTGACCGGGTGAGACCCCCACCAAATGCTGAATTTCTCTTCGAGGTAACGCTGTCCTCCTCTGCGATAGAGGCGAAGCGTGATCCCTGCAATTGCGCCAAAGAGGCGTTCTCGATCTTGAGAGCTTCAATTTCTTCAACCAGGCGCTGTGTCTCCGCCGGAACTGTTTGCCCTTCCTTGAAGATATCTCTTTCATTTCGCAGCTGTTCCAATTCCACGCGCATGGCTGTAAGTAAATCTTCAAAATTATCTTTAGATTGCCGCTCCTCAAGCAATTTGCGGCGAGTATCATCGAGGGCAATTTCAAGCTCCCTGGTCTTGGACGAAAGATCGGACAAGTCCACTCTATCGCGTCGAAGCTAATCAGACGAATACGTTAGCAACCATTTAACAAATGATGGTGGCCGTTTATCGTACCTGCTGGACCTGGTTCTCCAGTATTTGAACATGCGATTCAGATGCTGTGCGCTGAATTCGCTCTTCTTGCAGCTTTTGCGACAATTCCACCTTTATTTGTGCGCGTTCCTGCTCCGCTGCTCGTTTGATTTTCTCGATATCTTCTGCTTTGATTTCAGGGGCATATCGGACGGAACTGGTTCCTGAGTCGGAAAAATAATCACTCGTCCGCCGGTTTATATCGGGACCTTCTTGCTGAAGACGTTCAATGAGGTCCTCGAGCTCCATTTCACGGCGGATGGAACCTGCCAGTTCGGAGCTAATTTCTCGTAATTCATTTTCCAAGTCGGCCATCTTCGACACGAATATCTTTTCATGTGCACTCGCTAATGAGGGTGTGCGTTGCGGGACGCTCCCAGGCCCCTTTGGGTCGTAAGGCGACTGTGGTTTCATAGGTACGTTGTGTAAAGGAGGCATTGGGGATGGCATAGGTGAACGGCCAGAGTCGGAGATCTCAGTACTTGAAGACTCGCCACCAGGGGAGGTAGCTGTGTTGCCTTTCCAGCCAAAGAAGGAGCTGATCTTGTTTCCGGGTGTCTTCGGTTGACGATCGCTACTCATCGACATTGATCGTTGATCAATGTCAATATGCAGGGGTGGTGGCCGGTTCATATGCGGCTGCAAAGCCATACTCGTTGCGCGTCGCTGGGTTGGAGGAGATCTGAGAATCGGGATGAAAGGCTCGCTCACTAGACGACTATGCAGGGGAGTTCCGATTCCATGCGAGAATTGGGTTGCGTATTCGTCGTCGAACAAGTCGGCGCCCTCTTCGGAATCGTCGTCGTCCTCAACCACCGACCTCAGGAACGCGGCGGAAGCGGCGGTATCAATGCGAAGAGGCTTCGTCGAATGTCGACCTCGAGAGTATCTGCGGAAGCACGATATAGGTAAGCGACGATGGGTCTTCCAAATGCTAGGGAAGCGGGAGATCATGGGTAGGCCATATCAACAACCCTCCACCGGTTGGTTCGGAGAGAGGCCAGAGACACGCGCCGATCAGGGGGCAGGGTCCGCCGTGGAATGCATACCTATTGGGATTCCTTGGCACCGATATATAGGAGTCTCCATCCACCGAAGGGGAGGGTGACCTGAGAGCAGAAGGGGGAATGGAGGCGTGTTTATCGTTGTCAGGAGAGGGAGAAGGGGGATAGTAATCAGCGTCCGTCAGCGCATTAGTCTGCGGTAGCGGTTTCCTTCGAACCTGAGACGAGGGCGGGGAAGATTGATAGTAGTCAAGATCGAAAGCGGGAGGACCGCCTGAAAGAGGAGGAGAAGCCATGAGACGCCCTGGTCGTATCAAAAAATAGCCTCGATCGGCAGTCGCTCATTCCGCCACGGGTAGAGGGATGGCACGCGCCAACTTTGCAAGACCAAAGGGGAAAGGAGAGGTGAGTGATAATCAGGGACTTCTGGTCAAAAGGAAAAGGAGAGAGTTAGCTACGACGGGCCTAGGGCGATTGGCGCAAAACCGCCCGTGGTTCCAGGCATCACGCATTAGCGCCGTCCGGGAGAAGTAAGCGTGTTGACTTTGGTGGAGTCGCGGACCTGCAGATGCTTGGATTCCATTGGCACTTCAATACAAACTGTGAAGCTGATAGCGCCGCCAAGGAACGCTCTGGCCCCGAAGTGATCGACATCACGAACGAAACGTGTGAAGATGGCCTTGTTATGATTGTATATTGCTGGTCTGTCGCTCTCATTCCGGTTGAGAGCCATATTCCCTTGAAAGCACAGTTGAACGGGCCAAGCTTCTGGCCCACCGAAAATAGTATCAGTGTTTCAATAGTGCAGGGACAAAGAAAGTCCCCCTTGAGTCGAGGTTTGGGTCGGGACCCGCTAGCGCCTTCGCTTTCAGGGGGTTTCCACTTTGTACTTGCAGGTATCTTTGCATACAACCCGGTATAGTGAGGTACATCTTTTGACCATTTCATTCTACCTTTCAAGGTTTCTCAAAATGCAAGGCCCGTCTCTACTATACACGGAGATATACTATGTCATCGCTTGACCTTCTTCTTCTTCTTCTTCATCCTCCTCAGGTCCAGGTACAGGTACCGGTACCTGGACACGTACTCAAGAGGCCCGTACGCCATTACTCACAGAAATATTGAAAATAGCCACGCCATCATGCAAACTCTGTCCTCGATCTTCGGCCATAGATTAAGGGGGAGGTCTCCATACCGATCAAGTACATGTACACTCCTCCGTGGATCGTAGGCGGGTGGAGATCACCCCTTTTCCGTAGCTGCTCTTTCGGCCCGTGCATAATTTTGGACCTCCCCCAGAGAACGTGCGCTGATATGCGCTGCTAAACAGACAATGTGCAGTAGCCAGTCTGCCGTGCCGTGTTTAACGCCAATCACACTTGAGCGTCTCGCCGAAGTCTCGGGCCAGCGCGTGGCCGGCGTGTGTTACTTGCTTGGGCATGGCGCTTCAACCTCACACGCCTAAGCATCTAGCCATCCAGACGGCTCAACACTGGCCAATCTACGGGTTGAGTGATACCTTGCCGTATCGCTCGACCCTGGGGGCCGAACCTAGCCGTGCCACTCAAACTTCACGAACATCCTCAGCGTTCAGCATGAACTCGGAACCCCCGGCGTGGCTTTCGATGCCCCTGAACCAGAACCAATGGACTGATAAACTTCGGGCCCAGACTTTCGAGGTTCGGGAAACCAAACACCCAAATATGAGACATGGGGTATTATAGGCAGAGATCAAACAGCCGCGCTGGTGCATTGATTGCATGTCTCGGGAGTCGTGGAACCCCCCAAAAGAACAATGCCCGAGATCTGGACCCGTGGGCCCAACTTTTTTTTTTTTTTTTTTTCCCCTTGCGATCGGGGCAATCCACTTCGGTCTGACAGCTCCCAGATTTCGGTCTTTATACAATCCCCGAATAGCCAACATGCGCTACACCGCAGGTTTGAAGAATAAATAGCTGTGACGTCGGGTGGCTTGGGCTATTGTCGCACCATGCGTGTTATTGACGCCAGGATATTGGAGGGCGCGTAGGGCTGCTCCGTCAGGGCCCACTTGCGAATCGGGCTAGTCGCTCGACTCGCAACCCTTGCAAGTCTCACCGCGGTGAGAACTTGATAAAAGGCGAAGTGTAGCATATATCATGGAAGTGATGGCTGGTTGCAACTGCAGTCCCTGGCTTTGTACTTCAATGGATGGCAGTTGAGTGTCGCCGTCTAAAGCTTGCGTGTGCGAGGTAGCTTCACATATCTTGGAGCCTAATCCGGGGAACTTGAACTCAGGTGGAACCCTTTCATGCATGTCTTTCATGCATGGCGAGGATACGTCTTGGCGAGGATGCTGGCCGAGTCGATCGGTCACATAATGGGAGCGTAAGGCTGGAATCCGTGCTAGGAGACAATGTCAACGATTCCCGTGGAGCTTTGATGGCAGCTTTAAGCTGCTGAAAAATAATGCAGAGTTCAGGTGAATGAGAGTGCCAAAGGTGAGTCATGTTTGTTGGAGGTTTCTTAAGTGCTTGTCTGGTTCCAAAGAGCCTGTTTCTCGTTTCCTTCTACAATACATTCATTCTCTACTGCTCACAGGGCGAGGTAAGTTCTTCACTTTGCCTAATTCTTCAATCACTGAGAGCTCGAAAGTTTAAAATAGCATTTCCGGGTATCTCTTATTGAGGTCCAGTTCATTATCTCGTGATCAAAGGAGGAGAGGCATTTGGATGTTTCCAAATCCTCACAATGCAAACGACGCAAGCTCAGTTTAGAGTCGTTGGAAGGTTCCTCCGGCCGTCATGCGGCGGGAGATTATCTCAGGACAATACTAAAGCTTTCGCTTCTGGTCCTTCACCTTCATCTCCTCCTTCTCTTGCTTGGTCTCCTTCTCCTTCTTGTTTCTCACGTGTCTTTTGTTCTGGGCCTCAAGGCCCTCCTTGTCACGCAGCTTGGTCTGGAAGAAGCCCAGCTCAGGCTCTTCGCGTTTGAACTTGCCATCACCCTTCAGGTACTGCGGGCCAGGCTGGTTAGTATCTCAACTTACGGGGCAGACGATGTACTCACGTTGGGCTTCGGCTTGTCGGGGGTGCGGTCAGGCATCGTGAGTAACAAGCTCACTTCGAGGTGGATGGTGGATCTGATCTCGACGTAAGCTACAGGCTTCGAGGATGGGATGAAGAAGACTTACAGTTTGATATGTGAAGTGGTGGGAGGAGGGATGATCGGGTTGCAGGATCTTTGATGATGACCCCAGGCAAGGTAGCGATCATGTTGAAGCGTGAAGATCTTGGTTCTTTCTGTATGGCATTTCTGACAGAGGGGATCGTTACGGAATCACAAGGAATAACTCCACTCTAGCTCTTGCCTTTGTCTGCTTCCTATGAGTCGTACTTTCCTGTTTGGTTCCGTTTGTACCTTGACTACCTGGACACCATCTACAAGCAGTCTCAGTCGGGCTCCTTCCCTTTGGTCTTCCTCTACAACACTGCTCAACCTCCTATGTTCTTTGCGGTCATCAGATGGCTTACCCATGCGCCAATTGGGTGTCCCTAGCCTCAGCATCCATTCTTTGTCATTTTCTGGATCCAGCCAGACACTTGCTGTCTATATGCAATGTGCAGGATGCATGGACTTTTCGGAGCCTTATATATACCATGGCCTCTGTATCTCTCTCTCCATCTTTGCCTTCCTCTTAGTTGCTATCTCCGATCTTCTTTCCAATTTCCAACGGCACTCCTCCTTCGTACTAACTCTGGAGTCCTGGACCACGTATCGGAGAGTCCGTGCTTCTCTTCTTAAGTATAACATCGTTTTATAATGATGTACCTTGGATTTGAGGCTTGACTGATAGCTAATTTCTTGTACTTTCCTCTACATGTAAGAGTACCGGAGTGAATCTTTCATGGCAATGAGCCCGGGATGCTTTAGATTCGTTTGAGAACAAAATGCAGACCCTTGGCGATGAGAGCATTGCACCCAAGAGTCCGTTTGATTTACACCTATAAGTGGGTTCTCTCATCAGCGGTGGCCTTATCAAGCAGCTTCAAATCTACCTGAAACACGATCGCCCTCGTCGTGGATCAGGTCTTTCCAATACTTGAAATCTTTGTGCATCTCAGGTACCAAAAGCTACAATACAAAGCCAAAATAAAGAAGTGCTGAGAGCAGCGATGATGGCCTCGGGAATGGCTCTAATCTAGTCTGATTTACTTTATTTGCTCTCCAACAGTAGAAATCGGTCCATAGAGGGCCTTGGAAAGAACGATACCAGTCTACGTCAATGCAAAAAACAGGGTATTTGTGAGGCAAAATATTCTCTTGTCACCTAATAATATTCTCTTGTCACCTAATAATATTCTCAAAGTGAGCCACGCCTGCTAATGGGTTGTTCACGAGATACATGAGGCCATCCAGGAACCAGCTGGTCAAAGAGTTCAACATGAATCTCAGGCAGGCGATCGTGGAGCTGACAACTTTCCGAAAGTAAAGACTTTTCGCCCAGAACAAGTAGAGAGTCACTGAAACATAATCATATACCAAATTTAAGACGTCAAACATGATATTACATAGCCAGAAACCCCAAATACTAATCGCAAAATCAGAAAATAAAGTCCCAGCTACCACATGTGCATAGCGTTTCTGTTCCAATTGGGGTCATAACCAGATGTCGTCCCAAAGATATTTGTCGTCGTGTAATGCCCGTTGGTGCTATGTGTTGATGTGAACCCAGCCATACAACCGATGATGGTGTGGAAAAGGCCCGTAATGGCGCCGTAAACGGCTCCGGCGGCAGCGGCGACGTTGTATGGGCAGATGTCGTAGCCTGTTGAGAGATTGATATGTAAGCGCCAGCCCAATGAGCGAGGAATAGCACCGTGCTTAATGACTAACCCATGTTGTGCGCCATCCGAGCAAAGACATACCCGCCAAGAGCGTCAAGGCCCATGACGAAGATTTGGGACCCGGCCTTGCCTCCAGCAAGTCCTCCAGCCGCTGTAGACAAGCCGTCAGCTACATCGTGTCTCTCCAAAGATTTCCTTTAGAAGAGTGTCTGAACTCACACTGATATATCCCCATACACTCTCCGCCCAATGGAATGGCGGCAACGACAGCTGCGATGAGCAGCGCACTCGGTGCTGAAAGAATAAATAATCAGCATGTTTCACAGCAGCGCCATAGTCTATACTGGAGATACTGGTGAAAGGATAGACTTCAACGGGTCTTCGGCTTACATTCGCCAAGCACCAAGTTGCTTATTTCCGCCGTGATCAAAACACATACTCCAAAGCTACTCGCCAGCAAAATCAACAACATCCATGCGTATGTCGGAATCCCTGCATATCCGAGGAACTCCACGAATGCCAAAAGTCCTGCCTTGGTGACACCGGCCAGTGCTCCGAGTTGCAGCATTCGCGCAGTGAGAACGCCGCCATTGACGTGGACGGCTGTCGCGACAGCTGCTGGGCCCGCGGCGCCGTTGGCGGCGATATCGAGGGCGGCAAGCGCGAAAAAAGTCCATACTGGCAATTGAAATGTTAACAAAAAGTCCACGCCCACGTCTTGTCAAATAAACATGAACAGCTGAGGTTAAAAAGTGGTGACATACTGTTGATGGGAGGTGACTGAACGTCGTCCATTATGAGACCGTGCGTGCGGCAATAGTCAAGTTAGTCTCTCACGAACAGTCCGAAATACTGCACTTAAGGACCACCCCAAATAAGCCGCCGTCGCAGATTATAAAAGCCGGCGACGCCATCTCCCAAACCCCCGGCAACACGAACAATCACCCGCCAAGCCCAGCCCATTCTCCCCCTCCCCCCCCCAAACTCGCCAAGAGCGAGGCTGAAGGCACATGGGGCTCTCTAACTCCATTTTCTGCAAGCATGGCTCTCGTCATGGGTCATGAAAAGCCAAGCCGAAGGTAACCACAGGGTCTGGCAGGGCACTGCAGGGACTAACGCTGTACAGATACTGATTGACGAATTACGGGGCGCAATTGGCGAGACTAGCGTCAGGGCACGGCTCGAGCAGCTCACCGCGTGCAACTTGGAAAAGATGTGAGCTCATGTAGTAAGCATCGCCCTGCGCCACTAGACCTATGGTAACTCCAGGCGACCCAATCGCGGCCCGGAGCGAGGCTTATCCCGTAGGGTTGACGGACGCCAAGGGCGCCTTTTGCCGTCCTGCCCGTGATGCAGATGCCTTGCGATGTGGCGCGGTGCTCTTTGCTTAGCCACTGTCGCCCGGGTTTTTAGGAGTTTGGGATACGGGTGCCGGGGCCAAGAGATGCTAGGGTGTGACGCATCTTTCGGCCTTGGAGATATACAGGTAGCTGGACCCCAGGGTCGGAGCTGGTAGCCGTGAGCTGCCGCAGTGAAGTGGTATTCTTATGTCAATAATGAACTCGACAGTGTGTGTGATCGAGGCGAATCCAGATGTCACGGGCGTCGGGGTATGTCACGATGCTTTTATCAGCCAGGCCGTCTATTAACGTTGTCCTATATAGATCCGCGCATCCATATACGCCCTCTGCCTTGGCGGAACAGTCGTGAGCTATCTCCTTCGCGTGTTATCACCAGGAGAAGATGAAGCCGAGTTCTCGCGCGGCGTCTCCTCTGCCCTAGGCATGCAAGGCCTAGCACTCCTTTGCACGGCAATATACCAAACCTTCCGCACCGAGCTGACCCTCTTCCACGCCATCTGTGTGGTCCATCTCCTCGCTCTGCTGGGTATGGATATAATTAGCAAAGGCCGATACGCCGGGTTTGGGCCTTGGCGCTTATGGTTCTTTGCGGTGATCCAAATCATAGCCTTAGCCGCTTTCATCGCCTTTAATGTCTACCTCTGGGTCACGGCGCCGCAATTTGGGGCCCAACCGACTTGTAACCCAGATACGGTGTACGTTGTTTTTGGTGTGAGCATCAAGGCTACTTCGCCTGTCTTCCGGTATATTATTCTGGGCTCACTTGGGTCTATTGCCGCGGGTTTCGTCCTTGTCTTTACATGTATGCTACCATGTATTTGCGGTGCATGGTACTCCAACCGACGAGGTCGACGAGATGATGGGAGGGGAAAGGCGCTGCGCGAACTGGTACTTTGAGTGGAACACTACCAAAATTCAAGACGCCGAGGAGCATGAGCGGTTACATGGACAGGCTTTGCGCAATTACACATTGAATAGGCTGGCTTACTTCGGTCTCTGCATCTATCTGATCGTGTCACTGGAACAGACGATCCAGCGCAACAACCTCGACCCGGAGGAAAGGGGATGGACATTCGGACAGGTTATTGCGATCTTCTTGTTGCTCGGTGTCGCGAACGAGCTATTCAATGTCGTGCTCGCAAAATGGGACCGCAAACTTGCAGGCGAACAAGAAGGGAGCCAGGAGCTGGTGCAACACAGGCCGCCATCTAGTGGAAATTCAGCAAATTCGGTACCGAGGTTGGTAGTTTAAAGTTGTTTAATAATTTGTATGAGATCAATGTATCCAGTATTTGTTCACAGTTATGTACTCCAGGATATCCTCCAAAACAGCGCCCGTGGCTTGATAGAACAAAAATATAATCAAAAATAAAAACGCCAATCATCGCACATCATGCATATCAAAACAAGAGCCTCTCAACTCGAGGTCTAGTAAGGAATGAAGTCAAAGTTCATTCGATCTGAAAATTATGTTAGCAAGACCATATAGAAATGAGGTTGGGGGGCAACATACCAAGGAAATGACTCCAATCTTCCTCGTAGAGCTGAGTAGCCCAGTACTGCTCAAGGAACTTCAAAGATTGCAACACGTTGGGGACCCGAATAGTGTCGTGTAACGACGCCAGTAACCGCCGCACTGTATCACGATCTTCTCCCCTCGCTTCGCAGCCCGCAATGAATAGTGGCGTGGTCAGCATCACCCACGGGCTGAGGCCAGCCGATGGCCCAATTTGAGCCGTGCAGTCTAGAATCCGATGGACGGAGTACTGCACTTCATCTGATGTTGTCGGGATCTTGCGCAGACGCCTGTTAATCTGGATCAGCGCACTATGCTGAAAGGCCTCGTTACAGAGCGCCAACTGTTGCACACTCTCAGCCGGGAGTCCTTCCGCGACGCCCGGGTATAGTGACGGCTCCGAACTGGCACCTCGGTCCATAAGATGCCGTACGGAAGACTCAAGCGTCGCCGCTTCATCTTCCACATTACTATCGATCTCCCCTTCAATGAAACCATGTCCATCATTCACAGCCTGGTGGTTCCGCCAAGCAGCAGCACCAATTTGTCTGAACACCGCAGCCAGGTCAACCGTGAATCCCCAATAATCATCTAAATAATCAGGCAACCCCCGCTGACCGGCCAAATCCGACGGCGCAAAGTCCGAGTTATCGCCAATGGGTGGCCCGTTCCCCGTCAACGCGGTCAGTGACACGATCGACCAGTACCAGCGATCCAAGTACCTGCGGAAGCCACCCTCAGACCGAATCGAGTCCTCGCCGGCCGCATCCGTAGTCTTCATCAAAGCCCTTGCTCCCTCGATATGTGCTCGCCATGAATTTGGATTTATCGCTCCCGAATGAATCTCCGCTAGACAAAGCGTTCGTGCGGTCGCCACCAACGCCTCTGAGCCCCTCGATGCTGGGTTCTGGAGTTCCTGTCGGAAATGTTCCAGGCTCAGCGCCATCAGCCGTGCGATATCTGGCGCTGTCTTGACGCTCTCGGACTGGTTGTGTAGGGCTTGGAGGTGGATTGCGGAGAGGGCGGTAGTGGCGTATAACAAGGACGGAGTCTGAAGTGCCATGGGCACAATCATGCGGCAGATATCTTGCTGCATGCCGGAGTGACAAGCGGTGATTTGGGAGGCATCGTTGATGAAATGGTGCAGCAGCGCCTTTTGATCATTCGAGAGCGAGGAAAAGGGATCGACAGACTGCGTCAAGATCAGATCGGAGCCAGGTTGACTTGGACCTTGGCCTAGAGCCTGGGCCTCAGCCTGAGCCGCCTCCGCCTTAGCCTTGGACTTGGTAGTGTAGATAAACTCGCCGGGCGAGTATTCTGATGGTGTCAGCGCATGTTATCACGTTTTCCAAAGCAAGGGTCCCATACCTAGTCTCTGCATGTTCGAGCCCACGCAGGCCCCGAATCGCGATCGCGAGAATGCCCGCCCACCCCACTGCAGCTGCATGGCGTATTTGCATTCCACGTTGGCGGTCTGGCAGCGCCCGCAGGTCGGTCTCTGCTCGTCACATTTTTGGCGCCGCGCTTTACATCGTGTGCATCCGGTGAAGGATCTCGACATGGGTGCTGTGTTGTGGAGAGGTGAGTGTCCCGCAGAGAAGAATTTCTGCGGGGAATATCCGCGATCTCCGTTTTCCCGTGTGGCGAACGACTTGACCAGAGATTCGGCTGAGTTGGGATCGAAGTCATCGATTTTCAGGAGAAAGGGGGATGGCAGATGTCGAAAGTCTAATCCTGATCCTAGTTACTATAATGATGACTATCAAGGTTCGGATCGGGACGTTCGTAAATTGGTTGCCTCGTTCACCCATCTCTATGGGATCCACCGATCGACGGGTTTTATCTGTGCCGAAATCAATCTCAAAATGGGCTTGGTGTACTTGATTTGAAGTCTCTAGATTGTTCAGATGCAACTTTCCCCGAGAGAATACACAGATTTGCGCTATGGCGGAAATACACAAGTGCCAACAGAAGTATATGTTCATCCCATACTGGAAATCCTCAAAGTCAAACCCTTAAAAGCAAGGGAACCCTTCATTGATCGAAGGTGTACCGAAGCCACTCTCCCACAGCTCGCAAACTCTCCCATCGCACCGTCTCATCCTTATCAACCATCAGCTCCATCACTCGCGTCTTCAGGCCGATCCGCTCTAGTTGCATGCGGCGCTCGGGTAGTTCCTTGACGAGATGCCCCACGTCGTTACAAGCAATGGCCAGAACTTGCTTATCGTTGTCCCAGCTCTTGGACAAGATTTCTGCAAGCTTCTTGGGCAATGCACCGTTAGACTCATCCAAGATCCGGCGAGCGTTTTCCTTCCAGAAGGTGGGGTTCTTGTGAGGGGGCGACCAGCGCAAGTGGCCAGACTGGAGCTCTGTAGCATACTCGTCGAAGGTAGTCTGGGTCTTGGTGTATTCTTCCAGCATGGAAGACAGGGCGTTTAAATCTTCAAGAAGGTCGGGGTCGGTCAGGTGGCGACCAGCCAGGTTGGTCAAGAGTGCGGGCAGGCGAACAAACACGGCCACAGGAAGCAAGGTTGAACGGTTGCTCAAGCAGAGGTTGAACAGGGTTGAAAGAAGCAGGCGGGTGGTCTTCTCCTTAGGCGAGAGGCGGAGAAGTTGGGTGTAGAGTTGAATAATCTCATAGTTCCTAGGCAGGGGTTAGAGGCGGTGCACGGTGTTTTCTAGAGGCATATTACTTACTCTTGCAGCTCCTCGCCCACAAGCGCACTCTCAAATGCAAGCTGCCAGATGACAAGTAGCACCCGGTAGAGCAGCTGGAGGCCAACACCGCCGGCAAGTCCAGGCTCAATGCCACGTGTGCTGCTTCCAGAAGTGCCACCATTCTCCTTGACTCCCGCGGCAGCACGAAGGGTATCGATCAGGGGATCCAAGGTCTCCTTGCGGTGGTTCCAGAATATCTCGCGCGGGCGAGTCTTTCTGAGGAGCTCTGAGAATCCCTGGACGCCAATATCCTGAAGTCCACTGTCGTGATTCTTGGTCAGGGTGGAGAGATAAGTATACAGCTGTGGGAGAGCTTCATCATCGCGAGGGGCGGGCTTAGATGTGGAAACGATACTGTGCGACACGAGTGCCGTGAGGAAGGTGGATGTGAGCAGCGGGATGGGGTCCTCGGCGTTCGTGGAGTGGTGCAGGAACGGCAAGAAAGGCTTATATGGTTCAGGGTGCGAAACGAGGGAGTCAGCGAGCGAGGGGACATCTAGTACCCTATGTTAATGACTGCGGAACCCAATGCACTGTATAGATAGCAAGACATACCCTGAATCAAGTCCGATGCCAGCACCAAGATGTATTGCACGATATCGGTCCTCCGAGAGGCGGACTCCAAGACACTCTTGCCGTGTGAGCCACCAGCCAGAAGGCTTGTGTATCCCAGGAGATCTGCCTCTATTGTCTGAATGCGCTGCTCCTTGCGCACTTTGTCCACAGCCTTGATCTTCTTGAGGTGGTCATCGGTGATGTTGCCCGCGCGGACAGCGCCCTCCCACGGAATTGGCCGAGCGCGGATATTGTTCTGCAGCGAGCTAAGGTAGGTGGGTGGCTCCAACGACATTGTGATCGGACAAGACCCCGGGCCAGAGAAACAGGATCCGTTGGAAGGTGGGAGGTCTAGAAGGGAGGAGCATGGAGCTTGGGGGATGACGGAAGCACCGCCAAGACTCGCGTTGGTCCCAACGCAAGCCGTTTCATCTTGAGCCTCTTCTGTTCCTCTACTCCCCTCTTCTCTTTTACGCTCTGTATCCTACGGGTATTTCTCTCGCTGTGTGCTTCTACTCTACACTCATTCAGGCCCGAAATCCTTGTGCGACATCCATTTTGCAACGTGGTCGTTGCGCTGAAGTACAACTTAAGGCGCTCAGTCCTTCGTTCCCGTCTTCTATTCTGACATTCCCTCTCGATTGGAGCGAATTGAGCCTCTTCCGCCCAAAGACGCGATTTCGAGTCGAACAAGAAGACCCGAGCCTTGTCCGCGCGGCCCCCACCGAATCCATGCACAATAGACACAGGGCAATTGCTGCCTAGTCATCGAGTCCCATTTTCGATCCAACACATCGCTCACCATGGCGCAAAACTCGCAACCCCAGAAGCCAAAATGGGGTGTGGGCAACTTCTTCCAACAAGCAGTGGCGGGTGTCGAATCGCGCTTGGACAACATCTTGTTGGACGAGGAGGAAAGAAAGAAAGCGGCGAACGCAAAGCCCGCCGAGGCGGCGAGTACTGAAGCACCTATCACTAAGTCTCCTGTTGACTGTATGTACCCTCCGTCGAACGCTTTCTATATTGGGTACGACTTACATATTGTTCAGCTATTTCTCGCAGTGCATCGACTGCGCGCCGGAATGACCGTCTTCAAGAACGCCTGGCGCGAGCCATGGTCAACAAGAATACCTCAAATCGAAACTCCGAATCTTCTCCCAGTCAGGTTTCCTCTCCTGCGGCTAGCCCGCGACCAAGTAGTGATGCACGACCCAGCATGGATATCGATTCTGGTCTTGCATCTTCCACGGCTGTTACGGACGCCATTAAATCTCCGACGTTGAAGGAAGAAAGCACCGCAATGGAGGACATGGCGCCGAGAGCAAGTGAGGATTCTGGGGTTTCTGCCAGGCCATCTACAGACTTGAGTGTCACAGAATCAATTCTCAGGGCTTCCGGGGATGTGGGTGAGCGGGATCGGGAGCTGGAGAGTTCTAGCAAAGATCTATTCGAAGCAAATGAGGCGCGCAGTACTCGTACGTCGGTCGAAAGCCCACGACCAAGCGTTGATACGCCTTCGGAGGTCCGAGCGGGTGACGACAATGAGTCTCAGCGACAAGAAGAAATCCACGGATATATTGAACGGATTGATGCACTCCAGTCAAAGCTCAAATATCTTGCCATAGAGGCAGCGGATTCAGCCAAGAGTGCTGCAGCTACTGCTTCCCCAGGCAGTGCCAAAAAGCAACTGCTAGAAAAAGATGAGAAGATTGCGCTCCTTCTTGAAGAGGGTCAGAAACTGTCTAAGTCAGAAATGGACCATCGCACCGCCCTCAAAAAGCTTCGACAGCAGCTCGCTGAAAATTCGAAGGCTCAAATCGAAATGAAGAAGAGGACCGAGAAGTTGGAAAGGGACCTACATAGCTCCGAGGCTAGGGCAAAGCGAGCTGAGGCCGCAGAGAAGCGATTGAATGATTCCTTATCATCCCAAACCAAGGTGGCCAAGGACCTTGAAGCTGTGACGAATGAACGCAACGCCCTCACTCAGACGGTGCAGGAAATGAAGGGCCAGCTGAGCCGGGCCGTTGCCCGTGCTGAAGCCGCCGAGTCAAAGGCTACGTCTGATGCGTTAGAAAAAGAAAGAAGCAGAGCCAATGATCTGGAAGAAGAATTGTCCACTCTCAAGATTGAGCGTGACATCAGTCAAGGGAAGATGAAGAAGGAGATCAGTGAGTTAAAAGAGAAGATCGATCAAGAGAGAGAAAGGGCGCGCATGCTTGAGGCCGAACTGAAGAGCGAACAGTCAGTTCTCGAAAGCAAGATGGAGAGCCTCCGTTCTCGTGCAGAAGAAGCTTCATCTGGAACAACGGGGGAAACCCAGGCCAAACTTCTGCGCCAGATCGAGACCCTTCAGACTCAGTACTCTGTTGCCAGCGAGAACTGGCACGCTTTGGAGGGCTCCCTGCTTGCCCGCTTGGCCAATGTGGAGAAGGAACGAGATGACACGAGCCGCAGAGAAGCTGACTTGCGCAAGAAGATTCGAGAGCTGGTAAGACCGTTGCAACAATGCTTACGTTCGTGGGACGGTCGACTAATAACAATCTCTATAGAACCTCAAAACCAAGAAACTCGAAGAAGATGTCGAGAATGCCAAAGAATATGAGCGGGATATTGAGAGCAAACTCGAAGATCGCATGCAGGAATTGCAGAAGATGCAACAAAAGGTCGAGAGAGCAACCGAAGATCTCACTGCGGCCCAGAAGGACGCGGTCGAGCAGAAGAAGGACTCCGATGCCACGTGGTCGCAGAAGCTGGAGGAAGAGCGAGCCAAATGGCGCGAGCAGGTCAGCAGCTTGCAACAACCACGAGCCGTGTCACCCGTTCCTTCTACTCGACGGTCGAGCAATCTAGAAGCTATTTCATCTGGTCTCTTGGACTATCGTCCGAGCAGCCGACGCTCTTCCACGTATCCCTGCGCTTCGCCCGATATTGGCACTCCACCGCGCCAGAACTCGTATCCCGCTTCTATCAACCCAGGAGCACTTTCTCCGCCGCCGCTCAATACTGGACCTCCATCAATGATATTGGAAGCCCCTTCAATCACCTTTGAGCCGGATGAATTTGAAACTGGCACTCCCGCCACTCCATCAGCATACGGAGGCACTCAGGCTGCTGGATCTCGTGGTATCAACGATATCATCTCCGAGTCGACTGTCGGTGCAGGCCCGTCCGTACAGCTGGTAGAGCGCATGAGTGCTACAGTTCGCCGGTTGGAGAGCGAGCGCGCTGGATCCAAGGATGAATTTGCGCGTGTCACAAGCCAGCGCGATGAAGCTAGGCAACAAGTTGTTGACCTCATGCGCGAGCTCGAGGAAAAGAAAAATTCCGATTCTCGTGTGCAGGAACTTGAGGCAAGACTTGCTGATATCGACCAGCGGTATCTAACAACCCTCGAGATGCTTGGTGAAAAGAGCGAGCAGGTTGAGGAGCTTCAAGCAGACATTGCTGATCTGAAGAAGATTTACCGTGAGCTGGTTGACAGCACGATGAAATGAGAAAGTAACATGGTACTTTGCTACTCTGGTTCTCAATGATCGAAATTCCGCTCGGCTCAGAAGTTTAATCACGTTGATATGTATATAGACGATTCAATTGCACACATAAGAACATCACATTCCTGCTCAAACAACGATATTGATTAATATCTTGCACATAGAAACTTGAAGAAATCGCACTACCTCCTTGGTTGACTAGTAAGCTACGATGAGAAAGGCCCCAAAATCCGCTCGCTGTCCGGCCTTGTCACAGCTCGAAGGTTTTTCCAAGATTGGCATGGCGCGAATGAGCTAAATTCGCTAGCTAGTCCAGTTCAGCCCGATACATGGATTATATTCGCTCTACGCCGTAGTGTTAACTTGGAAATAGCTATAATTACTGAATCTTGCTATCGAACATATCGGTCTTTAAAACAATCTTGGACAGTGGGAGAAAGCAGCAACGACGTGGCTGCATGGGGTTTGATTAGAGACTAGAGTGCGTGTACAGCCTCGGGGCCGCGAATAGCGACCACAGAGAAGAGTTAGCTTATAGAGGTGGTTCATCTAGACTATATTGCGAGACCAATATTTGATAGTTAGGTAAACGATGGTTCAAATAACTGTTAGTAAGATAAATCTTCCTTCAGAGCCTCAGGCAGGAAAAGGAAAATCTCGGTAGCCACTAGCGCACACCGCCCTGCCGCTCCAAATATAAAAAGGCCGGATCCCCCGATCCTCTTTCTGTTTCTTAAGCGACTCTACGTTAGTACCCCCTCTCCCATACAATGGCTTCCAGCATCTGAACATCTTGCTAACAACTGCCACAGTTCAAAGAATCACTTTAGAGTAGACGTCCCACCATTAAGCTCTTTAAAAGAGCCACAGAATCTCCACCCTTGCTGATGACTGCTATGTCCTCGATGCCCTAAAGTGAAGCCATTTGGACTCCCGCCTCGACTGGCACGCGTGCTGCTTGCAGCGTCTGCGTGTTCGGTCCAGGGAGTGGTGATGATCTTAACCTGGTCTCGGCGTCTGACTTCGGTCGGCTGGTCCTGGTGGGTGTCGAGGAGGTCTGAAAGGTCCCGATATCTCTATTTCTTCTCTTTGATGTTGGAGATTGATTTAGTGGGTTGACGGGTTGGATTGATTCGGTGTTGGTCTTTTGTCGCTGTACAGTCGAAATGAAACATAAATTTTCTATCGTACCTTTTTTATTTTATTTTTTCTTTTGTAAATTTTCCGCAGAAATCTCGTATGTCCGGCAAAATGCCCACCGCTCCGACGTGCTTAAAAAGAGACACCGCCTTTCTTGGGTATCTGTTTTTACTACCTCAAGGTCCCTAAATACAAGTGTGCTCAAATCAGTTTAAATCCTAGAACTCAAGCAAACAGTTGTGTCCTGTTCAAATGTTCCGGATGTCTACTGTCTGCGGCTCTATTTTGTTTTGAGATTCGATTGATCGAGGTTCCTTATTAAATCTGTCAGTACTCGATCGCCTGTTGTATGGATATATATTCCAAGGTTGAAGCCTGCCAAGGTATCTGACCGAGCCCTGAAGTTCAGTGCAAGTGTGATCATATATTTCAATGGTTTACTATATGTATGTCTGAGATGAGAGTATATATATATGTAGGCCTCTATATCTCCCTCCCTTTCTTTCCCCCTTTCTCGGGTCTGTACTCTTTCTAAACTATTATAGTTTCAGTTACGTATCTTGGTCTTAGTCAATGCATCTACAGGCGACGAGCGCCGGTGACATGCAGCTGACATGCAGCACCTGCAGACAAGATCAGTGCCTCGTGGGCGCAGATCAGCAGGGAACCATGGTAACGCCCAATACTCCAAAGCAGATAAAGCAGTGGGGACTCAGTTTCCACAAGTACATAGGACACGGATCAGCCCCGCGTAGACCCCCTTGGAACACGGATACGTCACGGCAATAGCACGCGAGTGTGGAACCTAGCAAATTCCAAATCTTAGATAGCTACGTCGGCGGAGCGGAAACCTCGCAGTGCAAGAACTAGGGGAAGTGAGTTGAACAGTGCAATTGGCTGTTGTCCAGGGACAACGGGGTGTACCTGACTCCGCTAGACTCCACTGGATCGAGTCTCAGCTGTGTCTTGTCCACAGTTGGCCATGTTGGTTATCGGATCTTCAGAGACCCCGAAAAGGCCCATGGCTCGACAGAGTTTAAGCTGCCAATGTAAGTCGAATTTGCATGAGACCCAAGGGTTGTAAAGGGCCCTAGATGACCCTAGGGGCTCCATGATGATGAAGGTGGCTGCTGAAGCAGAGAAGTATGATCTTGGGGGAGCGGTTTGACGGGGAGTGCAGGACCAATCCACGGGCGCAGATCCCGATCGATCTCGGGGTTAGTTTGCCAGAGTCCACTAGGGCCAATGTTCAGATTTTTGAGACCCAGTGGCAAAAATAGTCGGAGATATTCGACACCATGTGGGATACATCCGGGCACGTTTCAGTGGCGGCTTGTGGCGATTGTGCTTCAGCCGTGAGGACGCCATCATGGGATCTGACAGTAAGTGATTAGGAATGTGTGACACCATAGCCCGTATTCCATCGGGAGGATCCATAATTAGATCCGTCTCACTGTATGACTGGATGAAACAGAGCACGTTGCGTAGGCCAAATTTATATGCCACTCTAGTCGGGAGACTGAGTTCAAGGTCAAACCGTAGGGTACTACTCAAAGCGGACTAATTGAGGATTGTCAAGGATCCAACGGATAGAAAGTAGAAACAGAAGAGAAAGAAAGGGGCGGACCCCGCTCTGACCCACTTGGCGCAGGTACACTTGACCTGCATGGGATTAGCCCTGCAGCTCACGAACCGCTTTCCCGCCATGTACCATGTACCACCATGTACCATGGAGGATCGTTCGACGCGAGGCGTCTGCATGTCTCTAGCTCCGAAGCCCATGGGAATGGGGAAAGCCATGCGTTCCATTCGAGGTCGCTATAAGCGGTCATCGCGTGCCTTTGGGACTATTTACTCCAAACCCAGTCTAGGAATAGCCTGGCGGATCCCGGCTGCATCGGGGATAGGGCAGAGAAAAAAGTAGCGCAACCCCTGAACCGCGCCCCTGTCAAAGTGCTCCGTAGAACGCATGCCTGATGTGGGGGTCGATCGTCGTCTCTTGCCGGACCCTCCATGTTGATTGAGAGAGTACGAGCGGAACATTCTGTACCTACCTGAACTGTGAACTTCCACCCTCTAACTATCAACTGTCAACTGTCAACTGTCAACTGTCAACTCTCACCTTTCACTTTTCACCGTGAGGATCAACAAGTCCTTCACCACTTTCGTTATCTTGAGTGACCGTGGAATTGGCGTTCGCCGATCTTCGGTTGCATTACGACACCTCGTCTTGTCCCCCTACATTCCTGCCCCTCAACTATCCGTCCACCTTATTGTTTCCACCTCGCGCGACGTCTCCGATGCTAGAGCAACTACACAATGAGTGTTGTTGTCAGTAGACCGGCGAGCCCGGCTGTGCCCTATACCATACCTGAATCTAATTGCAAGGAGTTCGCCGTGACCGCTCAACCCGCATCGCGCACATCCTCCGTCTCCTCGTATCGAACGAACTACAGCGCCGCGTCCACCACGCCCACCACGTACTCGCCTTCCTCTCCGGCCTCGTCATATCGCCAATTCGATTCTTTCGGCTCGATAGACAAACCTATCGACATTGAACCTATTCAGCGCCGACTACCGCAGGAGGTCTACGATGTCATCCTGAGCAACTTAGAAACATTGCACAAGGCACCGCACCAAACGGGTTGCACGACATGTTTCCAACGCGACCTTCACGCCTTGTCCCTGACGTGCCGGTCCTGGGAGAAGGCTGTCCGAGGAAGACTGTAAGTCGAAAAGCGTACCACCGTTCTTAAGCGCTAGTTTCTCATGCGATTTTTTTTTAGTTACACCCAGATCCACATCGTTGGTACGGATTCCCCGGCTCAACTAAAGAAATATCGTCTCAAGCGTGGCAGTCGCTTGAAGCTGTTGCGCCGTACGTTGCGCGAACGGAAGTTGCTGGCCAACCTCGTCCGCGAACTCAGGGTCCCACAAATGGACTTGCTCTTCACAACAACAAAGCACAGCGCACAATGGGATGAATATCGCGAGTTGATCGCGTCCGTGGTCATGGTCTGTCCCAACCTGGAGCGCTTATTGGGTCTGTCCATTCCCTATCACCACGAGTTCGACCGTCTCACCTACGCTCTTTCGACGCGCAAGCGCTTGAAGGAACATACTTGGGTTCTGGGCGAGGCCGCGGAAGTAGCAGAGGTATCTCCTCGCAGCACTTCCTGCCCCGGAAGCCTAGGGCCCTCCCAGATGTTCGAGTTCTTGGACTACCATGTCTCCTGGACAAACCTGGAAACCCTGATGCTGTATGGCTTGAACGGAAATGGAGCTCTGGAACCAAGTGTTTTCCTGCGCATGTTTGATCTCTTGCCTGCTTTAAAGAATTTGTGCATCACGTCCTTTAATGAGGACGCGTTTGCAGATAGCACCTTGTTATGTCTGCCAAAGCTAGAATCTTTGAGATTGGAAAATCTGCCCGGTGTCACCGAAACAGGTCTCACACAGTACACCTCGCGACCCGAGTCCCGGTCGCTCAAGTCACTCACCCTGGTCGAGCAGAATATTGAGTGTTTGCTGGTCATTTCTAAGATTCTCTCCTCTCTAAGACAGCTTGAGCGTTTCAAGTTCGTGCAGGCGGAGAAGTGCCCGATCATGCCGGACGAGGACATGATCCTGCAACCAATCTTAGCGTCATCGAGCCTCAAGTTCCTCCACTGGGATGTGGCCTGTCCCGATCCCGGCACAGCGCTCACCCAGCTCAGCAGTCTTCCTTTCCAAAAACCTCCCAAATACACCGACACCCCCAACTCTTATCTCGCCCAAAGCATCCTGTCTGCTGGATTCCCTGTCCTCGAAACACTCCGCGCTCCCAACGACGTGGAACCTCCGGGGGCTCTGCAAGCAATTTG